TTGGGCTGTCTAGCGGCATTTGCTCATAAGCTACAGGATCACCACGGAGACACCTTTGATTGACATACACTCTCCAGTCCGACAGCCTGAAGACGACAAAACAATATGAGGAGGAATCAGCTTTTTGTCTGGTGGCATGTTTTTGAACCTCCACTTGATCCCTCTTAGGAAGCTGTGTGTGTGTGTGTGTGTGTGTGTGTGTGTGTGTGTGTGTGTGTGTGTGTGTGTTTGTGTGTGTGTGTGTGTGTGTGTGTGTGTATGTGTGTGTGTGTGACTCGTTTTACATGATTTTTACATGTCATCCGCTGTGAGGCTCTAGAAAAACAACTAAATGAATAATGTGACGTCCGTAACCTGAGTACTCTTGTATTTATTCACCCCGGTCGAGATCACCTCATCCATTAGTCGGTGTAGTCGATAAAGGGTTGACACATCAGGGGGACGTGTGCCCCCTTCTGGTCATCTGACCATCCCTGTCAACGCTCAGGGAACAGCAGTCCAGACATGTACTCAGTGAGACCAAAAACGTGTCTCAGATATTATCTTATTTGTATTTTATTCACATGTCACATACTCAGCTTATTCTTCTAAAGTACATCTCAGCTGAGACCTCATGAGACTATAGCACAGACTTTAAAAGGCATCAAAGTGTCAATTATTTTAGCTTTTGGGATAATTGGGTGAACAGTAGAGATACTCTAGAAATTACATGCTAACAAAACATCATCCATACCATCAAGAAAATGGGAGTTTGACTTATCCATCGGGATGCTGTCATTACGGACTCAAATCTGCAATAATATCTACTTCATGACTAGTAATGTAAATTTGCAATTAATACAGTATAAAATTATTCGCAGAATTTATTACACTGGGCAAAAACGGTTTATAATTATAACTTTATGGGATTCACGTCAGACATCTGTTCACACTGCACTCAAAATATCCCAAACGCTGCACACCAGTTCAACCCGTTTGGGTAAAAGTAACGGGGTCATTGTCTCTTTTCCCGGGCTGCCTCGTCCCATTATCTCCCGGCCTTACTAGGAGACATTTCAACAATAAACCTGTGCAAAACAAACCGCCAATTACTCCTCGTGGCCATAGCTACGGACGAGAAAACTATCCTCATGAACTGGAAATCAAGGAACAATATACATATCGCACAGTGGAAAAACTGGAAATCTACTTCGACTCGTCACTTCCAATACAACAGAACACCACTCTATCTGGTCAGCTTTCACTGGGTTTTTGCAAGCATGATACTAGCGTACTATCATACTGGTGTTGAAAATTAGTATTGTTACCTTATTTGTTCACTTGTTTATTTATTAATTGATTTATTTTTGCCTGGAAACAAATTTAACCCCACGGTTACACATAAACATAGACATATACAACTGTTATTCAGTTATTTAATTTGCCCTCCTTTATGTTTTCCATCTCAAAAGGGTTCAGGCACATACACTGACCATATGTTTATATGTTGTTCTCTCGTTGTTTTGTCTATGAATTCATTCACTAAGAAGGTGAGGTTACAACAAAATGTCGTTAAAAATTTGAGTTATTTCGCTGAAGCCTTCTGGGTTCAAGCTCCTTTTATGAGAAAAAACACTTCACATTTTAAATATTTGGCACAGACCTCCAGAAGACATTTGTGTCCCCTCCATACTATTTGAATTTAATTCTCTGCCTCTGCTGCAACAGCTATTCTGTTTAAACTGAAAGTATGTGAGGCAACATAAAATGTAAAATTCATAAAATATATTTGAAATGGAGAGAAATTTCTGATATACACATGCACACCTTTGACTGCTCCCTCGCTCATTCATTAATTTGTTCACTCACTGGTCCTTTGTCTGCTGTGTGGATTTAACAGTAGACTGAACATTGTAATGAAAAACCAATTAGCTGCTTTTGGCACCAAACACCCAACGCACTCATCCCACCTGAGACCGGCTTTGTGTGAATTCCAAGGCCTCGTCCTACCTTTAACTGCTCCTCACGCCCGTTTTGTGGCTGTCTTATTAAAAGACATGCTGACATGGCAAAGAATCTATTGCTTTGGCTGGAAAAAATGACTCCGGGATGCGCTGCTGCAGCAGTAGCTAAGCCAAAAAACTCCATTATTGTCTCTCGCAGCTCCCTCTTACAAAGCTGAAGAGAGTAGAGACACTGGTGGAATAGGAGGCTGATTGTGATTGATGGCTTCCCATTAGCCAGTCTGTTATCGCTCCGGCTGGGGGGAACGACCACTGAGTTGTAACACAACACATTACCTGAGTCTCTCTGCCCAACCCCAGTCGAAAGGCGCTTAAATAAAATATAGACCCTCTCTCCGAGATCCTCATTCCATGCTCACTCTAGCTGCCATCCCGCCAACTGTGATTTGCTGAGCCTTCCCACTCAATAAACACATCATTAGTATTCATATTAAGTGGAGCCATTGTTGGAGGTATCTGCATCGCTCTGTCTCTCCTAATTGTGGATGTATGTGCTGTCACCAGGTCCGAGTTTTTTCCTCTTTTTCCTTTTCCCTTTGGTGCTTCCTGTCACAATGATTGATAGGGACCAGGGACAGAGTGTCCTGCATTACCCCAACAAATGATTTGGCCCTTGCTGGCAGACCTTGGCCAGAAGTAAATCAATATTTCACCATCAAAATCTATCAGAGGAGAGTTAGGGCAGCGACTGTCAGAGGCGACACTATCAGGCCGCTGCAACATTAAACCTGACACCTGCAGCACACGAGTAATCAATATCTAGTGGTTCACAGATCATTTGTGGTCACCTTTGAAGCAGTGATGGATGTCTCCAGGGCAGTGATTCATGTAGTGACACCGTTTAACAGGGTTTTATTCCAGTTTGGACGGTCATCCTTCAGAGACTGGCTGGAGATGGATTATTTGGCCTGTCTGTCCCCTTATTGGCAATAACTGCATGCATTTCATAGGTTTTGTGGCCCACTGTGTGTGAGAAACACGTAAGCGAGCACAAGGTCAAACTTTACGAGTTCTAGCACTCATGGAAAAGAAACTACCAGGTTTCCTATGGAGTGTCAAAAAAGCAGCAGGAGACTTTAATAGGGTGGCACAAGTTGCTTGTGGTGGTCCAATAAAGGATGTGCCAGTGACAATGTAAATCAGCATTGCATGTTAAATCCGTCTTGGGTTGATTCCACATCCCGCTACACACAGGTGTAGGAATCCCACACCGGAAAGGTAGATTTGATTCTGGGTTATTGTGGAAGTTCATGATTAACCGGCACAGCGAACAAGTGCTGCTGTGGAGCAGGTCAGTGTATCTGATATCAGACAGAAGTGTCAACTCTTTACACTCGGTTTCCTTCTTCAATCACACATTACCTCCATTCTCCTACCAGGGTGGGCGTATTTCTGCTAACCAGAGACCCGCCTGAATTCGACGTCATTCAGACAAACTTTGTGTTCCACAATAATCAGCGGATATGCAGCATATGCAAAATGAATTGCTAAGAAGACAGATTTGAGACGAGCAGAAAATGGGGGCCATGGTACGCCAACAAAGACGACAGGAGGCAGGAGCGAGACGTTCAACCGGTCTCACAGCAGTAAGAGCAATGTGAGCCGCTTCGATTGTAGTGACTGGGGGACTTTCATCTCGTGTTTATTGCAATTCAACGTTCCCCAAACCAACGCGCACAGACCGTCCCGTCACATTGATGAGTTGCAGTGTTAGTCCACTGGTGATGGACTAAGGGTTTTTCCCAGGAATAGGGGGAACAGCTATGTGTCCCATTGGTAGTGGTATGTGACTTTTATTATGGAATCCCATCAGGCATGTGGTTATTGCTACTGTGTCATGGTTCAGGTTGAATTTGAAAAAGAAAAGGGTTTTCCAACGGTCATCATTGATTTTTAGTGTCACATGGGACACAAACACCAGTCTTGGTGAGTGTCCTCTGTTTGACCCACCCATCCACCCAGACTTTAAACCAATGCGCTCTTTGATTAACCATCTGCTGAGCCTGTGTGTGTGTGTGTGTGTGTGTGTGTGTGTGTGTGTGTGTGTGTGTGTGTGTGTGTGTGTGTGTGTATGGCAGCATAGTCTGTGACTGAACTTGTTCTTATAATGTTGTTTTTGCTGAAGTTGTTCATGAGTCGACTCTTTGGCCCGTAAACGTCCTGTTTCCATTGACTTTGAATAGAATCATGCTAATCGTAGCCGGTGAGTAGGCGGGGCGATGCCTGTAGGTGGGGCGATGCCTGTGAGTCGTCAGCTGCTTCGTCCCGTACAGAGATACAACCCGATCAAGACAAGACGAGGCAGCAACTCAATAGCACATTTGAATGAAAACTCGCCTGAATTATCCCCCAAAAATAAGTATGATTCGGTTAATGGAAAGAAGCAATAGGCTCTTAATCTCTCCTCCTCAGCATAAATGTGAGAGGCACCTTGCCGGCTGGCCCTCACTCTGAGACTAGATAATTGCTTGTCAGGAATAAATAGAGAGATTAATGAATTCATTAGTGGTGGGGAGTTTAGCTCTTCGGCGATGACACATCACGCCTATTGTTTTACTAGCTAGTTAGCCTTGAACAATAACATTCACACAGCAAATGGCCTCATACACTCATGTAAACAACTGAGAAACTGTGTCCTTATCCTCAAATGTTGCAATAATGCAAACAAAGGCGCTTTAAATCCTGATTATTAATCTTAATTACTTTTGTCTATGCGAGCCAGACTCTGGGAGCTGTTATAAGACAAGACACATTAATCCACATTAGCAGAGAACACTGTACCAATTGATGTGTGCAGTTTTGCATAGATACTAGAGCCTGTGTTTGCGCATTTGCACAATATGTTTAATCTCGTTGACCAGCCACAGCTTTAAAGAAGCACCACAACTTGAATGTAACACACACGACTGGACTAATTTTGTAAAATATACCACAAAATACATTTCCTTGTATACATGTTATGATGCATATGCACTGTATTAATAATTAGAAACAATAATAATTAAGCACAGTTTATTTCAAATGGGTTTTCATAAAACAGGTTGTATTTATAGCTGACTTATTAAAAATCAAATATTTCAATATTAATGTCTCTGTCGTTTTCCTTTAAGGTAGTGGGTTAGGAGGTATCTGTATTATTCAGAATGCAGGTTGACTAGATTCTGTTCTCCATCAGGAGGAGGAGTAAGGATGGTGAAGATCTTCGTTGGTTCCAGAAGATAACGGAACCTGTTGCACTGTTTAGAAAACACTGACAGCTGTGTGAGTTTAATACATATATATTTTTGTTTGAATATGAAGTCATTTATCATGGTAGATTTGCATTGTTTACTTTAATGTATCTAAATAGCTTATGTGTTTTTAAGTTCATGCTATGTTCAATATTTAATATCCGATTGTATTAATAAATAAATGAATTAATCATGATTTTGTTACCTTTATGTGTAAAATCTCTTATTGCGTTACACTTGCATTGCTGTAATCTCAGCCACAGAAACACGTTAAATCTCACTGACGTTTTCCTGGAATACGAAGGTTAGAAACAAGGACTCTTCAGACAACAAAATCTGTCACTAGTCTACAGTCTATTTTCTGCTGATCATTCATCTGGCGATCGATAGGAATGCATCCTTCCCTGCTGAACTGTTTAGGTTGCCAACTTAATGAGAAAGACACTAATCAGATGCTGTTACCCATAAGGCCATGGTCTTTAATACAGCAACACATTGCACATATCCAGGTGCCACAGGTTGCTTTGAGTGGACTCCTGAATTACCTGCAGAAAGTGTATAAAATGCATATTAAAGGTTTGTCAATGTTTGCCTCGTTACTGACTTATACAACAGAATTACAGAAACACTTTCAATTTAGATGCTGTAACTCGCCCCATCGTGCTTTATTATAAATGGTTATAAAGCATCCCATAAACTAGTAGTTTTCAAACGGGGGGGGGGGGGTCTTAAAATGTCCTCAAAGGGGCCCTCACAGAACCACTACCTCAAACAATCCAATCATACCTCAAACAGGCCAAAACGGATTCTTCTACCGCTTTACTTATTTTGTATTAGTTCCTACCAGGAGGGTTATGTTCACCAACCTCTCACCTACTGCGTGACATCTTCATATTTTGAACAGACTTTAAAAGTTATGCAGCAGTGTTAAAATCCAAAGAAACCGGACAGAGTAATACATCACGTGTTACTACATGTGCTACTAAGTATGTGCAGACAGGATCTTAAAGGATTGCTCAGAACACCATAACACGGTGCAAACAAATTCACAAGTTTATACTTATCAATGTGTTGTATCTGGAATTATTAGGCTAACACGTCTTTGTTTAGATCCAAGAACACGACTTGCTTCAGTTCTGCAGCCTCCTCCATCCACCAATGAACATGTTGGGTAACTAACACCTCTGGTTCACAGGATGACCAAGTTTGGGAAAGATAGTAGGCTGGGGAGCCATGCTTCTGCTAATGAAGAAACTGAAAAGGTATATATAGTTCATATAAAAATAGAAATGGTTCCATAAGGAGGGAATTCTTTCTGAATATGACTTTATGTGATTTAAAATGAACTTATAAAACTAATCCCATCAACGTGTAGGGAGCATTCACTTCCAACCAAAAGCCTCAGAGCTTTAAACACTGAATAATAAAGCACCGTCCGTGGTTCTTTGGATCAGATGATTCCACACATGTTGGTGATAAGCAGGTGTGGCTTGTACAACAACGCTGTAGGGTTTGTTCTCACACCAAGTTCAGACAGTACACATCGTTCCTTCATCCAGAAACCCTACATGTAGATACAAGCTAATTACATACAATATACTGTTTGTACAATATATACACAGCAGTAACAGTTTATTGTATATTTTGATGTCATTTATCTCAGTTGTGGCTCCTCCAATGACATTTGAAGGATGTGAGAGATAAGAGGTGACTTTAAAACTGATTCCCCCCACTTGTGTTGTTTTTGACACATTCCAGCTGATCTGAAGAATGATAAAGGGATGAGCAGCAAAGCAAAGTAAGTAGAGAAGAAAAAACACAAGAAACATATCATTGTTCAGCTCATGTAATGATCGAGCCAGCAGACCTCTCAGGATCTGAAGAGCCCGATGACAGCCAATTAAATACTGTCTTGTCAGAAGAAAGCACTGGGCAGCCAATCAGAAGCTCAGGTCTTGCTTGACATTCCTAACTGGCTCCTCCAGGGGCAGCCAGCCGTGATGTACGCTGCATGCAGATGCTCTCTGGTTTCAGGTAGGTGCAAGGACGATGTGTTGATCCGAGGCCTGGTGACATCTCTCAGTCCTGATGGGTCTTTTCCTGACAAAATTTGCCTTCATACTGCAAAAACACAAACAAACAGGAAATACCATTAGACTCAGAACCCCAAACTACTTCTATCCTAAAGGAAACTGGCCTTGAGAGTAGTCTCAAGGCCAGTTTCCTTTAGGATAGAACTTTGGAAGACTCCAATAAAACAGTAGAAATCGTCCTTTGTGACTGACGTTACGAAGCTTTGAATTCTGCATTGTTTGTTGACATCTTGCTTTTATGCAGGAAGTGAACAGTGTGATGTTTGTGGTATAAGTGGATTATAGTTTGCTGAAGTTACATCATGCTGTATTAAAGATGACATTAGCTCATGTTCACAATGTTTACTCAGACGTCTATAAGACCTAAGGGCGGGCTCCATGCTGGTTACTGCGGAGACTTACAGTTAGACGCACTTTATTGTGAGATGGCCTCCTGATCAGACGCTCATATGTTTGCTTTACAATGTAGCATGACTCCAATAATAATCTTGGAGTTTTAGCAAAGTAGAATTTAAGATTTGTATTTCTTACCAAAGCCAGCTGCCGTCCGATGTTTCCCATAGTAATTACCCCTGCAAAGAAGATGCAAGGTAACCAGGAGCGAATATACAGGAAGTCTGGTGATGTATACCTGTGCAGAGAAGAAACAGCAGCGCTTAATTCTTCAACAATACTTGCCTAAACTTAACTTAACTATGATCTTGGTCAGACTGCCCCAATTTATCAAATATCCAAAGACTAGAGTTTTCCAGAAAATGCAATAAGACAAGACATCTGGTGGGCATTGCTGGTGGAGGATTTAGCCTCCAAGTGAAGCTATCATGCTGCTGGCTGAATACTGTGCTGCAATGGAACACTATTTTTTATTATAATACGGGTAGATGAAATCCAGCGTTTTGATTGGTTGAGAGTGAGTCATGGGGGCTGCATTATTCAGCGATAATGTACAGTAGCTGTTCACATTGACGTGAGCGTTCCATATCACTGCGCACTGAAAGTAACCGGTTAGATTTTATAATTCCGCGGCGCCTAACAACACTGGCCAACTGTTACATTGTTGGACAATAAAGTACAGCCTCTCCTACCTTATTGCTTAAAATGCCCTTTTAGCAGCTTTGATTTTATATTTGATAACATTGGCGTTTAGATTGAGATCTACAAGAAATATTTTAACTGCTGCTGTGTAATGGGAATAAAAAGCACCTATTTAGTTTAAAGTGTTTGCAAACCAAATTGCATTGCACTTTAGTTTAAAATAAAGTGCGCAGTACACTACTTTTGAATTCATTATTGAATTTTGCACTTAACAATGTGATTAATTGCAATTCAAATTTGTAATTGTTGCCCAGCACTTATCTTTTGGAATTCTAACTTACTGGAAGACTCCATTATACACCAGGAGTTGGGTCGCCAGCGTCGCCAGCAGGGCGATGCTGACCCCCAAGCCAAAGCCACTGCGGGAGCGGTCAAAAGTCCACCACAGACCGACGGAGAGGGCCGCCAGAGTCAGAGACAACTGGACGTTATTGGCAAAGTCCACTTTCTGACAGAAGTAGGGTCAAGGACTAAGAGGTAATGGTTAATCCATCAAATGAGAAGAGAAACAGCACTGCATTCCTCCTCTAAAGCAGTTTGTGTAAACGGCCGTAGGGAGAGAAATAATGCAACCTATCCCTTTGTTTCCCCACCATATCAAAGTATTGGACATGAGAACAACAGGTGCACGAGCCCCGACACATTAAGGATACGGCACTGGCGTGGTTGATGCCTACAAACACGGCCACGCAGCGCATCACACTGGACCATTCCCGCTTGAACTTGTGTGGCTCCCCCAGGCGGCTGTCGATGCAGGGGTACAGGAGCCCGATCAAGGCTGCAAGGGGGAATGGAGACAGAATGAACGTACAACGGAAAACAACTGTGGCGTTTCAGTCATGAAATTCTAGGCTCAGAGCTTTTGGTATTTCTTAACAAATCAACTTCAAAAAGGGATGCAAATGACCTGAAAATAGATGAAATAGTCACTTTCCTTTGACATCGATAGAGACAATCAGCCAATCAAATAAAGCAAAACTATGGCTCTATATCAAACAAGATGCTGGCTGCTGTGGTAGAAACCGTCTAACCTCCCTCCCATTGAGAAATAACAATGATGCAAAACTCTCAAATGCCTTTAAGCATTTTATTTGACAGACACTAGCAGTGACATTCAGCTGAATAGATCTCTTTGCCCACAGATGTTCTGGAAGTCTAACAACAATAAAGGCTGTATATACTGTATATTCACAGTATCTAGTTCAGATTCAACAAGGTACATCTAATAAGTACAATATATTTCCCCACATTTATTAATACAAAGATTTGTGGAAACATAACAAGTTCTGATTAACTGAGTAAGTAATTGTTTTTTGTTTTCAACAAACAACGCGGCATGTTTTTTTTCTCAACTACATTTAAGTTCCATCGTATTCAATATGGGAAAAAAAAAACGTTTTCAAAATTGCCCAAATTCCCGAGCTTCGCATGGAAGTTAACCGGAAACGCTCCGTCCCTTAGCAACCCTACCTATGACACACTACACAACCCCAGCCCGGAATTTGCACTCGCTGTATCTGGAGCTTCACTACAGAGGCCCCAGATTAGAGGCAAGTCGCAGTTGGCTTGGTGAGAAACTGGGAGTCATCCAAAGAAACAAGCAATAGACACAACTGCTCAGTTCTTCCACATGTTGCTTTACAAAAAGATGGAATGTTTTGTTTTATAACTAGAGCAGTCAATAGATAGAGATGGGAATAGCTTAGCCTAGCAGCTAGCTTAGCCTAAAGCTAGCTCAATATCACAGTGCTTTAAGTGGTCCGTTTGACCCCCCCCTCTGTTTGACACGTGGAGGAATTTCTGTGCACAGTTCTCCACTGTATGTCACACCACTGTTTGTTTTACTTCCAATGCAAAAAGCTCTCTCCATCTGGATGCAACTGACTGCGGCGAGCTGCCATTTCGTTTCCGCGGTCAACAAACGAACGTTGACTATGTTAAAATATTTTGGTGCATTAATCTAGGCCACATTAATCTCATAGATTAATGCATTAATGTTGACAGCCCTATGTATAACTTCATTTTCTCTGCTTGATTGAAATAATTACACCAAATGTATAAATACATTTAACATTTTCAACATGTTCTGCAGTTCGACAGTTTCTGATGACAAAATGTGCTTCAATTTTAAAACCGAAATCAGAATATTTACCACTGAAAAAGAATGTTAAAACGTCTGGCAATGCCTGAATAAAAGAGTACCATCAATCTGAATGGGTCACTTGTACTTCAACTGAGCGAGTTCATTATTGCATTTCCTTGTCCAAAGCTAGAAAGGAAATGGATAATTGCTCCAAAAATACAAATTAACTGTTGCCTCACTAACAAACTGCAGAAGTCCTTCCCAGGTGTGTGTGTTATCCACACGTTCGAACATACCTGAGGCTGTGCCACAGCAGGGCGGTACCCACCAGGCCGACGAGAAGATGCTGCTGATGACATCAGGGGGAAAGAGGGTGACGTTTCTCTGCACCTGAAGTAAATTCAGCACAAGAGCCAGGAAGACGCCAACCGAGAACAACATGGCCCCTCGGATTACTAGGTTGGTGGTCCTACAAAGCAGGGAAAGGGAGTCAGGGGACTAGCAAGAGTTCTACTGTGCAAAATGACAAAACCTGATAGAACGCAGGGCATTTAAGAACTATAGCATACTGTAACCTTTGACCTGCAGGCTCAAACATATGCTGTGAATAGGGGTTGTGGGAAGTTATGGGTCTCAAAAAGGTGTATGCCCCGGCTTACGGTGAGCTTTGGCAGAGAAGATGCAGCACTAACCTGTTGGTGATGACTGAGATATAGGGGCCCCAGTTGGGCCGTGGCATCTTCGGCTGGCCCCTGATCACTGCGCTGTCGCTCATGGCGGTCAGTGTTAGTGACATTTGTGAGCCTAGGTCAGGAAAATACAGAAGGGTGGGTGACTTCATTACTTGCTATTCTACTAATTGTATATTAGGCTACATAATATATTACATCATTCTGTACACATTACATCTATCACACTTCAGGCCATCCTGAGAGGAATCCCTCTTCTGCCGCTCTCCCTAACGTTTCTTCTTTTTTCCCTTAATAGGGGCTTTTGGGGGGGCTTTTCCAGTACCTTTGGAGTCCAAGGAATCGGGTTGCTGTGAAGATTTGATACACACTCAGATTTGTGACTTTGGGCTGGTCAGAGTAAATTGAATTGGGTGTAATTTGTGTGCATGTACACATCCCAGATTATTTCCAAAACGCTAGAAGGCACACAGACAACATGTACTGTGAAGAAGCAAGAAGTGTAGAATGCAAAACAAACTAATATTAGGACCTCCTGTAAGAATAATAATAAATACATATTCACACACAGAGTATGGATCAAAAGTCTAGAAACCCTTTCTCATTATATTGAATGAGGAAATGTGTACTAATTACTAAAAACACTAACAAATGAAATAGTTACAATTTAAAAATACCAATGAACTATACATTTTGTTTAAATATTTACTCAATGTAAAATGATAAAGAGTGCCTGTTTTTAAAGAATATAAAAACTAGTTATATATTATATGTAGACTTTGGCTCGTCATACGTAAATGTGGATACATTTTCAGTGTGAATTGGTAAATATCACTTATCTTCTTTGATGCGGAAATACAGAATCTGTTACAACAACATGACATGTGACTGCCGAGTGTACTTAGGTATATTTCTATGGGAATCATTGTCCTACTCTTCGACAGGGGGCTCTAAGCTGCATGTTACTCTTTAAGTACAAAACCGCCCAGAGCTTCTGGTTCTGAAGCCTACTGTCACATCGCCCTTGAATGGTTCTGTAATTCACTGGTCTCGTCATCGGAGGCCGAATATGACATGTAACTCGCCTTTGAGCCAATTGTCTCAATGTAGTGACGTTAAGTCTACAGTGAGGGGGTTAGCAAAGGTAGCTGGTGGACTGCACTCACCTTTAACCCCGGCCTGTGCAGCTAACACAGGTTTACACACGTGTAGCATCTAAGAAAGATTTCACTTTTTGGATTGGATTGTCTAACGACGTGCTGTTACGAGCAATCAACGCTAACTCACTATTTGTTAAGCAGCGTCGGCTGCATTTGTCCGTATTTCCCTTGCTAACACGGTGAGCAGAGTCAATAAAACAACTACATGACATTAATACGTGTTAAAAAGTATTAAAGAACATATTACGTTAGCCGTGATGGCAGCTGGTTTGCTAGGTTAGTTAGCTTGTTTGTCAGTTTGCTAACATGGTGTAACTGTTAACTAACATTAGCAATGTTTACTGAACTGCATGTCGTCGTAGCACACTGTGTAAATGTCCAGAATAAATCTTACCTTATGTTAACATAGACGTTCTAATACATTCACATTGAGGCATTATACACGCAACATTTGAAATAACGTTAGCTCCGTCTTTCTTTCTGAGAACACTTCCGGCTCCCAAAGAAGAATGAACACCAATCAGCATCAAGCCGTGACGTCACCACGCTACTCAAGGCTGACGTCAGATTTACACGATAGATAATGGTCATGTATTAAAATGTAAATGTTTAAATGTTACATATTAATGTCTCACCTTATATGAATTGCAAGATGGTGGATGAAGTTGGCATTACTATTAAAGTAATTTGCGATATGTTTCTTTTAAAACTAATGCGGTGATACAGCTTTGCTTTCAGCCTCAGGAACAGATGTCAGATTTAGCTAATCTTCATCCACAAACCCACAAAAACCCTGTTTATTTTCGCCAACATATTTTCTTTCTATGATACAGAGATGCATATATGAGACAGCCACAGCATGGAGGGGATCATTCTTAATCTTTGTATGTTAGCATTTATGTTGAGACGTCAGGTTTTAGGGATTAGATCTGGCTGTACAATAGTCTGAATACATTACATGTCATTTAGCTGACGCCTTTATTACGACTTACAATAAGTGCATTTCAACCATAAGGATACAAACTCAGAAGAACAAGAAAGTGTAATTTCATCAGACAAGTCGATTTACAACTTGCAATGGATAAGAGACATAAGTACAATTTAAGTGCTACAATTTCTTAGTGTTTTAGTCGAGGTAGAGTCTGAAGAGGGGTGTCTTCAGTTTGCGGCGGAAGATGTGAAGGCTCTCTGTGGTCCTGGTGTCTTCAGAGAGCTCGTTCCACCATTTAGGAGCAGGACAGCAAAGAGTCGTGATCTAGTCGAGTGTTTTGCTCTCATTGAGTGAGGGACGAGCAGTTTATCACATGCAGAGCGGAGAGTGCGGGTCGGGATGTCGGGTTGGACCAGGTCCTGGATGTAAGCTGGACCCCATCCATTCACAGCATGGTACGTGAGCACCATTGTTTAGAACTGGATGCGGTCAGCCACTGGTGGACGAATACAAACCAACATTATTTCCCATTATACCATAACACAGAGTAAACCTAACATGGTTAATTTATAGTTTTCATGCTAAATATTTAATAGCTCCCCACTCCCCAGGAGACTCACCTAAGACTTAGAATTTCCTTGACAAAGGAAGTCTGCCCCGTGTGCAATGATCGGGGCTTTAGATTAGTTGTCAGGGACTACTTGGATGCCAAAGAACAGCCAGGGATTCAATTGATCATCCTGCCTGTGCCACATGCTAAGTGCATTTTCATTATCGGACCACTGAGTCCCACTGTCGGTTCCTTCAGTATAAATGTGAGTGATGGCGAGCGCAGGGCGGTTTGTGGGTGTGTATGGTGATGGAGAGGTGGGCCGGACCCTCATCATAAAACTCCTTCCTATTAGACCGCTGCGCATCGTGGCTCCAAAACACTACGCCTTGTGGCCTCTTTGTTGTCTAGTTAACCTCTAACCCTTCACTGCTCCACACCCGAATCCCCAGACAGACACAACGTGGGAAGCTGTTGGCCAAGCCTCTCATACCTCTACCTCCAATTCTCCAGCCAAAGGCTGATGTGTCGATTGGGAAGGGGAGCAACAAAAGAAAATGTCTGCTGCTCTTTTATTCCATGAATATGTCACATGTTAGGGATGACCTGAGAAATCTGCATCGAAGGGCCTTCAACTTCATGTTTTTGAATTAATCTTTATCCATAATATATATATTTACTAATGACAAAACCTGAGAAAGATTATACTCAGGATCACAAACGTAAAGTCCTATGTTTTTATGTAAAATAAAGGCTCATTTTGAACTTCTTACATTTCATAAATAGATTGATTCAATTTAAATTGTGCATGTTACAATGACCTACATGTAGCTCGATATGCTCTGATTCCGTGTCTCCAGCAGTAGGGGAGTAGCAAGGTTTGGACAGACAGACTCAGCTAAAATAAATAAGCTGACCACTGGTGCCTCCCCTGTGTTGTACTGACATTTACAACATCCAACACGCTAAATGTTGGAACAATTTGCAACAAGGTGTTTGCTAAATAACCCTGGAATAACAATAGAAAGTCAAATGATCCCTAGTGGCCAGAGCTGACACCTGTAATGACATTTTGAGGACACACACACAGACAACTGCTGAAGGAGAATTATTACGTTACATTATTACATTACATTACATGTCATTTAGCTGACACTTTTATCCAAAGCGACTTACAATAAGTGCATTTCAACCACAAGGACACAAACCCAAAAGAACAAGAAACAAGAATCACAAGAGGAGGATATTAAACACAGAAAGAATGAGGGATATTTTCTCTTTTTAGAGCAGCATCAGGGAGAAGCGCATCTCTCATCTGCAGGCAGTGGAAACAGAGAAGAATCATTTGTGGTGCCTGATTGTCTGAACAATTTCCTCGAAATATAAGGAAGAAAATGCAAATGCCTTGTTACTGGCAGCACCACAGAAGCTCTGCCAGCATGTGCGTGGCATATTGAATGATAATGACGAAGCGGGGCTGTATCCCCTGTGAGCAAGCCTGCGGAACAATGATTACAGATTGGCCGATGTGTCCTTAGCCTCACAAGGGACTCTGATTCTAATGCTAATCACAGCTTCCCCCGTTGAAATATATCTGTACTTGCAAGGCAGGAGAAAATAAGATGGAATATCCCAGTTAGGCTGTAATTGTATAATGAAGCCCCGCTTATTTTGATTGCTCACAGGGATGTGTACCGTGTCTTCTGGGAGGCTTAAACCTACTGCACCACCTGCTGGTCTCAGGCGGGTATCAGAGTGATACAAGCTGGTTTGGTTCGAGGGCACCTAAAAGCAATTAGCTGCTGACACGCACAACATGTAGATGTATGAGCTGAACTATAGCTCGCATTATTCCATTGGTTATTTGAGGTGGAGAGCCTTTTAAAAAGTCTCAGTACAAAAGGCACATGTTACAGGATTCCTCCCTTGGTTCAGCTTTTACTCCTCCCGTTGCTCCTTCTCCATCAGACTGCATCAGTCACACCGTCTCCTCCCACCTTTCCTCCTCGAATGCAGTTCTTTTTCATTCTGAGGACAGAAGCAAGAAGTAGAGCGGAGGCACAGTGATGCTCAGCTGCACACCCAGTGTAGGTTAATGGAGGGGAGAAGAGTCTGCGCTCAGGCTGCGATTGGCTGGCCGCTGACGTGCAGCTTCTCCGCAGCACAACCTGTCACTGTTAATCAGCAGCATCTCTTAACAGTCGGCCAGGGCTATCGGAGAGGTGAGCCCATTGCTATTCAGGATGAAATAGATGATAAATCATTTGTACATAATTAGTGCTCAGCAAGGTTACAACTGACATGTATTTTCATCTTAATTAGGAGGGAAATTTGTTCCATTAATTTAATTTGGCGAGCATGAGCGCCTCTGCACCTAACTAAGTTAATCTTACACCTGTCAGGGTGGAAATGGAGTTGGGCCTTGAATCCCAGGGGAGATGGGTAAGGGGCTGCAGCTTTGACCAGCTTCTGCTGAGTGTCGGAGAAAGTAACTGTCATTTATTATTGTACTTCACTCTAATGTTCGGCCATGGGGATGGATTTATTGTGTATGGTGGTAAATACAGTGTGTCGTCACTCACATTACGCACCCATAACATGTAAAAGACGGATTGAGGGAACACAAGGCGGTCTTTTGCAGCCAACCAATAAGGTAGGCATAAACGCTTCTTCATCCTAAAACAAATATTTAAGCAAATCTAACAAACGTGCATTATGGATAAAAACATGTTCCATCATGGGGGCTGGAGGCCGTTCCTACCCACAGCTCTCTGATTTACAGCCTTCCCATATGTCTGCTCTCGCTGCAGTCCAGCGGGCAGGAGGAAGTCCAAGGACGAGGTCTCTTTTCGTTGTTGAAGGCTGTATGAAGCTGTAGTAATTGCCCCTAAGAGGAAGATGGGGAATGACTGCTTTAGAAACTATAAGGTTTGTAATAGAATTCTTCACTGCCTCTTGGGCACTCAAGCTGACAGCCATTACCTGAACTGATGCATAGTCCATTACGGCATCCCTCGCTTTAATAGAGTGTCTATCACGTGAAATACAGAGATGTCAGGTGCCAAAGCATGCACTCTCACCCATGTGTGAAGGTTTAACCCAACTGTAATGGCTTTTCTTTTAGACACTGCTGCATGGCCGGACTACATAGGAAAATCTAACAGAGAAAGAGGAAGTCAAGCACCGACTTGTAAAACGCTGTTGCTCTGTGACCCATAACTGTGACTTTCATTTGGGGCAGTGGGAGCTCGAAGCCGTGGCTGAGTGAAGCCTGACGTCTGCAAACCTCGTGTCCACTGGGCCCTGGACTGTACATCTTTGGAAAAGGTCCTATAACGGGGTTTTAGCCAGCATCTCGTAAAAAAAAGAATCAAAATGAAACACTCAACTCGAGCTGGGTCTTGTTTTGTCCAACGCACAAATATATGCACTTTAGAAAAGTACTGAAAAACAAAAGGACATCACCAGGCATCAACATTTTTTTTTCTTTTTGAAATAATTTGTACATTTTGTTTTAGCTCTATACAATTGCTCTGTAACATATATATATCGTTTCAAAGGTTTTTTTTATGTCGATCCACACAATTTTGGTGACAGTATATTATTGAAGGACTTTTTTTCAGATACTTTAATTCAATTATTTTTTTTATATATATATATATATATATATATATTTACTAATTTATATAAATATATATATATAAATTAGTAAATTACCAATTTGCCTCAGAGGCCTTTACAGGTTGTACACATCCCCCGTCCTAAAACCCTCACATCAGCACAGTAAAAACTCCCTTATGATGAAAAGCCCTGCAATGGGGAGAAAAAAGTGAAGAAACCTCAGGGAGAACGGCAGGGGAGTAAATAGGATAAATAAATAGGAGTGTTTACCCAGCTCAGAAGTAAATACAGGTACATTTCAGATACTTTTATTTTCATATTTTTCTGTATGTTTCACTGCATCTCAGAAGAACTTATTCGTCTACTTCAGCTAGTTACTGGTTTACAGATGCAGCTTTCAACTAATGAAAATACATATTTATACAGTAGATTTCACAGCCCATTAAATCAAGTAGGCAGGAGCACCTTTACCAGCCTAAATATGCAGCAAAGACAAATCACATAAAAATAGGTGTATGTCAACTAAAGTTATAGTAGTATAGCGTTCGAATTAGCCATTCTGCCTAATGACTAGTTTGATACTTCTGGGACAATTTCCTGTTAATACCTGTACCCAATATGCTTCTGGTTAAACACACAACTTTCACCTGTAATTGAGTATTTGACAGGACTCCCTGGGAAGCATGGAGAACAAGGACGGGAGAAGCTTCGGAGAACCAGCTGTGAATGTACCACACCACGATCAGACACTATGCAACCATTAACACGGCTACACAGTCAAATGTATAATTAGTGGGTAAATAAGGAATAGCACGAAATGATTTAATTCACAAGCCTGCAACCATTTATTTCAAAAACCCATCACTACAGTTTACTTCATATACTTGATTAAACACAGCGTAACGTCAAAGGCCATCAAATGCGTCGTCAAATACACAATTCAGAAGGATTAAAGCAGCCGACTGTGTGAGCAGTGGAGAATCATTTTATTAGACTTCACCCGTTCGTTCCCATCATCTACGGTAACGGTCAGTGGGCACCTGCTTCCTCTCCTTCAGCAGCTCCTCCCGGGCCATGGGCTCGATGATGGCGCCCATCTGGGTGACCACCTTCGGCATGCTGATCTTTTTGACCGTCCGCTCAGTGTTCCAGGTGCGTCCCAGCGGAGAGCGGATGGTGCTCTCAAACTGTGCGTGGTTCTCAAAGGGAAAGGGCAGCGAGCTCACCTGGTGGAGGCTGATGGAGGAGTTTCTCTTTTCCGACATGATGACGCTGGGCAGATGGCGATCTTTCCTGGGTGGAGGTGGCGCCGTCTTTACCCTGAACCTCCTGCGTTTGTGGCGGGATGGCTTAAGGCTCGTCCCTCCCCACTCGCCCCACCCAGGAAGGGTCAGGTCAACCACCTTAGGCTTCCCTGCATCTTCCTGCTTCCTCTTGTCCTTAAGGAAGTCTGAGATGACGTCATCTCCAGCGAAGGCCTCTTTAATGAGTCCACTCTGGTCCAGCCCGTCATCACGGTCCTCAGTGTCCTCATTGTCCTCATTGTCCTCAGTGGTTGGAATGAGAGGGACTTTAATGACTTCAGTCCCTTTTGTGAGAACCTCTTTCAGCTCGATCCCTCGCTTCCTCTTTCTGTTCTTGCCCGTCTTTTCAGTTGCAGAGGACAGGGCCGCAGTGTCTGGGGGCTGCTGAGGTGGAGCAGCTGCTTCGCCACTGGGTAAATTCTCCTGACTGAGGAGCTCCATATCTTCCAGAGTCCTAACCCTGATCAGATCTTCCTCCAGCGGAGTTGAGTGGTCTTCACCAGCCTCGGCTGTCTCTGATTCAGCCTCCTGGAGGCTGTCTGCTATTCCACGGAATAGGCTTGTGAACTCTGAGAGCTCTTCTTCCTCTTTGTCTGACACATCTGGGTTCTCTGCTGCAGCTTTGTCCTCCGTATTGTCGTCCATACATGTCAAAGGCGCTGCGTCAGTCTCCAGAGCGTGGCGCAGTTTCCTCCTGCTCTCAAACTCTCGGAGAAGCTTTTCCTCTTCAGTTTCCTCAACTTCCTCCTCATCCTCATCCTCTTCTACTGTATTTCCAGGACCCTCTGCTGTGAGATCCACAGTATTACTAATCTCTTTTTCTTTATGCTCTTCAGACAGCTTCCCTCTCATCCAGGGATTTAAAGAATTCAATACTTGCTCTGCATCATTTACCAGTTCGGGTAGCACCTCTGCATCGGCTTCATCCTTCTCCTCCTCCTCTTCTTCTTCGTTCAGTGAGCTCACAAGCTTCTGGGTCAGCGTCTTGTTTACCTCCAGCTGCTGCTGCATGGCTTTGCGAGCTCCATCGTCATATTTGGCCATGATTGCCTTGGACTTGGCCCATTTGCCGCTGTTCTGGTGCTTCAGGGACATTCTCTCCTGCATCCTGGACATCTCAATCTTATTCAACTCCTCTAAGGCCGAGGCGGGGTCAGCCACCACCATCTCATCAAACTGCTTCAGGAACTCTTTACGCTTTGCCTTGTTTTGGACTTTGTGGTATGTTTTGCTCTTTATCTTCTTCTCTCTCCGTGCCTTGGCCTCGTAGTAGGACTGCAGGGCCCGGGCTTTCTGCAGCTCTGCGCGCCGGATCTTGGCCTCCTCCAGGCTCATCGCCCTCATTGAAGCCTCTTCGGTAGGGGTCAAGATGGGGTCGTTGATGGGCTGCTTGTTGGCAGACAGGACTGCGAAGATCTCCTGCTCCAGGGGTGTCTGCGCCTTCCAGCCGCTCACCACCCTCTCCATGGGTTTAGGGCCTATGGGCTCCTGGTTCAGGGGGAAGACCAGCTGCTCCGCCCTCTGGTTCTGTTTGATGATGCTCTTCCAGCGGGTCACCTCTGTGGCGGCCTTCTGGAAGGCGACATCCCTCTGGATCCTCTGGCTCTCCTGTTTGCTGAGAGGGCACGCGATGGGCTTTGTGCTCCTCTGCAGGTTCTTCAGCTGCTTTTTGGTCGTGGCCGGGACGGCGGAGGTTCTCTCTACTGTCCCGATGAGGTCCGACAGGTCGATCTTGTCGCCCTCCCCGTCCGCATTGACGGTAAACTCGGACATCTGGACGGACGGTTCGGATCTCTCTCCCAGCGTTTTCTTCCTCTTACCGCCGAGAGCGCTGATGGCTTCCAGCAGCTTTTGCCGTCTTCGTTCATCTTCGCCGTCCTCATCCTCACTAGTAATGACTTCATCCGCTTTACTTAAATCCTCCTCGTCTTCTTCATCGTAAACCACATCTGGCGTTACCGCTGCAGTTGTATCCATTGCCTTGACAACGGCTTTACTCACTTTCTTCTTCGAAGCTTTAGCCATGGTGGAGTACACGCCGACGGAATGCAGGGGACTGTATACACGTGAGCCGTAAACGGAGCCGTTGTCGTAAATTAGTCGCTGTAATGCGAGCAGCACTGTCGCAAATTAGATCTTTTCATTTTTTTCTCCCTCTCTCTTTATTGAAAGAACTCAAATAAAAAAGTGTAAGCGATACAGTATAACTGTGCGGGGATAACTGTTTTATAATTAAACTTAATAGGTTATTTATAATTACATGAGAATGAAATTAGTCAGTTGAGCATTTAAAATAAGTAGCGATATATCTTCGGAGTGTTGCACATATTAGATCGGTTAAGCTTGCTCGCGTAAAATCGAGCAGTCTGAAGAGAATTTGCTCTGCTAATTAGATGTAAGGTTATTACGTGGGTTTTAGCTGCTTTGTGTTGTCGTTTCGGTGCGGCCTCTGCTGGCTGAACGGGCGCGTGCATGTGGTGCTCCTAGTGCGACTGTTACTGGCCTCAAACACTGAGCCTGCTCTCAAATAACAGAAAACATATTCTAACGTATCGTTTTGTATGAAATGTATGGAAGCCCATTTCTGCCACAAAAAAAGGGTTAGAAAGTCGAAATTATGACTTGGTTGGTGTCTGCGGTCACACAGAGGTGTCGTTTGTGTTTAACAACCTCTCGCTGACCAGCTATTAACCAGGAAGTCCGAATCTGTGAATATCTTGCCAACTTTAGCGAACTGTAAACGTCCTACGGACACTTGCAGCCACTCACTCCACTCTCATACTAAACAGGGAGGACAGGGACGTCTGACTTAGCGGAGTCAAAATTATCTTCGGTTTTTCCGAGTCCGACTTCTAGGCAGATAAAATACGTTCCGGGTGGTATTCATTCCGTAGTTATCGTGATTAGTGAAGCTTGAAATGTCCTGAAGAGAGTTATCTCTTTATTGAACCAGTGTTGCCAATTTCTCAATGAGGAAAGAAGCTGCAGAATCAGGGGCGGCTTTGCGCATGCGCGCGTAGATGTCAGTCTGGACGTGACGTGTGTCTCCTCTGTGCTCTGACTTCAGCTGGACTGCTGCGAGCCGCCAGGTTTCTGCTTCAGTCACGTAACATCAGACACCACAAAAGTATTCAATAAAACCAGATAAGGTCGCTGGTCGCTTTTGACAAGAAGTCGCCAAGAGGGTTGGGATAGTCAATGTACCAAACAGCGAAGGAGCCTGCGCATGCGCATATCTTAAGTCATACTTTCGACTTTCTACCCCTTCTTTTTTGTGTGGCGGAAATGGGCCTCCGTAGGAAATTGCCCGTCAAATGATCTAGCAAAACAAAGACCACGTGCCCGTCATGTGTTACGGTGACGTCACACATCGCTGCAGCTGATCATGGCGGCGCCTCCGTCGGTTTTCCACAGAGTGAGAAGTGGCTCTAAAGTCGGAGCCCAGTATGACCAGGACGGAAACCTCATTCAGGTGGGGCGCGTTTGGATCCCTTTTAAACCGAGTAAAACTTGGCTGTAACGTCAGAGCTAATAGCTGGCTGACATTAGCTAACGGGGGGTTTGAATGTAACTTAACCGAGTCCCTTAAATATCTGATAGCAAAGTTGAATGTAACCGTTAAAAGGAAACAATTAATATTACTCCAACTTTCCTGGCGCCACGTGAAGGTAGATGGAAACACCCCGTAATAAGTCAACACTGAAGTTAGCTGTTAGCTATCCCAGCTAACGCTGCTAACCGAGCCCCGGATGTGTGTGTGTCCTCAGGTGGAAACCCGAGAGGATGAAGAGCAGAGCGTCAAGCTGTCGGAGATCCTGGAGCTGCTGCTGGCTGCTGGTTACTTCAGAGCCCGGATCAAAGGCTTGTCCCCTTTCGATAAGGTACACTCACGAGCTGTGTGTCCTGTATCATATCTGTTGCGCTTGTAGAGCATATGAGCCGCTGCAGCATAGTGGGGGGGGGCACGACCATTGCATGTCCAACAGTGATGGGGTTTGATAAAGTCAAACTAGTATCACAAGTTCTACTCAACTGTCTTTACTTTTAAGAACTTTTTAAAAATTCAGTGACAGATCACAATCTCTGCTTCACAACTGTAAAGTCGTATGGGGCAATAAACCTTTGTCACACTATAATGTGTATATGTCTGATATGTTCGTTTTTTTTTATTTTTATGATACTATATAATGTATGACATCGTACTGAGAGCTTGAAAAAACAACAACAACCGAACGTCATCTCGTTTAACTTCCGCTTAGTTCACGTCCAATGTACAAATGTCAGCTGTCTATTTCTGAATCTTACAGACACAAACCACACTGATGGCATATAATCGAGTTAAAACACACCGAAGCCCCATCACCGTTGCACATGCAATGATCGTGCATGTAAACAGCATAACCTGCACGTACTGTCGGGGTTATGCGTCTGCACACGCTCCGCTAAAGCTGCTGCCCCCCCCCCCCCACTACGCTGCAGCGGCTCCTATGCGCTCTACAAGCGCGTTCCTGGTTTCAAAACTCCACCAATCCCTCCTAATAGCTTGTCGAAGCATCCCAGCATCAGCTGTCTATTACTGAATCTTACAGACACAAACCACACTGATGGCATGAAGTTAAAACACTCACCGAAGCCCCATTATTAATGGACATGGCTGAAATCCGATCATCATAGTCGACAAGCCGAAGTTGTATTGGGGAGCTCGCTCCTTTTGCTTGATCGCTCCCGATCTAGAATCGATTGCTCTTCCTTGGGTTCCCGGATGTTGCAGTTGAATTTTTTATGGTTCAATTTTTTGCAGTTGAATATTTTAACGTTGAAAAACATTCAGATACATGATTTCAATGCATAAATATTAAGTGCTAGAAATTCGATCACCTTTTTCTTTCAAAATCCGATGGATTTACTTCCATAAACCTGCTCCTGCGACAAGGAGGCATCACGAGACACACTTTGCTTGTCAGGGGGATAAAGAGACACGTTTTACGAATCTTTGAATCGCCATAAATCAATAAACCTAAGTGGCTTCACAGCGTAAAGAGAACAACGGATTCATCCTAAAGTCACCCTCTGGTGTCCTCCTCTTTCCTCTCCAGGTGGTAGGCGGTATGACCTGGTGCATCACCACCTGTAACTTTGACATCGACGTGGATCTACTTTTCCAAGAAAACTCTACTATTGGCCAGAAAATGTAAGTGTTTTTCCGGCAGGAGGGAAAGAAGTGTTTGGTCACCATCCAAAACGGATTAAGGCATGATCAGGTCCAGCGGCGGGGGATTTAAAGAGATGCTGATGCAAAGAATTATGTGTAGGAATGTGTAGCCAATCTGCACATCCAGTACACACAGCTTGCAGTGGTCAGATGATTTAGCAGTTAGACCTTTTCTTTCTTTCTGGATGTGAGGGATCATTTTATCAGGGAGCGGCTTTTTGTTTTATTTAGTTGCTAAAGAACTGCTAAGCAGGGCAGTTGTTTAATCTTCACCTGTCACGTTAGACTTAATTAGACACAATTAAGCCTAATGTAAAGACTAACTTCATGTGACGTAGGAACATTTTTATGAAACTTGGGACATTTCTCTTGATTCTACCATTTGCATCCTTTAAAAAGCGGTGATTATTTTGTATACAGTTACATCAATAAAACAAGTACAAATTCAAAAATCCTTCTCCTGAAAAGCTCCATTCAATGGGAGTCCGCAGGCCAACATGTATTTAACCTATTTTCAGGGTCTTTGTCAATCCCATTTTTGGGGGGGAAGCTTGGTTTAATTAGTCATTCTGGGGACAATATTCATTCAATGATGGTTGCGCCTTTATTTTGCAGAGCACTGACGGAGAAAATAGTCTCTGTTCTACCGAAGATGAAGTGTCCACATTGCCTCGAGCCACATCAAATCCAAGGGCTGGATTATATCCACATTTTCCCAGTGATACAGGTGAGAAAGTACATTCTAAACGGAGACACCAACTATCCATATATTAATATTCACAACAACGTTTCCCCGACCATTTTAATAAGCAGGTGAGTGATAACATTTAGTGTTTAAGTGGTCAGATGACGAGAACAATCTCATCAACCATTTACCCAGTTAGAAGCCGACCTGCACAGAGTGTCCTCTGCTTCGTCCTTGTACCTGATCACATGTGCGTTGCGTCTCCTGCCAGTGGCTGGTGAAGCGAGCGATAGAGACCAGGGAAGAGATGGGCGACTATGTGAGAGCCTACTCCATTTCTCAGTTCCAGAAGACCCACCGCTTACCAGAGGTAACTACACGGTGCTCAGGCACTCTCAAAGCCAGGACTCGTTGTATTGGGTAGTGTAGTGTAGGGCATCTGGATAATGGACAATTTAGAGAGAGTGTGAGAAATCTGTCTTATGTAATAACACAGAAATTACACAATCACATAACAAATGTCTGTTAAGCTCATGAAGTTTATCTGACTTCAGCACACGCTTATAAATCCAAGGTCAAGTCTGTGAATCCATACAATTTATAACCTGTTAACATCAGTGTTTCAATAGAATAAATGTTTTGAGGTGTTTTTGCCTGCAGAATAAAAATAATTCTAAAACAGATTTTAGGAATTAGGATAAGTCAGAATGGTTGAATCCGAAATCAAATTAATGAAATACTTGAAAAAAATGATCAAAGTCTAAGAAAAGAAATAGTGACTTAGGGCCTCATTTATTAACGTTGCGTACGCACAAAAGAAGGCGTACGCCGCTCTCTACGCAATATTTGGTATTTATAAAAATCAAACTTGACGGCAAAAGGTGCGGTCCTTCACGCAAGCTCGGACCCATGCGTACGCACAAAAACGGGTGAAATGAGAACTGTCGGCAAATGCAAGAAACACACAAACGTGTGCGAAAGTGTGTAAAACTAGACTGTTGTAAAAGAAATGGCAATACTGCCTCTAATAAATAACACAAACACCCGATTGATCGATCTGCAGTGTAAAACAAACAGAAATACAAATTAACACATTTTCGAAAAGAAAAGTGAAATATGTTCTGCAATAATATTGGTATGTTATGCAATTCGTCCTCAAAACACAGCTGTTGCTCGTCAGATGCAATCAGATGGACGGTAATAAAATGCCATGATGCCGTCACAATGCGTAATGACGCTGATGGCTGATCTTGCGCTCTTAGAAGATGTGGCACATGGAAGGATTCGCGCTGTAGTGTAGCACACCGTCGGCCTGTTTAAGGGCAGATGGCGATGCCTCGACTGCACTGGAGGGAGGTTATTGTTTACTCCTGAGAAGGTGTGCAACATCGTGCTGCATGTGCGGTGCTACATAATGTGGCACAGCTTCCAAACGTGTCTCGACCCCCTGACGCCGATGTTGGCCCAGATGCTGTCCCCGATCCCCAATCATTGCCGCCAGTCTCTCATCCGGAGGGGACAGCTCCGGTGTAATTTGTGGGCGTTCCACAGACTATATATGGGCAATTATGGGCGTGACATGAAGCCGCAAAAACTGCGCTGCATTTAGAATTGATTGTGATTTATTAAGGGAAAACTGCGTAGGACGTGCGTGCGCACGGTTTTAGAAGTCTGAATATTTCTGCGCGTACGCACGTCCTACGTTTCATCCGTACGCCACTTCTGGCGCAAATCCTACGCAAGGTTTTATAAATGAGGCCCTTAGAGTCTGGTGATTTTTCTTGCACTTATTTATAGCTGCTTTTGTATCCTCTTTCCTTATTTTTCAACCATGTTTGTCTCCTTTCCTATGGAAATTGGCATAAATATTAATTAGGTGAAATATACAGCAGAAAAACAGTATTAGAATTTGAAATGGCATCATGAAATAATGCATTAACCTACTGTGGGAGAGATTTCCTTTTTTGTTTATTATAATGTTGCATGAATATAGTCCTCTAAACACGAGCTGGTTTTGCACTGTGGAACCCTTTGGCTTCTAGGATGAAGAGTTTCTTCAGAGGAAAGACAAAGCTGTGAGAACCGTTCTGGATGTATTGGTGAGTTGCTACACCATCAGGCATCACAAAAACTAAATGAATCTACAGGCCCGGAGAAAAGTCTTTGCTCCCCTTCTGGTTTCTGTTTTTCTAATTGTTTCAGATTGACTTATTCATTTTAGAATTAGACAAAAGATAACCAAATTACAAATTGCAGTTGATAATTTTTTTTTTTTAATTCCCGTAATTAACTGTAATAACTGGCAGCAACAACTGCAATCAAGCATTTGGATGCTTGTCAATTTAAGTTTGACAAATATGCAAAAACATAAGAAACCTGGAAGGGGGACCACTTTTGATCTGCTGAAGTGATTAAGATGACCTGTTATGGTACTTGTTTAAAACAATAGGCAAGCCATTTCTGAGAAGTTAGTCTATTTATTTTGATACTATAAATGGTTGTCTTTGCTGCAAACAACAATGTTCTGTTCAGGATGTTTACAAACCTCAGAGGAAGTACAGGAGGCAGAAAGATGCAGGCGAGCTGCTGGATGAGGAGTCCAGGGTTCACTCCACTCTGCTCGAATACGGCAGGTAAGATTTCACGTCGGAGGGGTGCTGTGTTTTTTCACTTTCTCTTTTTTCTCCAAATATTAAATCCGGAATCCTTAAGAGTTCAGTTCTGTATGATTTTCAAATAAACAGAAAACTTGAAGGTAGCTGGTTACCAAATGAGTTACATGCTTTTATTGTGAAGCTGCAGCAGCAGGACTTGTTGTGTTTGCATCAGCATTTATTAGACCAAAGACCAAAGACTCAACCCCCGTTGTGTTACCTCATAGGGTGACTGATGACAGGGTAGTTTCCAGACATTTCTTAAATTTAAATGGTGGAGAAAGTATCCCTGTCATTCATTTGTTCTCCCATGTATCCTGAAAGTAAACCCACTCTCATATTTAGCGTTGGACCACACTATATCTGCGTAACCGAAATAAACAGCATATCGGATTTGGTCTCAGCGGGCTACCAACCTGACATACACCAAAATAACTGAAGTTGTAGAAAATGTTTTATTTTGTAATTCTGGCAAAACCAACCAACAATTCAGCAAAACCAAAACTTTGTCTTATGAGACACACAGTTCTACAAAATAGTGCTTTTCCATCCTATCAGCAAGCCACAGGGACCTTTGACCTGAACCCCTGTCATGGGCTATTGTTATCTGTTATTCACACATCTTAAGTCTTGTGTGTTATCTGTCTGACATGATTTCTCATTCATCCATCTCCACGTCTTTATTAGAATGTCCCATTTCCTGCTGTAAGTACTGTAGGAGCTGTAAGTACTCGCAGCACGGTGTTCTGTGCCTGAACATGTTCTCAAACTCTCATGGCATGATGGATGGAAACTTTGCTGCTGTTGTTTTGTCTAAACTATGTATCTAATCAGGCAGTCTTGTTGTGAAGGGGGTGGATGTTGTAATCAGACCTGGTGTGTTTCAGAGTATTGGCGATTATGTATTTCCTTTTTTACATCTGACACCTCTCTTTTCTGTGTCTAGGCGTTATGGATTCAGCAAACAGTCCAAACAAGACACGGTAGGCCTGTCAGGCATTTGTTTTTTACAGGGGAAATGTTGTTTTTCCTTGGAGAAGCATTTCATTTTCCATTTATCACTCATCAGCCCAATAGAGTAAGACACACTTTATTCTGCTCCCTCGCCACGCACTCATCCTGCCCCACCACCATTGTTACAGGAGAAGGTTAGCAGAGACATACTGTTTGCAAGGCGCTAAGGTGGCTTCCATTCTGGACAAGAACGCCAGCCGTTTGGCTAAAACACTGCAGCTCTGGAATGTCATCATTCCAGAGCTGCAGTGTTTTAGCCAAACGGATGAGATTACATAGGTCAGGATTTTTGGTTGCACAAAGCAAGTTTGGCAAAATCACCATAGCAACAGATCCAAAAACTTGAACCTACTCCACCACAGGCCAGGTCACCTGGACAAGCTTCTGAGATTTGAAAGCAAGATTTTAGTAGTCACCTTTGCTATCTTAACTAGGAAGACACAATTTTATCATTGGTTCAATTCCTCTACTTAGCCAAATCCTTGTTTGCTTTAATCACCCAATCCGATAATAGAGCCAGCAACCCCACGAGCACAGGTCATCACAACATGTGTGTTGATCAGTCATTGCACTGACGGGGACAGAGCCGCTCCCTATTGCAAACGATTACAATATATCATCAAGAAGTTCAATAACTATTGCCATAACTATGCAGAATAGCCATTGGAAACTAAATAATATAGAGATCTATTAATAATTCAGATAAGTCATCTTGGTTGCCTTTTTAGCAGTTGAAACAGAAAGTAGATTCAATTAAGGTTTTTTAACCTTAACGATCATTGATCTTGACACTTGTTTTTTAAACTGCGTTGTGAGTCTGGCAATGATATAGATTGTGATGCAGGGGAAGACGTCCTTCTCATCTTGTGTGTCCTGTGTTCCCCCCAGGGGGACCAGAGGAAGGCTTCGCTGGCCAGTGGCTCTCAGGCAGCGGCCCCCAGGATGCCAGACCTGTTAGACCAAGACCGCTTGCAGGTGGTGGAGGAGGTGAGCACTTTCTGCATTATATACATAAATAGCAGGAAAGTACACATACAAATGCGATTTTTTAAAGGCTAGAGACAATATGAGAATGTTTTTTATTCATGATAAATTATGAAAAAGTTCTATACATTGAATGAGAATATGCTTTTACATTTACCGTGAACTTCTTGCCTTGAATGTGATGTAGGTGTGGTTGTTTTTTCTCTTAGATGCGTATCGAAACACTCATGACCAGCATGGCTGCCATGGCAAATGAAGAGGTAGACAGAAGGCACTTTGTTTTATTTTTATTTTTAGACTAGTATTGGATCACCACATTATTCTCCTGCTTAACTTCACAAAGCTGATCCTACCTACACTTTTATTCATACATCCAAGCTCTTTTTCTGGCCATCTGGTCATTTAATCCTTTTTATCTCCATATTCACTGAACAGGAACACGAAAATGGCTAAAACATTCATGTGGAGTGTAGAATTAATTATGGTTTTGATTCAATGTTGTCCTTGCGCAGGGAAAGCTGACTGCGAGTGCAGTGGGCCAAATAGTGGGACTGCAGTCTGAGGAGATCAAACAGATCGTCTCGGAGTACGCTGAAAAGGTGAGCACCAATGCACTACACTAAGGCCTAATGTTTACAGACCGTGTTCATACCTCCTCCCTAAACGAGCTTCTGCACTGTAGAAAGCACAAAGCAGTTAGTACAAAATGCAGGTTTGAAAGTACCACACACTTTCAAACCTGTCCTGTTTCCCTGAGAATAGAAAAGGGTCCTTGACTCCCAGTGAGTGGATTTGAACAGGCCTGTTGCAATATGTAATATATTGACTTATCGCATATATAAGAAAATGAGTGTGATCATTTTTGGTGGTGCGATATTCATTTTCCATATAAATGAACCAACACGTTAGTCGATCGCTTCTGTTGTCTGAGGCGGAGCTTAAGCCTAGTTTATAGTTCTGTTTTCAGAGAAAGGAAAGGACACGCACGTGAATCTCTGCTCGCACTGGAAGGTGTTTTCTACGCGCTCGCTGTTGTTCTTTTTGACAGTAAGGGGGCGGAGCCAATCACCATGGTATCTACATCTAATTGGTTACAAACCCCGTCTTTGGATTGGCTGAAGTTATGCATTAACAGAACTGTAGAAGCCCATTTCCGCACTAAAATGGAATAGAAAGGCGAAATTATGAGATAAAACGTTGTCAAAAGACAAACGACACCTCTCTGTAACCGTAATGGACCGTAGATGACAACCAGCTACAACCACCTACAACCATCATTACCGGCACATTGAGACCAGTACGTCCAGCTTGCAGACCGCTCCGTATTGGTAAAATGAAGTCTTAATCTGTGAATATCTTGCCAACTTTCAATACGAATCGATTTTTGGAAAATCAAAATAGATATGCACAGGCTCCTCCAAAGTTGGCAAGATATTCAGATTCAATGTGCGAGCTGGACGCATCGGATGTTTACGCACGTGCATCAACCAGTGATTTGCTGCCATACTCATGCAGCCCGCAAGGCTGTGATTGGTCTGTTAACTACATCCTTTCTGGAGTCTCACATTTATGGTTTCGTAGCATGATACCATTATTTTTAAAAGGAAGATTTTTTGAAGAGAGGAAGGTGATTGACGAGCTTTTGTCGGAAGAAATACGGAAATATGACCACTTACACCACCAGTCATTGGCGGACTATAAGGACGCTCAGATGGCCTCCGATTCATGGAGGAACAAAAATGTGATATTGTAACAGCCCTAGATTTGAATAACAATCTTTCTGCTACTTTTCTTTTCTGTTTGCATTTTGTTGTTGCAACTGCCTGTGCTGCATTTCCCATATGTCTCTGCAGCAGTCGGAGCTGTCTTCAGAGGAGCGCTCGGAGCGTTATGGCCCGCTGCAGCAGCACCGCAGGGCCGTGGCCTCACTCAACAAACAGATCGAGCAGAAGACTAAAGAACTGGTCCAGGTCCGCTGTCAAACACCTCATTACAACCAGAGCCATAAGAAACCAATGTGTACAATACATGGGTATCTTCAACAACAGGGTCCACATGTAGAACACAAGGCAGAGACACACGCAGCACCTGTAGTATATGCATTCATCATCAGGTCACCCCGCTTTCACCTTTCCACATTTTGTCATGGTATAACCACTGATTGAAATTTATTTCAATGGAAAAATACACCCACAGCTACAATGCTATGGTTTAGATCAAAGCATGTTCATGTTTTAAAGTGGCCCAGTCAAAGCCTGCACTTCAATCCAATTGAGAATCTATGGAAAGATTTAAAAATTGCTGTTGACAATCTGACTGACCTTGAGCTTTTTGCCAAGAAGAATGGACGAACATTTCCATCTGTAGATGTGAAAACTTTTTTGTTGACATTCTTGTTTATGTCACAATAAAAGGTATTTTACACCTTCAAAGTACTATGCATGTTGTGTTGATCAAATGGAGGAAAAAAATCGCAATTCTAGTTTGTAACAGAACAAAAATGGGGGGAAAAGTCCTGGCGGGTGAATACCTGCAAGGCACTGTATATATTAATACGTATTTATGTTTTTTGACAGCTACAAGCCAAGTATGAAAAGGTGAAAACGGGCTGTGACGATGCCAAGAGAAATCTAACTGAGGTAAGACAGTCAGGATGCCTGCAGCTTTGTAAGCGTGCGTGTGCTCGTGTTATACTGGCAGCCACGTGGAACAATGCATAACTGTGCACAAAATAGAATCCACATTAGTTTTTCTAGCAGCTGCCCCAATCTTCTGTCATTAACAAATCTCCACAAATCACATTCATTTGGTAGCTTGCTAATACCTGAAATTCCTTATCTCATGATCTCATGCAATGGACACGCTGTACTAAATAGGACATTAATATGACTTTAAAAGGGGAGTTATTCATATTCTACTCAGCTCATGCAACCCATTAGATGAGCAATGTGCCAATAGGCTACGGCTAAGCAAGCCAGATTTGACTACTATTGACATAAAAAACAATTTAATACTGTATTTAACAAGACCGACTATCTACTCAGCCATTTCCAAGCTTGCATTATACTAGCAAGATCAAGTCAATAACATACGACCGTTGACAATACATCCTGTCATGGTCCCCAAATCAGTGTCAATATTGACATAAACAAATGAGCGCGCACGTGTACTGTCCGCCGCAGCCAGTGAGTAATTGATGGGATTACTGAAATAATATATGTTTTATTCATCAAGTGTTCCCTGTTGGACATCACATTGTTGAATCAAAAATATTCAAATGTATTCATTTTTTGAGAGTGAACAGACATTTGAAGTTGATGATGTAGATGTCCATCGTCTGTAATTAAAGGATACCCTGCAGCCAATCACAATCAAATCATTTTAAAGAAATGAACATCAGGAAACATCTTATAGGATGAACACTGGCAAACTGTGTGTGCTTCCTGTCAGGCTAATGAGCACTCCAAGAAAGTGGTGAGAGAGCTGAAGAGTTTGGACGAGCTGGAGGAGCAGGCGGACATCGGGTGAGTACTATGACACATCAGTGCCTCCAATCTGTTACCTTCTCCAGCCACAGACGGTGACTTAACTCCCCCCATTGCCCGGGCTGTCCACGGCTGGGGGGGGGGGGCGGGGGATTTTCTGACGCGCTCTGTCTGTCTCCGTCTGTCTCTCTGTCTCCGTCTGTCTCACTCTCTTACTCTGTGTAGAAGGAAGGGATCGTTTATTCATTTATTTATTTTTTGAATGGCCACGCTGTTGGAGCCAAAAGCACATACGGAATACATCCCCTTCAATCACAGGATGGACATTTGGGTTGAAGGAAAGGAGACCCCTCCAGTATGCATGGCTGGATAGTGGTGACGGGCAGGTGGCACCTTGCGTGATAGTCCGTGTTACCAATGGGTTTGGTTTGCTCCTCTGCACACGGCTAACGGCCCTCCTATTCCAGTGGACATGGGCACCATTGAAAGTTTCTTACATACACACCTGTTTATCTCTTCTCTTCCACCACACTACATGTTATCATCCACCCATTGACATCCATTCCTACATTGATGACAGGGGCTACCATACACGGAGACACCTGCCCGTCAGGAGCTCACACACACACACACACAACTTAGTCCAGCATCCCGCTCATGGACGTCCTGTCCATATTATAATGTTTTGTTGTGTTGAACAGCTTGCTGGAGAAGCTGAGTGCTCTAGTGACCACAAATGAGAACCTTAAGCAGCAGGAGCAGGAGTTCCGCACACATTGCAGAGTGAGTACATCCACACACGTGTACACGGGGGTTCTACTTCCATCTGAAGCTGATGGGTGTTTGTACAGAATACAAGGTCACATACAGATCACAAATGTCCTCTGGAATGTGTGTCCAGGACGAGATGGCCCGTCTACAACAGAACATTGAGGAGCTCAACCCGGTGTCGGGACAGGACACAGAGGAGGAGAAAGTATTTTATCCATTTACTGTATAAAAATCTCCATAAAGCTTCTGCCTCGGTTTACTTAAACTGGACTCTTCTCCTTCCTCCTCTTTTCTAAGGAGAGGAACCAACTGATAGAGAAACAGCACAGCACAGACCGAGAGAAACTACAGAAGATCCGTCTGCTCATGGTAACTTCTTCACATAACACAGCATGAGATTAGATCGAACTGGATTTATCGCTGTGGGACATGAAGTCACAGCAGCAGATAAGTTTACAGACAGGAGAGACACTAAATGAGGGAACTGGAACTATTTCACAAAAAACCATCACATCGTGGTTTGTTTTCTGCCACATTTCCTGGGAAAGTATTACTTAATTCCATTAACATCAAAGCTGCAGCTACTGTGTATATCATGGGAGCAGGAGTTTAAACAAAACCATCATAAAATAATGGTTATGGGATAACAGCCTCTCTGTAGACAAAAACAATTAAATCTATTGGTTTTATTTAGTAAATATTTCTACATTCAAGGTTCCATAAGCTTTTGAGTTTGAAATGCTCTCGTCTGTGATGCTTCTCTGTTCAGGCTCGGAGGAACCGAGAGATCGCCATCCTGCAGAGGAAGATCGATGAGGTGCCGAGCCGGGCTGAGCTGACTCAGTATCAGAAGAGATTCATCGAACTCTACAGCCAGGGTGGGTTCGTCCTCAATATCAACTCTAGCCGCACCTTGTGCTAAACGTCTTTTAAAAAGCAGAAACAAAGACAGTAGCTCTTCTTTCTTGCTTTTCAGTTTCTGCAACACATAAGGAGACCAAGCAGTTCTTCACGCTGTATAACACGTTAGACGACAAGAAGGTTTATCTGGAGAAGGAGGTGAGTCACCACAGCAGACAATTCAGGAGATGAAGTCCAGGTCCAATTTAGCTTTACATTTAGTTTGTCTCTCACTTTAGCAATTCTGTCCTGAAGCTGAGAAATTAAGTAAAACATGTTTTACATGCATTGTTAATATTAATTAGGAGCAAAATGGTCTTTCCTTTCTACAGGTGAATCTGTTGAATTCCATTCATGACAACTTCCACCAGTAAGTATGATGCATATATTTGTGTGCATGAATTCTGTATTTCATGGAATAATGTGGCAAAGCCTGTTCAGAGAATGAGCTCTAACGAGACCTCCTCCTGTCCAGAGCCATGTCGTCTTCAGCAGCCAGGGAGCAGTTCCTCAGGCAGATGGAGCAAATAGTGGAGGGGATCAAACAGAGTCGCATCAAGGTACAACCCTCTTCAAACTTTTATGGTTGTAGGTTGTAAACGCACTCATTCAGAGCTGGACACTCGTCCTCGACAAGCAAAGAAGAGAAGGAGAGGGAGCGAGGTCGCTGAATGAGGAGAGGGAGAGGGAGCGAGAGAGGGAGCGAGGTCGGCGAATGAGTAGAGGGAGCGAGAGAGAGGGAGCGAGGTCGGCGAATGAGGAGAGGGAGCGAGGGAGCGAGAGAGCGAGGTCGGCGAATGAGGAGAGGGAGCGAGAAAAAAAGCAGTGAATAAGGGCTAAGAAACGTTATTTGAGGATTGTTTCATAATTATTAGGTTCCAAAGAACATACACTGCTTAAAATAATTAAAGTAAGACTTTGAGAACACGGGGGCCATGGGGTCAAGGATTTCATCCCGATCCCTACTTGCAGTCAGACTGCCATTCTCTAGCCTGTAGAGGTCTGTGAAGTCTGTCTTTGCACAAACAATCAGAAACATTCACACCAGTGGCTGAAGGTCCTGTGCCTCCTTCCACAAAGCAGCAGATATCAATCCTGCTGATGGTTTGAGGACCTGCTAAGCCCTGTCCTGCTCTCCTTAAGTAACCCGTCTCGTGGAATCTCTGGATCGTGCTGGGAGACACATCACAACTCCTTGCAACGGCACACATAGATGTTCCACCCTGGAGGAGTTGCACAATCTGTGCAACTTATGCAGGGTTAAGAAATGGCCTCATGCTCCCAGTAGTGACGATGACTCTAGCTAAAGCCAACACTAATGGAAAACCAGTCCAAGAGATTAAGAGGGAGAAACTTGAATTGGCCTCCACATGCATGTTGTCTCATTGTTGCCCCTCTTGTGCACCTGTTGTTAATGCCACTACCACCAATGCAGCTGAAAGTGATTAATAACTCCTTCTGACCAGATCAATATCAGAGAAGTATTGGCTCCATGCCATACCCTGATGAAAGCTTAACACCTCCACCCAGCTGCTGTCTGCTGCTTGTAATCTAAGCGATACACTCAGCAGCATGTGCACATAACTACACCGTAACAAGGCCCCGTTGTAGAGCTAACGAGAAGCTTTTTCCGAAGGATGTGAGGCTGGAGCCCCGGCACGAGACGCAGTGGGACGTGTTAAAGCGCCGGTTTGTGATGTGCTCGGCAGGCTGCCAAGCCTGTGCAGGGTTATGGGCTTTAAGGTTAATTTTAGTGTGTTGTGTACAAATGATTTTGCAATTTCACATTTTTGTTTTAATAAGTCACGCACGTAATAATAGCTGTGGTGCCACATGGGAGTCTAGAGAAGGCTTCTTTAACGACAGCACATTATTCCATTTTTAAAGGATAATCCCACTGGGTGCAACTTCATTTTATGTGATGTGTTGGCTGTTATTACTTCTATGGTTATGATAACACGACTCACTAAGTCGGATGAGGAGCTCGGGGGACATGGCCAGAACCCGAGCAGTCACCTGGAAGGCAGAGTGTTTCAGCATAGTAAAGTGGGATCGTCTTTCCATCTCGGCACAAGCCGTCGTTGTGATCTCTACTTCCTGCTTGTCTGCTTTTCCAGATGGAGAAGAAGAAGCAGGAGAACAAAATGAGGAGAGATCAACTGAACGACGAGTACCTGGAGCTGCTTGACAAGCAGAGGCTTTACTTCAAAACTGTCAAAGACTTTAAAGAGGTGAGGACGCTTCGTTAGTTGTGGGCGAACGAGAGGACCGGTGTAGCTGCCTTCAATGAAAGGCACTACATACCTTTACAATACAAGCGGAAGCAACTACTTCCACTAAAAGGCGAAGCGTTGTATTCGTCAAGTAACCTGTTGACTCACTTGGTAGCACAGCACGTGACTTGGTCCCACCCTTTTTGGAACATCATAGTATAGTACTCTGTAGTACTGCACACGCACTTGACCTTCTTAATGTCAGTGTTTGAGCAGTATGTTTGCACTACTGTATTGTAATTGTGTATTTCTGTGGACACTTGTTGGTACTACGTGATTATATGTTTTGTTGTTGCAATGATGTATCCAATTGGTAGCTGTTGAGATGAAAACCCATCTGCGATAGAGGATGATCTAGCAGTGATGATGACAATTCTTCATTTCTTTCTTGTCTCAAGGAGTGCCGCAAAAACGAGATGTTGCTGTCCAAGTTGAGGGCGAAAGGAGCCTCGTAGATCCTGCACAGCCGCATGATGTCTGAGTTAATCGATCGCAGACTAACAGAATACAAATAGTACTTGGTTTTTGGAATATTCCATACTTTGTTTAACTCTTCTAACTTGATGCCTCTACTTTAAGATTACTGCACATTACATTTACAATGTGCTGAATCCAGCTGACTGAATGCCAATAATTGTTCAATTAGAAAAAAAGAAGCTCTTAAAAATGTAATGTGTTTTGTCCACAATCACCACAAATTACCAACCACGTGCTCAGCATCTCGTCAGACCATTTAAAAGTGTTTTTTTTGTAACTAATTAAGAATTGAACTTATTGAATTAGTTGCAGCCCTGTGACCAAAACCTGAAATGTTTTCTTTGTGTAAAATCTAATCTTAACTGGACCAATGTTGACTTTCATGCCTGACCTAGAAAGCTGTACAGAATCCACCCACCTCTTTGTTGATGGTGAAGTGGGGCTGCTTCAGAGAGGGCTACTTGAATATGTGGTTAGCTATATTACAGGGTTTTTAGGAAAATCCTCAAATTTGTGAAAGTATGTGAAAAGTTTCCTAGTGCAACTTGGAACATCAGTCTTTGTATGTAAAGTTCTTAATGATGATGCTGTTTGTATGTTCCTCTGAAGTTCTAATTCACTTCACGTCTTAGATTGGCCTCATTATCCAATAAGGATGTACAACCACCATTTAATAAATAAACATTGTTCTATTAAGGATTGAAATGCCTTTGCCGTTACTCATTCAGATAGGATGTGTTCTGTCAGACAGCGTGTGCTGATTGAAGTTATCAGACGTCACATGCGGAGTCAGTGAAGGAAACATCCTGTGTTACCGAAGGACTTCAAATCTCCACCTGCTCTAACACAGTATAAATGCCCGTATACATACAGGCATTTAGTCCTCATAAAATGAACCTGATCAAAGTTAAGACCCAACAAAATAAGAGTTTGAGGTGGACTCTTAAATATCAGATCTGTCATCTACAGCAACATTAGTAAATGAATTAATCTCAGATCACCATGTTGAAACCTGTCAAATGGACAATATGTTGGCTTAAATGAAGCAATTCCTCCAAATGTTAATACTCATATTCCTCATTGTTTTAATCAAACCCTCAAATTGGTTCTCATGTTGGGTTCTCTATTTAAACACACTTTCCAATACACTTCACACCTTCACGTGTGTACAGTATTATATGTTTGCCTGTGCACTTTGTTTTTATTTGTGTTATATATATGTGTTATATTGTCTTATATTCTATTGTTAATTTAATTGTAAATGCATCTCTTTTGTTCAATGCCATGTAAGCACCAAACACATGACAAGTTCCTAGTATATCCAACATACATGGCAAAAAAATGTTTCAGATAAATATGTCAGAAGACTCCTGTGAAAACTTCAGATCGCTCCTCTGGAAAGGAGAATGGTAAAAAGGATGTTTGCTCCTTGGTTTAACCCTCAAACCCGCAACTCAAAGCCAACTGTTACTTTAAGAGAACAGGTAGTATCAAATTCTAAAAATATAATGGGTTTCAGCCCACACATATTTATATCCAGCAATGTAATGGCATCCATGGCACGCGCCAAGGTGCAAGAGAGCAGGTGAGGCTTTTAAAATGCACCTGTCCATCAAGAAGTCCTCTGTGCCAAGCTGGTCCGGCTTGGAGATGTGATGGACACTCCTGTGAAAACTGTCAACATCATTCAGGCAAAAGGGCTCTACCACAGAATTTCAAGCTTTCTTATCTGATGTCGATGCCAAATACGGGGACCTACTCCACCAGAAGGATGTGTGCTGGCTAAGGCACGGATCCGTCCTGCAGCGGCTTCATTCCTGGGATCAAATATCGACACGCTTTTGAAAGAGAAGGGCCGACCTCTAAGAGCTGAGGGACCCTTTATGGCTGGCAGACCACGCTTTATAGATGATATTGCTGATCATCTTAATACACTGAATGAGGGACTACAAGGCAAATAACAGCTGGTACCACAGCTGTACGCACACATGAAAGCATTCTGTGCAAAGCGCAAAGCTCTTTGAGTCTCAACTGCACAACTTCATCCATCCATCCATCGTCAAACCGCTTATCCTGCACACAGGGTCGCGGGGGGCACCAGTGTCCATCCCAGCCAACTTCGGGCGATAGACAGGGTACACCCTGGATTGGTCGCCAGCCAATCGCAGGGCTACACAGAGACACACAACCATTCACACTCACATTCACACATCTACGGGCAATTTAAAGTCCCCAATTAACCTGATCCCCAGAGCATGTCTTTGGACTGTGGGAGGAAGCCGGAGAACCCGGAGAGAACCCACGCAGACACGGGGAGAACATGCAGACTCCACACAGAAAGGCCACTGGGCGGAATCGAACCCAGGACCTTCTTGCTGTGAGGCAACAGTGCTAACCACCACGCCACCGTGCCGCCCTCTGCGCAACTTCAATGTAGCGCAATTCCTCACGCTGTCCGAAATCAAATTTCCAAAGGCCGAGTTCTGGGAGAATATGCGTCCGTGATCACGTCTCTCATTCGGAATTCATTCAGCACTTCCAAGATTTTTCTCTATTTGCTCTGATGAGACGTCACACAAAAAGACTCACGTTTGTTAGGCTCAACATGCCTGCATGTGTGTGAGCAGACGTTCTCTCACTGAACTCCAGAACCAAAATGACCAACAGACCTTTTCAAACATGTTCAACTATCAATTGATATTTACCTGCAATTGATTGATTTCACTAACATTAATCTATAAGAAGCTACAGTATAGCTCAACTCTAGTGAGGGGTCAAATCCTTCGTGTATTTTTCTGTGGCCCTCGGGAAAAAAGTTTGGACACTCCTGTCTAAGGACAAACTGAGCTGCTCTCTTTTTCTATAATAGTTCACATCTCATTGATGTTTTTGTTCTTTCTCTCCTCACATGGTGGTATGCGCAGACATACAGTGTTTTTTCCTTCGGTGGTCCTTCCTGACATCCACAGCTACTGTCACATTCCTTTTGCTGTCACCTTGTCATAACTGGAACAGGGATCCCTCCTTTTCCGCTCTCCTTAAGGTTTCTCCCTTCAGTCATTTTACTGATTTGATTACTCTTATTCAGTAATTTATTGGTCCATCATTGTCCTTATGTCTTCTCATAACTGGGTTCTGGAGATGAATTGCTGTCAACTTATATGATTGGTTACAGTAAATAGACTTGAATAACATGAAACAAAATGCCACGTCCATATTGGCTTAACACTTGAGATTGAAAGATTAATCTGAAGCCCCTAACAGCTAGAAATTTGAGCTTTCATCGACTAGATTTAACCTATTTACTCGGTTTATACCACAACGTCTTTTTTATTTTATAATGACAATGTCCCTGTGCACAGCCCAGTTCTTTATGGAAATTGTTTCCCGGTTTAGCCATGTGGTGGTATTGTCAGGCTAGAAAATTAAAGTCGTTCACTTTCAAATACAGTCCTGAAATGTATGTGTTTACCGAGTGTGTTCTTCTGTCTCAAAGTGTTTCCCTTTTCCCATTATCAGCTCCACTCGCTCTCCAATCTCAGTGATTATGATACTGAACAGACAGTTTGCATGTCTCTCGCCCGTCAGAGGCCCGATAAAAACATGTTCATGTACGCAGGCTACGGCTAAATAGTAAAGTGTCAAAGTTTGCATGACTACTTTAATCCGTCCTGAAGTGGTTGAAGCAAAGCTGTCAAGCGGATAAGTCAACAGTTTACTGGGTTAATTTATGTTAGTGGATATAAGGCGAGCTGCAGAGAGCCTCACATGTGTTGAGGCAATTGTTTGTATTATTACTGACATGTCACTGATAATGATGGAATACAGTTGAGTATCTCCCTGTCAATCAGAGGCACTGAAGAGATAAAAGCAAGAAGTATGTGTAAAGGGGATGAGCAGTCAAGGCGGTGGAACTCAGAGTTCTCCAGAGTAAGAGGAGAAGCAGGACAGACACACTCACTGGTCCCAGGATCGTCAGGGGACATGACCATCGGAGATCTTCTGATGGGTTTTATTATGAAGGTTTCCTTGCTGTTGCTCTCTGTGTTCCAGCTGCTCCTGGTTTTCAGTGAAGGAGCCAAGATAGAAAAAGCAATGGTTTCACTGGAGGACCATGGTAGTCGCCTCCGAGGCCTCTGGAAGCTGCACATGAGGGACGTCCTGCTGAAAGGAAAAGGTAAACCATCACACAAACTCTTATGCCTTTCCTCCAGAATGGAAACCAGACATTCTCCTAAATATTTAGCTGCTTTACTTCAGCTGCTTTACTCTTCAGAGTTTGTTTCGAAAGCTATGTCTGATATATCAGAGGTGTATATAAAACAGTATGTTGTTGACTGTAAACCAACTTGAAAGTCTCTTTTCTTGAAGGACAACCCTGCGCTCCACTGAGCCACAGTCACCCTATAAAACCTTTGTTAGCTATTGATGTATCTATTATTATTAATTAGCTAGAAATGTGTTTTAATCATCATTAATCTGCAGCTGTTGTTTGATGGACCTGGGCCTCTTGTTGATGAAGTGATTTGTAGAGATGGTTGTAGGAAATCCCTGTTCTTAAGTAACACAGAACATATTATATATGAATTGATATATTACATTAATATATATATATATGTAATATATATATATATATATATATATATATATTATATATATAATATATATATATATATATGTAATATATATATATATATTACATTAATATATCAATTTACATGATTAAAAATACAGATGAATGTTGAAAGACAATCAATCTGTTGTTTTTTCCTTCTGCAGCCAATCAACTAGTGAACCAATTTGTTGTCAAAACAATAATTTCTCTCGTTTGTAATGCAGCTTCTAATCCTCGACCAATCGGAGGAGGGATCAAGCAGCAGCTGCTGTACTGCCGTGTGGGGATCGGCTACCATCTCCAGATTCTGGCCAGCGGCTCTGTTGGAGGCGTCCACAAACCCACTGAGCACTGTGAGTCCTGTTCTATCACATGACTCCATCTCAACACCCATGTCTCAATGATTTTGTTGAACATGATTTTTATTTGCTAGTTTTTAAATCCTGGCTACGCTTTTGTCCATGTTGTTCTTGGGAAAAACACTTATGTCCAAATTGCTCCCTGTAAGCTGTGACTATAGTGTTTGAAGTTTAGTTACTGATGGGCAGGTGACACTGTGTGTGGTAGCTCCCATCATCAGAGTATGAATGGGTGTTTGTAGAAAAGTACAGACCATTGACCATGTCCTGTGTATATCTTCATCTCCTCAAGGTTGGCTCAATGTGTTTGCTCTCAAACATGGAGTGGTGGGAATAAAAGGAGTAAAGAGTGGTTTGTACCTTTGTATGACCGGAGAAGGACTTGCCTATGCAACGGTATGCCGGCTCACACCACAAACACAGAATACAGATGGATTTATAATAGAGCTTCCTAAATAACCTGAAAAATTGAATCAAATAGTTATTGATTTCATTCCAGTTCTTCCTGACTTGTCTTTTCCAGGAGCAGTTTTCTGACGAATGCCTGTTGAAGGAGAACCTGGAGGAAAATCACTACACCACTTACTCTTCTTGGTCTCACCCAGGAATCTATCTGGCTCTTTCCAACAAGGGAGAGCTGAGGAAAGGCAACCGTGTGGGCCGCCACCAGTCCTGCACGCACTTTCTACCTCGGAGGAAATCATGATCACGGCCCAATTAGGAATTCAAGCCACAGACTGGAAATTGGCCCCCACACAGCATCAGTTTCTGCAAGACTGCAACATGGAACAACCAAAAATAGTAACACATTCAAGAGTGTTACTTGCTATATGTAAGGGCAATGAACAAAGCACAAAAGCTATGTGACTCATCTACTCATTCTGCCACAAGCCAACTTGCTCAATACATGACATAGTCTGAGGCTTCCCCAACACATATTTATTGCTTGTGGGGCAAAGCAGCACTGTGTTAATTGTGATGGTATGGACTCTACTATCGAACACTGAGAAAAAAACACTCAACAGTAGCTGATGGCACAAAAACATTGTCTGGACTTTTGTGATGTTTTCAAAATGGCACAGGCATGATACGGATACTGAAACCAATTAGCTTTATTTGTTTGTCCTCAAACCTGCACTAACCAATACCTTTTTAGTTTGTAATGAGAACAAGAATTGTCTGTATTTTTGTATTGCTTCTATTTATTCTTTACATTTTAATTTTTCTTAGCGTAGTTTACTAATTGTTTCAGAACATAGTACTAACCTATTCTCACTTTCAACTCTTCCAATACTTATAGTTAGAAAATACCCCTCGGCATTTTTTCAGTTTCTGTACCCTGCAAACCTAAAAGTAAATGTTGACATTTCTGGGTTTGCTGTGGCTCAGAAGTAGAGCGTGTCACCTTCCAATCGAAGGATTACCATTTAGATCCCAGACCTCCGGTCCGCATGTGTCTCAAGACAATGAACCCTATCGGTGTGTCAATATACATTAATATGGATAGCTTTATTAGCCTGATGAACATGTGGCCCCTTGGTGTGTATGAATGTTTGAATGATGTAATGTAATAAAAAATACAGCACTTAAGAAGGTGGGGAGACATGAGTCGCCGGTTCATGTCAGTGTCGTGTGTAAAGTTAACATTCAATACACTGTTTTCCTAAACCTAGGACATAAACCGATGTGTAAAAACGTTGTGAGTTTATTTTGAAATGGCACTACAAGGCAGCAACCTCTGGTTCTGAAAAGCGGATGCAAGGTGAAAATGGCTTAAACTTCAATTCAATTCATTTTATTTTGTATAGCCCAAAATCGCAAATTATAAATTTGCCTCAGAGGGCTTTACAGTCTGTACACATGCAACGTCCTCTGTCCCGAAACCCTTACATAGGCACAGGAAAAACTTGAAAAACCCTTCTATGGGGAAAAAGGGGAAATAACGACCACCAGGGGGCAACTTCATCCATCCATCCATCCATTGTTAAACCGCTTATCCTGCACGTAGGGTCGCGGGGGGCTGGAGTCTATCCCAGCCAACTTCGGGCGAAAGACAGGGTACACCCTGGACTGGTCGCCAGCCAATCGCAGGGCTGACACAGAGACGCACAACCATTCACACTCACATTCACTCACCTACGGGCAATTTAGAGTCACCAATTAACCTGATTCCCAGAGCATGTCTATGGACTGTGGGAAGAAGCCAGAGAACCCGGAGAGAACCCACGCAGATACGGGGAGAACATGCAGACTCCACACAGAAAGGCCACTGGGCGGAGTCGAACCCAGGACCTTCTTGCTGTGAGGCGACAGTGCTACCCACCTCGAGGGGGCAACTCCTTTGATTTAAAAGATATGTCAGCTTGTATGTAAAGTCTAAGAGAAAATAACTTCTCACATGATTTATTACCTGAGTAAAAATGGACATGATCTCAATATTTTGCAATACTTTTTCAGTACAGCATGATGTTCATTAAGTAAATCATGGTTTTTGAAACGTCAAAGAGAGGGAGCATGCTTAATGGGGGGGGGGGGGGGTGGGGGGTGTACTTTTTGATGGACGCGTCTGTAGCACGCAGCCCATAAGCCGGATAGTGACATCCATCCATCCATCTTCAGCCGCTTATCCGGGGTCGGGTCGCAGGGGCAACAGCTCCAGCAGGGGACCCCAAACTTCCCTTTTCCGGGCCACATCTACCAGCTCTGACTGGGGGATGCCAATGGGTTCCCAGGCCAGTGCAGAGATATAATCTCTCCACCTAGTCCTGGGTCTTCCCCGGGGCCTCTTCCCAGCTGGCCGTGCCTGGACACCTCCCTAGGGAGGCGCCCAGGGGGCGTCCTCACCAGATGCCCAAACCATCTCAAGCTTCTCCCCCTATCTTTAAGGTCAGCCATTCTCCTGAGGAAAACCATTTTGGCTGCTTGTACCCGTGACCTAGTTCTTCCGGTCATGACCCCATCCTTCATGACCATAGGTGAGAGGGTAGGAACGAAGATTGACCGGTAGATTGAGAGCTTTGCTCCGGCTCAGCTCGCTTTTTGTCACAACGGTGCAGTAAAGCGAGTGCAATACCGCCCCCGTTGCTCCAATTCTCAGGCCAAAGTCACACTCCATCTTTCCCTCACTCCTCCCCTGGGGTAAGGACACATTCCCTACCTGGAGTAGGCAATCCATCGGTTTCCTGCTGAGAAACATTGCCTCAGATTTAGAGGTGCTAATCCTCATGCAGACCGCTTCACACTCAACTGTGAAACGCTCCAGTGAGAGTTGGAGGTCACAGACAGAAGATGCCATCAGGACCACATCATCTGCAAAAAGCAGCGATGACATCCGCAGCCCCCCAAACTGAGGATCCTCCTCCCCCCGACTACGCCTTGATATCGTGTCTATGAAGACCACAAACAAGATTGGTGACAAGGCACAGCCCTGGCGAAGACCAACCCCCACCGGAAATGCCTTCGACTTACTGCCGAGCACCCGAACACAGCTCTCACTTTGGGCGTATAAGGATTGGATGGCTCCAAGCAAGGACCCCCTCACCCCGTACTCCCGCAGCACCTCCCCCAGTTTCACTCGGGGGACCCGGTCATACGCCTTCTCCAAGTCCACAAAACACATCTAGACTGGATGAGCATACTGCCAAGCCCCCTCCATGATCCTGGAAAGAGTAAAGAGCTGATCCGTCGTTCCACGACCAGGACGAAAACCTCATATTCCCCTTCAATCCTTGGTTTGACTATCGGCCAAACCCTCTTTTCCAGCACCTTGGAGTAGACTTTACCCGGGAGGCTGAGTAGTGTGAGACCCCTGGAGTTGGGACACACTCTCTGGTCCCCCTTTTTGAAGAGGGGTACCACCACCCCGGTCTGCCACTCTTTTGGCACTGTCCCAGACTTCCATGCAATGTTGAAGAGGCAAGAAAGCCCCCCAACACCCATTGCTTTTAGCATCTCTGGACGGATCTCATCAATCCCCGGGTCTTTGCCACTGCAGAGTTGTTTGACTACCTCAGTGACCTCCACCAGGCAAATTGACGATGATCCCTCCTCCGCCTCTACCAAAGAGGGCGTAGTAGTTGGATTCAGGAGTTCCTCAAAGTGTTCCTTCCACTGCCCGATAACCTACTCAGTTGCGGGCAACAGGGTCCCATCCTTACTGTACACAGCTTGGATGGTCCCCGTTTCCCCCTCCTGAGGTGACGGATGGTCTTCCAGAAGCACTTTGGTGCCGACCGAGAGTCCGTCCCCATAGTTACCCCAAACTCCTCGCAGACTCGCTGCTTTGCCTCCATCACGGCAGAGGCTGCTGCCCTTCAAGCCTGTCGGTACACTGCAACTGCCACCGGACTCCCATATATATATCATAACCCGGAATGCCTGATTCTTCAGTCGGACGGCTTCCCTGACCACCGGTGTCCACCACGGGGCTTCGAGGGTTACCACCCCTTGATGCGCCTAAGACCTTGAGGCCACAACTCACTGCCGCAGCTTCAGCAATGGAGGTTTTGAACATACACCACTCTGGTTCAATGTCCCCTACCTCCACAGGAATGTGAGAGAAGCTCCATCGGAGGTGTGAGTTGAAAATCTTTTGGACCAGGCCTCCTCCAGATGTTCCCAGTTCCCCCTCACTAAACGCTTGGGTTTACCAGGTCTGTCCCGTCTTCCCCCGTCCTCTGACCCAGCTCACCACCAGATGGTGATCAGTTGACAGCTCTGCCCCTCTCTTTACCCGAGTGTCCAGCATGTTCCGGTACCATGTACACTTATGAACATCTTTATGTTCGAACATCCTGTTTATTATGGACATTCCGTGACTGGCACAGAAGTCCAGTAACAAACAACCGCTTGGGTTCAGATCAGGGAGGCCATTCCTCCCAATCACGCCTCTCCAGTTATGTCATTCGTCGCCCACGTGCGCATTGAAGTCTCCCAATAGGACCTTTTTAGAGTCCCCTACTGGAGCCCCATGCAGGACTCCATTTAGGGTCTCCAAAAAGGCAGAATACTCTGAGCTGCTGTTTGGTGCGTATGCACAGAAAACAGTCTGAGTTTTCCTCCCCACCACCCAAAGGTGTAGGGAGGCGACCCACTTTATCCACCGGGGTAAATTCCAATGTAGCAGCACTCAGCCGGGGACTTATGAGTATCCCCACATCCGCCTGGACTCTATTCTACCGTAGTAGAATAGAGTCCATCCCCTATCCATGAGTGTGGTTCCAGAGCCGAGGCTGTGCGTAGAGGTAAGCCCCACCAGATCAAACTGATAACGCTCCACCTCCCGTACAAGCTCCTGCTCCTTCGCCCCCAGAGAGGTTACGTTCCACGTCCCCAGAGCCAGCATCTGCCGCCCAGGTCTGTTCCGTCTAGACCCCCCACTGTCACTGCCACCCATGTAGCAGTGCACCCGACCCCATCGGTTTCCCCCACAGGTGGTGAGCCCGTAGGGAGTCCGGTTGGTGACGTCACGATAAAAACATTCTTACTTAGAGGATAGGATATTAACTTGTTCTAAACTTCTGATTTATGTTGATGTGTATATATTTTTTTTTCCATTTTGCAAGGTCAACACCAATAGCCACCAGCTTGTAGTTTGACCTTTCCCAGAATAAGTAGCTCACTTAGATAACTTGGCATAACATGTAATAGACTTCTGCTGTAACAGTATCTGTTGCCTGCTCTCCTATCCTTTAATATTTTATTACATGTGCCATTGTCAGAAATAGTTGGTCCTCCTCTGGCATTAAACTCAGTCAGTTAGCACATGGCCATGGAGCCATGGCTGAAACTGAAAAAGAAACGACTGAAATGACTGATGACCTGCATTTCTTTCAGTATTTAGGATAGCCAATCATTTGACGTTTCTGTATACCTCTTAATTACAGTAGGGCATAAGGTTGGCGGAACATGTCGGATTATTAGCCGAGGGCTTGAGATCTAGATGTCTCAATCCTCAACCAATGGACAATTCATGAACTGTCACAGATAAACATAACTATCTACAGTGCTCCTTGCTGAATAAAAGAGTATAACTGAACTGTATAACTGGTATACCTGATGGCTTTATTGGCAAAAAGCAGTGCAGCTACTGTGCTGTGTCCAGGCAGTCACCAGCAGTTCCATTCTCCTCCGCCATGCCTGCCTCCTGATCCGAGGACACGCAAGGGACACATAAGTATGTAACCCTATCCACAAAGTGGGAGATGTAGGGTCATCTGATCCTCAGTCCAAGAGGTAGCACTCATCTGCTCAGGTGTCGCTTTGTACCAAAGAGTAGGCACGGCAGGAGGGCAGCTATTAGAAAGAAAAAGAGGGAGAAGAAAAGAGCAAAAAGAGTGGAAGGAGAACAGAAAAGGGGAGGGTGACATAGTGAGTTGAGGGGACATGGTCTTAGGCAAAGGACAGTTGAGTGTTGATGATGGCACAATGACAAAAAACTTCACAGAGACCAGTAAGTTGAACAATATTAATATAACTAATACAGCCTTTTATTTATTCTTAACTTTTTGTTTGTCTATTTAATCTCTACTTCCTTTTTTCTGTACCTTTCCTCGATCAATGTCATCTCCACTTATCCCACGGTTTCCATTTCATGTTTTGCAGATCCGGCTGCCAACACTGCTCTTCCTAGCACCTCAACTCCTGAAACAGTAAGTTTTTTTTTTTGTTGATAGTAATTAGTGATGGAACAATAGATAGAGACATTTTTTTGTTTGATTTCAATGTGAATTGATTGGATGTTTGGAAGGGTTTGGGGAATATATTGGACTTGTTCTCATCTCTGTGGATAGTATAGTGTATCATGCAGGTGGTGATGGTGATTTGGTCTTCAGTAGTAAGCAGTGGTGGTTGGCCAATAGAGGACGAGGCGTTGCCCCACCTTGAGCCCAAAGAAAAAGAAAAGATAACATTAAATTATAAAAAGTAAATAAAACGTCCTGGCTAAATGTCAGGAGATTGTTGGCACTTCAAACACAGCCGTCAAATGATGAGAGTTAAGTTGCACGAGGACAGCAGGAAGTCGTAAGTTCAACATGTATAAAAAATAGAATTAGGCAACGGTGTCTAAAATACACTCTGTCTGAAGTGATTACTCGTTAATTTATAGTATTCAGTACGTCCTTGAAATCTTAGTCGTAGTCATGAGATCTAGATGCATGCTGTTAAATGAATCAGTCATATGGAGTCAGTAGAATCAGTTATTCTCCTCTCGTTTGCTGTCATTTAGGAACCTACGACAGAGAGACCCCAACAACCGGACCCCTCCGGTATAGAGGTGGTTTCCGTGACGGAGGAAGACCTCCCCACTGTCGAGACCCCCAACACACTGAACATCAGCCCCCTTGACAGCTTTGTCCAATCAGAGAAACAATCAACCAAACTTGGAGACCCACAACTTACAGCTATACCTAGCCCCACCATGCCGATTACTAGGGTGCAGACATTTATCAACGGTGAGACCCTGTGAAGTTCTTGAGTAAACAGTACTGCAGGACACAATGGAAATATAGATTACAGCACACAACTACATTGGGATCTGCTTGACATAACATAATGTGAGTCACCCACTGCTTTTAACCAGAATAATAGTTCTAGGTCTTCCAGATTGAGTTTAGCTCTCGGTTCTTTGAGAACAGTTGTTTCATTACCTTAAATGCAACACTTTAATTTAGCTTTTACGCTTTACCTGTAAAGAGGTTTGCAGGTAGTTGAGCTGTGTTCAGACACTAAACAGAAATAAAGAATATGAACGACCAGAAGACATTTACATTACATAGAGTTCTAAGTTGTTACACAGAGGGTTTGGGTTACATTGATACAATTCATATATACAATACAATACATATATAAGTTTTCCAGCTCTGGAATCATGTTGGCAAGTAGCGCGTGAGGGGGGCAGGGTCTTGAAGGTGTTATTTTCTAAATATAGCGTCAGATGCCAACAGAAGTCCTTTAAGGTTCTCTTTCCTTTAGAGCAGGTCTTTACCTTCTTATTTTAGTAAACGGGCTAAAAAACGTTGTTTTAAATGTTATTTATCTAATGTCATTTCTGTGTCTTAATGGTCGCGTGTTGTACAGACACTGTAGCCGACCCCAGCCGGACAATGATAAAGCGTGCTGATGTTCCCAGAGGCCTTTATTCGTGTTCATCTGTCATCCTTTTATTTTGATGAACACAAATTTCTTTAGAAAATACTGTAAGCGCATTGTAACAAATAGAACATAAATGAGCTCTTACAGGTGTCAACATTTATTTAAAATTACATTAAAATATTTATGTGAGCAATAATTAAATATTGCTCACATTAATATTTTCTCAGCAAATGTGCAAAATGAAACCTAGCTTTAGCTTAAATGACGGTTTAGTAATTTAACCATACAATACATTAGCATTCAGTTCGAACAATAATACATAAACAAAATATATTGTCCCCATTCCAGCTAAGTGCTCGGCCGTTAAGGAATTCTTATTGCAGGGTAATATATTAATAACACTTTACTTTTGGAGTTTACTTTTGCACCGTCAATTCATGTGCTACCATTACCATGGAGCACATGAATTATATTTCAGGTCTAATGTCATAAACGCTTTTCGTTGAGGTTGTCGAAGCTCTTGTTGATATTTGAGCTGTGTGCATATTGTAACATATAACAAAAGGATTTTGCCTTGATAGAGGATGACTTGGATAAAAGCTGGAGGAGCAGACTGTTGGCCCAACGCTTGGAGCTGCTAATCGCTTTGTGCTTCATTGTGGTGGTCATTCTTGCTCTTGCCATTGGCCTTGGAGGTAAGGAGCTCAGTATTGTTTAAACTTTGTCCATTTGGCTTTACTGGAGTCACTGGGACATCTGCTGCTTTTTCTCCAGCAATATTTAATGCAGCCTTTAATTGAGGATAGCCATGCGGGAAACACACAAGGGCAGGTAGTGAACTTAGCTGAAATGAGAGGGACAAAATAAAACAGTGAACGCCGAGAGAGAACAAGATGTAAAAGAGCAACCGCCTTGAGCTCAACAGTGGGACAAGCTCACATACACTGAATGTCTCTATATTGGGAAACACCATTAGTAATTTGTCATTGCATTTGAGTTTGATGAGCTTCTTTGTCCGTTTTCCCGTTTCTGCCTGTGTGTATCTACAGTGGGTCTAAGCTGTGTGGGGAAGTTTCATTGTGGCTCATCGGCTAAATGCATCAGACTGGCGAAGCAGTGTGATGGAGAGGTGGACTGTGACAATGGAGAGGATGAGCTTGGCTGTGGTGAGACACACACACACACACACATATATATGGTATATACATACACATATATTACAGTTCACTATGTATAACACAATTTCAGCTAATTAATGTTGTACAGCGCTAATAAGAAAAATGACACTTTCTATATATTGATTGTTCATCTGAGAGTTCATGTGATGATGATGGTTTTTTTTCTAGAATTTAGACATCAACTCAGGGTACAGATAAACAATTGTCAAATAATAATGGGGCAAATTCTTACCTGTTTATAAATTAAAGTATTTTTACTGAACTAGAAAATGCATTTCCTGCAGAAAATGCATTGGAATGCTGACAGCTAAAAGCTGAACTGAATTTTTAAACATTGCTGTTAATACAGATATCAGAAGAGCTAAAATTATTTCAAAAGAATTGTTGAAAATACAAAAATGGGAGAAGCTGAAATGAATTTCATTAGATTTGCTGAAAATACAGAAGTTGCAGGAGCTGAAATTAATTAAAAATAAATACAGCAATATTAATATTTTGACTTGTATTAACCAGTCAAAATATTAGTAGTAGGGTTAGTAATGGTAGTAGAAGTATCAGTTGTAGTAGTACTACTAGAAGTACTAGTAATATTAGTAGTGGTTGTAGTAGTCTTTAAAAGAGCAATATGTATTTTAATGATTGATATTTTATCCTGAGCTTCATGGTTAAGGTACAGATAATCATTGAGGCTTTTATTTTGAAACAATGGAATTGGGTGAAGGGAAGGAGGGGTTGGGAGACAGAATGTTTTCCCTTCAAACTAAGAAGTTATTCATTGATAGGCCTCATCACAAACATTACAGTAAAAATTCCCTCCATGGGGGATTTACCTTGAAATTATGGAATTGGGGCGGTGGGGAATTTGGGGGTTTAGATAAGATAGTTGAGGAGGTAAATAGAAGAGATTTCTTTTGGGGGAGGGAGCAGGGTTAGAAAAGAGGAGGGATTGAGGGATGGGGAGGCATCTCTTGGGGGGGGGGCAGCAAGGGAGGGGGTGGGCGTCTGTGAGGGGGTGGGAGAGGTTGATAAAGTGGCTGGGGGAGGAAACAGGGTTAGACATGGGGAGGCAAGGAATTGAGGGAGGGGGTGGTGGATGGACTTCTGTGATGGGAGGAGTTTAGAAGATGGCTTGGGGGGTAAGGAGGGTTGAAAAGGGGGGGTTGAGGAATGGGGCGCCATTTCTTAGGGGGGGAAAAGGCAGAGTTAAAAGGGGGGGGGGGGGGCGGGGAGAAGGAAATTTGGGGGGCGGCTTATTTAAGGGGAGGGGGGTTTAGATGGCTGAGGGGGTGGATAGGAAGGATTAAGTTAGATGTCGTAGTCTGTGTCTTTTATTCAAGTCCTGTCAGACTGCACTAATCAGCTAATCACAGACAGCCACAGACTGCAGCGCATGGGAGTATCCACAGTAACGGCGCACCTGCAATCATTAACAAGCTGCCCAAAGGGCATAGAGAGACAGCGATTTACACAGAATCCACACCTCAAACAAGTTGAATTAGCCAAAAAACTATCTGAGTCAAATCCCAAAAATGATGAGATTTGACGAGACCCAAGACTCTGACGAACGCGTCCAGGTTATTTACGTCTCTGCGGTAATAAATATGGCTCTAATGGCAGTTGACAAAACGTGTACCTTCTGGGGTTTTTTTAGAAATATGTCAGCAGATTTGTATTTGATCCTATGGAGCTTGTGTTGTGTGACTCTCGGGACTCAGGCCAAAAGTACATTTTCTGTGGGATTCCATAGCCATGTGACTACAACCAGCACAAGCATGCCATCATTTTTATCCAACAATGAAGCCTGACGAGTGAATATTGTGACAATGTTGGCAGAAGAGCAATATTTTTTTTACCTGATTCTGACACTGTTGCACTCTAGATCTTCAGCCTTCACTCTAAGAAACGCAATGCACACTAATGTAAACCAGACTGAAAAACTAATGAAACATAATCCGTAATTATGAAAAAAGTAAAATAGATATCAACAAGCTGATTTTTCTAGACTTTGGTGAACATTTTAAAGTTTAAATGGTGTCTGTAGCTGAAAGGTTGACGCATTGAAGCAGCAGATATAATTTTCAAAAGTCTGTTTAATTCTCAGATTTTGTTGCACTGTTGCATTAATGGTTTTAACTTTGATGAAGTTATTTAGAATAACTCCTCAGTTGTTTACCTTTGATTTAATTAACTGTGTCCGTGGGGTAGACACAGCCCCTATTGGGGTAATTATGGTTTGGGTGAGTGACTGTTCGGATGGAAGCGCAGAGTGTGTAAGACTCTGCTCCCTGGTCTGAACCCTCCTAATCAGACCAGGCTCTCCCCAAAACGTCTTCCAGTGACCAACAAAGCCCAAATTATTTACTGGGCACCACCTCGACAACCAGCGGCGAAATTATGACATGCGGCTTACTGATCAAGTTTGGGAGGGGGCCAGAGAAAACTACAGTGTCCAATATTCTTTTAGCGTATGTACACACCGATTCCACATTAACTTTAGTGTCCTCCGAGCAACGTAATCATTACGTCGACGTGAATTACAATCTTGTACAAACTGTATTTACGTTTATCTCTAGCCAGCAGTTTAAGATAAGACTCAATGTTGCCCGCTCTGGCCCCCGGTATACATGTAACTATGGTCCCTGCTTTTGCTAACTTCACGTTCTTCAGAATGGAGCTACCTATCACCAGAGTTGACTTCTCTGCGTGTGTGTCGCTGAGTGGGGAGAAGCGGTTTGAAACGTGAAGTGGTTGGAGCTTGGAGCTTAACCCTCTGAAGACAGTGAAGATGGTTGTGGATTTTAGGAAGAATGCAAGCCCACCTTCCCCCATCACTCTGTGTGACTCCCCCGTCACCGCTGTGGATTCCTTCCGTTTTCTGGGCTCCATCATCACCAAGGACCTGAAGTGGGAGCTGAACATCAGCTCCATCATCAGAAGGCTCAGCAGAGGTTGTTCTTCCTGAGGCAGCTGAAGAACGATGATGGTGCACTTCTACACGGCCATCATCGAGTCCATCCTCTGCTCCTCCTGATGGACCGTCTGGTACGCTGCAGCCACAGCCAAGGACAAGGGCAGCGTGTCATCCGCTCTGCAGAGAGAGTGAATGGCTGCAATCAGCCGCCCCTCCAGGACTTGTTCGCTTCTAGGACCCTGAAGCGAGCTAGAAAGATTATAGCAGACCTCTCTCACCCTGACAAAAACTGTTTGTGCCCCTTCCATCTGGCAGGAGGCTGAGGTCCATCAGGACGGAGACCAAACTCCATATTTCTTGCACTGTCTAAATTTGACTTGTCTTATTGTTCAATGTACGTATGTCAGTACCAACCGCCATGACAAATGTATGGCTAACATACATTGCAAATAAATGTTTCTGAATCTGGTGGCAGCTCAAAAGGATAGAAGAGCAAAATTCCTCTTCAAATGAATATATTCTATTATATATATTGTAAAGGTAGTTAGGGCCACCTAACTAAAAACAAGGCAAAATTAGAAGTTTTATTCTTCAACAAAAATAGTCAACTCAAGTAATCTCTTCAAACAACAAAAAACATCCATCACCAACGAAAAGTGTCCCAGAAGAGAAAAACAGTTCCTTAAAACAAAACTCAATCCAGCTGGCAAGTTACCAGCTCTTTCCCAGGCGTAGGGCCTGTTCCCAGTCAACTCTCTCCTCTCTCTGCTCTCTTCTAACCCTAACCCTTTAAACTCCCCAGCCCTGCCTCAATTAGGTGACTTAAACACCTACAGCTGGATGATTGTTGAGGGAGAAAGAGAGATATATAGAGGTAGAGATAGTTGCCTGTGAGGGTGACACAAGAGAAAGATTGTTAAACTTATTTACCACTATTTTTGTAATATAATAAATGTTGAAAGTTGATCTACAAATTAATATAGCGTCGTTCATACCGTTATGTTTTTTTTGCTAAAATATATTGGATGTCTCTACCCAGTCATACTGTTTTTTGTACACCAAATAATTGGTTTGAATTCTGAAACGTACACCACATGTCATACACTAGTTAGATGCACTGTTAGAAAGTGATTCCAATGGTCCAATGGACAAAAAATAGCAGTCATCCAACTCAAACAGTTTAATAAACTATCAGTATGTGGCAGGTTGTGTCGGTAAACGGCAAGCTGGTATGACAACGGGCTGTGCTGTCACAAAACCAACGGGTGTTACTGAGGTCACACGATACAAATGAGTCATTTTCACAACAAATGGGCACAAATACTGGAAGAAGAATGTGAGATGCAGTTAAAAGCTAAGAAGATTCCTGGTCACCTAACATAACTGCATCTGTTTTATTCTCTGTGTCTCAGTGCGTCTGAGTGGAAGGAGCTCGGTCCTGCAGGTCCAGAGAGGGGGGGCATGGAGGACAGTGTGCTCAGAGGGCTGGAACAACTGGCTGGGGATGTCTGCTTGCAAGCAGCTGGGACATTCCAGGTTTAAACTGTCAATCAAATCCCTCATTTTCTTTTCCACGTTGTCTTTTCACTTTCTCAGCTCTATTTACATGTTATGGTGTGATTTAAGACCCCCCTTTTGTTTATCTTGTTGTCTTGATTTGATTTGTCCTGGACTGTCCCCATCTGTCCACAGGAACATAACTTAATCATTCATGTATTATATATAGAAATGTATACGTGTATACTAGTACTAATGATCTAAAAATATAACTTTTCCATCCACGTATTTGGCTTTGAGGTGTGTACACTTCAGGTCAGGGTCTATTTGTTGAGTAGTTGTAGATGACCAAGTTGATGTTTGCGACAATTCTGGTGTGGAATCTAAAAAAACACTCAATCTAGGTGATGGTGTATTGAGACAAAGAGGAAGAAGTCTAGCTCTCTATTTAATTAAGGTGGGAGGAGAGCACGGACAGAGCTCCTGTCATTAGTTTGTAAATGGGTGAACGAAGACATGAAGTGTTAGGGTTAGGGTTAAGAGCTTTGATTGGTTAGAAGACTAGAGAAGAGATATACAAGTACAAACCATTTTCCATCACTACGCATATGGTAGTAAGCCATTTTGTGCCTTTTAAGGATGAGGGACAATCGATTTTGAGATTGTGTCTTAGCAATACAAAACCTTTTAGGAGATTCATTAATGCAATCATACTGCAATCTGAAATCATATCATCATGAGCTGTACATTGTGTTTGTGTTGCTGTGTGTCTGTCAGGTATATGGAGTCGTTCTTCGTGTCTCTGGCCTCCATTGAGCAAGACCTTCAATACAGCCTGGTGTCCATCAACCTGAGCCAGTCACAGATAATTCAGCTGCAGAATGCCACAACCTTGAGGTAGAACACACACCCCAAAATAATTAAAAACATTGCAAACTAACAATGCTAATGGTCAGTGACACTTCAATTCTATTAAAATCACAAATTTGCCTCAGAGGCCTCAGCAAATGCCTCACATTTGCTGAGTTTCTCTGTGATCTCATCTCCACAGTAAGACTCAATGCAGCTCCGGGAGGGTGACCACTGTGAAATGTCTGGGTGAGAAAAGAATGGAGACTGAGTGATCCTTGCTTTTTCACAATTTTCTTGACAATCTAAGGTTGAGTCAAGAGGAACATTTGTTGCATGTTTTTATGTTCTTGCAAGTTGCACGGCATGCAAATGAGTGTCTCTTCAGTTCTCAGAATGCATGAAGGTAAGCACAAGTGTCTTGCCCACTAAGACACACCGATACATTTTTGCCACAGCGTCTTCGACTCCACCCGCAAGGGTAGGTCCCAGGTTGACAGCCACACCCTCCGACCCACCTGGCCGGAGCCTGGTGAGAAGGTTTGTGCCGGTTGCACACGCCTTTGTCAACGCCAGCGTTGACAAATTCTTTGGTGTCCTCATTAAGTGAGACTCACCAGAAACGGTGCCGAAGGACGTCCTGAGTCCTTTGGAGGCCCGGGTGATATAAATTTCGTGGAGTGAGCCCCCTGTAGAAGGTCCTTCCGGAACAGACTACCCGGCTTGGCCCTCCGCAGCAACTCACTGAATCGTCACTCTCCCAGGTGAGGACGGCTAATTAGCAGGAGGCAGGAAGGATGGACTAGGACGCAGATGAAGGCTCCTTCTCCCCCCTGTAAGTGACAGGGAGGGCATCAGGCTCGCCATTGCAGGACACAGTGCGATAGGAGAGCGTGAACTTCAACCGGGTGAAGAATAATGACCATCTGGCCTGTTTGGTACTCCAGGTTCTTGTGGTGGGTCCACACCAGAAATGGGAGCTTGATCCCTCCAACCATCGTTGCCACTCCTCCAAAGCCAGCTTTCTCGCTATTAGTGGATCTTTTGGTTGTGCGGTGGAACAGAACACCCCCGACCCCTAGTGTATGTCGGAGGCATCCCCCGCCGGATTGCTCTGGAATCCAGGAAAGTTGAAATAGTATGGGGACCCTCGGGTAATAGCAGTCAGGCGTGGAAAGGTGGTTGCTGACAGGCGGAGGATTGGGAAACAGCTCGGGTCACCAGTACGTCCTTCCTTTACTGGCGAGCCCCGGCCTTTTAACGGACAATTGTATGCAAAGCAACCCATCTGGCCACAGTACATGCAGAGATTTCTCCGTCAGCGCCGCTCACATTCCTCTGTAGATAGTCCAGTACGTCCCACTTGCATGGGTTCGCGGAAGCCACAAAGCTGATGTGCACTCCGGAACAGTCGGATGAGCAAGGCAAGGTGGTTGCCCCCCGCTGGACGGGCCCGACGTCTTACCAACCATCCGACCTGGATGCGGCGATTCAAATACACAAACTTAATCGTGCCTTGGTCTGGAAATCAATGGCATAATCCGTGACAGAACAGTGGCTCTGCTGAAGCCTATTTAGTCCTCCAGTGACGTCCGGTCCTAAAGACGACCCTCCGAAAACCTTGCACAGGTCGTCAAAGAAGGAAGCGGAGGCAGGAGTACGACAATCCCATTCCGCTGTTCCACACAGGCCAGCTCTCCCTGTCAGGTGGTTCACAGTAAATGCCCCCCTGGCGCTTTCTAACATAAAGGTGCGGGGCGGCAATGCAAAGAGAATGGAACATGTTGTTAGTAATGCGTTGCACCCCTCCGAGACCACCGTAGACGGCCATGGATCCATCCCAGCGGGGATTGGGGATTGGGGCCAGTGGCGGTCACCACGCATTGGTCTGAGCTGTGGCCGCCACGAGCTGCTGTACCTGAGTGATCAAGGTGGTGAGGATCTGGTTCTGATTGGTCAACGACGGGTGAACCTTTGTGGTTTGGGCGACCACCACAGTTTTATGTTGCTAGATCGCTTCCTTGCAAACCGGGCCTGTGCGATGGTGTCGTCTACTGGATCCATGTTCCTCTAGACCAGGGGCCTCGAACTTCGGCCCGCGGGCCACATCCGGGGGAATGCGGTGCGGCCCGCCGCCGACGACGACTTTGGCGTACCGTCAGTGCCACCTCCCCCCCGTTGATCGTACCGTTCGGCCGTTCGGCTGTATAGGTTTTAAATTTTTTCCTTTAGACTTTCCCCAAGTCAGGACTACTTATATAGTAGAACATCAGACAACAAAACATCTTGTTTTTAGCTCTCTAAGGTACGATTGCTTGTATTTGTAGGTAAAATAAAAAGTAAATGTACTGACCACATCACTTCACAATCTAGGATCAAATTCATCACACCTTAACCACTTGTTGTCCAATTCCCTAGGGCATGACTTTATCAAATTATACTTTTGCAATCAGATTTAGTGGAACGGAAATACCCCAATAACCTTATATCGAAAGTATACAGATGTTCATAAATACATTGCTGTGAAGTGGGCCAATCCAGAGGAAAACAACATCAGAACAGTCTCGGAATTTAAGTATTTTATTCCAGTAAATTTACAGTGTCCGAATTAGAAAATGTAGATTTACCTAAAAATGTTGGCTCCTCAATTTGATTAATTGTATGACCCTGATTAGGGTTAGGATTAGGGTGCTGTTGTACTATTCAGTCTTAGAAGAAACTTGGGAACACATAAGTTACTGACTGATATTCAATAAATGCAAAGATAAAACCATCAGCTCATGGCATTAACGCAGTGCACGTGAATTACTGTGTTTGGATTCATGCTTTAGGGGTTCACACGCCTATCTATGACTCCCCATTCATCTGTCCTCAGAGTGTGGTTCCAGACCCCAGTACAACACTCGTATCGTTGGCGGTAACATCTCCAAGCCGGGTCAGTTCCCCTGGCAGGTCAGCCTCCACCTCAACAGTAAACACGTGTGCGGAGGCTCCATCATAACGTCACGCTGGGTCCTCACTGCAGCACACTGTGTGTATGGGTGAGTTGCTTGAACTCAATCTATCTACACATGAAATGTTTTACTGTACAAGCATTCAGAAGAGAAGAAGAGATTTGTATTAAGGAAAATGACCAACTAGTTTGTGAAAAGGGTGAAAATCTAATTAAAGTTCCTCATGGGTATGATTAACAGGGAAAAGTAAAAAAATAAAATAAAGGAAAACCGCCTTCTCTGTCCAATCACTTAATTCTGAGGACCAGGGATTTACATCTGGGCAGAAAGCTGCACAATCAGAAGTGTCTTCTGATTGTGCAGCTGTCAGCCTTTAAATGAGAGGAACTGATAATGCGATGTATGGATGTGTTCATTTGAGTCACTCTCTCCCTATTGTGCGCTTAAAACAATTACACTTTATTAGGAGCAATAGCAAGGCTTGATAGGATTGTATGGACCGCTAGAAGAAAACTACAGACACTACTAGGATTAAAAGGGATACTATCGCATTTGTTGTTTCTGATAGGAGAGGTCACAGTTGATCTTCGCCCAAATAGATACTGCAGCTGAATACTAATCAAGGATAAGGCAGGAATCTATTCGGTGCTCCTTGGTCTGAGAGTCTAATTCTAAGGAAACCAGTTCTTGGAACTCCTAAGAACTACTCTGACAGCAAACCTGACAGCAGATAATACAGGGAAACCCAATGGGAGTATATTAGAGGGGCAGTATATTATATATAGCGGGGGGGGGGGGGGAGGAAGAAACCATAGCGAGAACTGCAGAGGAGAGATACCTCTATCAGGACGGACAGAATGTGATGGATATCATGTGTACAGAATGAACAACGTTAAGGATTTACAATTTATTATAGCAGAATAATAATTCTGATACTAAAGATACTAATAATAACATTAGCAGATGTAGTAGATAAGCACGGATAACAAATTGGTGTTATAAATAGTAATGTGACTAATAATAATAATGAAAGTAGCAGAGGATGTCCGGCAAGACTACTGCATGAACAACCACCATCAGCTAGAACCACCATCAGCTGGAACCACCATCAGATAGAACCACTATCAGATAGAACCACCATCAGATGTAACCACCATCAGATGTAACCACCATCAGCTAGAACCACCATCAGATGTAACCACCATCAGCTAGAACCACCATCAGCTGGAACCACCATCAGCTGGAACCACCATCAGATGTAACCACCATCAGCTAGAACCACCATCAGCTAGAACCACCATCAGATAGAACCACCATCAGATTGTCACAACAGGGTGCCGGAAGCAGAACTCAAATGCAGATTTGCAAACAAAAGGTACTAAAAAATGCATGGAGGCGGGAAACTACAAAATAAAACAGGACACAAACCCACACTGTGACACGGATGTAGCCACCATCAGATATAACCACAATCATATATAATTTGACTTCTAATATACTGCCCCTCTAATATACTCCCATTGGGTTTCCCTGTATTATCTGGTGTCAGGTTCGCATACCCTTCCATGTGGGTGGTCCACGTGGGGCTGACGGAGCAGCCTACCCACGGGGCTCAGTCTCTGGCAGTGGAGCAGATCATATACCATACAGGCTATGAGTCAGGAGAGGACTACGACGTTGCACTGATGAAACTGGCCACGACACTGCCTTTTAATGGTATTGATTTTTATTTTCATTGCTTGCTGAATACTTACCTTGTTTTAAACAGTATCCTGTTCTTTGTCCATACACACAAATGCATCCCGGCAATTTTACACACTCAGAAGTGACCAAAAGATTCAGTTTAGTCCCAAGACTATGAGGTGTCCTTTAACAATTCACGTCAAAGTATGGTTCAAATCAGTGATTAAGCCGTCTTAGCCGGATAAGGTTAAAAAGCCAGGTGAAATGTAAAAAGGAAAAGCATTCATGGAACTGAACTGACCCAAATCACTTGTATGTCAAATATACAATGGCAACATACAAGGTCAAACCTGTGGCATTTGTATAACACTTTCAATTGAAAACCAGGAATCAGGAATCAGGAAATACAGTCAGAACATAAAGGCTACATCAGCAGCACAAGCTGCTACATTCAATGTAAAAAGACCACCACAGAACAGGAATAAGGGAGATAGCACGACGTGCAGCCACTTTGCCTCTAGACTACTTCACTGGGAGGAGAGGAGACGGCTGGGTCCCAACCCAACAGCAGACGTTACACGGGTTAGAAGCCCCGCTGGCCATCCGAGTTTAAGAGCTAAAAAAACGTACAACCACAGTAATTATCAGACCAGCACCTCTCCATAGTTTCCATTTGCATATCAGTGATATTATTTTCATAATAGTGATTGCAGCCGGCATATTAGAATAAAATGAGACACCGATCTAAACATACTGTATATCCCAAATCACATTGTTGTCCACTTCTGGTTGTCTGGTTGTAAAGCCACCCATGCGTGCTTATAATGTTTGTCTTGCTGATTGCTGAGTGTGCTTTTCGCCATATAGAACTCAGAATCCCTCTCAGCTTAAGCCAGTTTTAAAGTCAACGTACACATTGTTATCTGTTTTTCAGTCCTGTGAGACAAGTGCTCTCTCCTCTATCCCTCTCTCAGGTTTCTATGTGTGTCCGTGTTCAGATGTGTAAGTGTTCAATCACTCCTTTTTCACTGTTTTCACTTCTTCACCTTTGAGTGTGTTGCAGCCTTTGGATGTAATTACATTACATGTATGATTAATGATTGTTCGGTAAGGTGGAAACTGAGCACACACATTGTTGAGTACAGTTCGGATGCAGGTAGTGTTCATTTTTATTTTTATTGATAACTGGAAAGTTGACAATAATCCTCACTGGTCGTTGTGGGTCATCCACGTTCTTCTGTATAGGCTTTGTGGCGCCCATCTGCCTGCCAAACTTTGGGGAGGAATTTGAGGAGGGCACTATGTGCTGGATCTCTGGATGGGGAGCAACGGAGGATGAAGGTGAGTCGGAGTCGGGAGCGGATTTGTACTCCATTATTTCAGCTGCATACAACTCCATTCTTAAATAGGGGTAATGTAATAAATACTTGAAATCATGTGATTTTTCCAGGGGAGACTAGTGTGGTTCTGCGCTCGGCCGTGGTGCCCCTGCTCTCCACTAAGACCTGCAACCAGCCGCAGGTTTACCAGGGCCTCATCTCCTCTTGGATGATCTGTGCAGGATACCTAGAGGGAGGAACTGACTCCTGTCAGGTACACATGCTCTTCATAAAACTTTGATCAAAGGTTTCAGGAAAGGCCCCTGAATGCTGTGTCCACTGTCCACTCAGTCCCCACTCATATCAACACCTTCATCACAATGTTGTTTATTGATTCCAACACAATCTCGCCAGGAAGCTGATAAACTGAAGCTGTAAACTGTCAGAAACATTCTTACTCAACACCAGTGTAAAATCATCAAACAGGACATTTATTTAATGTTTTCTCCACCACTCCCGTTGACACTGTCAATTCAGCTTCGCTCATGGAGATTACAAATAACAGTTGCTGTGGTCACCTGTAGTCTCCACACAGACAAAAATTTCTTGAAGCTCATGAAGCTGTTTCTGAAGCTGTGGGACGTTGGTTTTTCTTCAGGGGGACAGTGGGGGTCCTCTGGCCTGTGAGGACTCGTCTGTATGGAAGCTGGTTGGTGCGACCAGCTGGGGAATCGGCTGTGCTCTGAGGAATAAGCCAGGCGTTTACACGCGCATCACACAGGCACTCAGCTGGATCCGCCAGCAGATGGAGGTCAGTACACAACCGGCTGGGTCCCTTTGGAGAACATCCCAATGTCCCCCCTGAACCCCGACCCCTCCAGGACTTAACTGACCTCACCTGGTCAGTGGTTGAGTCGGAGAGTCTGAGGGCTAGCATCCTGTTTTGACTGTCACATTGCAATGACTTGTGGGTAATTTCCATGGGCTAAATCAGCATCCAATGCTGACTTAAGGAAAGGGTTCATAAAGCGCTTACTCAGCGACTGGACAATGGTACAGAACCAAACCAAAGAGGAGCGCTCCTCCGTCTGTACGGGACGGTGCGGGTTGGGAGAAGTACGGAGTACTGACGGCCATCTGTACGAGCCTTCTGGGGCTGCTTCCACAATTCCATATATTAGACTGGTCCGTGGTCTTGAAGCAGGATTTGTTCATATTCTAAGACATTAGTTTGACATGACGCTGAAGTTGTACGTGATCATAGTTACACGATTTCAATCGTCAAGGTAAAATGTCCCAATGAAGTTAATCGAGCAAACTGCCCAGACAGGATTCCTCGTCAGCAGGCTTTTAATTTTGAGATAAGAAGAATGACTGCAGTGGATGACTTTCAAACATCTTAAGTCAGACTTTGATGAAGTAGAGTAGTCAATGTGAGAAACTTGCATAATGGTTGACTTGACTACCATCCACAACTAAGTAATTGTCCATTTCTGTCTTTCAGAGAGAAGAGGCTCACAATCGTTCAACCCTGAGCACAGACTACTGAAGCACCTGCTCATCACTGTGCATGGCTTAAATGGTTCCAAATGACAAAAGAACACGTTAGATAAACCATGACACGAGTCAGGTCATGTTGAGGCAAAGCTGGTGGGGTTAAGAGACTGTGCACAGCAGAGAGTTAGGCATCATTTATTCCAAAATAGAAAGCTCTAAGGCAAAAGAGACATGAGAAAAGTGAACAACGCTTCATAAAAGCAAGACGGATGCAAGTGGGGAGCGAAGAGCTCAGCGAGGGCCCATCCAGTCACTGCATGAAATGAACCATTTCAACTCAACTTTACAAGATAGCGTTTCAGTAATCCGCGCCTATTGACAGACAATTGTTGTAAAATACAATGTTACAGATATTCAAACAAGAGGCACCCCGATTTTGTGAAGTAATAAACATTGATTTCAATCATTTCCTACATGTGTATGTAGTGCAGGGGGACCAGAGACTGCAGTCAGTCCTTCAGGCAGGCAATGAACAGGGAACTTGAACTGCCCTTTGTTTTAACAAAGTAAAACACGTGTACATAAATACGCTGGACACGTGCAACAAGTCCACTACTTCTTGTTGCTGGTTACTCAGACCCTTGTGATTGTGTGATTAGCATAGTGTTCTGGATTGTGCCATTACTGTCAAATGATTAAAAGATGCATTGGATACGCTATGGAGCTCTATTTAAAGACGTAACATCACTGCAGTTAAGTTACTGCCATGTTGCAGTAGTTTAGTGTCCTTTTGACCAATTTCAAAAAGTGTCACTCATTTGTGCTTCGTAGCAAGAATTATTTAAAAAAAGAACACATGTAAGGCCATGTTATTATTCTTCTAAAACCAATTGAAATAGCAATTTATCAGCATTCAATTCATTTTTTTGTTTTTTAGAAAACTTCAAAAGAACCCTGGAAAACAGGGTTGCTAGCTTTAATTATGAATCTGTACATAAATATTCCTTACAAAACAGGAGAACACAGAAATGAAACAAAACACAACTTCATACATTTGTATATAAAAATAAGCATCTCCTTTTTTTCCTCTCAATCCCTCACACGGGCTCTGCGAGGCCTGCAGGGCGCGTGAGAGCGACGTGGAGCCAGTCGCAAAGTGTGCACATCTATTGAAATCACAAGCATGCAAAACGACAAACCCTTACAGATACAACGTGGAACTGTTGGCATCCAAAACGAGAATTCAACTGGGAAGGGGACAGAGGCCGAGAAAAAACAAAAATCTAATGAGTCATTATTTAACGGATTGTACAAACTTGCTTCAAGTGTTTTTAACACTTATTTTATCTTCTGTTTGTTTGATTTAATCTTGTTGAGCTTAAATATACAAAAAGTGCACTCTCATACATCAACTAAATATCTAAAAAAACAGTTTCCGAAATGAAACTCCTGATGTACACACACGCAGCATCAACCGCCGGTCAGCAGGGTGGAGGGTTGGAAGAGTGCAGGACCTGCTTGTCCTGGAGTTTTGTGCTCTATGTGAACCTAATGTGTGTGTGTGTGTGTGTGTGTACTATAATCCACAGTGTGTTTGAGAACACACACATAACCTGTGGACCTATTTACACATGTCTTGTCTTGTGTGTAGACCGTGTGAGGGAGTCGGTCCTCTACTGCAATGAGTCGCTGTTGTCCAGGCCCAGCCCGGCCATGTCCGTGTCATCGTCCTCATCTCCGCTGTCCCCCGACTCGTCCTCACTGTGGCCTCCCAGCATCACCTGCTGTACCGCCAGTGTGGCGCCGTCTGACGTCAGGCTCTGCAGACCCTCCATGTTCATAGTCACCATTGTGCCTGAGAAACACAGCAAAGACTGACTGAGTAGAAGCCTCGTACTATGCATGTAAAGTTAAATAAAACAAAAAAGCCTCCGCCAATCCATCCCTTACATCTGGGGGAAGCCAGACTATTTATGTGAAGACGGAATCTAATAAAATGAGGAATGGACTGTACTTGTTTATCTCTTTTGTAGTCTTCCTTCCACTCAAAGCTTGTTAACACTTTATGTCGTTCACACACTGATGACAGGAGCATCAACCAGAGACACCTGCCCATCAGGAGCCAGCTTTCACACGCAGTAGTCATGGCAATGTGACATATTTAGGTTCCGGTGTCTCAGTTCCTGCTTCAGCACTCCTCTGGTGTTCCAGTGACAGGCGAGTTTAAGAGTGGGAAACCTTCCACGGCTTCATCAACAACTCAAACTGATGAGTTCACACTAGGACTCCATACATTACAACCACGAAGCCTCAAATGACTACATGCAGACGTGAATACATACTTTAACTAGGGCTGTTAGAGATTAAAATAAATTAAGAAATCACACATTTTGAAATTCATAAACGCAATTAATTTTGATTCCTTCCAAAGACTAAATCTTAATGAGAAATTGCTTGAGAACGCTTGTACTTAAATTGTATTGTATTGTTGTTGTAAAATTGTATTTTTTTTTTAAACACAAAACTCCACTGATGTGATCATCTAAGAGGTGGAACAACACAGACGCGTCACATCAGCTTGATTTTAAAACGGTTGCAACATCTAATTACAACGTTGCCATTGGAATAATAGACAGTCTATTCATTCAATACAATAGGGACTGCCATACTGTTTAGACCCAACGTAGCTGATCCAATGCGCACCCACCCCCACTAAGGTCCTCTTTAACCTGTATACAAAGTGCAAAAGGTAAAGACTACTGCGTACCATCAGGCATGGTCACTTGCTGCTGGGTGCCTCCACCAGTGGCGATGGAGTCAGGCCAGAAGCGCTGCAGTGGCCGGTTTTGTGGGGTCTTCTTCTTGGCTTTTGGTGTCTCGGAGGAGCTGGCGTCCAACATGGGCTGCAGGATCCGCCTGCGTGCATTTATAAACCTGCAGACAAGGCAGCAGAGGTCTGAAGGCACGGATTGGCATATGTGCTTTTGTACTTTCTGGCAGATGTTCTGTCCTTGTACGCTGGGATGAAATCATCTTGCACGACACAGAACAGGATGTTGGCGTTTCATCGGTTATCCAAATCTGTTTTTGACTGATGGGGAAAACTACACGGAGTTGCATCGTCTATGGATTGAATGCCTCAAGTACCAACAGAGATCACTGACTTCAAAAGCCAACCGGGTATTTTTGCCCCTGACAAACTCACCAGTTGTTGACTTGCAGAAGGGTCAGGTTTGTCTGCGTCGCAATCTGTTTCTTTTCATCCTCTGTTGGATACGGATGCTACAGGAGAGGAGAGGACATGCCTCAGTGTTCTAGTTCAGAGTAGAAGACCAACAGGCAACAGATTTGGTTCACAGACTCACCCCGATGTGCTGGAAGAGCCACGAGCGCATGACATTAGTAGCTTGTTTGGGTAGAACTCCACGTTTGTTCTTGGTCGAGTTGTCGTCGTGATTAAAAAGGTCCTGGTGAAACTGCAGCTGGAGCTGTGAAGACATTCATTCATTCATTCATTCAGAGAGACAAACTTGTTAGTTCATGTCCAACTACGCATGGTTCTGCCACAATTTTAAACTTATTGCAAACAATTTGCCAATGTAGGATATTGAATGAAGAGCAGAATCACAAAGACAGATGAAGCACCTGATTGTTTTGGACACGTATGGTCCCGGGAGACAGAGCCTGTGTTACCACCTGTCCCTGAGGAGTGACCACTGTGACCGGCTGATACACCGTGCCGCCTACAAACAAAATAACACAGAGAGGGCGACGTTAATAGAACGTGCTGCGTAGAGGGAAAGCTCAGATCAATAGAAGAATATCCCAGGATTCCATCCAGGGAGCCTGGTTCCACTGCAAGCTCTGAGTCATCACAATTAAGAAAGACGTATTAGGCCGGAGACAGATGGTCCTTCCAGTCAGGCTACGTTTGATTTGATTAGAATACCTCATTTTTTTTGCCCCCCCCCCCCCCCCCCCACAAAAAAGACATGATTCATAGCCTAGTTTGGAATAAATAGCTGTTTTAACTTAATTTAATTTTATACTTTCAAACCAATCTCCTTAATATGCGTGACAAAACCAGCTTGCAGACCATTAGAGCAGAAAACAGCCAAAGTATAAATATTTTAATTTGAGCTTCCACACAATGTAAAAACACTGAATATATTTAGTCTCTCAGCCAATACTTGTGTATCATTTTACAATAGACTCCATTGACAACGTTTTCACCCAGTTCAGCTGGTTAAGTCACCATGTTGGGACTTTTAGGTTAATGTACCACTGAACGATGAAAAACATCATTTTTAAAAACGACCAAAATGTTCAAATTAACTTTCATGAGGTAAAAACACATCGTGAAAGGGTTAAAGTTGGTAAAGTGAATACACGGACATCAGCGTGTTCTAGAGGCGAAACGTTAAGTAAACGCCACACGCTGTGGCCGAGCATCCACTGTCCCATGCCCTGTACATGTGCACCGTCCTGCGATGCAGAGAACATCTGGAAAGCTCTTCGTAAAGTTCTGTTTATTTAGCTCTTAATAAACTTCTGGTTGTTCCATGTTTCAGGCTTCAATTGATCCTGGTTATGAATACATATACTGATCCGCCCATACACACATTCACAGTTCTATATGGTCATCTACACATACATGTATACACATACATATATGATACATGTACGCATACAGTACATATATCCTCATAACTTCATTTGTATCAATTAAGATGCTTGTTTTTATCTACTTATTCTGAAAGGGTTGAGATCATTATTCTCATTGGATGATGGAGTCCATGAAGCAGACACATTACTATAATCTGATTGATTAGTGAGGAGGCACTTAGAATGAGCGTATACATTTAAACACTCATGCATAACTTGTGTGCGATGCTTGGTCGGCCTCGTCCCCGTGTCAGTCTTTGCCATGCTTATTTGATTCATTTCATTTTATCTTCTATAGCAGTGGTCCCCAACCAACCGGGCCGTGGACCGGTCCCGGGCCGCACCACAGAAAGCTTTTTTTTTTTTTTTTCTGAAAAATGTTCTCTTTTGAAAATTGACCGGATTTTCTCCTAATTATGTGCGCTCGTCCCTCTGACAGATTCCCCACACGTCACCAGGCGTTTTTCTTCACCTTTACAATTGTCCTCTTACGGTGCACGGCAGTTTCGCCCCCCAGCGAACACAGAGCGCGCTGCGACTACTACAACCCGAGACAAGATGTACAATACGTTCAATTCATACGACAAATTATTCCAATACACATTATCTCCTCCTATGCACTCATCATCTCCTGCTCGTCAGCAGAGACAAAAAAGACTCTCTTCCTTAAAGTTTATTTGCCGTTGTCCATTAAAAATCCTTATTTCAGTGATTACTCTTCCAACGTTGCACGCGCGATGATGCCCGACGTCTGCTTCAAACTAACGAGACGGTTTGAGCGCGGATCCGCCATCGAGGAACCGAGATAGCCTGATGTCAATCATCTGGTTAATTTGTGCTGGATAATGGGACATTTGATCGACTTCATTGATCCACATGGACGAGGAACAGGGCCCTGGATTAATATCATAAAACAAACTCGACAAATCAGATTTGACTACATCATCTTAGTCCCCACTGGTACATGACAACATGTGAGCTGCAAACAGAAGAGTACAGTACCTGAGGGAGGGGTCGTATGCCACGGTGACATACCTGCGACAACCTGGTTGGGGTTGACTGCGGTCACCGTAACGTTCCCTTGCTGCAGAGCCGACGCTGGCACCACAATTTGACCCGGAGGACTGATGGCCCCCGAAATAGAGCTGGGGGTCTGCACAACAAAGCAGAAGTACAGAGTGTGTTGACGATTCATACTTTAGAAGCACAAACTCGAGCCAATAGAGTGTAGCAAGTCACAATGAATGACAGATTGAAACACAGTCATACGATACTGGTGTGTTTATCTATAATGGAGATCCATATTATCCTACAGCAAAATATTAATTAAAACTACGTGGTGCCATCATAGCATTGATTTCACACAGCTTTTCTTTTTTTCCCCCCCTAACAAGCTGAGGACGGTCGCAGCAGACGAGGAGCAGAGTAATGGGCACGCTCTGTTAATAAAGTATCAATACTAAAAATATGCTAAATCGGATTGTTTTAAATCGTTTGGGTACCACGGCACCTTTTCGGTATCCATACTAACATGCAACATTACTTCACGTTGCGGTAAACCATGTTTGGCCCCCACATCCACGCCGTATGGTGAACCTGTAAGGTTATATAACTACAGCCGTTGGATTAATCTGACCAAAATACTAAAACTGATTTAGATCATAGATTGCACCGCCCCCTCAAAACACTTTTTGGATCTACACGAGTCAATGACATATTTTGATTTCAAAACGGCAAATTTCCCCCAAAAGAAAAAGGTTTGCAGGTATGCGTGTGTGTAGAGGGGATAAGTAAAGTCCACCTACAGTCCATACCGGAGTCTTGGTGGGAGAGAAGCCCTGGACCTGGCCTTGTACGGGGGAGTACGGGCTCCCTGGATCTCCACTCAGCAGAGTCTCGCTGTTCATCTTAGTCTTGAGGCAGGCGATGTAACGGCTGCAGAAGTCCTTACACAGGTCACTCACCTTCTCCAGCTCCAGCAGGTGGATCCGCAGCACCTGGATGGCTTTCACCATCTGCCGGTCACAATTGTACCAAAAACGTTACAGTTGAAGCTAAATATGTTTACATCTGCGTGCCGTCCAACTGTGTGATGCTGACAACTCAGATAATCAGTTGATTCCTCCTTGGTGTATTGTTGCATGCATGACCTCATTTTCATACCTCCTTGGAAGGTGGAATCAACAACAGACCGCCTATAAAAAGCAGATAACAGGACACCTCCCAAAATGCAAAACCAACCCCGGTGACCCCGACTGGAATTGTTCGTCTCTTCCTTCCGCTCAAAGCTTTTTAACCCTTGATGTAATTATTCATCTCCTGATGACAGGAGCTGCCATACACAGCCACCTGCCCACCAGTGAAGGACACAGGCACTGTGAATGTGATCAGCTGAATGTTATGTATTTGCTCGGTGCTGCTGATATTACAAGCTCAAGATTTGAACACAAATTGGAATGAGACGTGTTGCTCTCGCTGCTAGCCTGAAAAAAATGGGCATGCACTCTAAACTTAACAACTGTGGTGGTGTTCTGTCAGTAGATGCACGGACTAGAACACAGTCAGTATCAGAAAAGGCTGATGGCCAACGGGTCACCATCCACAATAAAAGCGCACACACTTGGATGAGGGACACTGAATTTCAGCTTTGCCAAAGGGAGGTCAGAGGTCATGGTCAGCTACAGCACAGTGCCCCGTGTTGTATTACAGCTAGAGTTAACAAATTTAGACTTAACAGTTGAATGAGTTTTAATTAACAGGTAGGCAGCAGTGGCGAGGGATGCACCTCACCGTGCTGACGAGGTTAAAGCTCACCTTCCCTTTCGTGTTGCCCTGTGAAATACCTCACATATGAACCCGTTTTTCTACCATCAAGGTTTCATTATCCAGTGATTTGAGCCAGCCAGTCACTCGTTTTAATACAATGCATACATTGTTTCTTTTTGCTACCAAATGAAAAAATGTAAGTCACATAAAAGAAATTCTAAAAATATAAACCACTGAACTAGTTCCAATATTTTGAGTGAGGTGTGGGCCAGAGCAGTGTTACAATAAAGCAAAATCATATTGAGAAGAAAGAAAATAAGACAAACAACAACTTCTAGCCATGACACGCAGAGGGATCTCACCAAGTTGTCAAGTTCAGGGTCCTCACTGAAGAAAGGTTTGCCTTCCTTCTCCTGACTGCGTACAAAGTTCTCAATGTCCACATCGAAGCTGGCCGAGGTGATGCAATCCGAGCTCAGCGTGGACTGCTCACATTTCTCAAACAGCAGGGCCAAGAGAGGGAACAGAGGATGCCTGGAAAAGAACGTTATTCACCATTTGCATCAATATATCAGATTTCTTCTATAACAGAGTATGTCCTCTAAAATGCATCAGGTGTCTATTGATATGGAGTACAGGAATACGGTGACACCTCTCACACAGTCCCTCTCAGATAACTAACACAGTGGAAACATCTCAGCGATCTCGCCTGTCCAGGTCAAATAGACCACTACAAGAACAGGTGCATGCTCTGGCTCATCGCCCACAGGAATGGGTGACATTTTGTTTGTGTGCACTAGTAGCATATTACAAAATACATTGACAATTACGAGCTAGGTTGCTTAGCATGCATTATTGTGTGGAAATAAAATATATAAGGTACTAAAATACACACCCTTTCACACTCCAAAGGCTGCACTGACACAGATATTGGGCCAATGGCAACTCACATATTAGGATCATAGATCGGTTATGTTGGACTGAGTTGTTCAATTCTATGTTTACATGCTTTTCATTACAGCTGCAACGATTACTCACAACGGACAGTCAATGATTTGTTCAAGTAGTTGTCCATGCATGTCAGAAAGTGCTCTATTATATCATGTTGATATCGGTTCCCTTTTAAAAAAGGAATTTTATTGAGCAGGCAATTGACAAATATTATCTGTGTGATTGTAATAGTGTATTTTTTTAGATTTGTTTTACAAAAATCAATGTGAAACTCAAATGACAGACTAATCCCAGTGCCCTCCGAACAATGACGTTTCAATACTGCTGAGAGTGGTTTAGTTCAGATATAAAAAGTCACATGGGGGATCCCTAATTAAGTCAGGAAAAGGGGGGGGGGGGGGGTCTCTTAGAGGTTAGGGTTCCTAGTAATAGTTTGGTTATCTGGCCAAACAAAGCAATAAAGTGAAGAAAACGACACCAATTTAAGATTAAAACACACACATACAGATGCATGCACACGCATAATTAGCTCTACCGATATATGGAGGCTTTGTCGGCGTCCATGGGGGTCTGTGGCTCTGTGGGTATCGGACTGGGAGCCTCTGCCAACGTCCCCTCAATAAACTTCTGCTCGCCGTCTACCTTTACCACACCTTGCATCTGCAGACAGAAAATACAGAAAGAAATCAACAGGGGCAGAAAGAGAAGCGGTGAAGAGAGGCGGAGAACGAGAGACATTTAGACGTCATGTGAGGACCAGAGTAGCTGGAGGGTAAAGCTCAACACAGAGCTCTGCTTCAACATGAACCTTTGGAGAGTCACAAGGACATGGTTTGAAAATCACTTTTAAAGACTATACATTTAAATGAGAATAAATGTATATTTTAAATATTTTTCTAAATCAGTTAAGACTTCTTTAATGTGTCAACAAGGATGAGAGGTAATTTATGACATCAGCTGGTAGTCGTGTTATCAGCCACCAGCACTTTTGGATTGGAGTTACCTGATGGAAGGTGCATCGTGTTGCACTTTAAAAGCATTCGTTATGCCCTCCAGTCTCACATTGCTCTACAAGCCCAGTGTAGCGAGACATCCAGACAGTGTGTTTGAATCACAGTGCAGACCTACGCGCTACATACCCAGAGACGTGATCGACATGGAGAACATCATTCAGAACCTATGTGCACAGACATTCGCTAAAAGTATAAATTGAAATGTGTGTAGCCGTGGCAACAATCAAGGCACATTCCTTGACTAGCAGAGTCTCTCCTTTACTTTCACACTGTGCCTGCCTACCCGGGGGCATGAATCCCATCCCTAACCATGTGACTGAGAATAACAATGGATGAGATTGAGCACAGAGTAGCTAAAAATAATGACTTGCTTGGGGTGGAGATTTCTCATTAGTCATAGATCCTCCTCAGCTCCCAACACCCCAAATTTGGCACTTGAATAATGATGTTTTGTAGGCCATTTAAATAAAGTCAAACACAGATATGCTTGGCAGAAAAGGGAACTCTATACAGCAGCTGTGTCCCAAACAGGGATTTATTTGTGGTGGACTGTTACGGACAGATAATGATTAAAACGGATGCAATAGCATTATCATTGGTTGTGTTCTGGTGTTTCATGCATAAAGTCGTATCCTAGTGTTCACAAATCCAGACTGAATTATCCCCAATTAGAATGGCAGGGCCCCGATGGTTAAGGAGCGGTGCTGCACACTGATGTGGCTTCAAACGTTGACGTTGTCGTTTTTCTGGATGATGACTAAGTTTGGGAGGGAGTCAGTCACCCACCTGCTGCTCTCCCTTGGGGTACTGGTCCATGGAAAGCGACTGGGCTGCCATCACGTTCACTGATGCTGCACACACTGGGGCATCATAGAGGGACAGGGGGCCAACCTACACCATGCACACAAACTTCATGTAATGCTCACCATTAGCTGTGTTAGTCTGGTAAGGGAACAAACGAGATCGTTTTCATACAACAAATAATTGGTGTTTAACATGAATGCTAATCAATGTAATACTACTTTCGGTAACATTAAGCATTAAACGCCGACGGTAATGAGCACAGATTTACTCCAAAGTAAGACGATCAGTGAAGAATAGATGCAACAGGGAAGACCAACATCACAATGTCCGTGGTTCTTTATGGAGCTGAATGTGTGCGCACAGCTCGGGAAGAACCAGGACCGTCGGTGGCTCACACAGTAGTTTGATGCGTTTACTAAAGCTGTTAGAGAATCCTAGTCAACGGTTACCATATCATAGAGGGGGGGTGATACCGACTCTGTGATGCGTCGTTATAATAATAGTAAGCTTACGATAACGTTACCCTGCAACGGCTATAACACACCCACCGCGATGATAGCCCTTAGCTCGGTGTTAGCTTCCGGCCGATTGTGGCGGCAAAGGGAAACTAAAGTGTAATAAAAGCGATCATCAGCCGACTAACACTATAACCTTTGCTATAGCACCGTTAGTCTTAACGCAGACAAAGTAGTTCCGCTGGAGTAAGCCTCGATATTTCATAAAATGACACATTAGCTCGCTACAAGGTTAACGCCACATTGGCGTTAGCTCGCGAACCCACTCTAAGGTTAAGGGGAGCGCAGCCGCCTGGCTGAGCTACAGCTAACGCTCGCTAACTGGTAACTTAAAAGTGTTTATCGTGCTACAGCGGCGAGGACAAGTGAGACGCGCCATGTTTAGAAAGGGGGAAAAACAAGCTAACCCGGCTAGCCAGGTATAAAAAAGGACCCTGCTGCGGATTGATACGAAGAGAGTCGTTTGCCCATGTAACGTTAGCATACTTGAATTAACGTTTGCATTGTTTGCTCTATAAAGTAATTCAACCTTCAGTGACATTAAGAAACATTGGTTGCACCGCCGGCTACCCCGGTTGGTCCTTAAAGCCTTCCCACATCAGTCAATCAATCAGGCGGGGACAGCTGTCCTCTCCCTCCCCTCCCCTCAGCGCAACGGTCGGGCCTCGTTTCTAGCTCTCGCCCTTTGGTTTTCCACAATCCTCCTCTGCCCCCAAAACGACGACATATTTTTTTACCCCCCCTCCCTTGTATACAGATTTTTGTATTCTTCCCGCAGCTCTGCCGCTTCTGCTTCCCTTCCAAAAACACCATCCGCTGCCCTGACTAGGTCCGCGCTCCTCGCCCCGGGGCATTTTAGCGTACGGGCCAGATTGTTTGATTGATAGGGAACGGAAAAAGAGGGATTTTGAGTGACAGCTTACCTGAGTGCCAATCTTCGTCACACTGACAAGCGGCTGCAGCAATCGGGACCCGCAGTTGTCGTATTGCGTCATCACGTAAGGGCACGCAGGGGTGGCTGGCTCATGACTATTCAAAAGGTGGGCGGAGACATTACGTCCAACAGCCTTTCCCTCTGATCCTTAATGGAAGGTTGGTAATCGCCATTTACTGCCCCGTTGACGCAACATGTTTTCCATGTATATCTCGAGCTTTACTCGCCTTTAGGCATTTCTTATCATATACATACACTAATACACATTACAATAGCTGCTGATTTTCTACCACCAAAAGAAGGGTAGCTGGGCTGATGAGGACATCATGTGCAAGTAGGCAGGGTCTGGAAATTGTAATCTTTGCAATATAAGCACAGATAAAACACTTCAGCACATTCAGCTATAATTAAATGTCCCTGAGGCTTAATAGCAGCATACACGCAGCGTTTGATCTCTTCCTATCCCTTTATATACCCATTTATTCAGATAAGACAAAATAGAATCACACACTCGATTTCCCATTTTTGTGGTTTAATAATATTACAGATTTTGTCAGCAGAATTGCATGCAGGTGAGGGAATGGTCATCGTAAAAAGGGATGAAACCACATGACCGTTATCTCTAAGCAACAAGGCCAACTCCGCTAGTGTCTGACGGAGGAGGGCTGTGGGAGACGAAACTTGGCCATCTGGACATCCAGGTCTGAAAATGTGTAGGGGTTGTAGTTGTGGTGCTGGTAGTTTTTATAAGTGCTGTTGTCAAAGGCCTCATCGGGCTCCGGAGGTGCCACTGCTACAGCCTCTGCAGAGGGAGAGGAACAAATAAAAAGGGCCTGTGAGAAAGTGTGGCACAAAGGCTGGTATACAAATCATCCTACTGTCCATGCATTAAAACAACAGCAAAAATGACATTACAGGTCATTTAGCTGATGCTTTTATCCAAAGCGACTAAATATTATTAGAACTGGAGTGGTATTTCTGGTCAGCTATGAAGTTACAATAAAAATGTGATTGTTAAATGTGCTTTGTTAAATATTTTTAAAGAATCAATTTACATATCCACACATACTGGCAAAGGAAGATTGTGGGGCATTTCCTATGGCAGTAGGTCACAATACTGAAGGGCCATGTTTGTGAGAGGAAACTATGTGAATGACATATCTGGCTGAAAAAAGATTGCTCATACTGGTGGAGGTAAGCCTCAAATGGATTAGGTAAAAAAAAAATCAGTGTTTTGATACTTTCATTTAAACCGAAGGGCATCATTTTTTGATCTACTTTCACAAACCTAAAAACGGTCTCCAACCCTGTGATAGCAAAAGTTATTGATAACATGTGAGAAGGTGACAATCTCGGACAGATACATTTTTGACATATTTGTAGGTTTCATCAAATGAGCAGCATGTCCCAAAGTTCCAAGAAAGAACAGATTCACAGAATAGTTTATAGTTAACAGGATGACAGAAATAAACAATTAAAATCTATGACTAAGATGAGGAGGATGTTGTTCAACGAGGCCAGTTAGTCACAGAAGTGTAACAAAGGGCTGTAGCTACAGGAGGGCTACATCTCACTTGGAATATAGACTTTTCTCTCCATTCTGATATTCCAGAGAACGTCTCCATTGGTTATATTCTTTATCAAATATTGGTTTGCAGCTTCTAATTATTTTGATTTACAGTATTGCTATCATGACTAGCATCCAGAGGTTTTGTAGAAACATCTTGGTTACTGTGTAATCCTGCTTGCTGAAATACTTTCACTAACCCCTCCCAGCTTCTGTCACAAACCACTGTTTGATGATAGGCCCTCGCACATTACTGTTAGCAATAACATAAGCTGGCACAAGGAATACAGACAATATAATCTTAAAATCTGATACCCTTAATTCAAAAAGAGATATAATGACCAGAATGAGCCAAAATTAGCAATTTATCAACAAGAGTAAAATATGAGAGACATGTTCCGGGTAATGAATAAGGCTGTCAACGAATATTCTAAATTCAAATATATATTCGAATAGTTGTTCCATGTATACCACAGCACAGCTCACTCAGAGCGTTCAATGTCGGAACTGTGAAACTTTAATAATATTTGTTTCAATCACTGAATGAAGTTTGGGACGAGAATCGCAACCTTAAATTGCTTGAACAAAACTCTTGATCAGCACTCAGCATGTTTATTGTTGTCGTTCATTTAAACCGCGTTGCGCAGAGAGCGCAATGGTGCGGGAGAGAGAGAGAGACCAAGGTCTGCGGTCTTGGTAATTAGTTCATTTACTTATTTTTATGTTGTTAAATTCTAACTTCATTTTGAGCAATTTTGACAGCCCTAGAGATGGATGGCTGTCAACTGCTGCAATTTTGTTTGATAGGTAGTACATTGTTGGGTCATTAAATGAGGGGAAGAAAGCAGAAACCTGAACAGGATTAGTGTCATAGTATGAACCAAGCAACATCATACATTGACAGTGCAGCTGTGTGGGTGTATTAACGGAGGACACATGGAGACCTTGATTAGCAGACGGAAAACAAAATAAATGTTAGAAAAAGTGAAATGCAGCAAATGCATGAGGAAAAGGAATGCACCTGCAAGCATTAAAGTCCATGTAAACCAAATCCGCCCCATGCTAAACCACCATACCGAACACTGAAGCAACCGGAGATTCAATGTCACAATGGTAGAACTGAAGAAAACCGACAAGGCTACACTATAGCAGTACAGATAGAAAGAAGTATGTGCATATGTCTGAGCTCACAGATGCAGAGAAGAAAGGGGAGGCACAGATTTGGGGAACATGATGGTGTGGTGTGTACCCTCAGACGGTTCAACTGGGCCGTCCGCCTGTAGCTCCTCTCCTGCAGCCTCAGCGATCACTGGAGCAGGGTCCACCAGCTCCTCTGACCTCCCCACAGGAGCAGAAACTTCAGCCGCAGCCTCAGCCATCAATGGAGCAGGGTCCACCAGCTCCTCTGACCTCCCCACAGGAGCAGAGACTTCAGCCACAGCCTCAACCATCAATGGAGCAGGATCCTCCAGCTCCTCTGTGCTCTCCACTGGGGTAGACACAGTAGCTGCAGCCTCACTGGCCACTCCAGCAGGCTCTGCAGCAGTTTCAGCACAAGCTTCAAAAGAGGCAGCTTCTCTGAGGGTTTCAGCAGAGGCACTCTCATCCAGAGTGTCTTTCTGGGTCTTTTCTGATGATGCAGGCTCAATAACATTGTTAGTTGGATATTTTACCTGGTATTCGGTGTTGGCCGAAGATGCATGGTCTTCCTTAACTTTTGAAGCAGATTCCACTGCAGCTTCGAGGCCAGTGTCTTTCGTAGCTGTCCAGATCTCAGGAACAGGGTCCACTAACTCCTCAAAGCAAACACTGGGCACTTTGACAGTAGCTTGAGCTGCTTCTGCTGCTGCTGGAAAGACCTCCTGTGCATCCTCCGCAGCACAAGAGAGACCAGATTTAGGTCCTGGTCGAACCACCTTAGCTTCATTAGTGTCTTCCTTCACCTCTGAAGTGTTCTCTTGGACTTCTGCTTCTTCTTTCACAATGGATTCTGATACCGGTGGTGGGGAGGTCTTTGTTTTAGTCTTCACTTCTGTCTTCTCTTCCTCAGAGTCAGAGTCTGAATCAGAGTCAGAGTCAGAGTCAGAATCAGAGTCGCTGGAGGATGAGCCATCAGCTTCTGGTTTGCCTGGTTCGGAGGAGGCTGCAGCAGCTGAGACTGATGCAGAGGTTTTACTGCTTGTATCTACCAGACACTTAGTAGCTGGGGGAGCTACGTCACCTACAGGTGGAGCGGTGTTGGTAATAACCTGAGCAACATCTGGTTTAGCAGCTGGAGCCTCTGCTACCTTTAGCTCAGCTCCAACTGGTTCACTGGTAGCAGTGACTGCAGCTATAATTGTGCCCGCTGTGGCCACTGGTTCAGTTACGCCTAGAGTGTGTGTTGGGAAAACTCCTGACTCAGAAAGTCGAGCTGGGAAGGTAACTGTTGTCTTATAGGCTAGCAAGATTGACCTCTCTTCTGGAACTGCTGCTGCTGGGGAAAACAGTAAACGGAACAGGATAAGTTAAATAATGCTAACATTTACAGTAGGGTGGCATGACTTCCAAAATGTATCCTGCACAATGTTTTCTTGTAATTTTATTGAAGTGGGAAACATTGAAAATCCACAAGACAGTAGATGGATTACCTATAATGAAACATTTAACACATTACTAACAAGCAAATACAAACCTAACCCAAATAAGGTATTTTGGATGCAATAGGGGACTAGATGAGAAAGCAAATATTTACCGTAGGGAACATTTCGTGCATAGTAAATTTTAAAAAGTAACTAAGTAAATGCATTTCCTGCAGGAAATGTGTTGATGGGCCCCCTCGTTATAGTGGTAGGGGAAACACTACTACTACTACTAGTAGTAGTCATTTTAGTATTAATAGCAGTATAAATACTACTAGTAGTAATTGTAATAGTAGTACTACTACTCGTAGTATTTAAAAGAGCAATAAGTATTTAAGCATGAGAGACGGAGCATGAGAGACGGAGCATGAGCGACGGAGCATGAGCGACGGAGCATGAGAGACGGAGAGGAGCGAGCATGAGCGACGGAGAGGAGCGAGCATGAGCGACGGAGAGGAGCATGAGAGACGGAGAGGAGCATGTCTGTGTGGTTGCCAGTGCAGCTGTGATCGTTCACAAGCTGAGCAAAGGGCAGAGAAAATAACAGATTTACCTACAATCAACACCTCAAAAGCCTTAATTTAGCAGCAAAAATAATCCAAAAATGAAAGCTGCGAGCAGTGGTGGAGGGTCCTCACTACTCCGCGCACGTTGGGGCACTGGCCAGTCCGCCACAAACACGGCAGAGAACACCTGCGCATTGAGAAAAGGCGTCTAAGAGGCAGACCTTGTTACCTGCGTGCAGCGACGCTGGGAATGGCACTTTGCAAGCTTTTTCTTTAACATTATTAAGGTATTTTCTGACTACATTTGAGAGGGTTCGGATTAATATGGGAGGAGCAGGCAATAAAAAGGAAGAACATGTCACAAGGTGGCGCTGTGACTGGGATTTAAAATTATATGGATGTCCACAGGGAAAGGAGGTCATGACATATGAGAGATATGGAGCAGATTAGATAAAGTAGAGTTAAAACACCTCAGATTTTAATGGCAAATGGGGGTTTTTTGCCGAAGCTTTATGCAATTCTCAAGATCACACTGCCCAAATTGGAAAAGAATCGCATCGCAGATTTAATATCTGAGAGGAGTTTTACAACTCGAGAAAAATAGGCAGAATATAGGCTAAACATATTTAGAGGTTCATAAGCTCATATGTTAAAATAATGAACAACAAGCTTTATTTGATTTCTTATGACATTGAAGCAATGATTTTCCACAGAAAATGTATCGGAATCAGCGTTTTGTGTGTTTTTTGCTAAATTCACCTTAGCAAACCTCATCATAAACAAGAGCACACGTGGGCCAAATCTCAAGTCAATTAGGCAAAAGAAAACAGGGGAATAAACTTAACTGTTAATGTGGCACTTTCAAATTTCTAGGCGCACTATAGGAGACATTTCTCCATACCCAAATGCACGACCCCAAAAATATCAAATGTTTCATTATGCTTGATACGCATATCAAATTGAACAATTTGTTTTGTGTAACGCTGTTGCAACCTATTCTTTGCAGTAAACAACGATGGTGTTTTTGAGGTCCTAAACATGCTCAAATTGTAACTAAACGTGGAACACACATTTAGAGCCATAGATATAGTTGATTTTAATGATTCAAAATGGTATGTCGGCTCAATAACCCCTCTACAAATATTCATTTAAGCAGCCCCAGCACTACGTTTGACGCACATGTGTGAAAGGATTATGTAACACATACATGTAACACATGTAAACTGGAAAGAAAGTCTCTCGAAACCATACCAGAAGTAGGCCATTTGGGGGTTTTATGATATCCCAAAAGTTGTTCATTTTGATATGTATATCAAGCATAATGAAGTTTCCTGTTACCGTGGTGACCTGACGTGATTTTATTTTTTCCAATGGCAGAATTCAGAGATATTTGTCACCAAATTTGTAATGGTCTCCATGGAGCGAGAGTTGGACTTTCTCTCGCTCTCGGGGGGCTGTTTACAAATGTGTAAGTCTGTTGGATTACATAGCCACATGTCTACCACTAAGCACAAGATGTCCTACATTTGATCCAAACATAAAACCATGAAGAGTGAAAATTGTGGCATGACGGGAAAAAAATAAAATAAAATTGTAGACCAGATTCTGAAGCTGCTCTCCACTTTAGGTTTTCAGTCTCCACTCTAGCTTGCCACTTACACACCCATGTAAATCTCAGAAACGGTCTGAAAAACTCATGAAACATAGTCAGTGATATTGAAAACAGTTACATATAAAAACGCTGAATAGTTTTGAAAAAGTAAAAAAGTAGTTTAAAATAAAACTCCATTGGAAAACTGGATTTGAATCAATTCAAGCACAAGAGATAAAAATCTGAAAAGTCATAGCACTTTTCTCCAGAAGGAGCCAAATATTTTAATAGCTGAAAGTTTGAAGGAGACAAAAACGTTCTAAATACGTATGGAAGAAATAGAAAGAATAAAGCTTAGAACGACAGTATTTGGAATATTTAAAAGCATTACAACAATAAAGCTTGGAAGAACAATAGTTGGAATGCTTAAACAGCATCCCAACAATGAGCAGAATTCAAATCACAAAGAATATTTAGTATGTATTAGGTACAAACTAATGAAATGGGGGAAAAAACACAATAGCAAAGAAAAAACGTTGGAGCCCAGTGTTTCCCCTAACATTATAACAGTGTGCAATAAAAAATAACTAGAAGATCACGCAGAAGAAAAAAAAAAAGAGTGTGGCCTACAGTACACGAAGATGTTGCAATATACACATGCAAGTACAAGTCACAAACCATTGGGATTTCTAGCCCTTTGAAACACAATGATAAACCCACCACCACTTCAAAAAAGTAAATCCAGCGGTTATGATCGTGAGCACTTCATTGCTTGTATCTATTTATAAGTCTAAATTGAGCTTTTCTGTAGTTCTGATTATGTTTGTTGCATGTTCATCTTATTTCATTGTAAATAAAGCATTTCTTTAATGATAAGTGCTGTAAAAACAAAGCATTTTTAACTTCATGAAATCAACAGAACGCATCGAACTTACCCTTTCTTACAGCCTTTGCCTTTTTTGCTGGCTCCGCAGGTTCTTTAGCCTGAGTGCAGAGCCAAGCAGCCGAGCGATTCCTCAGAACGCCCCAGCTCTCCAGCTGGAGACACTGCAGAGGAACAGACAACTTCTTGTTAGAGTGGCAAACATCACAGACAACCGCGTTCCACATGTAATATGGAGCGGAGACTGAACTACCGCAGATTGAATTCCTTAAATAAATAAATGTCTCTCAACCCCCCCTACATAATCATCCAGATATTTGTATCCAATGGTTGTAGAAGTCCTGTTATGTGCAGGATTCGCGAATAAGCTCAATGCCAATTTTCACAGTATTTTGCTGTAAACTTCTGGTTAATGGGCTGTATTTTCATATCTTCTCTCTGGTCCTTTAACCTCTCACTGCCCTGCTCTAGCAACTTGGGGTAGTGTGCAGTGGCGGTTGCTGGATTTTTTTTTTTTGGTAGAGCCATCCAATCAGTTTCAGTAAACATCCCAGTATGATTCAATGCAAAAAAGGTATCAAACACACACTATTACTAGGGCTGTGACCGTTAAGGCAACAAAATATTTTAACGTAGTTAACGTTTGTTTACTTCCGGTCCCGGAAGTTGACCGCGGAAATGAAAACGGCTGCTAGCCCTACATCAACATGGAGCAAGCTTTTTGTATTGGAAGTAAAACAAACAGTGGTCAACGTTACTTGCTTATATGCATTGCTTTGTTCTCAGTTAATATCGCAGTAGGGCCGACCATGCAGCCTGCCCTTCCTTCTGAAAGGAACCTTCCACCGACCATTTCGGCTTCACTCTAATATAAATTGCCCTAAATATAAAACACTTCCAGACAACGGATGATGATCCTTTGAGGGACCAATCTGCATGACGCTTGCGTCTACTAATATCGGAGTTCCGTATCTTCGTTGTATCGTTTAAACGGTAAAAGGATGTATTTAGATGTCCAGCGATATTAGGTTTAAAAAACAGTCGCGGTGTAACACCGGAATTGTTAAGTGTCACGTTGACATGGCGAAGACGTATGATTTGATGCTGCAGCTCTGGGTTGGCGGTCGTTAAGTACGGTGAATGACGTCACGCTGGACTCCTTAAGAACCGTGGCGTCTCGGGGTTCGTGCGAAGGAGAAGACGCGTGTCGCGGTCTCGAGTCTAATGTATGCTGGCTTCTAGGAAGATACTCGTCAAACAAACAACACGCAAAGTGGTATTACCTTGACGGAATCCAGTCGCCCTAAACGCAGCAAGGACGTCGCCATTTCGTGTTACTGGTGTATTGCTCCGACCGGAAACTAGGAAGTGAAAACAACAGTTCCGCAACAAAAGTGTTACGGTCCGTGCACCTTTTGACGGGCTGGATTCAAACAGCCCTCCTGACTTCTAAACCTAAACACTTTCCTTGACCTCTATGGAAAATGTCACGAGGTCATGGAAAGATGGTTGGGATAATTCCTGGGGGTCCGTGTTCGGTCCTTTTCATGGATCCTCTTACCGTTTAAACGATAAAACGAAATGCAACTCAAGCATGTACCAGAGTAACATTGTAAGACAAGTTTTAATACAATTAAATCATCCTTGATTTAGTGAACAGAGCATAGGCGGTATAAGGAGAGGCAGAGTAAACATGTTCCCCATCCCGACCAGTAAACAGCAGTATACGTGTATTTAAACCCTGGATTTTATTATTTTTACTTGCGTCTTTGTTCATTATCTCTTTGTTCATTATCTCGGTCACTTATTTTTGCCCGTAAACAAATTTAACCCCACGGTTACACATACACATAGACATTTGATTTGCCCTCCTTTATGTTTTCCATCTCAAAAGGGTATTGTAGTTCGTTTGTAGTTCACTAATTTCGTCCCTTAAAATAAAATCTTCAAAATAAAAAATAAAAATAATAATGATGCTTTATTGGATACAGCAGTGTATGTGGTCTGATCTTTTCTTACACACTTGTTCTTTTAAGCCCCTTTTGAAGATTCCTGTCACTTTTATTGAACAGGATGCCCCCCACCTTTATAATCAATTACAACAGCTGCTCTGTCTGGTTTAAGCTGAGTCCGACAATTATCAGGCCAGAATAAATTAAACACAAAATGAATCAATTAACTTATCTTTTCTGTTGAGTCAACATAGAAGCAGTGCCGCCCCTCCGAAAAAGTCTGGAATAAGAAAAAGGCTTTTAAGGCTATAATCATTTACACCACGCAAGATTATATGTAAAGAATATATTGATATGAGACCAAAACATTCAATAGAAGGGAGGAACATAGGTTTACTCTTGGAAATCAAATTGTTTGATATATGTGGGGTCTCGGTGCAATCGAGGAACTGCCCAAAAATGTGGCTTTGAGGTGGAACTAAAATGAACGCTATCAGTGAACTTAAGGCTATTTTCAAAAACAGTAACAAATCTGAGGCACAGCATTGGACCAACATTAGATCTTTGCACCCTTTGACCTTTTTCGGTTTAACCATTCAAATGTAGTGTGACAAATAAAGATGTAGATTCATTTTTTTATGTTTAATTTGAAAAAAAGGATGGTGTAGTTCAGAAGTAATAACAAGTCATTATATGATGTATAAAACTATGGTTTCAAATGAACCATTAATATCAAATGAAATGTAACGTAAGCATTGAATGCATCTGTCTCAGTGACCAAGATAATTACAAAGACACAAGTAAATATAATTCAACTTAAGATTTGAATACACGTACCCTGGTAGGGGTGGTAAAAATGTTCACTCCGCATCTCATTTGGTGGGCTGCATCCTTGTTCGGCCCAGCCTTCACAGTGGACATGGACTGGGTCGTCCAATGACTGCATCTGCTGAACCAGGCGGTCTCTGAAATGGGACAGTCTGGTCTATGGGGGACTTTTTGCTTCTGTCATCAGCTTTTCCTTCATTGCTCCCATTGCTTAGCAACCTGCTGGCTTGACAGTAAAAGCCTTAAACCCCCCAAACACATAAAATGCAGATAGAGAAGGTGACCTCCTTCTTTTTCATTTAATGTAAGAATATATGCTTCTCCTCCAGAGTATGATATATTTCAGGCTGGGAGAAGAACATTTTAATTTTTAATGAAAATCAGTTAAGCCATGTACTTTCAGCTAAAAGTAATATTGAGAATTTAAGGAGAGGAGATTCTATTAATAAAAACCACAACAGCAAACAGTTATTAACTTCTGTTTAACGAGTGTTTTCTTTAATATTTCTTTCATTCCTGACACACAATCAAAATCAAATACTGTCAAAAAACGGTACATCAATGAACATACTAATGTACTCTTTAAAAATGTCATCTCCTCGTTACCACCTCTAATCCCATGTCATGCTGATAATCTTGTAAACAACTTTAATTCCAAACTTTTGAATGTTATAGATGACATTGCACCTGTTACGGTTAAAACCAGTTCTAGTAAGCAAAAGGCACCTTGGAGAAAAGCTGCTTTTGTAACAGCCCAGAGGAGAGAGTGCAGGAAGGCTGAACGAATCTGGCGGAATACAAAACTTCACATTCACCATGACATCTATAAAGAGCGCCTCCGGGCCTACAATTTAGACTTAAAAAGTTCTAGGGAAACATTCTTCTCCAACATCATTAACAACAACAGGCAAAAACCCCATTTGAAACTGTTGACAGACTGACCAACCCCCCGACACAAATACCACCTGAACTCCATTCCACACAGAAATGCAACGAGTTTGCGTTCTTTTATACTGATAAAATTTAAGGCATCAGACGCGCCATTAATATCTCAAACAAAAATGTTGGATCACCACCCTATTTAGGCAAAAGTAACACAGCAATGACGACAAGCTTTAATGCCATAGACTCTCAAACTCTAGTGGAAATGGTGACACATTTAAAACCATCCACCTGCTGTCTTGATGCTCTACCTACCACTTTCTTTAAGAATGTTTTTGACTGCCTAGCAACAGACGTATTGCAAAAAGTTAATAACTCTATTCAGACAGGCCATTTCCCAAAAGCTTTCTAAACTGCAGTTATTAAACCTCTCCTAAAAAAGCAGAGCCTAGATGCCTCTATTATCAACAACTACAGACCAATTTCAAATCTACCTTTCATAAGTAAACTAATTGAGAAAGTTGTCCTATGTTGGGGGAAAATTGTTGAGCCTGCGTGGGGTGAAGCTCTCAGGAATGTGACCTTTGATGTGAGCCGGTGACTTAAGGCAGTCCAGGGTGAGATAAGACACAGATGAAACCATACGTGCCCTGACTGACCTTTTAGATGTTGTTGATTGTCTGGGTCCATAAAGGGAGGGTCACGGGGTCACCCCTACATCATCTGGTACTTTTCCAACACTCCTCTTTGAGAGGTGGGCTGTCCTGTCCTGAGGCAGCACAAACCCCCCTGAAGTGTATATAAGCTCCTGTTCTCCTCTTCAGCTTTGTCAGATCTTCCTGCTCCTTTTGGGGGAAGGAACATCTGTCCCTTTTCAGCTGAATTGTAGTCATTTGACTTCTGTCTGTGCTCACGACTTGTGCTGATGGTTTCTGTATTCTTTTTTCTATATTCTTGTTAGTAATAAATACTTAATCACAAAGCAAGCTCAAGATACTTTTGATTTCTCACATGAGCTAAATCCACAAATTTCCACCACAAACTACAACAACTTAATCACTTCCTGGCTTCAACTGGCTGCCACGACAACTTCCAGTCAGGATTTCGACCTCTTCATAGCACCGAGACGGCCCTTATTAAAGTTGTAAATGACATCCGTCTTAACACAGACTCTGGCAAAACTTCAATATTAATGCTATTAGACCTCAGTACTGCATTTGATACTGTCGACCACTCAATACTTTTGGACAGGTTGGAAAACTGGGTGGGGCTCTCAGGCACAGTCTTAAGCTGGTTCAGGTCATATCTACAAGACAGGAACTATTTTGTTTCCATTGGTGACTTCCAATCAGAAACAACCGACGTAACGTATGGAGTCCCCCAAGGTTCGATCTTAGGGCCGACTTTATTCAACATCTACATGCTCCCACTAGGACAAATCATGCAAAGAAATAAAATTGCCACCATTGCTGAGCTGATGACACCCAAATCTATGTAGCGCTATCACCAAACGACTATCGCCCCATAGATCTTCTGTGCCAGTGCATTGAGCAAATCAAAGACTGGATTTGTCAAAATTTCCTACAATTAAATGAAGACAAAACTGAGATCATTGTATTTGGTGCTAAAAAAGAAAGGTTTAAAGTAACCCAACACCTTCACTCTCTGTCCCTGAAAACATCAAATAAAGCCAGAAATCTGGGGGTTATTATGGATTCAGATTTACACTTGGAGAGTCACATCAAATCAGTAACAAAATCGGCCTACTACCACCTCAAAAATGTAGCACGACTTAGAGGGCTCATGTCAGCTCAAGACTTAGAAACACTTGTACATGCCTTTATAACTAGTAGGCTAGACTATTGTAATGGTCTCCTTGCAAGTCTTCCAAAAAAAACTGTCAGGCAGCTCCAGCTTGTTCAGAACGCTGCTGCTTGAGTTCTAACAAAGACCAAAAAATGTGAGCACATTACACCAATTCTTAAATCCTTACATTGGCTCCCAGTATGTCAGAGAATTCATTTCAAAATCCTACTGCTCACATATAAATCACTACATGGTTTAGGGCCAAAGTATATCACTGATATGCTTCCACTACATAAGCCTTCAAGATCACTAAGATCTTCTGACACCAATCTGTTAGTGATTCCCAGAGTAAATACAATTCATGGGAAAGCATCATTTAGTTACTACGCAACAAACAGCTGGAATAAACTTCCTGAAGATTTAAGACTTGCCCCAACTCAGACACGTTTAAAACAAGACTGAAAACTTTTATGTTCAGCTTCGGCTTCTGCTAAATTTTACCTACATTGCACTTTTAACCTCTGCTTTTAATTATACAATTTAAATAAGATTTTAATTTATAATTTTATTTGATGTTTATAATAGTCTTTTAATTCCTGCATTTTATTTCACTTTATTGTATGAAATGTTATAATGTGAAGCACTTTGAGTCTGCCTTGTGTATGAAAAGTGCTATACAAATAAAATTGCCTTGCCCTGCCTTGCCTTCTATGGAGACTTTTTTTCCCTGTACACGATATGAGCTATTTCAACTGTAACTTAAGATGTTACACAATATGTCCAAGCTACAGCAGCTGAATGTCACCACACACACCATTCTCTTCCAGCTTAATGCTGCTTCCTCCTGCTCCATACAACAACTAAATGTAAAGTTAGTTTATAACGACACAACACAATAGGAGAAAAGCAACCGTTTAACGTAATACACTCAGTGATTGGGCGGGGGACATGACCGAGTTGTAACTTACACGACATCGGCTACCAACGTAAGCAATTTTATAAACTAAGATGTGATGTATTATATCTGTTGCTATTCCAGTGAACTCCCACTTCCTGCTCACCTGTCTCCAGTCTGAATAAATGGAATCCCTGTCAGCCCGCACTGCATGCTGGGACATGCTGGGCCGCAAAGGATAGATCAGATGTAACAGAACACACAGCCGAGTCGCTGCCGGAGTGACGTATGCGGCCGGGGAATGATGAGCAGCTTTAGGAGGATGCAGCTGCTGGATAATCTCATCTCCAGTGGGACTCGCTTGGCCTAACAATTATGCCATTTTGCCCTCACGCACAATATTCAATGTGTGTTTGTTCAAATGAAATACCATCCAAAGACAGAGTCATGATTGTGATGTTCCCAAACAGCAGCAGAAATACAGATGAATACAACAAATATGTTTTATTGGAATGTATCATATTAATTCACATTTAGCTCAGCCATAGATCAATCTACACAAAGTACATCCATTCGGATAAAATATCTTGCCACAGCCATATAGTTTGTCATGTACAAACCTAAAGCCAATGGTTGTTGGAACTTAGACCGTAACTCGATCAGATAGTTAACTCGAAGATCTCCAGTGAAAAGCACCGATGTTCATTTCTGAGCAACTTCGTCCAACTTGGGCTCTGAGAAAGAACAAAAAAGATATTACTCCAGTGCATCTTTGATTATGTACACGTGTTTTACTTTCAAAGTCCCTTCTTTGAAACCTCTGGGGACCACGACTATCCAAAACAGCTGTGGCCAAAGTGCCGACAGATTGCAGATCTAGCTTTTAAACTTTGATCAATAAAATGAGTTCACAAACCCTCCAGATGAAAAAACCACACTAACAAAAACAGTTTAGGTGTTACCAGCTGGAAGTGTACTACACAACAATCAAAGAGTACTCTGCAGTGGGTGATGAAGAATTGAATAACTCAACTCACCTGTGAATGTGAACTGTGGAAACGATGCAAGGTCTCCACCACCATAGAGTCTCTGAAGCTTTGCCACCTCCTCTGCCAAAGCCTTTTCGTAATCTGAACCTGCATCCACTAGTCCCCCAGCAGCCCTACAGCAGGACCAGACCAGTTAGCATCTCATTCTGTCCCACAATGACAGCATCAAATGGGCATACTCTGATGACTCATCCGTCCACATTGACTCTTTACAAAGAGGCAAACGCAGAACCAGGCTTTGTTATCAAGTTTTTGTTCTAGTAATCATAGAATCCCCAGTTCCTCCAGTCCATGCCGATTGTTAAGTACAATTAAGTACCATGTAACCTCTTTGTGTGTATGCAAAATCTTTGTACTGTCCCCTCACCCAATCCCATCATTTCAAATCAAAAGTCCCAATGATTAACAGAATCTAAACATGAAGTCTAAACATGAAATGCTTATTGCTCCAATACTACAACTATTGATCATATTTAAAGTATTACCACCACACATTCTGCTAACAACCGTTAGTATTACAATTATTGCTAACGCATACTACTGTGATTACTACAAAAACTACTATCAAACTGATATTGATACCACAAAACGATACTACTGCTAAACACTACTAAAATTCTGTTTCTACTAATAATACGCCTGCTGTTACTACTAATAGTATTTCCAGTGCCTATTAATACCAATACATCTACTTAAACTAGTACTACAAAAGGTTATTTCTACACAAACTACTATTTCAACTAGTACTGCTGCTGCTACTACCACCACCACTACAACAACTAGTACTACTTTTACTGATGCTGTTATTTCAATTGGTTCTACAGACACTACAGCTATTGCTACAACTACTGTGATTATTACAACGACCACTGACGGTGGTTACATCTGACGGATATTGAAGCATGCATTGTTTGCTCAGATAGACTTTCACTTCCACTGATGAAATGCTGACAGGTGTATCACATGTCCTTTATTCCTTTTCTGAATGCTGCATATAGAGCGTTAATCGGAGTCCTGTTGGTGGGGCAGACCTCCATTGCCTTCCAGCTGAACTTGTGCTTGCTTTGATCAAGCAGCTACTGTTCAAACCTCAGTTTACAGGCTGTAAACCAACTGGGAGGACATGAAAGCTACTTGGTAGAGTCGGTGAGACTTACTGGCTTTTCGTGGAGTACTCGCGTATGGAGTCCAAGAAGAGCTTCTGGATTGGGTCCATTTGACCTGAGTCAGAAAAAAAAGTAAATAAATAAATAAAAAGGTAATTCCTTTTTTTTTTTTACATGAAACGGAGAAGCAGAATACAGGGGTCAGATAGGAAAGAAGGTTTAAAAGTCAATTGACAAGTTAAAAAGGTTGCTGTGTGTCATGCTGAACAGAGCTTCTGTAAGGTAAAGGTTGCCAACAAATAAAACATCTCAACAATTTCAAAGGACAAATAGAAAATCTTCATATTTGGCACAACACACAACAACCAGGTTGCTTTTACTATGTAATAAAGTTTACATTTACACACAACCAAAATACACCCAACCATAGGATCACACACAAAGGGGCAGATTGTGTATTCATTTTACTATGCAAGATGTGAGAAGTGTAACGGTCAAATGAGGAGGAGAGAAGGTTAAAGGAATAAAATAAATACAGTGACAGCTGCAACTCCTTCTCCACTGGACACATACCTTTAACATTATCGTTGTCTTCAACAACCACCAATACAAAAGTATAACAGTCCCATAAAACCATAACACAAGTTTGGGAGATGGACACGGCTAAGAATGACGTTTGAGGATGTTTTAAAAAAAGAAGACCGTAATGAAAGTTGGGATCTTAAAACATCTGCATGAGTAAAAGGGTGGGAAGAACAGATCACAGTGACATATGCAACATGGTAAAACGATCTTCTAGAAAACAAAAGAAATGAGTGTAGTGAGCGGGCAGACATTAGTAAGTGAAAAATAAACAGGCTACTGAAAGCAACTATGCCAAAATGCCATGCAGGAAAGACATGCAACAAATAGACAACCATTGAAAGGTTACCCAGCCATGTGGGGCAGGAATGTAGGTATGACGAGGGGAAGACATTTTTGAGGTTTATGGGCTAGGATGAGTAAGTGAGCAGTACGGAAGGACCATAAGCAACAACCTGACTAGAACAAAAAGAAGTGGGTTTGTGATGCCAGGTATCTTTAGGGTTTATCCTTACACTCATCACAAACAACAACTATATATTCATAGAAATGTGATGAAAATAAGTGCTGGTAGACTGCGGAGTCCAGGGAGGAAAATAGAAGGATTGTGGAGGGGGAGGTTGTGGTGTGTACCCTCAGACGGTTCAACTGGGCCGTCCGCCTGTAGCTCCTCTCCTGCAACCTCAGCTATCACTGGAGCAGGGTCCACCAGCTCCTCTGACCTCCCCACAGGAGCAGAAACTTCAGCCGCAGCCTCAGCTTCTACTGGGGCGGCCTCAGTAGCAGAGGGTTCAGGTGTAGCTTCAACAGGAACTTTGACTGCAGGTTCTGCTGGAGTAACTTCTAGAGCAGCAGCAGTTTGAACTGCACCAGTTTCAGCTGCAGGAGCTTCCACAGCTCGAGCAGCAGTTCCAGGAACAGATGCAACTACTTCAGCCACCAGCACAGCTTCGACAACTACTTCAGCCAACGGCGCAGCTTCGGCAACTACTTCAGCCACCGACGCCGCAGCTTCGGCAACTACTTCAGCCACCGACGCAGCAGCTTCGGTAACTACTTCAGCCACCGGGGCAGCAGCTTCGGCAACTACTTCAGCCACCGGGGCAGCAGCTTCGGTAACTACTTCAGCCACCGACGCAGCAGCTTCTGCAACTACTTCAGCCACCGACGCAGCAGCTTCTGCAACTACTTCAGCCACCGGCGCAGCAGCTTCGGCAACTACTTCAGCCACCGGCGCAGCAGCTTCGGCAACTACTTCAGCCACCGGGGCAGCAGCTTCGGCAACTACTTCAGCCACCGGCGCAGCAGCTTCGGCAACTACTTCAGCCACCGTGGCAGCAGCTTCGGCAACTACTTCAGCCACCGGGGCAGCAGCTTCGGCAACTACTTCAGCCACCGGCGCAGCAGCTTCGGCAACTACTTCAGCAACAGCCTCAATAAAAGGTGTGGCTTCAACTGCAGAGGTAGTTTCAGAGAGAGTTTCAACAGGGGAGAGTGACTCTACACCAGGACTGGCTTCAACCTCTGGGGCAGGCGCTTCTACCACACGGGTGGCTGCCACAGTCTTGGCTGCAGCAGCAGCGGGCGTGGACTCTGCAACTTGTGAAGCTGCAGCTTGAGCTGATGCAGTCGCTGCTGATCCTTTCTTGGGAAACTCATATGACTTGTGCTGGATAAGTTTCTCTACATCAAAGTATGTTTTAGTCTGGTCTTTGTCTAGGACAAAGGAGGAGGGCAAACAGAGAACACAGATTTTTTTTAAACATATGTATTAGGTGCAATGCCAAAATGACAACTTTCAATACATCCTACACATTCTACTCTAAACAGAAAATTCAACAATATACTGAAAGGTGGTATTGGTCACCAATTTACAGCAAAATAAAGAAATTTAAAAAACAAAATCTCAAGTCAAACGACACAGATAATGTACTGTAGAACATTTCAAGAAAAGGCTCAACAGAAAAGTGTAACCGTGACCTTGACTATAGCAGCTTTATGTTGAGATAAAAAAGGAACACATTATTATCAAAACAACCCAATTGCAACAATGGTCTGCCGCAGAGTGTTCTTGAAAACCGAGAGACAGAGAGATCCTTCTTGTTCTCTTAGGAGTTTCCACGGTGTACTTTTTGGTTTCTCATTCATTTTATTTAAGTTTGATTTTGCAACAAATGCAACAGATTTACTGACGACCGCCAGACCTGCCATATCGTGCTAGTGCCACAAGGAGGATCTCAGCCCTGCAGTCAAAATCTGAGGAAGGAAAGTTAGAAGGGAAAAATAATGCTAAGTGGGAATGTCTGAGTAAATTAATCGTTGCAGCTTCCCACGTGAAACCACTTGACCAATCAAGTATTTGCATTCCAGGCAGGATTTTTTTATGAAGCACTTTATTTGACACTACATATAATTTATTGTATTACTTTGAAATGCAGCACTACTTTTATTTAGTTATTGAGAGAACATTATTTATATTTTCAGTCACACACACATGTTCAGTTCTTTGGTATGTGACAATAAATATTTAGTTTATAATAGTTTTTGAATCGTATGGAATTAATTTGGTTTGTCAGTTGTGTATTGATTAAATGCAAATGTTGCGCTATACCTCCATTTAATCACACAAAATAGTCTAGCGTTCTTCCAGACCTTTGCTTTTAGAGATTTTCTCTAATGGACCTCTTTACATTTGAGTTGAATAGCCCTTCTATAGATGACTATGAGAAAAGCATGCATATAGTGAAGTCTTCAATACAGTAAATTGAGTAGTAAATACTGGTCCATTTAGAGTCGAACAGACCAGAAATCAGGGCAGGCTTTGGGGCGGGGCTACACGGTGACTGACAGGTATCAACTAGGGCGTTGTCAGATCAACTTTTCATCTTAACCACTCATTTGGGGTATTGAGAATTTATGGGTACAATCTAAAAAAGGTGCACATAATAAAGTCATATAGTGGGATGGCATCACGGCACCACAAACGTGAGCTTTATTTGATAAAAGCACTTTTGTGACAGCAGCAGAGACTCTGAGACCTACCTGAGCTGTTCTTTTTCGATGACTTCTTGGAACCTCCAGATTTTGTGCTAAGAGTCACAGCTGCAGGTGTTCTACTCAGAGTGATCCAGCTCTCAGCCAGCAAACACTGACAACACACACAAACCTTTTTATTCATTCATGGTCCGTTTGACCTACAATAACTGTACTAAAATATATTACACTAAATTACTAAATATTGGATGAAACATATATACTTCATACACCTTCTTTCTACTGACAAAGAATGGGTGAAATTGCACAATTGCGTGTGCGTGTCCTTGCGTTTCTCTGAAAACGCAGAAGCATAAACTAGGCTCTACCTTCACTGAGCCCAGTCGTCCTGTCCTCAGCAAGGCAGCCGCCATCTTTCTGTGCAGGCAGTCTGTGCTGTGAAAGACAGGAATTAACACTTGAGACATGTTTTTCAACCTGTAACTGTAAAGTTTCCATCAGCATTGTGCAAAAAAGACCAAGTAATAAAATGCAACAGCTGGAGTAACGTCTGTTAGCTTGTCTCAGCGCGCAGTGAATACAGCTTATATAATGAGGACATTATAATAGAATGGATACTGGAGGTCACCTTTCGAGTAATACGGCCTTTATGTTGTTCTTTTTAGCAGGTGAGGACTCCCGGAGCAGCTCCCAGCAGCATGGACATGGATCGACAACAGTTATACAACACATTGGAGGGAGACACGCCCCCCTCTTGTGGACATTCTGTACTCTTTCAAAAGGGGGCGTGAGTTGTGTGGTTTGTGACGCAATTAGAGCGCGACAAAATAAGGTTCTTCGCGTGGGCCGCCGTTGCGTGTCCCATGCACACAACAAGCATGACTGCCGTTGGTTTCTGTGGAGAGTGGTTGATCGTCACATGCGACAAGAAGCTCGTAGCCATCAACACCAAACAGGCCAGGTTTGATTCTGTGATACTCTGATAAGTTATGTTGAACGTCAGCTAACGCTAGCGGGCTGTGGACGGACGTTAGCCTCACGCACGTCATGTGTAAGCGTTGGGAAACGTGCGGATGTTGTTGGCATCTGTGTGACACAGACACCGGCTTAATACAAGGGACAGGGTCCTCCGAGCTGAGAAAGACTACCTGTGTTGACCGCTGTCCTGGGTCGAAGACCCTCCTGGGTTATTGGCTACTTGAGGGTCCTGATTAGAGTGGTCGAAGATGAGATGTTAGTTAACAAGTTAACTGAGAATAAAGGTTACACTTAATGTAAGAATGTATAACCCAAAATAATAAATTATCCTCAGAGGGTTTTACACTTGTGACATCCTCGGTCCCAGAAGCCTCTCATCAGTACAGGAAAAACTCCCCAGAAAATCTTTTAACGGGGGGAAAAATGGAAGAAAACTTGGAGAGAGGAGGATCCTTCTACCAGGATGACACAAGAGTGATACGTATCCGATGTACAGAATGAACAATGTAAAAGATGCAGTGCGTTCTATGCAAAATAGAAGATACCGTATGTTGCAAGTTTGATACCTAAATTAAATAATGTTATAATCGTCACAGTTACTACCCAACAATACATGTATTAAATGAATATTATTTATTGGTAAATATCAAACTTAATTGCTAAGAATGAATCAATATGAGGCACTTTTTTTACTGGGTCACATGTAACCCCTGTAATTGTAGTTATACATTGTAATTCTCTTATATTCACAACATTTATTATTTATTTTATAGAGCTTTTTACATCAAATTTTGGAACTTCATTATATGATATGAGATAATGTACGACATGACAAGAACTCCGCAGCAATATTGTGATGGAGACATAATTGTTTAGAAAAACTGTGATGTGTGATGGTAAAGTTGTGTGCTGTCCTAGTTTGGTATCTCCCAGATATTTAAAGATACAGGTTAACTACATGAAAAGGCTTCACTGCAGTAACTCATCTGAATTTGTACTTTATTGCAGAGAACGGTTTGTCTTTGACTGCAGCACAGCTGAGAAGAAGCCAGCGGATGGGAAGGGATGATAACAGCAGGTAGAACTAGCAGATGATCCTATTGACATACAGGACGACACATGCAACAATAACGCATACAGAAGAAGAACATGATATTTTTTGGAATGACAAGAAGCTGTGTAGAATGGACCTGGAATCTTAGTTGTAATTGTCGCTGCTGTCCTCAGTGATGCCGGTGCCTCGGAGGAAGTGGGAAGGGACAAAGTCCTTGCTTTTGCCGTGTCTTCATCTGGAAAGCTGGTGGCGCTGACCGATGACTCCAAGAGACTGGTCCTGTTCCGCTGTGAGCCATCATGGCAGTGTATCAGTATCAGGTACAATCTTTTCCACAGCAGCTTCATTTACTGCTCGGATGACGGTGTCCCGTGTTAATAGTTGCTGTTGGTGCGTTACACAGGTGGGTGGTGAGGAGATGTACCTCGCTGATGTTCAATAAGGCGGAGGACGCGCTGCTGGCGACTGACAAATCAGGCGATGTCTACTCCTTCTCAGTGGAGACGCCTCAGCGAGAGGGCGAGCTGAAGATGGGCCACCTGTCTATGCTGCTAGCTGTCGTAAGGAAAACCAACCAGTGTGCAGAAAGTTTGTTTCACACACCCTAGTTCAGGAGCCACTGGGCTGTTTCAGGGGGAAAAAAGCAAACCATTTTGCTAATCACATGCTATTCCTTTTACACATTAGCAGTTAACACATTTCCTTTGAATTTCATACCTTAAAAAAAGAATGGATTCAAATATAAACCCAAATCTATTTCCCACTTCCAGGGCATCAACATGTTATCTAGTTTGTTATAGAACACTGGTGTCAAACTCGAGGCCTGCGGGCCGAATCCGGCCCACCGGATGGGGGTCCAGTGCGGTCCGCCGGATGACTTTGCTATTGTGAGAATTATAGAAAGCTATAAATTGAATTTCTATAAAAGTTGCTGCTATTGCACTCTGAGTGAGCGCATGCGTTAGACCAGGGGGACCCGGTAGATCACCTGTCATTGAAAGAAAGAAAAAAATCCCGTCAGGTCACCATGCATGCGCGGCTGCTTCTGACAGACGATAGACTCGTTTTGTTTCTTTTATATCGATTCGTTTGGTGCTCCCGGTATGTAGCGGTGTTGTACCCTTTGGTTACAGCTACTGCTCGTAATTATTAGTATTCTGAACTGCCCGCTTTCTCCTTGTCCTCTTTCTCTTGGCACTGAGCTTTTCACCATTTCTTTTGGGCCCTGAGAGGTGAAAAGGGATCAACTTGGGGTAAAACAGTGCGCCTGTTTTTGGCTACTGAAAAAGAACAAGAAACCAGACCGGATTCCTTTTTTCTGTTCGTAGCTAGAAACATTGGCGCCGTATTAATCCTCTTGTCACTAATTGGCATTTTCCCTCCTGCTGCTTCTCAGAGCATGTCGCCAGATGATAAGTACATCATCACAGCAGACCGCGATGAGAAGATTCGAGTGAGCCCTCTCACGTCTCCACACAACATCCAGTCCTTCTGCCTGGGACATCAACAGTGAGTAACTGAAGCTACCTGAAGGGGAACGTGTGTGTTTGCGTGCGCATGTGTGCACTGAGGTTTTGTAAATGCTATTCATGTTTTTTAGGTTTGTCAGTGCTCTGCTGGTCCCTTCGGCTCATCCACACTGGCTGCTCTCTGGATCTGGGGTGTGTGATCATTGTGTTAAATTAACAAACGTCCTGCCAGGGCCAGAAGTATTTGGATTATATCTTCAAAATGTTGCCTCTCTGCGCAACTCCTGATGATGTGGACTGAAGCAGTCAATACTTGGTTGAAGTGGAGACTTTCAGAGTTGATTCAATGAATTTAACAAAAACACCACATTAACACTTCAGGAATTACAGCCATCTTCACACAGTCACCCCCATTTTCAGAGGAAGTAATTGGTAAATCGACCGGACAGTCAACGTTTTTCCATGACAAGTTAAATTAAAAATGTTTAAAAAAAAGTAAAAAGTGGTTGCTGATCTTTGGAACACTCCGCATGCAAGTCAAGGAAGCCATTATTAGGCTGAAACAACTAAACGGAGCTTTCAGGCAGACAGCCAAAACATTAGGAATGGCCAAACGGTTTGGTACATTCTTGAAAAGAAGGAATGAAAAGACCCAGTAGACATCTGAAGTGGCTGATGGAGAATCATGTCCGTGGTAAAGAAAGACCCCTCCATTACATTTACCCAAGTCAAGAATGCAGACCACTGGGGTGAACTCTGGAAAAACAGGACTAAACAATCTGCGAAGATTCAGCCTTATGCTGCTAATCTGACGGGGCGGCTCTTCACTGTGCAGATGGATAGTGAAACAACCATAGAGCTTCTCAGGGGAAACAGTTACTTGATCTCGACCCAATTAAACATGCGTTTCACTGACTTTGGATACGACTGAAGGCAGAGTCCCAAACAAGCAGCAACTGAAGGAGGCTGCACTAGAAGCCTGACAAAGCATCTCAAGGGAGGACATGTGATGTTTAGGGATGAGTATGGGTGCCAGACTTCAGGCAGCCATTAACTGCAATGGACTTTCCTCAAAGTATTAGAAATGATCCATATATTCTCAACTATGTTTGTATTGCCTGCTAGAGTTCAAATCATCTGGAGTTGCAGGCTTTATACTCACTACTTCAATAATGCATTTTCTCTAAAACCTTACTATTTAAACACTCAAACAGGCCTATGTTTGTGTGACAAGTTTGTATTTAAATGCAGCAAAGATCTACTGTGCAGTGAAACTTTGACAGCATACAATCAAACTGATCCAGAGATTCATCGAGGACGCTTAACTGTGTCCATCAGGACGGGACCATGAAGCTGTGGGAGTACGAGTCTGGCCGTAAGCTACAGAGCTGGGACTTGAAGGAGCTTGACCCTGAGGCACAACACAAGGTAAGCGTGTCCCCGTCACACCCCAACACTTAGATTAGACCATGAATAGATCAGACATTCATGGTCCCCAGAGTTGAGTCCCACTGACTGTGATGAATCCCTGATTTTTCTCAACCACTTTTGTAATAAAATTGTTTGCCTGTATGGATCACCCCTCCTGGTTTCCCTTACCAGACCCCTGGTAAAAAAAGCGCAACACCTACAGACCTACAGAAGAGCACTGCAGCGTTCTGCTGACCAACTGACCAATCACAGAGCATGTTCTACAGCTTCCATTAAAACTATGCAAATGAGATGGATACGCCGTCTAAAACAGCCAATAGCGGCTTTCCTTGCTGAGGATTTGCCGCGCTGCTTGTCACTCGATGCGCTTCTACCGTCCGTCGGGTGACTGAGCAGTTCACCTTGTATTTGTCAAAAAGATTTTGAACGTAATCTGTAAACATGTGCAGCTGTATGGCCACTATGTTGTTTTTTCTCCATCAAATGATCATTCCACGCTATTCAAATTTGTGTTACTTTAGTGTTGTGTACACTAAAAGGACTGAACTTTTTCTAGTCTTCCAACCACTCATAGCGCTTTAATACTGTAATGGAAAGTTGTGGGTTAAGAAATCAAAAGTCTTAAACTTGCTTTGTGATTAAGTATTTATCACTAACTAGAATATAAAGAATACAGAATACATCAACACAAGCCGTGAGTACAGACAGAAGTCAAATGACTCAATTCAGCTGAAAAGGGACAGATTGTTCTCCCTCAGAGGAGCAGGAAGATCTGACAAGCTTCTTGGGGAGAACAGGAGCTTTAATACACTTCAGAGAGGTTTGTGTTGTCCAATCAGAAGATTGAGACTGGGAAAGGAATTTCAGTAGGAAACCCTGATGTGGTAGGAAACGGCCCCTAACCCTCCTCAATGTGACCCAGGCAATCATGTTTTAACAGACGGAAAGGAAATGATCAATAAAAGCACACAAGGGATTCCAGCTGCCACCCTGGACTAGTTTAGGTCACATGTTTCCTAAAGAAAAGTCACACAATGTGACAAAGACAGCAGGGTTTCCCTACTATATATCAGAGGGGCCCCGACCCCCGCTTCCTGAAGTGAAACCATGCCCCCGAAGAAAGGTATTTCTTTCACGTGGCGCTCACCACACTAGCGCCCCCCTCCCCCCCCCCACACACACTGGTACCTATTAAGTACTAGTATGTAACCTCTAAACATCAACATGTAAACAAGCAATGCCTCTTTCTGTTTCCTTTCCAAGTCTACTGTATGCCGTATCACCAGCTCTCCTGACAATTGCCACGTAGCAGTGCAGTGTGAAAGGTGAGTGTAACGGCCGAATGTGGAAATCACTCATTTGACTAGTATTTATTTTAACAATCAACGCTTGAAGTGAAGAAGGCACTTGAAAATAACAAGGTAGTAAAAAATATACAGACCAAAGTATGTCATTTCACCTCTTTACCTGTGCCAAAACACTTGTAATATAATGATGATCATGATGGTGATAAAAAATATGAAACCAAATTGAATTCAACACTGTACACCAAACTGACCTCTAAAGAGCCAGTAAACCTACCACTGCTGATTTCTAGTCCTCCTAGCTCATGGTAGCCATGTTTTACTGTGACACCCTGCGGGTCCCTACGGTGTGGGGCTCTACACAGCAAAACACTGCTCCGCTCTCTTCTCCTCTTGCCCCAGCCAAAGGCGAAAAGCCCCAAAAAATAGTTTTATAAAATAATTTAATAAACAGAACACCGTTCAAAGGGAAATACGCTCGCATCGGTGGAGCGGTGGTTCTTGTGCACCGACTACGCACCGCAACGACTATTTTACGCTTCGGCGAGTTTGAATGTGGCTTCCTTAGTTTAGCTCAGCTGTCTCGGTTTAGCAGCCTGTTAGCAGGCTGAAGCCGCGCTGCTTCACAGAAACATGAAGACCCGTTTAACAGACTGTCGGACCTTTCTGCTCTGTTCTCTGGCGACGGCAGGCAGCATTTCCTCGGCTGGATGAGACGCTCCGTTACAGGTTTCTCCAAACACGTCTAACGTAATAAACTCATTGCAGGTTCTGAAGCCAAGAAAATAATGTATTGCAACGATTGTAGGACGTTAAGGGGTCTCTTTTGTTGGGACAGTGGAAACAATAAAGGACCATGAAATGTCAAAAGCATTGCAAGTAAACAGACAAAGACAACAAAGTGTTGCGTTTAGGTCCCTGGTCCTCATGAAGTTGTTACACCTTTGCCAATTTGTTAAATTGCCTTGCAAATAAATGCTTTGCTATTTGTTAAAATCCAAATCCTTTCATGTAATGATTTTTCACATGTCATTTATATCAGCTCGCACAAACACTTCAACCATTTGTTCTTGGCCCGGCTCCTCCGTCACATTTTACAACCCATTGTGGCCCGCGAGTCAAAACGTTTGCTGACCCCTGCTATAGACCTGTCCTAGGAGGGACATCTATAGACCTGTCCTAGGAGGGACATCTAATGGACAACCAAGTACTGCAAGCTAGACTATTATGCAGTTATGGACACAACACAGGGGGTCCCTGAGCCTGAGAAAGGAAGAAAAGGAGTTTAATATGGCTGTTAAATGTGACTAAAATTAATTACATTTTAGTCTAAAGTCTCAGACTAATCAACAATAGCTGCCAAAATTAACACTAACCGGATGCCCCCGTGGCCAGATATGCGAAATGAGTTTGAGACCCCTGCTCTACAGATTCTGCCTGTCTCTTCTATGGTGCCGGTTTTCCAAAACTGATTGGGTGTGTTGTTTGTTTTACAGCCGTATGTGATTGGCTGCTCATTCAAACGTGGCTCCTCCCACGCTGGTCACCATGACATCTCTCTGCCTCCAGGCTTTATCTGAGTGTGACGCCGAGTGCGACAAGTGGTCGGTGGAAGGTTCCTTTTTCAGAACGGCAGGTGCCGATGGTCTGTGGCAGGTTCCTTTGCCATAACGGCAGGCTGCGTGGTCGGTGGGAGGATCTTTGTGACGTGGGTTTGCCACTCACGGTCACAAAGATACTTATTTAACGTTACATGGTATTTACATGTCGCTAAATACCCAACTGAGATCGGCTTATGCCGTTCTGAAAAAGGATCCGACCACCGCAAACTACCACCGACCGACCATGCAACCTGCCGTTATGGCAAAGGAACCTGCCACCGATCATCGGCACCTGCCGTTCTGCCGAAAGGAACCTTCCACCGACCACTTTTCGCGCTCGGCCCTACTGTCATCTGATGGCCAAATCGGAAATCCCTCACTGACCCTATTCACTTAATAATACAGTACATTCAATGATCACACCTTTGGCTTAGAGCTTCACGTAAACATAACCTAGCATGCATAATATCACTATCTAATAGATGGTACACGCCTTAAGTCAGAACATCGTAATAGTTATGTTTAAGTAATTTTATATGGTCAAAAATCCAAACAGTTGCCTCGCAGGGCAGTCCTACGTCCTTTGCCTGTCAGAAGAAAAAACTTCCAAAGAAGAAATCCACCCACGTAGCCTTAAGCATGCTTCCCCTAGGCTGTAACTTAATTGTGGCTGGATGTCATGTGTACAGTAATTGACAAAAATAAAAAATATGTATATGCAATATGAATTAAACATATTTTATATACACATTCAGTTATTAATCCAACCTACTAATTTCTTATAACACACAAACTACATTTCAAACGTTAGTCATGACCACACATATTGTAATTCCTACCACTAGGCGTGCTCTTCTGCTTAAATTCAGGTGCCTGCAGCTTTTGAGTTTAATGGATCGGATATGGTATTCCGGTATAAGATTTCCGTGCGGTATGAATTTCTCACGTACCGTTCATACCGGCAGAATTTGTTTTTACGCAACATCACGGAGCGCTCAGCGGTCGGAGCTACTTGTCTTACGTGTGTTGAGATTGAGTCATGGTTCTAACTTCATAACAATGAATAACCCACAACAAACACCACAACTGCTTGTGACGCATAAACAATTTTTAACACTAATAATTTATAAAAATGACCCTGCCGAACTGGATGATGCGTACAGCTCACAACAAGAAGTAACGTTAACTCTGTTGCTACATGAAAACACGGAAAAGAGCGATAGGCTACAGGAGGAACAACTAGAGACCAGAGATGCACCAATAGAGCTTGTGCGGGTTTTTGGTTTTGGAAAATTTGACGTTACGTTAGATCAGAAAACCAGCCACAACAAGCTAACGCGCTAACAAGCTAACTCGCCGGCCAGTCATGTCATTTAACCAAAGGGTACAAGCTCAGAAGAACAAGAAAGTGCAATTTCCTCAAATAAGCCAATTTGCTATAGATAAGTGGCTTTATAAGTACAATTCAAGTGCTACAATTTGTTAGTCTTTAGTCGAGGTAGAGTCTGAAGAGGTGTGTCTTTAGTTTGCGGTGGAAGATGTGAAGGCTCTCGGTGGTCCTGGTGTCTTCAGAGAGCTCGTTCCACCATTTCGGAGCAAGGACAACAAATGATCAATGAATTATGTGTTTACTTGAAAAAGCAATACCGGGATATACCGTCAATCTTTCTTAATACCGTGATATGGATTTTTGGCCATACTGTGCAGCCCTGCGTACAACACTGCAATACAATCTACATTAGCAGAGTTGGTTAAGAAAGTGGATAAATGCAAACGTGCAATGGTTCTATGGCAATGGCCATTGCGGAGCTTTGTTGGCTGCTGGCATTCAACCAATTAGGTATGTAGGTGCCTTTTCAGATCCTGTGGCAGCAACAACAACAACAACTGGGTCGTCGTGGCGCAGGGGTAGAGAGGGTGCGCTGGGAACCACAAGGTTGGTGGTTCGAGTCCTGGCTGCCCCATGTCGAAGTGTCCCTGAGCAAAGACACCTAACCCCTAATTGCTCCCCGGGCTAAATGTAAAAAAGCCATGGGTTAAAAATGCAATGTAAGTCGCTTTGGATAAAAGCGTCAGTTAAATGACCTGTAATGTAATATAAACAAAATTCCAAACGCACCGCACTAAGTGCACAGAAATGTCTCTGGGGGAACTTCCTGTCTGCGTCATCCGCTTTACCTCTACTGGTTGCAGAGCAACCTGCTGGGCTTGAAAGTAAAACCTGAAAAAAGTACAGATAGGAGATAATCTTTCAAATTAAATCAGTTAAGCCATGTACTTTCAGCTAAAAGTAATCTTAAAGCAGAGGAGATTCCAACAATAAAAAGCACAACAGCAAAAGCATTTATTAAGGACTTTTTTTTTTTTTTCTTGCATAGGATCTATTTTAACTGTAATTTAAGATATTCCAGAATGTGTCCAAGCTACAGGGGCTGAATGTCATCCTCCATATCATTCTTTCAGTGTGATGCTGCTTCCTCCTGCTCCATAAAACACAACTAAATGTAAAGTTAGTTTATAATCACACAACAATAGGAGCAAAGCAGTTTCTTTGTATTGATTATGTTTAATGTTACAGACTTAGTGATATTTCAGGTTCATATCTTAAGCTCACTTTGATCCGTTTCTGTTCATAATATTATGTAATTATCTATACAACCCTTACAGCCTCCGCAGGATGTTAGTCAGCCTTTAAAGTTTGAAAGTTGAGGCATTAAAGTGACTTGTCACTAACTCAGCTGAGCTCCTGGTAACGTGAGTTGCCCGTTGTGTATTTGTAATAAATGTGTGTTGGTCCAATGATGTTCATGAGAAGCAGTACGTGGGCCTGGGGGCGTTCAGGTGAGGGGGGCTGCGATTTCATAAACTATGTTATAACATTTTTATCGGTAGATATTCGAGTAGATTCACTTCACTTCGTCCTGAATAAATTAAATCCTTGTCGGCGTGAGGAGCCGATGGAACGGGACAGCCGAGCCGCTGCCAAAGTGACGTATGCGGCCGACGAATGTGTCCTTAAGGATGCAGCCTAGTGGTGTTGGGACACAGATGATTTGTCCGAAAAATATTACTCGACACTGGTGTAAAATCATTTGACAGGACATTTATTAAATAATACTTAATAAGTAGGAGACACCCTGTGATTGGCTGGCAACCAGTCCGGGGTGTAACCCGTCTCTCGGCCGAAGTTGGCTGGGATAGACTCCAGCGACCCTGTGTGCAGGATAAGCGGTGTGAAGATGGATGGATGTATGGAAGTAGGAGACAGAATTGTTACACATACAAGCCATGCATCACATCTCCTTAAAGGTCTTCATCTTCAACGCTGAAATATATACATCCCTGCATTGCTTTTCCCTTTAAATTTAATTCAATTTCCCCTCTGTCGCTCTAAATTAATGTTATTTTTACTATTTTTTACCATTTATACCATATACTGTATATGTAATATACATATAGATGATACTTGGGTCATGGGGATCCTTAAACTGTATATGTAGATGACATTTCGGTCAATGTCAAAGTGAAGCTGCCCCTTTGATGCTTCACTTTTAGAATACATTTAAAATGGGGATGGATGAACACTCAATTGATTCAGCAGTTTGTCCTGTGTGTCCTTAGAGTGTCCACCCTTCAGTTCTTTACCCTGGACCTGGAGGGCAAAGAGAAGCTGGTGCCACAGAGCCGGCTGTCCCTGCCCCACTGTCCCCTGGACATTGCCTTTGACCCAGAGGGCCGTCTCTGGGTGCTGATGGACTCCACTGATGCACCGCTCCAAATCTATACACACAGGCGAGACTTCTGGGAGGTAGAGTGTGATACATTCAGACACATGTTCTCACTGAACACACACACAAAAAAAATAGTTGAAGATATCGACATTATTAAAAATGAAATATTCGCTATATTTGCAATGAAATCATGGGTTTGGCTTCGTCGGTCAGATATCTACAACAACATACTGTGTGATGCGACTGCTGGGGAGGAACAAGAAGAATCTCTAAACAGTATTTTTCTTTGACAAACATCAAAGACCCTGAGCACTTTGTTCACTCTTTGCTGCACATGACATTATACCAATAAATTGAACAATAACTATTATAATCTATCTTAAACTGACTGCCTGACCCGCACACACCCCTGCTCCATCTAGTGTGATGCGGAGAGCCCCGAACTGAACGGTGTGACTGAAGCCTTCAAGCCACACTGGGAGACACTGGAGGGTGAGTCATCACACACACAGACACACACACACACACAGAGCTGTTGTAGCTGCTAGTGTTGCCACCAGAGGGAATACTGGGCACAAGTTGTGTTGGTGCACCTCTGGTCTCTCTGCATCGCTCCTCTCAGTGTTCATGTAGCAAGAGTTTCTTCTTGTTGTGAAAGTGGGGGAGCTCTACCCAGCATGCAGTTCGGTCGGGTAATTTTAGAAATGTACATGTGTTATTGGTGTTACAGATTGATACTAATACTGGTGCACAGCGATAGCCTGCAGTTTTACATGGCCTCCCTGAAACGTGTGTGTGTGTGTGTGTGACATGCACACAGATGGAGTCATATGATCTCTTTTCACAGTTTTGTCAGTACACAGTATAACATTTTTGATCGACTGGAAAGAGACTCATTGCAGCAACCTGACAAAAAAATTCAGTAATCTAGGAGTAAAAATGCAAGAACTATTTTTTTTACAGGACATGCCCTTTAAAGATAAACAAAGGATAAGGCCAAAAATGTTTGCGTTGGGGCGTAAGGCCAAGCCAATGCCATCTAGAGAAACCACACCATCACCATATGGTGTATGTGTTGAGTCCAACATCAGAAGGAATCAGGTCATCCAGTCATGATGGTCTTAAGATATGCTTCAAGTCTAACAAGCTGGTTGGTCTCGTCTGGCTTAATCGATACAATTGAGAATCATTGGAATGTGAAGAGGCGACAGTGACATTAGGTCGTTGTTGGAGCCATAATTTTTATTTTTATTCAAAGAAAACAAAATGAATTTTCCCATGCAATTGTGCACCCTACTACCTATACTTTATCTGTTTTAAAGACTAAACTTCATAAACACCCTGTTAGGATTCAGAATACGTAGCTATATTCTATGACTCAAACAAGTGACTTCAACTCTGCTTCCTGGTCTCCGCTCTGGATTGTTCTGTGTTAGGTCCACTAATACGCGCTCAAATTTCTAGATATAAGATCCACTCCATTCAAAGAGGGGTGAAAACTGTTGCTCCTAATCAGTCTAGGACAGCGGTTCCCAAACTCAAGAATGCCGCGGCCCACTTTGAAATCTGAAAATCTTTTGCGAAACCTTTCCAAACCTTTAATCACAACTCTGATCAAAACATAAACTAGGGATAATTAAATGACCTTAAGTCTTTAATCTCATGAAGTGCTCGGCAAGAACGACAGTTTTGTTTCTCTGACGCGCCCTGAAACAAGCTCCATATCTCACGCGCTTGAGCGCCGCTCAGCATCTCGCCGTCGTAGACGAGCTTTGGCATGTTTGGCAGAGCGCCTTGAGCGCCGTGTACAACCAGTATGGATCAACCGATTAATCTGTTCGTTTAAATTATTTGTGCTTCATCAATTAATGTTTCACATAACTAACGTGCCGCATCATACATATTTTTTGATTAATTTCAAACTTTTCAAAATTGAAAATTAAAAACTTATTTATTTATTGTAAATGACCTCTCTCTCGCGGCCCACCAGCGGGCCGCGGCCCAGACAGCTGGACAACACTGCAAAAGCCAGCAGTGGAATGCTGACCTGCAGCGCAACGTGAAGCAAACCTCACTGTGATCCCCCTCTGCCTGCGTGGGCAGCATATAATATGTTTCCATCTTCTTCCAAGACCAATCCAGATGACCTCAACATATGCCGTCACATATGGCCTGAAGAATAAAGGTTTGGGTTTATGTACAATTCATGTGGATGTGGTTCCTGTCTCCTACACAGCCTCCAGCAGGAGCGAAAGCCGCTTCGAGCATCTGCACAAGGTGAGCTTCGACAACGTGACTGCATACTTGCAGAAGAAGCAGCAGAGACTGGAGGAGCAGCAGTTGAAGGAGGGGGACGGCTCAGAAAGCCAATGGCAACAAGAAGGCCAAGAAGGACACATCGGGAGCTGGAATTTAGTCATTGAACATACTGGGAGCTATCACTGCCTTTATTTTTCATGCTTTGAATGATGTATCTCAGTGGAATATGTGTTGATGAAGCACGTGGAGTGCGCGTCCTCTACCACATGGTCTACGTAGAAGCATTTTTATGTTTGGCTTAGATTTGGTTGATTTTGAATCATAAACGTTGCAGTTAATTCAACTGTGCTCTTGGTTTCTGCCACCATACCTGAATAATTCCACTCCTCACTGTAACTACTGCTTTTCAATTCCATTTTATTTTCTATAGCCCCAAATCACAAATTAGAAATTTGCCTCCGAAGGCTTTACAGTCCACGTTGTTGCATCCTCTGTCCCGTAACTCACATCTGTACAGGAGAACCGAACAAGGAACAAGGAACAAAACGGCAGATGAGGGATCCCTACGCAAGGATGGACAGAATGAACAGCGAAAATGTACAATACATCAACAGAAATGATCCAAATATTGCGAGTACTAAGCCAGGTGTACGGCAGGGACACCCATCGTCAGATAGAACCACCATCCACATATTTATAATGATAGTGTCAGCAGGGCCATTGCAGGAGGAAAGAACAGGGTCCAGAGAACCATGATCCATGGAAACTTGAGGCGAGAAAGCACAAAGACCAACCCAGCAAATCACATTAAGTCTCTTCCAAAAGATTCACTTTCATGGGAGGAGGGGGGACTTTTGCCCTTCACCCTCAGAGCGGAGCGTCATTTCTCAATCTACACGTATCCTCTTTTTACTTGCTAAGGAAGCTTCCGCTCTATTCCACATGGGTCTGCCTCGATTCCATAAGACTTAGAAATGGGCCAAGGAATCCAGTAGCACCACGAGCGAAGGGTGGAAGGTTCCTTTCCAGTAGGGCACATTCCCATTTTACAACGGCACAAACCAATCTCACTTGGGCATGTAGTGACATGGACCCGCCGCCGCCGCCTCATGCAAGTTCCATATAAATGAGTGTTTTTGCGGTTTGCTGGAAAAAAAAAATCTTGCAAAACATAGCGTCTTAAATAAAGTGATGATGTCTTAATGGAAGAATTGGACATCCTCCTGGGAGACTTTAACATCCAGACAGAGAAGTCATCTGACCTTTTCCTTTCTTCTTTTGCACTCTCTCAGTCCTCCTACTCACAAAGAAGGCACTCACTTTGACTACATCTTCACTAGAAACTGCCTTACCTGTAACGTCTCTGACCACTTCATCTCCTACTCTCTCCCACTCTATAACTAACGACCCCAACCCATCATCTCCTACTCTCTCCCACTCTATAACTAACGACCCCAACCCATCATCTCCTACTCTCTCCCACTCTATAACTAAAGGACCCCAACCAATCATCTCCTATTCTCTCCAACTCTTAAACTAACGAACCCCAACCCCATCATTTCCTACTCTCTTCCCCGTCTATAACTAAGGACCACAACCATCAAATACGTCTACTGTTGTGGACGATATGCTCCTCTCTCCCTCCTCTGTTCTATCAATTCTCCCCTCAAACTGACCTCTCACATCCGAACGCTGCCGCAGAGACTCTCCTCAACTCTGTCCTCCCCCGCCCGATAGAACAGGATGGTGCCGCTTCAGATGTGTGGCCATCCTCCATGAAGTACTGTGATCATATGGCTTTCTCAGTAAGCAATGCTGACATACCGGAATGGTTTTGTCCACAACCCTTCTCCAGTCATTAGAATTTACAGCCCAAATGCTCACAAGCTCCTCCTCTTGCCATGACCTTTAAATAATCCGGACACGTTCACCTGTACGCACTACTGTTTTATATCTGTCTACTGACACTATAAAGTGATATTCAGTGTAGGACTTTCACAATACATACCCACTTCTGTACATAATACCCGATACTTACGATACCAGAATTTGATAGAATAACACAAATACGATACAATAGACAAATATTCCACTATTGTAGTAATAAAACATCTGTATGGTTCCCTTTTTCACCAGCTAGTTCCTGCCCAGCTTTTTGAACGCTAAACAAATTGCATTGGAATTAGTATGTTTATGTTAACATACAAGAACTGATTGGTGTCAATATGAGGAAGCATATTTTAGATCTAGAGGAGTGGATTGTTTGGTAACCCAGCCGTGTGGACATGCCATATAGAGAAGGTTAGGATAACTGAAACTAAGAGCCTGTGCTGTGGATAACAAATTATGCAGTGACATTAACAGTCCAGATTTTTAATATAATGAATCCTTTTTATTTTTTTTTTGTAGGAAAGAACAATCACTAAAAATCTGTAAAAAACACATTTAAATAAAAAACACAAAATCTAAAAAATGTTCACTCGAGTATTCAAAGTGACATTTCCTGAAAAGGGGCTTTAGATTGTCCTTCTGGTCCTTGAGTTCATCAGTAGCTTGTAACGTTGTCTTAGAGCTGCTTCCTCAAATCCACTTAATCACATTCCTTTGACGGACTAGAAATCACCGGATTTCGAAGCAGAAACATCCTGCTGCTCCTCTGCTCTTCGTCACAAAGAAGTGAGGGATGGAAACGACCAATGTGTCTCACAACTCCACAACTCTACGTCTTAGTGCTTCACTCTCTCGTCCTACGCTCACTGCTGCTGAAACAAGACACATTTCAGTCAGAAACATGGCCATACTCTGACAACCAACGAAAACCAAATTCAGCATGTTCTGTTCTTCCCTACCTTCCAAAACGTCTTACTTCTTCTTCCCTCCTATGGTCAAGCTCTCACTTTTATTTTTCTGCACCTGAAGGGAACATTTCTTGTTGTTAGTCACAATCTGCACCATGGACACAGCATCTGAATTCGCACACTTAAAGGAATCCTCCAACCTCATTCATGGCGTCATCGATCTGTTTGAGTTCTTCGTATCGGTCTCTTGACTCCCTGAGTGGCTGCACCATCGCCTCCTCAATCTGTGGGAATAGCTAATACACACACACACACACACACACTCAGTGCAAACAACGCTCTACTTTGTATCATAGAACTGAAGCAGCAGTGACTATGCTGGGCTGTAAGAGGTATGCGCATCAATGCTTAGCACCATATCATAATAGCAGGGTTCAAAGACCTGCGAAGCTCACACTAACGCTGATTACTTAAATGCTACTTCACTGACTTGAAGATGATTTTCATCATCACTGTGCTACTTACTTACCTTCATCACAGTCTCAAACATCGGGATGAGGACGAACTTGATGAAGCCGATCTGAGCTGTCGGCTTGGTGACCTTTTCTCTGTCCATGAAGGGAGCCACAGGAAGCCCTTCAGCCTTCTCCCTGTCGCTCTGAGCAGCGCAGATGCACACACACACACAGGTTCACCATCAACATGCTTCATAAAAAACAGGAGAATTGTATTCTTTGCACATTTATATACAGCTTTCATGTCTGACCATTCAGCAGAAAATCATCCCCTGTCTAAAAGGACCACAACAATAATTTAAATGTGTTGTGAGTCCTGGGCTGGATTCAAATCGTCAAATGCTCTTAGGAAGGTTCCTCACTGAGTGAAATGACCTGGAAGTAGTGGAAGTGGCGCCACCAGTCCCAAAATTCCTTGCGGCGGCAATATTTAAAGAGTGACGTATCATTTGGGTGAGAAATACCGATCATGACACATAGATCATGTAAGTAACCGTTAGCATGACTAGCCTTGTTAAATTAATACTGAATCTGGGTTGTTATGTCATCTGCATGACTTTAACAACACGTGAAAGGCATCCAAGATGCTTTCTTTGAGGTCCATCTGGTTCACAATGGTCTGACCTGCATGAAGTACTCCTCCAGCAGGCAGTCGACCCAAGGCTCAGCCACCTCCATGGGCCGCACCTCGTTGGAGATGTCACAGCACTTGATCAGCACCATCTTCAGCTGTACATAGGGCCGCAGGGCAAAGGTCAACATGAATAGAGGGTTCTTATATGTCCAGGCAGGACACAGTAGGTGGAAACTTGGTATGATGAAATGAGATGCCACTTGAGGTTAAATGCCTGACTTGTTGCTCATCTTGAATAACCTTCCTGAAAGGCGAATACATTTAGTCTGCTTTTACTTCCGTAACAATAGTGGGAACCCACTGTGTCCTGCACTCAATTTTTCTAAAGGAGCCAATATATTTTTTGCAAAATGCAGACTATTTTTAAGTCAAAGGCTGCATCTCTAAAGTAACAAAACGGTGTTATATATGTATTACTAAACACCTCGACAGTAAAGCAATGCTCTACTTCCATTGATTGAGAATTTTATTAGTGTAAGCGGATCATGTAGAGCACATTTTAACAGATTCAGACCTTTATAGAAAAGGAGTAAATGTTACTTTCCACCACAGTACATCAAATTTTCCCATTGAAATAAAGCCTTGTCTCCGACTCTTGTTACATCCAACCCAGATAGGAACAGGACACATTCACCCCTGTAGGTCGGTTTATTCAGTCTGGGGGACATCAAAACTGTCCAATGAATACGTGTCCTGTTAGTGTGAATAACTTCATGCTAAGTCAAATGAACATGAAATCAAACAGAACTAAAAGGATACAATGTGTCTTTGTTGTGTTGAACCAGGGACCAGTGAATGGGAAGGCAGGTTTGAGAGGCGACCAAAGGCTTGTTTCTAAACCAAAGAGCTCTTACACAGGTGATGTGCTCTTCATCTGCGTAGTCAATTTGTCGACTTTCTGCTTGAAGGAGTCCAGGATCTCACCGTGCCGTGCCATGTCTGTAGCCAGGATCAGTGTGATGGTTCCCTGAAACCCGCACAAAACAAAAACAACTAATCATTAGACACAAACACATTGACTAAGATGTTTCAACATACTTTTCCAAACGGAAAACCCTGTAAACAGCTTGTTTTCCTTTAAGGAACCTCGAAGTTGATGAAATCATTCATTCCACGCTGTCTGTATGTATCTACAATTAGCTCAATATCACCATAAGGGGCCTTTGAGACTTGCCCATTTCCAAAAAAAAGGTGATATTTTCCATTGAAAATCATATTTATTTTATAAAGTAGATGTGATGCTGTTAGAAATGGATGTTGGTCAAGATCCAACACTTTGCATGTACATTGTCTGCTTGCGGTTAATTTATACAAACGGCAAAATATGTCCACCCTGTCATGGACAAATTCAAAGCAGAGTAAAAATACATTGTAAATACATAGTGGTTATAAAATGTACATTTTCAGAAAGCTATTGGGTCCCTTTTAGTTAATGGGAAAAGTATTTGGATAATAATGAAATTATGGCAAACTATTTGTTTCTCTATAAAATCTGCGATAGATTTTATTTAGAAAAGAAATTACAACTAACAAAGATATCTGGTCAAACTTTCAAACAAAACAGTTTGGCCCGCATTTGTTTATAAAGGAATCACACAAAAGGTTTTGCTAACTTGTGAAAATAATTTGTTTATTTTCATAAAACATGAAAATGACAGGGTGGACAATAACATGACAGGGTGGACCTTGGACATGACAGGATGGACACGTTGTGAAATGTCATTGAATTACCTTATGAATGCAATAAATCTAAAAGAAAAATAATGTCACACCTCCAATGATCTAAGCTGCAGGGCCCTGGCTGAGGCGGATTTTCAGGAACTGCAGAGTTGGGTGGTGTCTCTGACTGTAGCAAAACAATGTCAGTGTTTCTGACTTTGCTTGTCTTTTTCACTCTATCCATTCCTTTCTTTTTGCCCTCTTCTCTCTCTCACTGGGCTCAATGACATCTTCATTCCATTTGTCCCTCTCTTTCTAAAGGTAATTTCTTCTATCCTGGTCTGCATCACGACCTTCCCAATATCTCCTTGCTATCTCAGCTCCTTTTGAGCGCATTCCTTTCTAAAAGACAATTCAAAATGTTCCCGTACACTCTTTAATTGGCTGTTAAAGTGTTGTAATATACATATCACAAGAGCTATTACACACAGGGTGGACAATGACAGGGTGGACATTTTTGGCTAATTTTAGCATTTAATGAGCACATGTTGGACCTTCAGTTAGCAAGGTGACAGTGTACTGTTTTACAAATATGTTTCAAAATTCTGAAAAGTTTTTATAGTAACTGATATTTCACTATGACAGAGTGGACATGTTAAACTTGACTACACACATAATATGATGATATGAAGTGTTGATACTTACTCTGCAACAAGCCACTGTTTCAGTCTTCATTGAAGAAAGACAAAATGATGGTAATAATGTCACCGAAGACATCGCGGGGTGTCTTAAAGGGGCAGTTACCCCATAATGACAGGGTGGACAGCAATTTCAGGGACACATGTAAAATGTTCAATATGATTATGAAAATAGAATATACATGACCAAAATGACTCATTTAATCAAATAACTTGTTGGACCATAAAACTATATCTTTTTTTTTAAATGTAGTCTAATTTAACCACTTATTACATACTGTAGTAAGCAGAGCAGTGTGTGGGACATGCCAATATCACGTACATCCAATGAAAAAATGAAGAAAACTCATTTCAAGAGATTAATGATTGTACTGATGTGTGTAAATGTTTGGTCATTTATAATATGACCTCAGAGTTTCATTATTCTGCTACATTTTCATGATGACTGAGTGATTCTGACGAGGATACCAAAGGCACCTTATGATGATATTGACTCTCTTATAACTTGTCATGGCTGAAGCTTTTCCACCATTCCAAGACACTCCATCCTTATACCGCATTTTGTAAAACATTAAATGATATGAGGATAATACTCATTAATATTTCGGAGCTTAAATATACTAATAGCTAGGGCTCCACAGTCTCCACAGTTTTAAGAGCTTTCAGATCCAGGTTCTATGCAGTGTGCATGTCTGTATGCAGACCTGTCCAGACCCCTGATCCTAGATCAGGCTGATGACCGATGTGTCTTATGCAAATTTCAGGAGTAGAACAAACAGATCCAGTAGTTGGAGCCGAGAAAAAGAGCCGGTGGTCCGGGCACACATCCCTGGGGAGGGAGGGGGGGGGGGCAGTCCTGCTGATCCGACTGCAGCCTCACCTTTTCAGATCTCTCTGGTGGACAAACTCTAATTGTGAACCGGTTTCTAAACTTAGTTTGGCATTTCTGTGATGCCTTTGTTAGAACTTCTGGGCCAATTATCATCTATTTTTCTGCAAATAGAAAGGCATTGTTTACCGCGAGTGAAAATTAATTATTTACTTTTATTCCACTTGATTTCTAAACTGATTTCTGTAGAATACCACTGATAATACCATTACCACCAACCATCATCCCTCTTTGGTCACAATTAGTGATGTCATTATGAGCCAGTAAAAACCATAAGCACTTATGACAAACCATTATGATGTCACACACAAACAGGCGTACCTGTCGTATCAGTTTGAAGGCCTCAGGGTCAAAGTTGGAGAATATGTTGCAGTCTGGCTGTGAGAATATCTGGAAGGCCACAGCACAGTGGTGGTTCTCCAGCGGGGAGATGTCGTTGTAGCGAACTGCCAGCTCTGTTTTGGCGTTGACCTGATAACTGGAAGAGAGAGACAGATAAGAGACACAGAACGCTAATGAACTGGAAGGACAAAGGGTAAAAAGAAATGGCAATAAGGAGAATAAAGAGGGGTTTGTGTATGTGTGTGTGCAATTGACGTACGTGTTGTTGAATCCAGGGTGATCGAGATCATGACACACAGCAGCGGTCATGAGAATCAATATCTCGACCTGAGTGAACTTCTCCTACAAGATAAACACACAGAAGTCCAGACATCCAAGCATGTATATGTGCTAATGTGTGTGTAACCCCAACTTCCCCCCTCACATTATGCTTTGTGAGGGTGTGTGACCCTGTTGGCACATCATTGTTGCGGATGCTTCATAATCCACCATTAGCCATGTGATGAGTAAAACTCCAGTGAATATTCATGTCTGACAGGGAGACTCTGACAAGATTCTCTTTTTTTATTCACACATTCATCTCCTCTTCCTCACACACCAGCTTCACCTTCTGATGTCTCCTTTCTCCCACCACCTGTCCTGTGACAACTACATCATGACTGCATGTTTGCGATACACTTGAGCATCTCACCAAACAACCATTCTGCAGGTATATAGCGGAGGCTTTAGGGATATCTTTGTGGACAAACAAAGTTTGGAGCATAACTTGAAAGATTAAGATGCTGCAGTGAAGGTCTAACCCCAAGTTACACTTTATTCATGTGCATTCTGGTCTGGAGAAATTAAAATAGCATAGACATATTAAGTATTGCCCCGGTAGAACCACATGTCTATCTAATTGACAATATATAAACACAAAGGCACACTCGCTCAACCCAATCACGAGCATTGTCAACAACTCTCCAAGGCAATGTGTGTTCTTAAAAGGATGGAAATCAGCCATAGTAAAAGTCATTTTTAAGTCAGGTGACTCAACAGATGTCTCTAATTATCAGCCAATCAGTATTCTTCCTGCCGTTTCCAAAATGGTTGAGAAATATGTTGCAGAGCAACTTATTAAACATCTCAGCATCTTAGCTCAGCTGCATGCAGTTCGGTTACAGGGCTAAACATTCGTCTGAAACAGCAAACTGCTTCCTCGTAGAGAATGAAGCTAAAAATGGATAAAGGGGTGTAGTAGCAGTGTTTTTTCTTGACCTCAAGAAGGCTTTTGATACAGGTAATCACAATGTCCTGGTAGGGCGGTCACGATATCAGATTTTTGTTGTGCGATTATTACAACGACTATTATTGCAGCGACATTTATTGCAATATGCGATATTATTGCAATTTTAAGACCATTTTATGCCACTGATAACAATGACAATACTGTATATGCTTTTATTCGTCAGAATCGGAACTTGAAAAAATTGATTTTAAATGAATCAAAGAGCTGCGTTCGGGTGCTCGGCAGAAAGTTGAAGGCGTTTCCGGTGGGAGTTGGCCTTCGCCAGGGCTGCGTCACCAATCTTGTTTGTGGTCTTCATGGACAGGATATCGAGGCGTAGTCAGGGGGAGGACAGTTCGGGGGGCTGCAGATGTCATCGCTGCTTTTTGCAGATGATGTGGTCCTGATGGCATCTTCTGTCTGTGACTCCAACTCTCACTGGAGCTTTTCGCAGTCGAGTGTGAAGCGGTCGGGATGAGGATTAGCACCTCTAAATCTGAGGCCATGGTTCTCAGCAGGAAACCGGTGGATTGCCTACTCCATGTAGGGAATGTGTCCTTACCCCAAGTGAAGGAGTTCAAGTACCTCGGGGTCTTGTTCACGAGTGAGGGGAAGATGGAGTGTGAGTTTGGCCGGGAAATCGGAGCAGCGGGGGCGGTATTGTACTCACTTTACCGCACCGTTGTGACGAAAAGAGAGCTGAGCCGGAGCAAAGCTCTCAATCTTTGTTCCTACCCTCACCTATGGTCATGAAGGATGCGTCATGACCGAAAGAACTAGGTCACTGGTACAAGCGGCCGAAATGGGTTTTCTCAGGAGAGTGGCTGGCGTCTCCCTTAGGGATAGGGTGAGAAGCTCAGCCATTCGCGAGGAGCTCGGAGTAGAGCCGCTGCTCCTTTGCGTCGAAAGGAGCCAGTTGAGGTGGTTTGGGCATCTGCTGAGGATGCCCCCTGGGCGCCTCCCTAGGGAGGTGTTCCAGGCACGGCCAGCTGGGAAGAGGCCCCGGGGAAGACCCAGGACTAGGTGGAGAGATTATATCTCTGCACTGGCCTGGGAACGCCTTGGGATCCGCCAGTCAGAGCTGGTAGATGTGGCCCGGGAAAGGGAAATTTGGGGTCCCCTGCTGGAGCTGTTGCCCCCGCGACCCGACCCCGGATAAGCGGCTGAATATGGATGTAGGGATGATTCAAACAAAAAAAGTGCAAGGGACACGGAGCCGTCAAAGCATCGGGCGAATCGGGCAAAGCATCGGGCTTGGTGTGCGGCAGCCGGGTAGGTTTAAAGCCCGGGGGCTTCAACCGCCGACAGGGTGAAGCGCTCCGCGGCTGCAGGGAGAGCCGGAGTGGCTCGTACCCACTAACAATCGGCCGGTCCGGGAGGAACGCAGGGCGGCGGTCTGGGGACGTCGCCCTGCATGCCCGCCAGACAAAGAGGCGAACGAGCAGTCCGGAGGAAACGACAGTAGTTCAGGTTGAAAGACTGGGGTTGTCGTCTCATGTGAGATTTTAGCTTAGTTGTGTTGCCTGTTTCCGTTGCCACTGTTTTTAAAACAAAGTCAACGTAGCAGACAAGAGGAAAGCGCGAACGACTAACATGTTGGTGACGTTCATTTATATGGAAAATTAATATCGCACCACCAAAGATTATTCAAATGTATTGTCCTACGAAAAAAATAAATGAATCTAGTACACATTTAATTAACATATTTAATTTAATTCATATATTTTAACAAATAAAATTGTTGGATGTGTATACTGTTTTAAGACAATGAGTATAATAAAAAGCTAATGAGGGGTTTTATTTTTATTTACAGTAGATGTATTGGAATCTTACATGTTTAGGTTTAAGCAGCTGTCCAGTCCGATTGAGGGTTAATTCAAATTAACAGAGCTGCAAAATATACTTACATTTTGGGAAGATTGCCTATCCACATTGTTGTTTTATGACACACTTTAAACTCTGAGTTGGACACAGTGATTACTACATTGACTTTGTATGGAAGCACATTTCCGCCACAAAAAAAAAAAAGAAGGGTTAGAAAGTCAAAATAATGACTTGGTTAGTGACACAAGGCCTTTTATGGTTACTTTGTTTTCAAGTCTTAGGTTACCAAGTCCTCATTAGTTCTCATAATTGAAAGGTCTAAAAGAAGCTTTTTACCTGCAGGCTGCAGAGACAGATCATGCTGTACATCATCTGGGTGACGCAGAAACAGTGGCGGAAGTTATGGAAAGGGTTATTCTTGTAGTTGTCATGAATACAAAGCTAGAGAGAGAGAGAGAGAGAGAAGTTTGAGATCTTCGAACTTTGTGAATCTGTAACAGTGTCCAGCTGGGAAAAGGACATTGTTTCCAAATACAAAAGATACTTTTCTTAAAACAAAGTTTTCTGAAAACAAGTATGCTGATGGTCAGGAAAAAAAAACCTAGTAAGGAACCAGCCATGAGAAACAAGCAAATACTTTTCACGGGATTGCAGTACAGCAGGACACACATGGTTTAAGTACACTGGGAAGATGCAGATGATTGGACACAGGAGGAAACAATCAGGGATATGGAAGACAATCAGAGGGGAAGAAACACCAGGGCAGGAAGTGAAGGTAACCCAGTGACACAGTGAGACAGAGAGAGGGCCGGGCATGTGGGGGGGTGGGGACACTCAAGGGGATGGCCTGGAGGGTGGTCGGGAGTTCTCGCGACGACCCGGAGGACGGTCGGGTGGCTGCGAGTTTTCGGGGGGAACTTGCCGTGGGCGGCCGGGAAGTCAGTCAAACTCCCAGGGAATATCCGGGGGACATCCTGGATGTGAACTTAGGAAGGCCCCCGACGGCGAAGGGTCGGGTCCACCAATCTCAGGAGTCGGGGCATCCAGCAACAGGAAGCCCGAGCCAGTCGAGAGAGGCGGCAACCGGAAGCGGGGAAGGAGCAGTTGTTCTGGCCGGCAACTGAAGTTTGCGGTCGGGCGGAGTGGTGTTTGGGGGAGGCCAAATACACTTGGGAGGTGCAGGTGATTGAACACAGCAGGAAAAAAATCAGGGACAAGGCAGACAATCACAGGGGGGGGAGAAAACACAGGAGAGCAGGAAGTGAAGTTAAAATAGAGACACGAGAGGCAGGAAGATACAAAATAAAAGAGGAAGTCCACACCATTACAGTATCAACCTAGTTAGAGATATTGTTGTGGTCAGGAAAAGGTACAATCAATGGAAAAGTTATGTATCGGTTTCTATTCAAATTTGCAGATAACACTAGGAGCAGGTCTCACCAGCCATCTCTTGAGTGTGATGGGGTTGATGTTGAACTCTTTTACTAAGCCCAAATCATGGTACATATGTTCCAGGCAGCTCAGCATCTGGGAGAACAAAGGAACATTTCATTGATGTGCCTGTACTAGTGCTGGGCAACGGTAAAATAATGTAATTGCGGTTAATCAAATTGTATAATCATTAATTCAAAAGTAGTGTTTTTCACACTTTTATTTGTGCAAACACTTAAGGTATTTTTTAAAACCCTTTACACAGTAGCAGTAAAAATTGTTCCTGTAAATCTCATACTATTAATTTATCCTCCATTTCTTCTGATTCGGGTCTGTCTGTCCCGCAGGACGGGCAACTCATTGCGCCGCAGCATCATGCTATTTTTTCACCGAAGTTGAAAAATGTCCATTATTGCGTGTGCTGCATTAGGCTGTTTGACGCGACTTCGCCTGAATTTGGATTGACTTTGCCGCAAACTTGACGTGACAAACACAAGAAACGCGGCGCACTTTTGCAGATGTGCGTCACTCCAGTCTCATCACGACTGTATATAAACTTTGAATGTAATCCTGTTACGAAAATTTGGAAAAATTGTTACGAAAAATCGTTGTGGAGACGTGTGATGACGCCCCTCCCAAGCCAATACTGATCAACATCCCCCCCTCCTGTGACCCATGGTCTTGTCATGGCTATGCTGTGACTCCAGCTCCTGTTATGTCTCCTCCCTCTATTGTCTCTGTCTCTGTGTAACTGGGCGCGCACCTGGTGCATCTCCATACCTGCTGACAATCAGCACTGCTTAAGAGCCCTGAGTTCCTCTGCACTCATTGCCAGTTTATTCCTTGATCACAGTGGTAGTGAATCTAGTCTTTGTATTTACATTTCCTCCTTCTTCCTCTGCCTAGGACTCATGTGCACTCCTGTGTTGTCGTTTTTTAAGTAATGCGTTAAGGTCATAATAGCATGTTAACTTGCCCAGCTCCAGTCTGTACACATGCGAAATGTTTAATATCTTAAATGGCAGTATTTGAAATAAGATTATATTTTTAATAGTTTAAAAATAGTTTAGTCTTAGCCAAAACAACTAAATCCAAAAAGCCTGGCTTGATTATTTACTCTTAACTATAACGCCTTTGTATTCTTTTGACCAGTCAAGTGCTTCAACATATCCGCATTCACTCTTTCATACACTGATGATAGGAGCTACAATACACAGTGACACCTAGCCTTTGCATTGTGATTGTTGACAAACTGGCAAAAATGAATGAACGTCATCATTCATGTTATGTTAATTTCTAAAACAAATCCATAACACACATTCCTTTAAATATATCCATGTTTCACACTGGAGATGTATTAGCCAATATAATGCAATTTACTGTTCAATAATTAGTAGGTACAGATAAATAATATAAATGTTTTATTGAAATATTTAATTCCTCCTTTAATTATTCAGATTATAAATAAATTGTTTCATAATGTGTAGATGGTGCAAGTAGCCACTGTGAAAGAACCTGTAAAAAAAACAAAAACGGTCAAATGGCTGCCAAACAAAAAACGTAAAATTAAAATAAAATATCTTAATTTAAATGAAGCGAGAAAATATGGCGTTATATTTGTGCCACAATCCTGAGCGCGTAATTGTAAGTTTTGAGCACAGAGAACTATGTTGTAGCAAAGAAAAACATCCCGGGCGCGCAGTTTACTCAGGTGCCCTCTCCACAAACTGGTTTTCTGCGCGCAGGCAGCCGTTGCTGCGCTCGCTCCACCTCTTCACGCTGCGCTCGCTCGACGTTTCACTCACGTGCTCGCTCGACTTGCAGCAGCGTTACATTTGTGCCACAAAACCAACCAATCAGAGAATTAAAGAAGGTCCATTGTGATTGGCTGTTGGTCTCCAATCACAACGCTTCCTAAAGAAGACGAAAAAAAGTGATATTAGAAGTCCGGCTAGCCACCATCAGACATGACCGAAGCAAATGATGAGAACAGCAAGTGTTTTAATCCAGGCCATTAGCATTTAGCACAAATGCTGCAAACTTCAACAACTTGCTGAGCTTCCGCGATGCTGTAGGTAGTTCTACTAGCGTTGTGATTGGAGACCAACAGCCAATCACAATTGACCTTCTTTAATTCTCTGATTGGTTGGTTTTGTGGCACAAATGTATAGCTGCTGCAAGTCGAGCGAGCGCGTGAGTGAAACGTCGAGCGAGCGCAGCGTGAAGAGGTGGAGCGAGCGCAGCAACGGCTGCCTGCGCGCAGAAAACCAGTTTGTGGAGAGGGCACCTGAGTAAACTGCGCGCCCGGGATGTTTTTCTTTGCTACAACATAGTTCTCTGTGCTCAAAACTTACAATCACGCGCTCAGGATTGTGGCACAAATATAACGCCATAAGAAAAAACATATTTTAGGAGGAGAACATTGTACTAACACAGGGCAAATCTGTAACATAACAATCAAACACCTTCAATAAAGGGATATCCCTAAAAGTTGAAAGAGAAAAACTTACTTTACAGATTTTCCTTTATTATTAGATCAATTATGGCAAAAGGTTCTGATGCACTGCTCTCCTCAGGTTGTAACATTCATGCAGTTTACATTACATATCAGTTAGCTGACATCTGTATCCAAAAACTTAGCAGTTCGAGGTAGTGTGTCTTGCTCAGAGACACTCCAACATAGGACGCGTATCAGCTGGCAATCGAACCCTGTCCCTGTGGTTACAAGACAACCTCTACCTAGTGGGCCACAAATAAAAATAAATAAAAAAATAATTATTATTAGCATAACTATGGAGCCAAATCCAGGCCAAACGTTTTGATCATTTAAAAAAAAATGATTAAAAAATTCTACATAATCTAATAAAATGTATTCAAAATAAAAAGTTGACTCGGTTCTTTAGTTCTTTTGAATACATTGAAATCATATGTATTTTCCCCTAAACTAACAGTTGGAGTATTCCATTTTAAAAACAGAAAAACTACTGTAAAAATGTAGCCATTTTCCGTAAAATTAGGATTTCTTTTACCATGTCTAACACTCGGTTTTGCATGTGGAGGCCAATTCAAGTTTCTCCCTCTTAATCTCTTTGACTGGTTTTCCATTAGTGTTGGCTTTAGCTAGAGTCGTCGTCACTACTGGGAGCATGAGGCCATTTCTTAACCCTGCATAAGTTGCACAGATTGTGCAACTCCTCCAGGGTGGAACATCTATGTGTGCCGTTGCAAGGAGTTGTGATGTGTCTCCCAGCACAATCCAGAGATTCCACGAGACGGGCAGTTACTTAAGGAGAGCAGGACAGGGCTTAGCAGGTCCTCAAACCATCAGCAGGATTGATATCTGCTACTTTGTGCAAGGAGGCACAGGTCGAGCACTGCCCGAGTCCTACAGAATGACCTTCAGCAGACCACTGGTGTGAATGTTTTGGATTGTTTGCGCAAAGACACACTTCATGAGGGGCATCCTGTAGTGTGCCCTGTGCTCTACCCAGTTCTGGGAAGGCATATCCATGGAGGGACGCACAGACCTCTACGGGCTAGAGAATGGCAGTCTGACTGCAAGTAGGGATCGGGATGAAATCCTTGACCCCATGGTCAGACCCTACGGTGGAGCAGTAGGTCCTGGGTTCCTCCTGATGCACGACAATGCTCAACCTCATGTGGCAAGAGTATGCAGGCTGTATATGGAGGATGAAATAATTAATACTATTGAATGGCCCTCACTATCACCTGACCTAAACCCAATTGAACACCTTTGGGACATGATGTTTCTGTTCATCAGACGCCACCAGATTTCTTATACTTTGGCCAAATAGAGTAGGCTGACACATTATTTCTTCGATTTGATTTACTGGGTATCTGTAAAATGAAGCCCTCTGTAGGCTGAAACTTTTAGTTCCATCAAAAGATTTTTTCACATTGGGATCTCATACGTTTTCAAAGTCTTTACTTGAAAATGAACCAATGGATCAATTAGTCTCACCTCATTAGGTTCCCACTGCCAAGCATCAAATGTAGGCAATCTAAGAGCTTTTACGGTTTCTTTAGACAGATGGTACTACACTCACACAAACACACACACACACACACATGGGGCAACCACAGAGACAAAGAGAGGAGAGAAAATTAGAATTGTAGGTGAAACAGGTTTGCAAGCTGCTCAATCTTACCTCATTGGCTTCCCACAGCCAGACGTCAAAGGCGGGTTTTTTGAGGGCATCAATGGTCTGTTCTGACAGCATGTACTGCAGGCAACAGAGCTCCCAGTTAACCGTGTCTGCCTCCGACTGGTTTGGCGCTAGACCACTACAGACACCTATTGTATTGTTCATGTATATAACGTAATACCATTGCCATTTTACTTTATTTTCCTTAATTATTTTTGCAGTATCCCACCAAAGACAGTAACTTTCAGTTATTACAAACATCATCAGCAGCTACATTGAAGGGAACACTAGCGGTCAAAAGCTAAATGTATTTCTAAGATAGACAACTTGTGCCTTTGAGCAACTTTGTAATCAATTCAGTGGCTACTACTCGTTTGCCCTGCTCCTCTGTTAGCCGGCCGGTCCCTTTCCCCCCCTCCGTCGCTCTGGAAGGGGAAAATCCCTGTATACTCACTACAAAAATATAAACTACACCACTGCTCGCAGTGACCTACAGACGGCTGAAGTGAGTCTGCTATTTTGTGTTTCCGGTTTCCTCTTCTCTAGTCTATGATTTTTCAATGGGTTTTAGTTTAGAATTCTTAAATACATTCTTGGGTAAACACAAGGTTAGGAGATTTGAATGTTTTCATTAAATCCTTCACTGAATGCCTTGCCTGTGAATTTTGAGGCTGTATCTTGTCTTAAAGGAGCAGATTGCTAAAAAGGTTCTTAATGGAACTACTTTACGCCATCATGCCAACTAATCTGCCATTATAGCCCTCACGTTTCAGAAAGGTATTCATTTGGGAAGATTATCTTGTGCGTAAGTGTAATGCACATTTGTTTGCCAAACAGCTTATTTTCTGATGTAACCCAATGGCTTTTTGTCGAGGGATGCAGTTCACTGCTAATTTACCGATTAGCCCACAAAAATATATCATCTCTGTACGGCAGTTTATTGACCCCGACTTACTGTTGTCTGGGACCTGATCATTTTTACGACTGGCCAATTACATTTTCACAACGTTTCATCTTGACTAAAATACATCTGGACACACAAATTTAAAAACCAATATTTGCTCTATCTGGTTCCTGGAATCACAGTGAAAGCATGACATTTCTTAGTATGCCTGACAGCAGATTCGGTGGCAGGTGACAGAAACACGAAGTGCAGTGAGGTGTAGAAAACCTTACCTTTGGGTAGGAGGGCACGTCTCTGCGAGGGGTAAGCTTCTTGGTGTCTTCAAGGAAATTACTAAAAAAACAACGGCTTGAAACTATGACGAAATAACAATTCATGTTTTACTTATTCTAAGATAATATTTCATTTGATCATTAATGGCAAATGTATTTTGAATTGTACTCATCTAATAGTATGACCACTACAAGCTCTTTAGGACTACATGTCATAATTCACCCATATACACCATCAGTAACATCTGTGTAGCTGTGTGTGAATGTGATTAAGTACTTTATGTTGGGTTGAGTTGAGTTTTAATTTCTGTTCATTTTAACTAATTAGATTTGTTTGTATATTTGTTTGATTATACGTGTAGCAGTACAATCAAAGTATACTACCATTTCAAAAACTCACTCCAGTCTAGCACCTCCACATTTGGTAGATGTAGGTACATGATACAAAGGCTGGGCAAAGATTTCCGGATGGTATGATTTTCTCACATACCGTTTATACCGGTGTTACACCATAATAACAGACCTTGCTATTCGGCAAGCGGCAGATTTTTTTTTTCAGTCATCACGGAGCGCCGAGCGGATGGAGCTACTTGTATTACGTGTGTTACGTGAGATTGAGTCATGGTTATAACGATAATGAATAACCCACAACAAACAGTCTTTAACAGGGTAAAACACCACAACACAACAGCTTGTGACACATAAACAATTTGTAACACTAATAATTGTACATTTCTAAAAATGACCCAGCAGAACTGAAAGCTGAGTTTAGCTCACAACAAGAAGTAACTCTGTTGCTAAATGAAAACACAGAAAAGAGCGATACAGGAGGAACAACGAGAGACCAGAGGTGCACCAAAACAACGTGTGCCCAAAAGAGGAGCTGTGTCTGTTTGGAGAGTTTTGGGTTTTGGAAAATCGAATGTAAGTTAGATCAGAAAACGATTTATTGCAAAGTTTGTCGAGCCCCTGGTATGGCCTCTAGTGGCAACGCTAGCAGCCACAACAAGCTAACACGCTAATGAGCTAACACGGTTGGAGCGAGTTGGCCAGCAAGCGGCATATATCTAATCATTTATACACTGCAGCCACAACCTGTGGTAGCAATTAAATAGAGTTAAGTGTTTTTCTATAGGACACTAGCGGAGCCGGGGAGTAAACTGCCGACCCGCTCTATCTGAATAAGTTGTTGTAAGACTTGACACATGCGGCTCAGCCAGGCACGGAACCTTAAATCTACATTGACCACTGCCCTGTGGATACACTACTCGCAGGATTAGGCATTGAGGTAGGGTGCAGTGTGAGAAGTTGTCAGGCAAAGGCGTGGAACTAGACGCACTGATCCCTAGAGTCGCAAAACGTCTCTCTGAATATGGAAGGTCAACTTTCTGACTTGGAGGGAGCAGGAGCCGGGGCGAGAGGTGTAGCGTTACACACGCTGACCTCCATGACAGCAGTGGTCTTTGAACCAAGTTCATTGTGAGGGGTTTGCCTTTGAAAAGGCTCATTGGGAGGAATGTCCCACCTGATCTGAATGTACACGGTGCTTTTTCATGTATGTATGTATTGGCCATTACTAACACCATGTTCAAACACAGGGCAGTTTGTAAGTGTCCTCTGGACCAAAACAACCTACACAGAAGATTGATGATGGACTTTGGTTTTATCATCAGATGAGCTGAAGAGAGAAGTAGAGCTGTTAGCTGGTCCCCAACTGGTAGTGAATTGGATCAGGTGGAGACGGAGGCTTCATTCAAAGCCCAAATGAGAAAGGTGTATCTTTTGTTGCTGTTACCTGTTGTTTCTGGATGCCATCTCCTCACGGAGCTTCTTGATGTCTTTGCGACATTTATCAATCTCCACCACTTTCATCCCTTCAACTGCAGACAGAAAGAGTAATTTATTAAAATCCCACTACCTATATTAAAAGGGTAGTTTTTCAAACCATTAGCTCTTCATGCAAGAAGAGCTAATGGTTCACCTGCACCTTCTCAGTGTATTTAAGCCATGTGTGTCTTCTGTCCTTTGTCGCATTATTAAATGTCTTTGCTATTCCCTGTCGGTGTTCCCTTTCCCTCTGCGATTTTGTATTTTGACTATTGAAGTATTTTGTTTGGAACAAAATCGTAGAGGGAAAAGGAACACAGACAGGGAATAGCAAAGACATTTAATAATGCGACAAAGGACAAAAGACACTGGGAACGTGCAAGTGATTGAACACAGGTGGAAACAATCAGACACGGCAGACAATCACAGGGGATGGCAGGACAAGGCAGGAAGTGAAGTTAACCCGGGGACACAAGAGGCAGGATTACGAAGTAAAACAGGAAATAAACCCAAACCGTGACACATATGCATAAGTGTCTCACATATATGTTTCAAAATGTGTATGTTATATGTAAGCATGCTCTTACATGAGGATGTGCAACTGTTTCATACTAGTCATTTCACTAGTGAATGAAGAATGGTAGTACAAGTCTGTATGAATGAAATCTCACTAGCATACGGAAGGTATCTCAGTTACACCGGTCCTTTGTCAAGTCCCTTAAGTCTGTTTGTATCTCACTCAAACCACAGTGCTTATAGAAATGCACATGTTTAATTGGACTAGTATCACCACATAATTAAAAACAAACAAAGCTCTAGCCCAAGTTCAGACAGGAAGACTATACTGTTGCATGCCTAAGCCTGGAGCCTTTTATCTTACCTGTATGTTATCTAACTCTCCTGTCATTTCAGATCCTCCCACATCATCAACCCTCACCTGGTTCTCCTTGCCCTTCTCACCTGCAGCACATACCCTCATCAGCAAATCATTATTTAAGCCAGTCACATTCACCACCGGATTGTCTTGTGTGTTTCACAGCGGTTTCTCAGTTAGCTGGATTTACCGCTGTTCTGACCTGATGTGAAAAGTCAAATACATGGCTCACCAGTCAATGGGAGCGCTGGTGAGCCAGAACATAAATGGTAAATGGACTGTACTTGTATAGCGCTTTTCTAGTCTTCCGACCACTCAAAGCGCTTTAACACTACATGACATCATTCACCCATTCACACCCATTCATACACTGATGACAGGAGAACCATACACAGTAACACCTGCCATCAGTAACTAACATTCACACACTGTAGTCGCAGCTACAGGAGCAATGTTGGGTTAAGTGTCTTGCTCAAGGACACATCGGCATGCGGGTTAGCAGAGCCTGGGATCGAACCGACAACCCTCTGATTGGAGGACGACCGTGCTCCCCACTCACCCACAGTCGCCCTACGTGAACATGGAAAAGCCCTCTCGGCCTTTAGTGCATGCACAGATGTTTTGTCTGGGGAAGAGTTACACTGTTGCTGTTCTCATTTATTCTGGTGCAGATGCTAACCTTCTCGACAGGGATCTCTGTGCCACACTGGGCTACTGCAACAATTTTAGGGTGGAGTTCTCATTGTCTGTCTAAAGCCTCCTGCATCTGCTCTCAGTCTGTACGTGTACCCAGATCTCACCGGCGTTCCCAAGGACTATCATGACTTAAGGGAGGTGTTCAACAAGGCTCGGGCCACTTCACTACCACCAATCGGCTCCTGGAGGGCTGCATCCCTCGACCACGTTCGGAGGAACCGATGGATTGGGACAAGCGAGTCGCAGCGGAGGTGACATATGCGGTCGACGGATGCAGCTTAGCGACTGAGACACAGCTGTGTCTGTTCCAGAGACAAAGACACCTTGGTCGTTAATATGCTGGACTGATTAGACCGGTCTTCTTCACCCTCTGCCCATCCCTCATCGCCCCTGGTCCCACATCGCAATGGATTTCGTAACCGGACTACCCCCCTCTGACGGTAACAGATATTCTGACAGTCATTGATCACTTCTCTAAATCTGCTCAACTCATCCCACTACCAAAGTTGCCTTTGGTAGTGGACAGCAGAGACAGCAGAGTTACTGCTGTAGAAGGTGTTCTGCCTCCATGGTCTCATTGATGTGGTCTCCGATAGGGGACCACAAATTCACCTCACATTTTTGATCTGAGTTTTGCAGGCTACTGGGGGCCATTGTCGGCTTGTCTTCTGGATTCCAACTGCAGTCAAATGGTCAGCGCATGAGCCAGGAGATGGAGACCACACTACGCTGCCTTTCCTCTCGCAACACTCACTCATGGTCTCAGCAACTCCTATGGGTCCCAGTTCAGCCACCAGTCTCTCGCCCTTTCAATGCACCTGGGGATACCAGCCTCCACTTTTTCCAGACCAGGAATTGGAGGCAAGCGTCTTTTCTGTCCAGGTGTTTATTCAATGGTGCCAGTCCACTTGGAGGCAGGCTCGCTCCACGCTCTGCGTACCTCTGACCGCTACCAACGGTCAACCAACAGACACCGAACCCCCGCACCTAGTTACGCCTCGGGAACGCGTCTGGCTGTCCTGTTCATTGTTGTCCGAGTCGTGCTTTTGTGTTCTACACTTAGTAGAGTTAAATGAACTCTTTGATAGGTTTGAAATGTAACCGTACAGTGTCACACTTGGGGTTTGGCTTAACTCTACGTACTGTGGCGCATGGAGTAGAGAGGGTGAGCCGGGAACCACAAGGTTGGTGGATCAAACCCAGGCTGCCCCATGTTCCATGTCGAAGTGTCCCTGAGCAAGACACCTAACCCCTAGTTGCTCCCCGGGCAAAAATGTGAAAAAGCCATGGGTTTAAAATGTAATGTAAGTCGCTTTGGATAAAAGCGTCTGCTAAATGACCTGTAATGTAACCAATGAAACAAAGACATAGTTACCAGATCATCTTGCTGCTATCTCTTTACATAGCTGTCCCGGTGTTGGTTTGTCCTCGTTTTATTTTTTTGTGTTCCTGAGTTAACTTCACTTCCTACCTGTGGCAAGATGACCGATGGCGGAGTCAGGGAAGATAGTTGTAGCCCCACCCACTAGATTGTCCCATTGCTAACAAAGCAATTAACCCTCTAATCACACAAAAATAACCAAATAATAAACCAAACAACCAACCAACAAATATACAAAAACATACCAAATGTTTACCCCCCTACCAAAATCACATTTGTAGAGAGAGAACCCCATATTAGTGATAAACACAAAAACACCCCCGCAATAATGGTTCCCACCACCATTCCCCGCAAATCCCATCTATTTCTACTGAGTGGAACATCCCCTCTGCTTCCCCACTCAAAACCAGGTTGATTGTTAGCGCCAGCGTTTGGCTGGCTGCACACTGCATGAGCACGCCACGGCTCAGTCCGTGACCCACCCTTATGTGTTTTCTCCCCCATGGCTTATTTCTTGCCACTTTTGCGCAGAGGATACTGAAAAAAGGACAGTTTGCACAACTGTCTGACTGACATTAAGGACTGGATGGCTAATAATTATTTACAGCCAAACACATACAAATACTGAGGTCCTTTCTGTGTAATGCTCTTGTTGTGGCATTTAATCTGTGATCTCTTTTTAACCCTTTAGAATGCAGTTGAATACTCACTTATTGAAACTGTCCTTTGTGTTCAGCATCCTCGACGGCACATTCATCCAAATCCTCAACAAACCAGAACACATCCAGAATTCAGCTGCAGTTTGCTCTCCCACTCCCGCACCAGAGATCTCCTTCATCCTCCTTTGTCTCTTTTCTGCCCCCCTTCCTCTGGAACTATTCTCCATCACTTCAGACGTGACTAAAATGCCTTTCATACCTTTTTAAACCCTAGTGTTTCCCCTATCATTGAACAAGAGAGCCTAATAAGAGAAGAAATCATATTAAACCGCATTGTCATTTATTGTAGGCTACTGTAGTGATCAGATCAGATAATGATAATGCTATACGTGCTTGTTAAGATCAGCAAGCAGCACGGTCCTGCTAGCTAGCAGAGCTAACAGCATAGCAACCACTTGAACAACTAACTAGCCGTATTATAATTCCTACTCATGGAGTAATTTAATTAGTTTTTTGAAGCTGTTTCCTCAACAAAAAAAAACAATAAAACATTGATGTTAGGGAGTGAGTGTGACAGGGGTACATTTAGAATATTTTTTTCTTTTGTCCATTTTTACAAATTCTTGTAAATTGTATATTTTCAATATCCCAAACGTTTTCATTGAGGACAAGATAGTTTAGCATGTCTCAGCTATGTTGAGCTAATGTAATGATATCATATTAAAACCTGTCTCTCATCGGATTGTATCACAATTATCTGACTATGCATCATCGTCGGGCTCCTTTATTAATCCAATCAAACTCTTTCTGCTGAATCAGAAAGGTTGCCTCCGAAAACACTTCAGCGTGCATTAGAATAGGTTACCACGGCGACCAGAGTCATAGATAGAGCGTGGGCGCTACACTGTTTCCATAGCAACCAGGTATCCAGGCAATTGGCATGTGGCTTGTCTAAAGTGGCTAGTATAACTAGAGAGCGAATGCTGAAACTACAAAATGCATTTCCTGCAGAAAAACTAAAAGTAGTATTTGTAGTAATATTATTATTAGTAGGAGTAGTATTAATAGCAGTATAAATACCAGTATAAATACCAGTAGTAGTTTTAGTAGTGGTAGTTTAGTAGTAGTTTAGTTAAGTAGTGGGTGTAATTGTAGTATTACTACTTCCCATAGTAATATCTACTACTGGTAGTAGGAATACATTTAGTATTAATAGCAGTACAAAAACTAGCAGTAGTAATATCAGTTATAGTAGTACTAGTAATATTAGTCGTAAAATTGCTGTAGTAGAAAGCTTTAAAAGAGCAATAAATATTTCAACAAAACAGCTTCATTCTGAGCTTCATGTTAAGGAACAGATAATCATTAAGGGTTTTATTCTGAAATGTTAGAGGGGGGGTTGGGAGACAGAATGTTTTTCCTTCAAACTAAGAAGTTATTAATTGATAGGCCTCATCACAAACATTACAGTAAGAATTCCCTCCATGGGGCTTTTATGGGAGAGAGAGTATGTGGGATAGATGAACAGAAACAAACAAAGAGTGAGAGACAGAGAGGAAGACAGAGAGACGAACAGGGAATAAGAGAGAGAAAGATAGACAGACAAATAGAGACTATTGAGGGAGTGATTAAGTAATTGAGTGAGTGATTAAGAGCGAGAGGGAAGTAGAGGGGGGGCAATACATAGGTTTGCTTTTGTGAGCAAGAAGAAGTCTGATTGTATTATCTACAAAACTACATTCCCAGTTCTTAGCATATGTACACCAACTGCATATTTTAAAAATGCCCAAAAAAGCGGTTTGGGTATTTGTGAGTAAGCAAACGTATGCACCAATCAGTCCTTTACGTTATCTGATAATAAATCTGCTCATTAATGCTACACAGCAACAACTACAACACCTGATGGTCTAGTTTAAACACCGATTAATTACACCACTCTGGGAGCCTCACTGCTGATATCTCCCAGATTTCTATTGCTCATGATAATCTCTGACTCCATGTTGAGCTCATATAATCTACTTGACCTTTAATCACAGTCTTGATGGGAGGCATTTCATGATTGCAAAAACATCACTGATCAAATGTTCCTGTAGGTAATTATTACAGCAGTTGACTTGTTAAGAAGATTTATATTACAAAAAACATCATGGCAGATCAGCACAGCGAGCCTGGCTATCACAACAGCTTTATCATATTTTATAACTGTCTTTTATCTTGAGAGAACTGACAAATGAACTGACTAGATTGAGTGCCAATATGCATCTGAAATGCGGGTCCAAACCAGGAAATCTTCCGCAGCATAGTGGGCAGTAAATGAAATGCAAAAAACCTAGAATCGGACAATACATGTGAGGAGGAAAGACTATTGGTGCCTTACCCCAGGGTAGAGGTTGTGTGAAGATCACACATTCCTTTCCGCTCAACACAGGTCAATGTTTAGTAGATGTCAATAACAGCATCAGGTTAACAGCTTCTAAAGGTTGGTTGGCAGAGCAAATAACGCACGCTGTAACCTATCTAATCACAGCCTCATAAACTGTGGAGGAGAACAAGTTGAGGCGGCATGCATTGAAGTCATGCACACTACTTTCTCTTTAGTTCTAAAGAGCTAATTCAAAGCCAGCTGAAGTGAACTCTGTGAAATCAATACATAGTTTAACAGAGACAAAATGCTTCTTTTTGTCACTGGACTTTTTTTCTGAATTCTTTTTTTTGAAAATTGAAAATTTGACCGGATTCTCTCCCAACTACGTTCGCTTGTCCCTCTTGACGTATTTCCCAAACGCGCAAAAAAGGTTGGGGACCCCAACCTGTGGTGTATTGGAGTTTCCTGTAAAGAGAATAATGCTGTACAGTGGTGCAAATGGCGGTCAGTGTTTACCATGCATTGTCACTTTTTACTGTTACTGAGTTAAAAGACTAAGCTAAGCATGCCTTCTGTCAGATAAAGATAGCCATATGCAATTGATTTTCTTTGTGATATGAGAAAATACAAAACAGCATCTTCAGAACCTAGAAGAATCTCTTCTTCCCGACCCTGCCGGTTCATTCTCGGGAATCTTATGACATGAATCTCAAAACAGCCCTTTAGAAACAATCAGTATTTTCAGGCTTAAGGCTACATTGAGATGTCATGTATACAACTGTGACTGTAATCAAATAAAAATCTATTGTATTTTGTTTACCCCAAAATTACATCCCAAATTGGCCTGAGAGGGCTTAATTAAACTGCATTAATTTTTTATCAAATGTTTCTTTATGGAATTATACATATGATACGATTGAATATATCCCCTTAAATCAAAATATCACGCAATTATCCAAACCGTACACTTAAGGAGCAAAACCTCAACCCAGATTTGCACCACTATGACCACAAAGTCAGCCTCACACTGTTTGCAAAACAATACACACAGTGATTTGCAAAACACTAAACACACTTCTATACATTACACACAGAAATATTTCAAGATCTCATTTCCTTTCAATTCCAAAGCACTGAAAATCAAATTGCCAATTGGTTTAACACCGCCGTCAGGTGCTCAAACACAAGATTGCTTAATTGGAGACACACCAATCAGGTTTAAGCACTATAAATGTAGCAAGTTCATCTATCTTCAACTGAAGTGGAAGGAAGGAGAAAAGTGAGGGTGAGAGGGAATCCACGGAGGTGGAGGAGGAGGAGGCCAGATCGAGCTAGATGAAAGGACAACATGTAGCATTTTCTGTATTGTATTTTCTCTTTGTTTTTGTACTGGATACAATGTTATGTTTGTCTGAAGGATGACAACTGGGATTTGTTTCTTGTTGTGAATCTCCATGTTGACTAGTTTGAGTTTATGGAGAAAAACAAACTATATTTTCGTAAGTCTGCAGCATTGGTCTTGTGTGGTGTCTAATGTATGCAAGTATCTTTAGGGCAATGTGGGCTATGTTTTGCACTTTCTCTGTGTACTTCACTTACACTATTCGAAACACTGAGAAGTACAATTGCTAAAAGCTAAAAGTATTTAAGGTTTTCAACAGCAGTGTATAACTGGTACAAACAGATTGAAGTCATATACAACGTGTGGGTCATATGGTAACAAAATATGGTTTTGATAAATTTGTGTATAGTTTTTACAAGAGGGTTTTATTTTGCAAAGGATCTGAGGTGTTCTGCAAATAGAGTTTGTGGGTGTGCGAATGAAAAACAAAATTGTGCTTAAGCAATCAAGAAAAACTAGAATGAGGTGGTGGGAACAGACTTACGCTCTACTCTCTTTTCCAACATGGCTAGACGGTTGGTGACCTCTGTCTTCAGCTCGTTGATCTTGAACGCCCTGCGGACAGACGGCCACAGTGAAGGAGAAATTAGTAAAGAGAGAGCAGCGATCTGATTCTGCCTCCAAGATCCAACTACACCCCTGATAACTACAACTTAACGTAGTTGGCCTTTCATAATTTAAAATGTTTTTAGTTTTAGGAAATTCAAATCAAAAACATTTGAATTACTTACTTTAAAAAAAAGTATGAACCCTAAGAATTTACAATCACAGTGAATTCAGTCGAAAGAAATAATAATAAAATAAGAAATAATTATTGCAGTCCTACAAATAATTCTCATATGTTTTTTAAAATTACTCTAATCACAGTAGCTGCAACTACTGATCAGACTATATTACATAACGTTGTATCGTATCTGTCAATTCATACAACACTGTAGTCAAATCTAGGGCTGCACTGTATGACCGACATTAAGCAACACTTATGTATTGTTGCCCTCACACCCGTGTACTCTTGTACCGTTTCATGAACACACATACGTATGTATCATATTAAAAACATACGAACGCTGAAGAAGAGAAGGAGCACTGAGTCCAAGACGAGCCAATGTCGAAGATTAGTGATAAGAGCAAACAATCTTAACACGCTGCAGTCAGAAACACCACAAGACACAAGAATATTCACATATCACAGCTGCTCGGTGGAAACCATGCAGCCTGCATACAACTTTAGGCAGTCCGCCTGCTTCTTCAGACAATGAAATTCTTGGAGTTGCATTAGTCAAAAGGTATGTTATCATCAAGCTTCAGGTGTTTTTATCATGTTTTGTCTTAAGACCAAAAATTCAGTAAACTAGTAAAAACTCTGAAGAAATAGCAACCTCATAAAAGAGGAAGAAACCCAACAGAGAGTAATAAAAGATAAAAGCAGTTTGTAGAAACATGAAAAAATATGTTTTAGTGGAGATTTGACTCCCTGCAAGGGATTAATGAGTTAACTTAACAGTGAATATCTTCTGCCGAGTATATTCAGCCAGCTGCTTACCTTGAAAACTGCTCTGCTACTTGCGTCAGTACATTCTGAAAGAGTTCCTCCTTATCTGAGGAGAGAGCAAGGAGGGGGTTTTGTCACACACACACACACACACACACACACTGTCAACAGCATGTTGGTGTGTCTGATGGGCCAGAGGTAAACACAGTAAATGATACCTGCACTAGCGCACAGAAGGTTTTCTAGCATGTAGGCAGCCTGCATCATCATGTGGGATCATCCAAGAATGCAGCTAAGTTTTTTCTAACATGAAGAGGGTGTTCACCCCTCTTCCCAGGCCAGTCCACCAAGGATGGACCATTGGTCCACACACACACACACACACACACCTAAAATGGGCTGTAGGATTATGGGGTCAGATCAGTCTCAATAATTGTAAATGCACACAGAAAGACTCACAAATGCAAAAAGTAGATTCACAAATGCGCAAAGAGCAATTCATAAATATATTCGACTTACAAATGCACACAGAAGGATTTACAAATACATGCCAATGCACATATGAATAAATTTATATTTGTAGATGTATTTGTCTAAGGATCGCTTCACATTTGTGAGTGTTTTTTTGAGACTCGTCTGATTTGAGTAGATCCACAAATGCTTTTTCTTCCTCATGGACCGATCTGTAGCCAATCAGATGTCGCCCTCAATCAACCAATCACAAGAGCGGAGCTCCCCCCTCCCCTCCCGCTGACTAGGTTAACGTTACGTTAGCGGAGTAAATTCTGTGAATTATTTGCAACTTATTCAGTTTAATTGTGTAGCTCCATAGGCTTAGTTACCTAGCTAGTGTTGTCTAGTTTCTGCATGCTAATTTGTTTCTTCCGCGAAGTAACTTCTTGAAACTAAGATACAATTATTGAAAATAACTGACAGGGTCTGTCACCTAGCAGCACTTGTGTGATCCTCTCCACGTTAAAAACTTAATCAGGAAACTGATGTTCATGATGTAACCACGTCACCTGCGGATATAGACGCGTAAGACACGTGAGCAGGAAGTACAAGAACAGTAAAGGCTGGCACATGCTTCTACGTCTTTACGCACCGCTGTGTCGACTCACTCGTTTCGATTGATGGTTCTAAAAGTCTTCCGTGTGTTGCAGAGCAATTCACCTCCAGAACAACAGGTGGAGTAACGTGTTTTGTTGAAGACGACCTAGAGAGTCACGTCTTTGTGTGTGGAAGTCGTTGGTTTGTTTATTTATTAATCATAGACTTTATTGCCCCGTGCATCCACACTGCTGCTTTTCATCGTATTTTCCTCCACAACTTTGTTCCCCTCGACCGGCAAACCGACGTTTGCGGAGATCTCCCTCCATGAATCTGTTACGTTCCAGCTCCCAAAAGGGAGGGGAACATGGCAACCCACTGCTCGGGCCCACCGATGCCAGCAAAAGGGGTATGGAGTCGCGGTGAGGACAAACACCAAATACCGTATAACGCTTTTATCTAAACACAAAAATAAATATGCATAAATAAACAATAACTTTCTGGGAAAAGGGCAGGGCTGGACGGACCAACATTTTAAAGAGCCCAGCCAGCTGCGACCACTGACGAGGGGGTGGAGCTCTGGGTCCCAATCCTACCTGGAAAACAAACACACACACACAGACACGCAACTACAAGCAATCCCCAAATCGGAATCATTATACGAACCCAGAATTCTGGGGACGTAACACAATCCAACCCGCTTATACAACCCGCCAATGACGGGTTGTATAAGTGGTCATATTTACGCATTTATTCTGACAAAAGTTCTTCAATCTGATCTGTTCTCTCGTAAACATTCTTGGTTTTAATAATGGCGGTATTGTGCTATGAAAATGGAAATGTGAGACTCCGTAAAGGATGTAGTTAGCAGCCCAATCGCAGCCTTGTCGAAAGCGACGCAAGCCTAGAAAAATGGGTCGAGACACGCAAGGAGGTGTGAAAAGGACAGTAAGGGGGCGGAGCCAGTCACCATGGTATCTCCACATCTAATTGGTTACAAACCCCGTCTTTGGATTGGCTGGAGTGATGCATTCACACAACTATAGAAGCCCATTTCCGCACTAAAGAAAGGGGATAGAAAGTCAAAATTATGAGATAAAACATTGTTACTCGAAGATGAAGTATGCAGAGACAAAGCCGCAAATCATACAAAGCCGTGCATCATCCAGGCTGCGCAGGAAAGCGCTAAGGGAACCTGAACCTGGCCTAGAAGAGCTTCTTGATCATGGAAGAACACTTGCAAAATGCAAGTAACCGGCATAGAAAGAGACACAACAGCCTAATGGCGAATGGCGGGGGGGGACGACGTCCAGGCATTCCTGGAGGCCTTCGAGGCGACGGCGGAGGCCTGCGGCTGGCCGGCTGGGTAGTGGCCAGTCCGGCTTTTGCCTCTCCTGACTGGGGAGGCGCAGACCGCAGCCATGGGGCTGCCACGGGGCTGTCACCGGCGGCGCGATTACGCCAACGTCAAAAAGGCCGTAACGGACAGGCTGGGGTTGTCGCCAGAGGACCACTGCCGGAGGCCAGGCTGGGGCCTAATTGGCCCAACGCCCATTGGCCCAACGCCAATGGGCGAGGTGGCTGCAGTCGGAAGTAGGAGTGTTGGAGGTGCGGGCGGCTCGGTCACCTCCGGAGAGAGAGCCCGCTGATGGAGGTGGGACAGGTGATCCGAGTGGCCGGCGCTCCGGCACCCTCCCCCGGTCCGGGAGCGACGTACCGCATTCCGGTAAGAATCCAGGGGGGTACACGCCAGGCGATGGTGGATTCGGGCTGCACGCAATCTATAAATCACCAGAGCCTGGTTCGCCCGGGGGCATTAGTGGAGGCAGCGCGGGTAAGAATACGGTGTGTGCATGGGGATGTTCACGAGTATCCTGTGGTATCGGTGAAAATTAGGTATCTGGGGAAAAAGCATAGAGTGAGGGGTACTGGACCTGATTAAAGAAAGCTGGGAGGAAGGTCCGAGCCCCTGCAAGAATGAGATCCAGTACGTCCTGGACCTGCGAGCAAAACTCCACACACTGGGCCGGATGTAACGAGAGAATTTGCTGCAGGCCCAGGAGCGACAACAAGTTCGGTTCGGAGGGAATTGGCGAGTATGTTGGAGTTGGGGGTAATAGAAGAGTCCAACAGTGCCTGGTGCAGCCCCATCGTCCCGGCCACGTTTCAGCGCCTCATGGATCGGGTGCTGCGTCCGCACGCTGCATATGCTGCCGCCTACCTGGACGACGTCATTATCCACAGCACCACCTCTGTGGGGAACCACTCCTTCATACCCCTAACTTCTCTCTCCCCTTTATTCTGCAGACTGACGCGTCGAACAGGGGGCTGGGGGCCATTTTGTCCCAGGAGGTGGACCGCCCCGTGGTGTACATCAGCCGGAAGCTGTCCGAGAGGGAGGCCAAGTACAGCACAGTGGAGAAGGAGTGCCTGGCAATCCGGTGGGCGGTCCACTCCCTACGCTACTACCTCCTGGGACGCCCATTCACCCTCTTTTCGGACCACGCCCCGCTCCAATGGCTCCACCGCATGAAAGATGCCAACGCCCGGATCCCTCGGTGGTATCTGGCTCTACAGCCTTTTAATTTCAAGGTGGTCCATAGGCCGGGGGAGCAGACGGCTCAGCTGCAGAAGGGACGGAGAAGGGAGTGGTTTGGGGAACGGTGCCGGGGGAGGCATAATCAGCCTCAGGTGGGATTAATCAGTGTATGTGTTCTGCCTTTAAGTAGGAGAGATCCGGCGACAGCGAGAGAGAAAGGCTGGCGAAGGAGCTGGAGCCGGACGTGTGCTGTGCGCAGACTGTTTTAAAGACTGTTGCTAAAACCGATTCGCTGTATAGTCGTCATTCCACGTTCCCCCAGAGGACCGCACGTCACAGCAAGTTACAATTACTGAAATTTAAATGAGTTCGTTACTCGCGTTACTCTCTTTTGTGATGCGCAGCGGAGGGCCGGCAAGTAAATAGCTGCCTTTCAGCACAAAATAGTTGTGGCCACTAAACGTTGTGTATCTTATTTCAGTAGTCCTAGAGAAAAGTAGTTCCCATACGTAACAGCATTGGGTCTCCTTGCAAGATCTCGCACCATCTCATTCATTCACATCGCTCATGACGTCCACCTTAATTGTCTGGTTGCAAAAGCTCACATTGCACAAAACTGATCATTTGTGGGATTTCACGGTCTTTTCGGCACAGAGCTAAAAGCTCAAATGTTGCGCAAAATCTAACCTGTTACTTTGAGTGTCCAGTGATGTGGAACGATCGGGTAAATGTGAACAGCAACTGTACATTATCGCTGAATAATGCATCCCCGTGACTCACTCTCAACCAATCAGAACGCTGGATTTCATCTACCCGTATTATAAATAAATCACATCATGGCCGACAGTGCGGATAGATTCTCTCCTGGAAGTATGGACATTAATTTTCGCTCGTCGAAATAAAGACAAAAATGTGGTGGTGTAAATTATGTGCAGGTGCAAAGAAGCTATCCACATCTAAGAGAAGCAATTCAAATCTTATGAAGCACCTGTTGAAACAACACGCTTCGACAAATTTAGTAGCAAGACACCCCAGACCTACACATGCTGCCAACTAAGGCTCGACTTTACACTCGATAAGCCAGGCAGAGCTGAATAAATTGATTGCTAGGTATGTTGTCGATGTGCATCCTGTGTCAACTGAGTCAGTTGCCTTTAGGCAAATAACTGAGACAGTTATTTTGTATTAAGTTAAGTATTAAAAGGGACTTTTGTACTACTGCTTAATTTGAAGGCCTGTTGCCCTGTTGATTACAGTAGCTCTAAAAAATATGTTTATTGTGTTTGACTGTTCAGTACTGTTCATATTCATTACATTTAAAAAGCAGACATAAAAGTTACTTTCCCTAGTAACTAATTACTTTTAATATATAGTAACTGATAGGTAATTCGAGTGGGGAGCACGGTCGTCCTCCAATCAGAGGGTTGGCGGTGGTGTTAAAGCGCTTTGAGTGGTCGGAAGACTAGAAAAGTGCTTTTTACCATAATCCAATTACCTTTAAAAGAAGTAACTAATTACACATTTTCTGTAACTTTCCCAACACTGGAAATGAGTGACTGTCTCAATGCACAACCCTTCAGAGCCCTGTGTCTGCATTAACGTTACCTTGCAAAGCAGTTAGCTCACGCTTGTACTAAAATACCGCAAAATACATCCATGATGAAACATATTTGACATAGCAATAATTTACAACTCAAACGTAATTAATGTTAATCATGGACGCCATGAAACTTTAAACTTGTTTCACTTATATTTGAAGCGGAGGGTCGTCGCTACCACGCGCCATTGTCTGCTTACTTTGGACCCGTTGCTTCGCAAGTTGCGGCACGTGGGGAGGGGAGGGGGGAGCTGCGCTCTTGTGATTGGTTGAAAATGAGGGCGACATCTGATTGGCTACAGAAAACAACGCATTTATGAATCTTCTCCCGTCAGACGAGTCTCAAAAAATCTACACACAAATGTGAAGCAATCCGCAAACAAATACATTGACAAATATGAATATAAATCAGAATTTATTTATGTGTGCATTGAAATGTATTTGTAAAGCTTTCTGTGTGCATTTGTAAATCAAATATATTTGTTAATTTCTCTGTGCGCATATGTGGGTCTTCTTTTTGCATTTGTGAGTCTTTCTGTGTGCATTTGGAATTATTGAGACTAATCTAACCCCATAGTAGGATGAACAGATTAATCCAATGAGGAAGAATTAGTGGTGCTGTGTATCAAGAGCCCTGTGAAATACACTGGCTCACACAGACATAAACACATGCAGAGGTTATGTAAGTCAGTCGGAGAGCATCGATTGGCCAAAAGTCCGAAGAGTCTGCCCCTCGCTGATCAACAGAGCATCTGCAGTGGATAGGAATGGGCTGACAGCTTGATGTGTTAACAAGCCACTTCTGAATCCTCTCCCCACACACTGACAACAGGCTGGACACACAAAGAAAGCCCTGCCATTGGCTAACAGCTCCACTGTTGTGGACAGTGGACAGTTCAACGGCAATCAACTAACATTGTACATTTTGTCACTCACATTCCATGTACCATAAGATGGTCACAAGCCACTCTAGGCTGTAAAAAAAACTCCCTGTGGTCAAGGCCTTGATGTTTAGTATCAAGTGCCTTTTGTTTGTATGTAAAATGGTTTGGGTCTGTGGGACTGCCTGCTCCCCATTATTCTTTCCATGCATTTCGTCATCACAGGGGTCAAGGCAACCAGTCTGAAATCATTATGTACATATAGACTCTTACAATCAGTACCCTTGTGCCGATGGTGGGTTTCGGGACAGAGGATGTTGTATGTGTACAGACTGTAAAGCCCTAAGGCAAATTTGTAATTTGCGATTATGGGCTATACAAAATAAAATGAATTGAATTGAATTGAATTAAGGCCCTGCTATACCAGTTGGTAGTTTACATTTTGAGTCACTATATCTTACTAAAAAATATATTTACCTTAACATAACCCAACTTCTCGAGCCATCTTTACGTCTTGATTGAGCTATGTTATTTCAAAAATAATTTTGAAGGTATTATTATTATTGCCCTTCAAAAAATAAAAATGCCAAGAAATATTTTTTTCCACTACTTTTCTCTTCAAGGGGACATTAAAGGGTATATCACGGCAACTACATTTCATATGTATACAATTTCTGCACAGTTTCTACACATATTGTTCAAAGCTCATAATATGTCATTTAATGACTTTATCAGAATGGAATTGTGTGTGTGTTTGTAGTCCCTGGAACTCACCAGCAAGCTGTCCTCCAGTCATAGGCACCACTCGATACGGTAACCTTTAACACAACCGGACATACACACTGGTGAGGTTGAGAGCAAAGGTGGTGTGATTTGCACATACGAGTTCAATTTTGTACTATACATAAGTACAATTACGAGGAAGATTAACAACACTAAAATCACGTGTTTCAGATTTCATCCTATGAAAAGATATCAAGCATACGGAAAAGCGTGCTGTAACGTGGTTGGTTCATAGGAGGCAAGTAGACGACGTACACAACATACGTGGGCAGACGACATAAGATGGATGGATGCGTGGATCCCGGTGCCATGAGCCTCGGCTACAGTTTGGGTCACCCTGTTGCGTTGCTACCTACAGTATTAACTATTACCGGCCAGTCCTTTCTTTTTCTTGGGTACTGAATGACCTAAATGGCCACTTGCAAGATGTTGATTTATTTGCTTAAGAAGTTGAATGATAAAGGGTGCTCTTGTCATAACTACAGATATCAGATCTGTAGAGAATTGCGTTAATTCAATGTAGCATTATGTACATTCTACTCTGCAGGGCTACAATAGTGCCTTTGCTGCTTTGGAGGTAAATTGGTAACTAAACTGTGAAAAGCTGTACATACTCAAGTAAAGCCCACTACATATGTTTTAGTGTGCTTCTTTATAAAAAATAAAAAGAGGATACCTTTACACATATAGAATTGTCCCAAGATGTCATGCAGGTTAATCAAGAGTACACAAAAAATTAGTATATTTCTTCTTCTGGTTGTTTTAGACACTGCTATCAGACAACCTTCAGAGCAGTTAAAAGCCAATCCAATGAAATGTGAGGAAACGGCGGCTGCCGTTACGTGAGCCAAGTCTTTGTGAGAAGGAAGTTTGTTTATTGCTAATCCTGAGAAAATGTCCTGTACAATTAGTAATTAGAGGGAAACATATATATAGAAAGTCCATCTTTCCCATAGGAAAACTACTGCAAGACCAATCAGATGCTGGCAGTTATTAGTGGTTTACTGAAAATCCGTCTGCAGAAGAATGTTCAACAAACTAGTACATTTCAAATCAACAAAGAAAGGCAATACTAGTAGATTATCTTTAACTGTATTACTAAGTATTACAAAAGTATTAGGCGTATGTACTCTGAGCTGAGTTTTTCTGATTACTTAATAAAATGCTCCAAGTGAAATCAGTTTGGCTTCCAATGCAGACATAAAAATCACTTGTCATGGCAGCTCATTAAAGCAATAGGTTACAGTTGAGGGAGGAGCAGGGGACACCAACATTTATATTTAATCATTGAATATATCTTTTGATCAAACAGCCAAGGTGGACCGAACAATTGTTCTGTCAAACAATCAATTTATTAATGAAGTCATCAATGGGGTATAGAATTTCCAATACCTCTCTGTGTTGTGTGGCATGGTAGGGTCAATTGACACCATGGCTCCAGAAGAATCCAACAGGGACAGATTAGTGTTCCTGTACAAAGACAAAAACACATATTTTCCTAGAAGCCATGTGTATATGTGCAATACACAAATATGTGTCAAATGTATGTGTTTTTTAAGTATGGCATATGACGTCACTATTTATTATATTAGTAATACACAAATATGTGTCAAATGTATGTGTTTTTGAAGTATGGCATATGGCGTCACTATTTATTATATTAGTAATACACAAGTATGTGTCATGTATGTGTTTTTGAAGTATGGCATATACCCAGTCCCTCTGCCTGTCTGCATGTCTGCTGGGCTGGGGCCAGGCCCAAAAGAGGAAGGTCTAAGAAGCAGTTTAGCCAATTACTGATTAAAAGATATAAATAAGTGACATATAATTTAGCCAACCAGCGTCCTAAAATATATTTAGCGTTGGCCCACCGTTGTTTGGACCCGCCATCATATGGTCCCAGGCTGCGTTCTCGTCAGGGCTGGTCTCGCAAGGCGGCGTTTTAATGACATGACAATGCCGAACACGAGATATTCCAAACTCTGTAAAATCTCTCCTCCAAGACCCGTTTGAGGGAATAAGACATTTTGCGGAGAAACTAGAGGTAAAACAAGTGAGCCCAGATCACCCTGACCTCAGAATCCACAGATCCAGCATGGACCAATACGGGAGTAAGGGACATGAAGCACCTGTTGGCAGGGGCGGACTGGGAGAAGAAAGTGTCCCGGGAGTTACTGTCACACCGGCCCACTCAATACATGCCGTGTTTCCCACTCAATGCACCGGAAATTTCAACCAGTCAGTGGCCTACTTGGAAAAATACCCATACACTATTTTGGATGAGAAATTACAACATATGTTTTTTTTATAACATTTGGATTCACCAATTTGCCTGGATGGACACATGGAATAAAATTATACTGACTATTGTAACACTCCAAAGCAGGCATAGTTTGCTAGATGAATATGCTTCTTTCTGGGATATGATGAGATGGTAATACGTATGAGCCTTAAGGAATGAATGTCAGCAGAGAAAGATCATACAATAAAGACACATTGGAATCAATGACTTATGAGCTATATTGTAGAAATGAACAGCACAGAAGATACGATGGGGTGAGGACATCAGTGGTATCCGTTGTTGCATTGTGGGTGTGTGATTGTGTGTAAGTTGGGGATGTTGAAGGTGCATAACAAAACAATAAGTTGTGTCACTGGTCCGTGGTTTCACAAATAAGTGAGATTTTTAATATTTTGATTCAACTTCCTCCACACATCTTTTTTTTCTCCCTGAGCTTTTCAGGATTTCTTAAAGGATTCACGTTTTGCAGCCGATGAGAACATTAGTGTCAAACTCAATCACATAGTGGGACACAATTAAAAACTTGCATGAATATCAAGATACCCGATACTTACAATACCAGAATTTAATACAATTCCCCCTTCATGTCTCCCCTGCGATAGCTATCTGAGGGCTCTGGGCAGCCCTGCCTCCTACTGTGGTGGAGAAGTTGCTAGATTTGTTGCGAGTAGCTGTTGCAGTGCCTTTTGGGACTTTTAGTATCAGCTGTGTCCTATTGACCGACGCCAGTTATGATAGACATATAAAATTTAATTGTGGGCAGAAAATAATTGTTCCGCGAGCCAGACACCTAAAATAAAGTTAGATTGATGGAAGAGACTAAATGAGTAAAGAAGATGGAAACCATGAGTGTGAATACAGATTGCGAGGAGTAGTATAAATAACAGTCAGTTGATCACAGCTTTAGATATCGCGTAATCTGTTTAGCAGAGAATATAAGCAACCTGACACGGGCGGGAAAAATAATAGAAACGGACACAGATCCTCTATTGGGCACAAGCTGTATTGGTGCATCGCTGGTCTCTTGATCCTCCTGTATCACTCTTTTTCGTGTTTTCATGTAGCAACAGAGTTACTTCTTGTTGTGAGCTGTACCCAGCATGAAGTTCGGCAGAGTAATTTATATATATTCAAATTAAAAATGATTAAAACTATATGATATCTTGATATCTAGTGTGAATATAGTATGGTCTGAATGGATTAACATACAGCTTGTTTGATGTAGTAAGGATCAAAGTCTTCTGTAGAAAATAATTATTGAATAGACATAGCAGGCACCTGTTAAGAAGAAAAACCAAGGCAGAGTCTGAACTTCTTTTCCACCACACAGGTACAGTGAATCCGGAAAGTATTCACAGCACTTCACTTTTTCCACATTTTGTTATGTTACAGCCTTATACCAAAATTGATTAAATTCTTAATTTTCCTCAACATTCTACACACAACAACCCATAATGACAATGTTTTTTGCAAATTTTGTCAAATTTGTTAAAAATAAAGAACGAAAACATAACATGTACATACGTATTCACAGCCTTTGCCATGACACTCAAAATGTAGCTCAGGTGCATCCTGTTTCCACTGATCATCCTTGAGATGTTTCTACAACTTGCTTGGAGTCCACCTGTGCTAAATTCAGTTGATGGACATGATTGAGAAAGGCACACACCTGTCTCTATAAGGTATCACAGTTGACAGTGCATAACAGAGCATAAACCAAGCCATGAAGTCCAAGGAATTATCTGTAGACCTCCGAGACAGAATTGTATCGAGGCACAGATCTGGCGAAGGATACAGAAAGATTTCTGCAGCATTGAAAGTCCCAATGAGCACAGTGGCCTCAATCATCCGGAAATGGAAGAAGTTTGGAACCACCAGGGGTCTTTCTAGAGTTGGCCGCCCAGCCAGACTGAGCGATCGGGGGAGAAGGGCCTTAGTCAGGGAGGTGACGAAGAACCCGATGGTCACTCTGACAGAGCTCCAGCGTTGTTCTATGAAGAGAGGAGAACCTTCCAGAAGGACAACCATCTCTGCAGCACTCCACAAATCAGGCCTGTTTGGTAGAGTGGCCAGACGGAAGCCACTCCTCAGTAAAAAGCACATGACAGCCCGCCTGAAGGACTCTCAGACCATGAGAAAACAAAATTCTCTGGTCTGATGACACAAAGATTGAACTCTTTGGCCTGAATGCCAAGCGTCATGTCTGGAGGAAACCAGGCACTGCTCATCACCTGGCCAATACCATCGCTACAGTGAAGCATGGTGGTGGCAGCATCATGCTGTGGGGATGTTTTTCAGCGGGAGGAACTGGGAGACTGGTCAGGATTGAGGGAAAGATGAATGCAGCAATGTACAGAGACATCCTGGATGAAAACATGCTCCAAAGCGCTCTGGACCTCAGACTGGGGCGACGGTTCATCTTCCAACAGGACAACGACCCGAAGCACACAGCCAAGATAACAAAGGAGCTGCTTCGGCACAACTCTGTGAATGTCCTTGAGTGGCCCAGCCAGAGCCCTGACTTAAACCCCATTGAACATCTCTGGAGAGATCTGAAAATGGCTGTGCACGGACGCTCCCCATCCAACCTGGTGGAACTTGAGAGGTTCTGCAAAGGAGAATGGGAGAACTTGCACAGAAATAGGTATGCCACGCTTGTGGAATCATACCCAAGAAGACTTGAGGCTGTAATTGCTGCCAAAGGTGCTTCAACAAAGTATTGAGCAAAGGCTGTGAATACTTATGTACATGTTGTGTTTTCGTTCTTTATTTTTAACAGATTTGCAAAAAAACGTTTTCACTTTGTCATTATGGGTTGTGTGTAGAATGTTGAGGAAAATAATTAATTTAATCAATTTTGGAATAAGGCTGTAACATAACAAAATGTGGAAAAAGTGAAGCGTTGTGAATACTTTCCAGATGCACTGTATGTCCCTTCAGTGATCCTTTCTGCCCTATAAACATGTGGGGGGCTTACCTTGGCACACCCAAGGCAGTACAGAACAGCTCCTTAATGTCACATGGGCTGCAGAATCTACTGAACACCACCTGAGGGAGAACAACACACACAATAATACATGATAAGGGTATGATTTAAAATTGATGACCACTCAACTCACTGCATCTAAAACATGAACCGGTCATATCTTAAGGCCCATATGACCATGATTACTTCTCAATAGCAGTTTTTAACATTGTACACACTTGTCCAAGCAGCATCCAAAATGTGAACAGTTCCAAGTGCAGTGTCTGCTTATTAGGACTTGTAATCTCATTTTGTTTTCTTACACTTAAATCATCAGAATTTTAAGTCATTGTTTTCAGGTTTTTATATATATATATATATTATATAGCACACTTAGCATTCAGACACCTTTTCAACTAATATATGTATGTATATGTATACCAGGTGGAAGAGACAAGATACTGTGCAGGTCAGATAACTGACAGCAGTGCTTCAGGAACACAAATACTATCTTTGATCCATTACACTTGCTGCTATTATTTTGACATTTATATTGTTGATTCTCATTGTACAAAGGTCAATAAATAGAAGCTGACAACAATATTTCGGAGCAGGAAAGGGATATTCGATGGATTGCCACAATACCATGCTTCACTTTAGTCTACTTATATTCCTTTGCTGTTTTTAATCAATCTTGTTTACTCAGAATTCAAATGTTAACAAGAGGGTATCCTTCAGGCCATATCCCAACAATGGATTTCATCATTGGAACATGGCCATGTGCTAAGGACCGGCCTGCTTTACTTCCATTCCTGAATGCTACTCTTACACTACTCTTACTGGATTATTTGGAAGAGAGAAATACCATATTGGTGAGTAAGTTAAAGTAACAGTTGAAGGATTTCGGTTCCTACCTGTCTGCCTGTCGTGTACTGTGTCTCAACAGCTGATGGTGCTGCATTATATATTTTAGCCATGACTTTGTGGCGAGAAATAAGTCAGATATTTTCCAAACTTATCACCAGAAAGAATAATTTGGTGAAGCTTTCTGGAAATTGAAGAGTAGCACTCTAAAATATATTCTGCTCTCAAGACGTCTACATGGATTTAAAGTCCTCTACATGTTTGTAGCTGGAGCTTACTGAGCTGCAACCAATATCAATAACAAACCCCGTTATCATAATCGTTCCCTGATGATCTCACACCACAAACCAGCTGCAGCATTCAACCTAATCACCCAACTAACCAGAATCTGGTTAGCCTGAAGAAGCACATGAGACACCAAGAAGAGAAAAAACACAGTCAACATGATGGTAAGGAAAGGCGCAGAGCTCACAATGTAGTAAGAACGGGGCTTTGTAATACAAGGAGCTAAATATGCAACAGCTTTGTAATTTCAAACTAATTTAAATATGAGTTCAATTGAGGCTATTATGCACACTCGACTGCCCTGTCTATATTAATTTCCTTACCAATGTTAAATCCTTTCCTGGCCAAATCAATGCTGATAACGCTATGCTGATACAATAGTCAATTATCATTAACTATAAATACGAATCTTAGAAGTACTTTTCACAGCTTGTTGAACCTAAACGACAAGTGACCATTGATCCCACCAAGAAACCGCTCGATACCAACTACGTGTGTAGAGAAGATTTGGCTGGTTGTGAGGCATTAAATACATCCACAGAGCTGCAGCAAAAACACACACACACAAAACAGAACATTCAAAAAACAAATCCAGACAAAGATGACCTGATTGGCCTCTATAGCACGTAACATGGCTGTATGTACTGTAAGATGTCCAATAGGGAATCGGTTCTCTCTCTCTCTCTTTCTTTAAGAGACAAACGTGTCTGATGCTTAAAGCACAGGTGCTTAAAAGAGCCAATCCTCCCACCTCCCTGTCGCTTAGTTAAACTACATTGTTGCAGCACATATGTGCTCCGTAAAGAATAAACACTGCCAGTGAAGTATTTTACAACATCAATATATGGCCTTTTATGAGCTGCTGTTTCTTGTGGTCTAAGTGCACAATTTGACTCAAATCACCATGTACTGACTAGGTAGTTAAGTAATGATGTTTCCTATTAGGGCGGTGATTCATATGTTGTATTGTACTGAGCCGGACATGGTTCAAGATTAAATGTGGACCTCCCAGTGGGATTGGTTGGATGTTGATTGGATGTTTTTGTGGCTGAGGTGGAGAGTTATTTAGATTTTCCTTTCAACTGAACTGTGGACCCTCGCCTGAAAAAACAGGTAGAGAAAATGTATGGATGAAAGAATGTAGTCCGTTCAAAGGCTTTATCGAGCAAAGAGGACATTAGTTCAGTTCCGATACAGCGTCACATAATGATGCTTTTAGTTCACCGTTGTTTCCCAGTCTTGCTGAATCTGCACAACACTAAACTACAAGCAGTAACATAGAACCTATCAGTGGCATGTTATCTTATTTTTTTATCAATGTGCCCAAGACAAATGTCCCCTCAGGGACAATAAAGTTCACTCTACTCTACTTTAGCAGATACAACTCAGTGTAGTTTGCTTATGTTTGGTTTTATTGCAGCTGACTTGTGGCCAAATGTCTGTGTAATTCCTTCAATATTTGCACAATTCATTATGAAACCATTAACATCCAAAAGCAGAGGAGGCTGGTGTAAAACAATACGCTATAGCTTCAGTAGGGGACTTTCATGTTGGAGGAAAAGGTTAATGGCTTGAGTGTAGAAGCCTGTTATTCTTCAACCTCACAGCTCAGCGCTCTTCATACCGGAGATTATCTATTTCTCTCTGCATCTCACACACACACACACACACACACACACACAGAAGAGGACAACGGTTAGCTTGTTAGTTAATGGTGATGATTCAGACACATCATCAGAACTGTGGTTTCTACTTATGTCTATTTATAGCCAATAACGTGCTCAGTAGCATTACATTAACTGTGATAAACCGCCATGACATTTAGACTAAAGGGTGTACCAGCGTGTGTGCATAATCAACTCAATCCACCATTAATAATACGGAGCACAAAATAATGAAAGCCAACTGGAGCTCCCTGTGATTATCAACTGAAGCCAGCCTTACATCTCCCTGTGACATCACAGATTCATTCAATTGTTTCATATGGACATTTGTCTTTTAGTTAGTTGGGTCCAAGATGTTCTGCAAACAAACCAAGACTCACTACATCTGATTTCTATAGTATGGACTTGCAAGCTGCCCAATGTGCATACACATGTTAAAACATCACAGTAACATGTCTACACTCTGGCCCTCAATATTACAATTAAAACGACGTAATACGATGTTAGCTTTACCCATACAGATATATATATATGTATATGTAAATGTATAGATTTGACCTGCTGGGCTACTTGTGTGATACTAATAGGTCTTAGTTAGTGATACTTCACAGGGGCATTATAATCCACAAGACTTATTATGGAACTCAATGATGGGTGACATAAAGTTTCTTTAGTATCAATTATAAATGTGTATAACAAAATCAAAACATTCAATAGCAAATAGCCATGCTGCATCGGTAATTATAGATAATTATTGATATTAATGTAAATCATCCAATCAATTTTAGATCTATAGCCCTATATGCTTTGGGGATTTAGGTTCTAGAGGAGCGTGTCGGTGACAGAAATCCCTTCAACCAACCAGATTCCCTCAGCTTCTCCACTGAATGCTGCTCATTTAGTTTGATTTTTATGAATAAAAAGTGGGCTTTGTAGGTTAAACGCTGCTTGTGTTTTCTCCTTTCCTTTTTTTTTACTAACGGGTCTATGTGTCGTACCTTTTGAATCCTGCCGTCCACGTCCAGGTGAATGACCCGGTAAGAGGACGAAGCGGAGCCCATGGCCCCCTCTCTTCTTCCCGGTGTTGGTGGTCCGCTGTGCCCGATGCTGGCGGAATGGAGTCCACGCTCTCACAACATCCCTGTTTGCTCGTTCGATACAAAGTAGTTGTCCAACTATGTCTTCCGGTCTCTGTGCGTCACTATCTGCAGCATCTCATAAAGCGCGACGACGCGCGTGCACGCCTACTTCATTCATTACAGACCTTCGCACCTCGCGCTCACCTACAGACACGGTGCCACACACACACACACACACACACACACACACACACAGAAAATACACACACTGCAGAGTTGTCAAGGGTCCATGACACAACGTCTATGAGTTGGTTTTTGTGCACGATGGCTAGTGCAGCGCAGTCTCCATCTCCGCCAATCAGAGACAAGTTGGAGTGTCGCCCCCCAGTCTCCTCACGCTGGATTGGCTGGTTTAGTTTCTTAGAGTAAAAGTAACAATCCGATTGATGGAACCATAATGCAGGTTTTGGTGATTTTGGTAATGTTGAGGGAAACAGCGGGGCAGTTGCGACATGCAGTTCCTAGACATGAACACTCATTAGCAGGCATCTAAATACCATTCAAATGTATTTAGATGCCTGCTAATGAGCACAGGCGGATGGAAAGCAGACAGTTTGTGTGCATCGAGATGGAGTCTTATACTGTGTGGTGCCTGTGACCAAAACATGTGATGCAATCAAGCAAATGGACATTGGTAATTATATGTGGAGCACGGATTAATGATGACTTAAAGATACTCAATTTATTTGTGGCAGAACACACGGCCGAACATGTTCGCAGAGCTGCCAACTTTTCAAAAAGCCTTGGAGTGAGATTTTGTCGGTGGTGACCAAAATTTTGCCGGGCGCGCAGCCCCACACGTGTGTGCTGCCACCCTGCCAATGGTGACTCAAATATCAGGGAATTGGAATTAATTTGCCGTTGTAGCCACGTTGTGCCCTACAATCTGGTGGTTGATAGGGGCGGCCTGGAGACGGACAACATTGGTTACATTCTGTGAAGCAAAGACATGACGGTTCACCCCCAGGACATTTGGTTTAAGTAGATGTTATTTCCTGCGCGAATTACATTGCATTTTTACATCTTTGACCAGGGAGCAATTAGAGGTTAAGTGTCTTGCCCAGGGACACGGAGAGGCCGGGGTTTGAACCACCAACCTTGCTGTTCCCGGCACCCTCTCTACCCCATGATTACAATGATACCCAACTAATCGTTAACTGAAACCTAAACCTAATGAAAAGAATAATTGTATTCTTAAGAGCCGATTTATGTTCAGCAGAAAATTACACAAGATTAATTTGGGAGAAACATTTTTCATTATTCAAGGTCTCCCACCACACATTGCATCAAACAAAAAAGTGCAACAAATAAAGTGCTTCAACAGAACCAAAAATTAGGCATCAGATGCAGATCAGAAGCTGGTTAGATTTGTGGGCAAGGTTGATTGATCACTGTATCATAGATATGAAATACTATGACGTTAATCACAAATGATGTCACCTATCTTACAGTATTACTATATTACGTGTATACATAAAATACTATGAGGTTAATCACTATTAATGTATAGACTCAGGTGAGGTTCAGGTACATTTTCAATTTATATTATAGTCATCAATGTCATCATAGACTAACATTACAGACTTTGCCTCTTTCTGGTCTTGTGCTTTCCCTCCCCAGGCTTCTGTGGATGGTGGTTGTCCCAGCAGTGGTCCAGCTGTTCACCTGGTTATCTGCTCTCAATATTTGAATAATTTCTGTTGTAGGAATTGAATGCATTGTACATCTTTTACATTGATCATTCTGTACACATGACATTGTAGTCTGTCCATCCTGGTGCATGGATCCCTCCTCTGACGTTCTCCCTAAGGTTCCTTCTTTTTTGGGGGAGTTTTTCTTGTGCCAATGTGAGGGTTTCTTGGGACAGAGGATTTTGCATGGGTGTAGACTGTAAGCCCTCTCTGGACTGGAGATATACAAGAGAGAAATCAGACAGGAAACTGATTCAGCACAACGACAGACGACATACCTTTTAACCCTTTCATATACCATTCCTGATTGATTAAGAACATTCCGACTTTCTGCACGCCATGGTCCATTTAAAAGGTCTAGAAATATTAAGTCACTGCCACAAAAGCTAAAGCTAATACAAAAGGTTCCTGACGGGTTAGCATCCAGTTGGAATCGTTACAATAGCCCTCATGGATGGAAAAGAGTTTCCCACCTGCGAGGAGTTGCCTAACGTTGTATCAAGTTGTTGATAAGCCGATGCCATCACTTATAGGAATATAGCCCAGATTGAGTGATAAAAGCTGACAAATGTGTCCTTTGCACAAGGGCACCTGCCAGTATTCTTTTAGTAGATCAAATGTGCTGGCATACCTTGTGGCACTCAAATCTTTTACATTGCTCATTCTGTGCACATGACATCCATTGTAGTCTGACCATCCCGGGAGAGGGATCCTCCTCCTCGTTCTCTCTAAGGTTTCGTTCCCTTTTCCCCATAGAAGCGTTTTTCAGTTTTCCCTGTGCCGACCTGATGGTTTTCGGGACAGAGGATGTCGCATGTGTACAAACTGTAAAGCCCTCTGAGGAAAATTTGTAATTTGCAATTTTGGGCTATACAAAATAAAATTAATTGAAATGGAATTGAATTGAACTCACTTGTACATGTAAAACCTGTATAGCCAACATTAGCAGATAACTTGTACATATGGTTAAATAGCATTAGCATCCCCAGAAGCAGCAGCCGTTAAGGTTATAACGTATGGCAAACAGTATTCCATATGGAATAAAAAATGCATAATGTATATACAAACAATACAGAAAAGCATGAAATTAAAATTTTGAATTAAATAGAAAAGAAAGTGCACAAAATACAATTAGTGAAATAGTGGTGAAATAGAAGCATGTACAGTGGAGTGGAAAAGGTATTGCTGTCACGCCCTAATTGTGTTCACCTGTTTTCACCTGTCTCCTCCCACACCAGGTGTTCCCTGTTTGTCAATTATCCCTTGGGCATATAACCTGTGTCTTCTCCCTGTTCTTGTTGCCAGTTCGTCTTGTGTGTTTCACCAGGTCTTACCAGCGTTATATCCCCGTAGTTTTCAGTCGATTCTTGAGATCCCCGTGTACTGACCCCTGCCTGCCTCCGACAACGACACTGCCTGCCACCTCTGAACCTCCGACCTCCTGTGTACCGAACTCCTGCCTGCCTCCGACAACGACACTGCCTGCCCGAATTCCTCTTCATTAAACCTTATTCCTCGTATCTGCGTTTGGGTCTCTGTCTGAGTTGTGATAGTTGCATTAAATTTAAACAGTACTGCCGTGGTTATTGAGTAATTGTTCAATTCAACAAGGATTAAGCCTAAGGAAATTAGTGTTATTGCAGTTGCCTGGAATGTTTTCTTGTATCTGTCCTTGTGACAGCGGAGCTGCATCATCCTGTTGGAGAAGGTGCTCCATGTCCCTGCAGTAGAGGGTGAGGGTGGTCCAGGTTATCCAATATGGACAGTGGATAGTTTGTGGATAGTTCTTTAGGTGTCCTCCTCTCCACCACCTGTTCTGGATGCTCCTGTTGGCAGCCAATGGTGGAGCCGGCCTTCAGCAGCTTGTTGAGTCTGTTCCAAGCTCCAAAGCCAAATACCTGGCTTTACACCGACAGTGTTGCTCCTTCATTTAATTTTCATCTCTTTAACCGGTTTTCATTTCTGAAGAAGTTTGACAAAGATATATATCCTACTTCTCATCTCTAAATTTGTGTTTTTCAAAACCAGATAAGATGAATTCAGGCTTTGGTGGCACTACGGGCCATGGTACCAATGACAACATAAACATACAGTACACATCACAATGGAAGTAAAAGATCAAATTAAACCTTGTCTTTTGATGCATGAACAAGACTGTTACCAACACTTGTGTTATTTTTTTCAATTTTGAGCTGTTCCTTCAAGCTACTTGGGCTCTCAATGGACTGGACCTGGAACTTTTATTTCTTTTCTGAAACCTTTAGGTGGTAAAAGCAAAAGCAGACGTTACATTTTGGAATTCAGCATTGTTTAGTTACCGTTACCGCGCCTTTCCCAATCCTGCGTGTGCGAGGTACGTCTTGTCTGCCGGTGTCACTGAGTGGGTTTCTGTCTGTTGAGCTTATTATTTTGGATGACACCTGCCACCTGCAGCTGAAGCTTAAGGCCACTCCATGCCATGCATTAGACCGATTTAGCTGACCTGTCGTAGAACGCTGCAAAGAGAGCCATCAAAAACACAACCCTGGAACAGTTGGGTGAAGGAAAGAAATATGTTTATTGTTCATTCCCAAAGAAAAACAAAACATTTAGAAATGTTTTTTCCTTACAAAATCAAGTGCCTGACTAAAAGTCAAAGAAGAAATAAGGCACAAAATGTTTCAAGTACTACGCCTACCATTGACACCAAATATACACAACATGTGGTCTTGTGAGGAAGGCATTAGGAGCAATTGAAAAATGGATGAATACATTCATTTTGGATTTGGTGGGTTTACTTTGATAGTGGTTTACCGTCTGTAAACTATCCAAGTTTAAACTTGCAAACTTGCAGAACTTAATCAAATGTTTGGGTGAAAAAAGGAATTACTGTGAGCTCTTTGTCGCTTAGTGTTCAGATTTCCATAGATAGAATTATTCATGCTGAAAGGATCATAAATTGGAAGAAAAAAAGTCACTATTAAGAACTCACTTAAACACAAACCAAAGTAATCAACATTGCACTGCATAACATATTCATTTGACGTTTGACAATAATTTATATTAATATCTTTCGATCACAACCCACAAAAAAACCTACATCAATATCTGCATCTGTGTTATATAAAAAAATACAAATTTGGTGCCTTCATTTCATTACAAAAATCAGAGAAAAATCTAACTGCCACAAAACCAATAACTTAAATGAATGAAAGTACATTAACATCTTACCCACAATATCTTTGGTTCAGTAAGGCAAATGAGTCTTCCACACAAAGGAGCATTGTAGTGGTCTCACTTTGTGCTGCTTTCACAGAGTTAAATTAGTTATTTTAACAGAGCTTCTTGTGAGAATTCTAAAAGCACCACAGGATGCCACAAGTGCTTCTATTAAGGGTGAACCTACTCAACGTGAATCTTAAACATTTTAACATTAACTTTTTGTCCAGCTGAAGGTTTCTGCCTCCACTATAATAAAGTCAATATAAATTAGACATTTTCAAGAACTATAATATATCTGGTAGAAATCCAATTGGTCCAAACATAACGGTTATGGTTAGGTCACAATTTAGTGTTTACAAGGAGAAGGATAAGAGGATAACTAGATTCTATAATGACACAGTCATGGAAGTTGCTGTTTGTCACTTCTGGTATACTGGTCAAAGTAAGGCTGGATTCCCATGTGTGGCCATCTCTGGCAATGTGCTCAAGCGCAATAGGAAAGAACTGCAATAGGAAATAGGTCAACAGCGCAGAGTTCAGAAAGAGGCAAAGAAAGTTAATTTATGTGCAGATGACTCCTCCAGAGATTGTTGCTGCTGTTCCTCCTCAGGGACGGAGGGCATGGCACAGCGTGCACTGTTCCCTCCTACAGAGGGAGAGCGATCCAGGGGCTCAATGCTCCTTCAACCTGTGAAGTAAAGACAAACATTAACAGCACATTGATCAGTCGGGTGTCATTAAGGTTGACAGCAATAAGCTTTAAGATAACTCTTTCTCCCATTGAGCATATAAATCAAACTTATTCTCATGATGTTGTGTTCTGGCTTCAGATCATTGGTTGATTTGATGTTCTGCACTCAACAGTCATACAGAGCACATAAGGGGGGAAGTCTAAACACAGACTCTTTTATTTGATGTCTGCTGGTGGGAGCGTGGAGGATTGTAAACGCTGTCACCCTTTTTAGTGGAACTATACAAACCTCACATAAGATAAATCTGGACGGTCACATTTCTACCATTAAGATGTGCCTTTGCTTAACTTAGTAGTGTTTTAAGGTTTTACGTTCATCTTCCATGTTTTCTTATATAACCTTTTTAAGAACTAAGGATACACCGACAATGAGATCAAGCTTTCTCCCTAAACTAAATCTTTGCTTTATATACAATACAATGTTCTGTGAAGCCTTCCACATACACAATGATCCATTGGGATTATTAATGAAACACTGGGATCTAATTGGTTCCCGGTATTTATTAGTAACACTGCAAAATACAATATCAAGCTGGAGTGAATCCCCACCTAGTGGCACATGCAGATTTGTCATGTACTGTAATATACATGTATACTGTGATACAAGTTATCGATGTATGAATGATGCATCAGCAGAATTATGAACTGTCCGTGGCAAGTAGTGGAGATCTCTAGGAAGTGAGATCCAAAAAGGACTCTTTACCACATACAGAAAAACAGATCTGCCAGATTAGAATTTGGATTGGAACGTCGGAAAGCCCAACTGCCTCCATTGAATCCCACATGTCTCCTACTAAAAATAATAACAATAATGTTAATAGAAAAAAAAAAAATTCCAGAAAAACTGCTGCTGCGAGAACACGAAGAACTATAACGTACTGTAAGTGTTCATAGAGTCACGGAAATGCATCCACAATGGCAACTTCTATTATGTTATTCTATTACTATTCAGTTTTGTCAGAGCCGAATTACAACTTTGCCAAAACATTAGTAATACTATACTAATACTTAAGAAAACAATTTGAATATGAAAGCTAAAGGATTCACAATCGGTGAGAAATAAAGAGTAAGGGAATGAAAGGACAGTGAGAACATCCAATAGACACAAGTCACACCATGAACTGGACTTACTCTACAGTCGAGGTGGGACGGGACTGGCTGGAGGTCAGCTCCTTTGACACAAGGCGAAGCAAAAGCTACACACACACACACACACACACACACACACACACGTTACTTCATATATTTGACTACAGCTGGTCTTAAAGTTACGTATATACATACAAATTTCTCTGCTGTGTGCTGCTGGTATCAAAAGATGCATACAAATTAGATATCAAAAGATATATCATAACCTTTGGAGTTTGTTTGTGCCCAGGTGACACGTTTAATAATCATATATTAGATTAAATATTATATTCTTTCTCCTTTTAGCGCTCTTTAGCAGCTAAATGCTCCACTGTGTCCCAGCTTGAAAATGTAGGAGACATCCGGTTGGCTAGGACAAATGTCAATCAACATCAGAAAATACAGTAATGGTCAAACATGGGAAGCTGTTTATTTAAAAACAGTTTGTTTATAAGCATTTTAAATCGTTTTAAATTCATACATTTGCGGATTTCTATCAAATGTATGTATAAGCAGACATATTTGTATGTGCATCATAAATATTATTTTGTGGGGAGTCATTTTAATATAAATGATAGAATCCCTACTTGTGTGCATTCAGTAATATTGAGCCTGATTAAGCAGTTTAGAGTTTTTAAAGCACTCACACACAGAGCAAAGAAGTCAGCAGTCATCAGCATGTAGAAGACCTGATCCCAGCCGCCTGCAGACAGCAGCCCGGCCAGCAGAGGGCCCAGTGCTGCACCTGCACCACAGGGGGGTCAACACTTTAATGACAAACAGATATCTGGGGCATGGTGAACACACTGATAAAAGAAATAACAGAAGATATGTGGACATGGACATTAAAACATAACAGTAGTAATATTTCATTTTCATTGAAAACACGTCACTAATGAATACTGGATCAGCTCGGCTGTGCCACATTTACTGCTGTTTGAATCACTTTCACTGAAAAATACAGTGAGCCACTGTCTTTACAGAGAGGAGCCAATTGTTGGCACACAGAGTGCTACATATGGGGCAGGGAAGTAACCAGTAGTACATTGGAAACATTTATATAGTCTAATTCAGCGGTTTCCAAACTCAAGAATGCCGCAGCCCAATTTGAAATCTGAAAATCTTTCGCGGCCCACCCAAACCTTTAACTCTGATCAAAACATAATGATTAAATGACCTTAAGAATTTAACTAAAATCAAACATCCGCGAGCAAAAGTTTGTCTCCGCGAGGTATTTGCTCGCTTGCCTAACGTGAACTTCGTTGCTCGCGAGGAGAATCTCTGATCGCGCTCAAAGGAGTTTTCTACGCGCTCGCTGTTGTTCTTTCTGACAGTAAGGTGGAGACGGTGCTTTCAGGGTCCTATCGATGCCGCGAGGTGCGTCCGCTCCCGCCGCCCCCCTCGCCATCCACGCCTTAAATCTTCGGCTGCTTGTAGAATAACTTATTTTCCCCGTTAAGATGGTTCAGCTACTGTAGAGAAAAGGGCGCCGTCTCTCGCTCTTTAATCTCATTAAGTGCTCGGCAAGAACGACAGCTTTGTTTCTCCGACGCGCCCTGAAACAAGCTCCATATCTCACGCGCTTGAGCGCCGCTCAGCATCTCGCCGTCGTAGACGAGCTTTGGCGTGTTTGGCAGAGCGCCTTGAGCGCCGTGTGCAACCAGTATAGATCAACCGATTAACCAATTGATCCATATATATAAAGGTGCTCCGGATTATAAGACACTGTCGTTTTTTGAGGAAATTAAAGCCTTTTAAGTGCGCCTTGGAGTGCGGTATATTTGCTTTAATACCACAAGAGGGCGCCCCGTTTGTTGAACAACGACAGGCGGACAAGAGCAGCCGTTTCGAGCGAGAGCCTTATTGTTTAAATTGTTTGTGCTTCATCAACTAATGTTTCACATAACTAATGTGCCGCATCATAAATATTTTTATATTAATTTCAAACTTTTAAAAATTGAAAATTAAAAAACTTTTTATTAAAAAATGTATTTATTGTAAATGACCTCTCGCGGCCCACCTGCAGTACCTTCGTGGCCCACACTTTGGGAATCGCTGGTCTAATTGGTTAAAGTTAAATGTTTGTCCTGTTGCATGATAGAAGTCATACAGTATTGTTGCTGATCCATGGTACTGACCTACAGATCCTGTGCCATCGATGATGGCAGTGACAGTAGACAAAGCTCTGGCATTGCCTTTCAGGCTCTTGTGGGTCCCCTAGGGTCAAAGGTCAAAGGAGAGAGGGAATGAGAAAGGGTGCTTGCGAAGATTGCCTAAATAACATTTTGTAGACAACCAAATGGTTACCAGATCAGCAGACACGGCAGTGGTGATGAGCGAGTACGGCCCGTTGACGAGGCCTCCACACACCAACAGCATGCCTGAGGAAACACACCAGCCACCTCGTTTCTTGCTATTACCCACAGCCCCTCACACCCTTGCACTCCTGCTCAACATGCGTGGCAACTCGATCAAGTCTATGTACTACTTCTGTCTGAAGCAAACCCTGCGGACACTGATGACGTGCATGTTATGATAAGCACACTCTAATGAGCACAGTTTTCTCATGTTGTGCAATGAAAGTTTATTCCATTAACAAACATACCTTGTGTGGTTGGTAATACTAATAGTTTATCTATATAGTACTTATTAAATGGACACTTGTCTCGGCTCCACCGACCTTTCACCTCTTTGCCTATCTTTAGACTTCGGGCCTGTCTTTACTGACGGCCCACAAAATTATGACTTATAGCTATACAACCGCCGCTTTTATCATTTAAATAATCACTAGAGCACAACACTGTCCTCCACATGTTCAGCACGAGTACAATATTTTTTTAAACCAGGGAAATATTTTAATAAATGCTCTATAAACTGGTAAATCCCAGAGATGATGTTAGTGAGTCCTATGAAAGGGTGTAAAAAACAGATTGAATATCAAAGTAGACAGAGTCACTTTGTGGATTGATGCTTTGAGTCATATTACGTTTTAGGAACCAGATGTGACCATTTAGTGTCACATCTGGAGTGAAGTTTAGCAGAGCCAAGTACATTTAGCAGCAAGCAGAAAATCTGGACTTAAAATGTCTGCTGGAGAAAATATTGTCTCTATAGATTCAGTATAATTGATGACTGAACAACAGACCCGAGGTAGCAGCTAGTGGCACAAAACAGGCCCAGCCTAAATATGTCCATCTGGGCCATAATATAATTTGAACTAGGGAGTTATGCAAGAATGACCCCTCGGTGGGGCGGTCATTAACAAGTCAGATAATTGTCATAATGACAAATGAGCTGGTATTATGACTGCAAGCGGCATATTGAGACGAGGAGCAGGAACAGTTGAGGGAGCCTGTGGAGTCAAGATAATAACGAGTATTTGGTAAAGATTATTTTGTTTACTGGTGCTCGTGGGTGGGTGAGCAAAGAGTTTCCCCTAGACCGGCCCGTCACACTGGAGAGAAACAACGCGACGTATTGAACCAATACCACTAGGTTTGCTACTTGCCTACTCAACAGTTTGATCCTTGATCAGTGGACCCAAGAACCCATAGGACTTGTGAGATGCATGTAATAGTGCTCACGTAATCTTTTTCTCTTCTAAATAAATGTTGACTTTTTGACTTTAATTGATCAACGTGTTCCGATTCTTCTCATCAACCAACTCGGGGGGATCGGAGATCCCGACAAACTACATTATATAATGACTTAATCTGAACAATTGTTGGAAATGAATACAAAACTGATCATGTGATCACTCAGCACTAGCCCCAGGACAGGGTGAAGAGGATGAACTGCTCTTACCGATGGTTGGCCCCAAGCCAAAGTCACTGATCATGGAGAAACCGTACAGCTGCAGGGCGAAGAGAAAGCAACAGTCTGTCACTATTCCCAATTCACACTTGGAACTAAACCAGCGGCAGACTAATCATACTGAAGAGCGGAAAGAGGATTTGTCTAAAACAGAACACACTGATCGGTCTACTGCTAACAAAGACACACATTTAGCCTCAGTGAGCACTGAATGCAGACAGTGAAGGGAAACTTCCACCATCAAGGAATCTTTAGGCTGTAGAAAACACAGCTGTGAATGTCTTGGTTACAATTGGCGAGTACAGCGGCAGCGCAGTGGCAACTTACTGTAGGAGCAGCCAGCAGCAACATGACTGCACAGGTGGTGGCTCTCATCCCCAGCTTATCAGAGATCACACCTGCCAAGATCCCCCCTGTGGACCAATGCACGATCTGTCATACTAACCATGAAGCACTAAACTATGTAATAATGTTGACTGCAAGACTTTTGGAAGAACAGACATGTGCATGCGCAGAACAGCAAGATAACAGAAAAAAGCACCTACCAACTATTCCTCCAACATCAAACAAGGTGGAGAGATCTCCAGCCTTCTTGGCATCAAGGTGAGCTGTAGGAGGATAGATAGATACCCGATTCAATTGTCGTTCTGGCAACGTGGGTGTGCACAGCCCATGACAGTTTGTACTGTTTTAGGAACCTCACACAGTCGATAAGCTGTCTGCAGAAGTTTTTCAGGAGGTTTGTAATGCTGATTCTCAACAACTTAAAGCTGTTCATCAGAATGGTTATAACTGCCACAGGGCCATACTTGTTTAGTACAGGCGTCTGTCTTGAAGCAGGGTGACAGATATGTTACAGTTGTGGTCGAAAGTTTACATACACTTGTAAAGAACATAATGTGATGGTTCTCTTGAGTTTACAGTTATTTCTACAACTCACACACAAACGCTACGATGGGAAAGTCAAAGGAGCCCAGCATGGATCTGAAAAAGCGAATCATTGACTTGAACAAGTCAGGAAAGTGACTTGGAGCCATTTCAAAGCAGCTGCAGGTCCCAAGAACAACAGCAAACACTTGTTTGTAAGTATAAAGTGCACGGCACTGTTTTGTCACTGCCACCATCAGGAAGAAAACACAAGCTATCACCTGCTGCTGAGAGAAAATTGGTCAGGAGGGTGAAGAGTCAACTGAGACCACCAAAAAGCAGATCTGCCAAGAATTAGAAGCTGCTGGAACACTAACACTAAAATCATCAGCCCGAAGGTTGGGTCTTGGGCTCAGTTGGGTGTTCCACTAGGACAATGACCCCAAACACACATCAGACTGACATTTCTCAGTGGATGTCCGCTCACCATCTGAAAATCAACCCAACAAGACTGAACTACTTCTCTTTCCGGGAAAAGATTCTCCTACACAGGACTTGACAGTCAACTTTGGCGACTCCGTGCTAACGCCCAGTTTGACTGCTAGGAACCTCGGCATCACACTCGACAGCCAACTCTCCCTGACTCCCAACATCACTGCAACAACACGATCCTGTAGATACACGCTCTTCAACATAAGGAGAATACGTCCTCTTCTCACTCACAAGGCGGCGCAGGTACTGATTCAGGCTCTTGTACGTACCATGCTGTGAATGGATGGGGTCCAGCTTACATCCAGGACATGGTGAAACCCTCCATCCCGACCCGCACTCTCCGCTCTGCATCTGATAAACTGCTTGCTCCTCCTCACTGAGAGCAAAACACTCGACTAGATTACGACTCTTTGCTGTCCTGCTCCGAAATGGTCTGAAGACACCAGGACCGCAGAGAGCCTTCACATCTTCCGCCGCAAACTAAAGACACACCTCTTCAGACTCCACCTCGACTAAAACACTAACAAATTGTAGCACTTAAATTGTACTTGAAACACCACTGATCTATAGCAAATAGTAAATTGGCTTATTTGAGGAAATTGCACTTTCTTGTTTCTTGTTCTTCCGAGTTTGTATCCCTATGGTTGAAATCGCTTTGGATAAAAGCGTCAGCTCAATGACATGTAATATAAAATTTCAGGTAACATCAAAAGTGGTAATAGAATGGCTAAACCATGTGGACAATGCTGAAGAAACAAGTCCATGTCAGAAAGCCATCAAATTTAACTGAACTGCACCAATTCTGTCAAGCGGAGTGGTCAAAGATTCAACGAGAAGCTTGTGGATGGCTACCAAAAGCGCCTAATTGAAGTGAAAATGCCCAAGGGACATGTAACCAAATATTAGCACTGCTGTATGTATATTTTTGACCCAGCAGATTGTCACTTTTTCTGTTAACCCATAAAAGAACCAAACTTTATGAATGTTTTTTGTGACAGAGTGATCGGAACAGATACTTCATCAGCGAAAAATCAGAGTTGTAGAAATAACTGGAAACTCAAGAGAACCATGACATTATGTTCTTTACAAGTGGATGTAAACTCTTGACCACAACTGTAAATATACTAGACATACCATCAGTTAGTATATTCTGATGGTATGTCTATTCCATCAGAATATTCATGAGTACACAACTATATATACTATTATATATAGTTGTATAATATTTAACTATATATTCTGACATATTCTGAGTACACAACTAGAGAAGTTATCAGGTCCAGCAGCTTTAATCGTATTCTTTCTCATCAGGTTTACAGACAGTGGCCGTTCCTCTGGAGCCGGGGCATAATTGACAGCTGACTCTTCATGTCAGTCTCCTGGGTGGCAGCATGCCCGAGCTGTGCCAGTCTGTATGTTCTGTAGAGCAGCTGTAACTTAATGTGTCCACACTCTTTTTCGGATGGTCATGCCCGTTTAATCAGAAGGGATATATGATCTGATGGCTTTGTAGCGGTCACAAATATCTGGGTAAACATAGTGGCCCAGTGTGTTGTTATTCTGCTGGAGATGTGGACATGCTGTAGGAAAACTAAAACTGATCTGAGTGTCGAGAGCAGGGTCGTCCTTCAAAGAATGGACGGTGGTTGGATCCCGGCTCCTCAAGTGTCCATGTCGATGTGTCCTGGACGGGACAATTAACCCAACATTGTTGTTGCTTTGATTGGCATGTTTGAATGTTGTGTGAATATTCGTTGTTAAGCAGGTGTGTTTGTGTATGGTAGCACCTGTCATCGGTGTAGAGATGGGTGTGAACGGGGGATGATGACAGGATGTGTAAAAGAGCTTTGAGTGGAAGTAAGACTTGAAAAGAGATCAACAAGTACAGACCATCATAATAAAATTCAGATTCTTGCACTGCATTTATTTGTAGCAGCAACAAAAGACTTTTACTCAACTTTTACTATCAGCATCATTGGTGTAAACACAAAACTCTTCTTGCTACAGTTTTGCCATTGACCGGTTCAGATGTGTTCAAAATACCAATATTGTATGAGTTAAGAATTGAAGACAAGCAGATTCATTTCTCCAAGGATTCAATTAAACAATATTTTGATATTCCTTTGTTTGTTTTTTTAGATGCGAATTCTGAGGAGATAGAAAAATGAGGAACACTATTGGTTATTGTTGTGTTTGGACCTCACCTGTTTTGGTAATGTAGAGAGGGAGCCAAAACAGGAAGGTGTAGCTGACCAGTTTGGCAAACAGCAGACAAAGAGAGAACTCGATCACTCCCTACAGAGACAAACACATGCCAATACAAGGTTATTGGTGAAGAAGATTGTAAAGTCCGTCTTTCTGTTCCCCTACCATCATATTGTCTGTGTGCTATTCCCAACGTCTATTCCTAACGTCTATTCCTAACGTCTATTCCTAACGTCTATTCCTAACGTCTATTCCTAACGTCTATTCCTAACGTCTATTACAAACCACCATTCCTATCGTCTATTCCTAACGTTTATTCTTAACGTCTATTCCTTGACCTCTGTGAGAAACCGTCACTGGCTTAAGGAAAGATGCTTAAGAGGATTCATGAGGAGTAAGGAAGTGACACTAAGCTATGTAGTTGTGATGTGACGCAGACGCATGCTGCTGCGTCTGCGTCGACGCACTCGTTTCAATTCATGGTTCTAAAGTCTTGCGTGTGTTGCAGAGCAATTCACCTCCAGAACAACAGGTGGAGTGACGTGTTTTTGTTGAAGACGACCTAGAGAGTCACGTCTATTTATTTATTTGTTTGTTTATTTATCATAGACTTTATTGCCCCGTGCATCGCCACTGCTGCTTTTCATCGCGGACACATTTGTCCCGTATTTTCCTCCACAACTTTGTGCACCTCTCGACCGGCAAACCGGCGTTTGCGGCGATCTCCCTCCGTGAATCCAACCCGCTTCTACAACCCGCCAATGACGGGTTGTTTAAGCGGTCATATTTACACATTTCTTCCCACAAAAGTTCTTAAATCTGGTCTGTTCTCTCGTAAACATTCTTCGTTTTAATAATGGCGGTATCGGGCTATGAAAGCGGAAATGTGAGACTTCGTAAAGGACGTAGTTAGCGGACCAATCGCAGCCTGGTGCGCTGCGGGAGGCTTGCCTAGAAAAATGGCTCGACACACGCAAGGGGGTCTTGCGTCTGCGTCGCTCTGAAAACGCAGAAGCATAAACTAGGCTTTAGTGACATCAGTCTGTAGCGGCCAAACTACAATTTCTCCAAAGATGGACGACAAAAGAAGCATCTTGGATGGCTTCATGTGTTGTTACAGTGCTGATTCATGCAGTCAACATAAACAGCCAGGTTTAAAGTATTACTTTATTAACAAGTTTGCAACATAAATGAATTATGCTAACGGTTACTCACATGGTCTGCATTTCTCAGTCATGATCGTTACTCGTGAACATCCGAATGATACGTCACCATTTAAATATTGCAGCTGCAAGGAATTGTGGGACGGAATTAGCTCATTTTTCATAAAGGAAGTCCCAGCGGTTCCTATGCTAAAGCAGCTAAAGCCTAGTTTATGCTTCTGCGTTTTCAGAGCGACGCAGACGCAAGCCCCCCTGAGACAAAAAGGTTGGCGACCGCTGCTCTACACTTGTCACGATCAGCGCTCCCCTTCCCCGGTGTACTGAGGCCTTTAATATCTGGGGCCTCATTTATAAAACCTTAGGATTTGCGCCAGAGGTGTCGTACGGATGAAACGAAGGACGTGCGTACGCACAGAAATATTCAGACTTATAAAACGTCCTACGCAGCTTACGAAGAAACGTAACTTCACTCAGTGTGAAAGTGGAAATGATCATTGGGAGGTGGAAAGGAGAAGTAAAATGCCTTTTGGAGGGCACAGTATGAGCATCACTAATGCCAAAAAGGCACTTGAGTGGCAAAAGGTTGCAGAGCAACGCTGCAGCCTCATGACCTCGGACCGTGTCCGAAATAAAGAAAAAATGGTCAGACATCAAAGTGGATGCAAAAAAGTGTTTAGCGCGCCATAGCCAAGGTGTGTCTGCCACGGGTGGGAAAGGAGACACCGGAGCTGTCCCCTCTTGATGAGAGACTGGCAGCAATGATCTCCTTGCTGTCTCCTGCCTGTCTTCTGGTTACGACTAAGCCTAATCCCTGTGTACCTGTTATTCATTAAATCTGCGCTCTGCGCTTGGGTCTACTCCTGTCTCCTGTGATGCGTTACAACACTATACTCACAGACACACTAACTCAACGCTCTCCTCTACGCTCAACTCAACTTTTTTTTACACTTGGATATCTGCGCGACGTATTGAGTGGTGGAACAGTTGCGCGACACAACAAATCGATAATGACATTTATTGCCAACACTTATTAATTGAATTTATCAATTCGGTGTTGCGGGGCGGCACGGTGGCGTGGTGGTTAGCACTGTCGCCTCACAGCAAGAAGGTCCTGGGTTTGATTCCGCCCAGTGGCCTTTCTGTGTGGAGTCTGCATGTTCTCCCCGTGTCTGCGTGGGTTCTCTCCGGGTTCTCCGGCTTCCTCCCACAGTCCAAAGACATGCCCTGGGGATTAGGTTAATTGGGGACTTTAAATTGCCCGTAGATGTGTGAATGTGAGTGTGAATGGTTGTATGTCTCTGTGTTGCCCTGCGATTGGCTGGCGACCAATCCAGGGTGTACCCTGTCTATCGCCCGAAGTTGGCTGGGATGGACTCCAGCCCCCCCGTGACCCTGTGTGCAGGATAAGCGGTTTGACAATGGATGGATGGATGGATGGAATTCGGTGTTGCAGCCCTACCTGTAACCAAGATCTAATGTAATGCAAGGGTATTGACATCGGTAATGTTATGCTGCGGAGCACAGGTTTTAAAGGAATCATTTTTACATATTGTCACTTCATTGGTGAAAAAAAAAGAGCAAAGTTGTGTGTTTGTGTGTGTCGTCGCGCTGTTGGTGGTATGAAGGCTCAATACTCTGCCTGTGGGTGGCGGTACACAGCGTAATTAATAGGCAGATTTGCTGAGAACAAATAGAACACGCGTTTCTCTGATTTCTTAGAGTATATTATGCTCATGCTGAAACTATGTTTGGGATTGATTTTCATATCATTTCCGGTTGTTGGTGTGCCGTGAGATTTTTTCTGTGTCTTAAGTGTGCATTGACGCAAAAAAGGTTGAAAAACACTGGACTAGACGATGCCTGATGTGTTTGCTTTGAAGTATAAGTGGACAACTGATCATCACCACCGTAACACAATGTGTAAGTTGGACCAATAGACAGAGAAGTATGTAGCGCTAGCAAAGTATACATGTTAAATATGACTGTGCACTTTTATTTTGTATATACATGGGATGCATTGGTTCCAGCTTATCGCACAAATACAAGATCTGTACAGGTAGTTTGATTTTGAATTGTTCAATGATGGATTTTGGTATAGGGCTAAAGGTACCAAATCAAGACTCTATTGTTAAAGAGCCAACCACGGCTGAAACAGTCAAATCCCAGTGTGCACAACGATGAAAGGAAAATGTGTCAGGAAACGCCCTATTAAAGTAACACAAAAGGCATTAATAGGTAAACTGGACAGTGTACAAAGGGCTCCGAAGGCCAAACTGAACAAAGCTTGTGACATTAAAGGGCAATGCAAGACCTAATGCATGGCAGCGAGTCCCAAACAAAGGTGCAACGTACTTCTATCAAAAGTACTTCCTAACTGATCCCTCACCTTGCTCATGCTCAACGACACCCGACAAGGCGAGATCTCAAGGACGATTGACAGTCCCTTTGTGTAACAGTCGTCCCCTTTTCAGCAAGCTGCTTCGCTATTTTCTTATAACCCCTTGCAGTCTTCTGCTTGTCTACAATCTTGTCCCTGACATCCTTAGACAGCTCTTTGGTCTTGCCCGTGGTGAAGAGGTTGGAATCTGATTCATTGATTGGTCAGTTGGTTGATTCTGTTGACAGGTGTCTTTTAATAGGTAAGAAAAAGGTAATGGGTTGAGATTCGGAGTACTTTCTTAAAGCGAGAGGACTAATCTAACCGTTTTGTCAGAGCCAGAAGTCTTGCTGGTTGGATCAAATGCTTATTTCCCACTATTAAATGCAAACCAATGTCTAACTTCTACAGGATGTGTCTTTCTGTACTTTTATGTTATATTCTGTGTGTCTCTGGTGGAATTTGCCCTTACAACTACAGACCGTTCATTTCTTTGTCAGTGGGCAAACCTATCTAGAAATAAGAAGTTGATCCCTTGCTAAACATTAGCAAGGGATCAACTCCACTTTATGGCCAGAGCTGATTTCCCTTCTGGAGCATCTGATCTGTGACCACAGCAGCTGTGTGTGTGTGTGTGTGTGTGTGGGTCACTGACCGGTATGCGTAGAGCTCCCATGAAGCTGATGGCGGACGGTTCCGATTCCCTCTTCACCACCACGAGCGGCTGCATGGCAACACACACACTGTCCCTTGGCAACAACAGCTCTGTGTCGTAACTCTGGGGAAGAGAAGGACTATGATCAGACCACATAGGAATACAGAGAATGAACGGAAGTTAAGAGCTGAACTTGGGGAGGACCAGGATGTTTTTGCGAAGGAAAATTTGAATGGTGACCTGTGATACATTACGTGACTACTTGAAAGAGGAACAGTTTGAACCTTTTAAGGGACAGACAAACATGCTTGTTTAAAGAACAATTGCATGTAGTAGACCTAACCCAACTAGAATTCCATCAAGTTCAAGAAAGCACCAGGCTAAATCCAAATGTCCCAACTCGTACGCACTTGCAGTGGACTTGACTGGCATGATAGTGGATCAACATGAAATCATGAAATCAGATATTCTGCAAGGGAAAAGGAGCAGACAGAGAGTCCACGGTATGTACACTTATCTATGCGTGACGAGTCCAGCAGACAAACATTTGGATTCAGCCAAGAAATTATTTTTCTGTGTTCATCCAGCACAGCCCAAAAGCTGGTAGGTAGACTAACTGTTGCTTAAGCAACTCACTGACAGTTGGGCAGAAAAATCTATCTATTCCATTGAGTACTCTTCTAGTATGAACATTGGTGCTCATGTACCCTGCTGTAAATGGATGGGGTCCAGCTTACATCCAGGACATGGTCAAACCCGACATCCCGACCCGCACTCTCCGTTCTGCATGTGATAAACTACTCGTTCCTCCTCACTGAGAGCAAAACACTCGACTAGATCACCACTCTTTGCTGTCCTGCTCCGAAATGGTGGAACGAGCTCTCTGAAGACACCAGGACCACAGAGAGCCTTCACATCTTCAGACTAAAGACACACCTCTTCAGACTCTACCTCCACTAACACACTAACTGTGGTTGAAATGCACTTATTGTAAGTCACTTTGGATAAAGGCGTCAGCAAAATGACATGTAATGTAATGTAATAATAATAAATGCAATTTATGGTGCTGTTGGATTGCTGCTGGGCTGCCCCATTATAACGCATGCCTCCTCTGGTGAGCAGACAGCTGTACTTTGAGCTCAATGAAGAGTTTGTTTTGAAATGAAAAACGCCAACAAATATGGATAAGGACAACATCTGAATAACTTTTGAGAATTTGGAACTTTATAAGATTCTGGAGTTATTGGAAATAGTCTAAAACAATCCTACGCAAAACTAGTTCTTAAAAATAGTATGATAATAATATTATTATTGGAACCTCACCTTTAAAAGTAAAAGATACGCAGCCTTTGAATGTTGATGAATGAAATCTCAAAGCCTCCAGCTGTTTGGTGCCGCCCTTCCAGCTTGTTTCTCCTCTTCATGCATGATTGAGAATTATCAGTGCAATGAAATACACACTTATTTCTGTCTTATCTCAAATTGGTGCCTGGTTTGAATAGTTTATGAATTTTGCTACGCCGCTGAAACTTACTATCAGTAGAGAGCTACACGGCCATTACATGTCACTGGCTGTACTTTTTAACAGGGCTCTGCTCTGTGGGGCTCAGCTGGAAAAAGACTAAATGCAACACACACACGCAACACACACACACACACACACACACACACAGACACACACAGACAGACAGACATACACATTCACACAGACCTGGGATTTGTTGTCTGTGTGTCCATTTATGCCATTCCAACTCCTGGCCGGAACCTGTTTGAAGAGAAACAGCAATCATTTATTCACACTTGTAGGGATATATCAGATATGTGTTTGTATGAGAGACCGAGAGAGAAAACATATGTTGTTTTTGTGAGTGATCTTTAGTCCTGACTTGTAACTGTGTACCCCACTTCTTGTTATGTTTCCTGGCTCTCCTGTTTGGATCCTTTAATGTATTTTCTTTTAGAAACAAGACCATAAAGTGACATTTATAGTCAGAAATGTTTCTCCTACCATTAAACCGGGGGGCGGGGCAGCACCCTAACCCTCAAAGAAGGGTCATGTTGTTGCTGTCAAACCCCATCAGTGTTCTGTTCTGTTAGTTGGCAGTGTTTGGAGGGGGCACAGTTGAGCCTAATAATTGTACGTAACTGTAAAAGAGTCAGGAGGTTTAGGGGTAAGAAGCTCTGTTTGGTTCAACGTGTTTTCTCATGTTTTCAGTTGGCAGGTGGAAAAGGGGAAGCTGCCTATAATATTTGCTAACGTTGGTTTGTTCATTGTTGTGGGCCAGGATCCCCCTGACACACATTTCTACCCTGGTCCTTCTTAGGAGTCGGCGAGAGTGGGAGACGCATCCCTGGGCCGCTCTACGAGACAAGCAACAAGGCAGGTAGCTGACACAGTACTTTACCAACACCACCATTACATTTAGCTGACGCTTCTATCCAAAGCGACTTACATTGCATTTTTAACCTGTCCCACACAGGACTAGCGTGCAGCCGCAGGGCGCCCAGGGAACAGTTTAGGGGTCAGGTGTCTTGCTCAGGGACACTTTGACATGGGACATGGAGCAGCCAGGGTCGGTTCACCCTCTCTGCTCCATGCGCAAATGCAATAATACGTGTAACCAGAGAATTACAACAACATTAGTGAAAATATGTTTAAACTAGTGATTTACTGTAGTGCCAAACTCAAATAGAAAAGTAATTTGTTCATCATAATGACATGTCATGATATTGAAAATAAATAAAGTAATATTTCACATGCTGTGGTTATTATTATTGTCGTCAGTGCTAAAGATTCCAGCTTTCCTTAAAGAAGTTGGATGATTTACATAGTGTGATGTTACTGGTAGGAAGGAAGGAAGGACTTTGCTGTACTTACACTCTTTCCTCGAGAAGGATTCTGGGCATACGTGATTTTCAGGTCATTTGGATCTGGAGAGGGAAAAAAACCACATAATTTCCAGCCTGTAGTCTTCCTAGGAACTGAAAAACACGGCCTCAAAATGCGAGCTGTTTTAGCTTGATGTTCTTTCTGCGAGTCAAAAGCCTTTGTACAAACCATTACTGTGGGAAGTACAGCTACAAATGGAAAAACTTCACTTGGGGAACATAAGGTAGGACAATCTATGAGAGGCATTAATTGCCTCCTTCACACACAGGCCCTTTCTCAATATGCTTTCTTGTCTGGACTCGTGGACTATCATCAGACGCATGGACTCAGGAGACCGGACTCTTCAGCCCATTCTCCCAAGTCCGGTCTAGAAATTGAGAAGCAGCCATCAGGTCGCGCTGAGCAGTTGAAGTGGAACACTGCAAAGGAGTTGATGCATGTATCCGCATGTGCTCATGCATCCGTTGTAGAAAGGATAGCGAAACAAATAAAGTTGCTTTTTAATCTACAAATAGAACATCACATACGAGAGTGCCTGTTGATTCAATTGACAACTAACTAGGTGGGCCGGGCCATAAAAATAAGGGAATTCCTAGTATCACAGCAACTTTGAGCTGAGCAGAAAATGAAAAATTTGATATGTAGAGAAAGAAAGATTCACTTTTAATGGATTTGTAAAGAACATGACAGCAGCTGCACTACTTTTGCATATATAGGAATAGAAAGTAGGAAGCGCTCACAGCTGGTTTGCTGTATCCATGGCTATGCGATGTTAGCTTGTGTCTGTCACGGTGTGGTTTTATTTCCTGTCTTATTTTGTAGTTTTCTGCTTCTTGTCTCCCTGGGTAACTTCACTTCCTGCCTTGTCCTGTCATCCCCTGTGATTGTCGAATTGTTTCCACCTGTGGTCAATCACCTGCACCTCCCTAGTGTATTTAAGCTGTGGGTGTCTTGTCGCGTCATTGTTTGTCGTCCTGGATGGTCCTTGTCCCTGTCTACCGTCTGGATGGACCTCGTTCCTGCCTGCCTTTTTTTTTCCCCCCGGTACTTGTGTGTGTTTTTGCCCGTTGGCCTGTTACTTTGTTGGAGTTTTTGACTATTAAAGTTGTTTTTGTTTCCTGCAAACTCTGCGTTTGAGTCCTGCATTCCCACGCATCCCTGACAGTGTCCAGTTAAGGCGTCGTCATGTTGAGAGCCATGACCAGGAATGTAACTTAACATTAATCTGATGCTTGCTGTCTTATTTTTTCACTAACCTCTCCTGTCATTTCAGTTCCCGCGTTCCCCCTGATTGCTTTTTAACTACACCTGCCCCTGGTTTTCTCCCACATATATACACCATAGTTCTGGTCCACCATGTCTCATGCTGTGTGCTCATCGCTTGTAGAATTCCCCTCTCATGAGAGTTTCCCCAGTTTAACTTTGTTCATGGGTCTCTGCCTGCTCCCTGTCGGATTTGTTTGCTTCTACTGACTGACTCATACTGCATTTATGACTTTCTCGCACCGGGTAAAATACCTCTTTTTTTCTGCTCTGCCCCAGAATCATTAAATAAAAAGCTTCAAATATTTTATCTTGCACGACTAAAAATGGCAACTATGTTTCCAGTTTCACAACTAAAAGCTGATGCTGGTTGTAAAAGCCCTCCAGAGGAGGGGAGGCTTAACTCACGCTCAATGAGGAAAAGAAAGCAGACAACGCCCATGACTGCGATGATGAGTCCCGGTACGATGAAGGACAGGCCCCAGTTGGAGGAGACCCAGTAGCCGGCGATCAGAGAGCCCAGGATGTTTCCCACTGAGGTGTGAGAGTTCCACAGCCCCATGACGAGTCCACGCCTGACACACAGACCGGACAGCAGCAGTACAGATATCAGCGTGTCAGTGTCACACAAAGGTGGACTTGATCCTAATACATCTCATATAATTTGTTTAATACCTTTGTTTGCATCCGGTTTGGTAATTTGAAACTCAAACGCAGTACGTTCTCTCTGTTGGCCCAACTTAACATCCTTAACTAGGATGATATAATCTTCCACGGGAAAAGATGATTTCAACTAAACATATTGAATATTAATTACTCAAATTATAATTAATATAATTTTTTCTTAAGATTACAGCTAGCATATATGAAAAGAAAGAAGAAGCATAATTTCAGAGAGTTAAATTGACTCTGAGATTCAATTTTAACTCTAAGCTGGTGTTTATATTGTCCGTGTCAGTGTTAAATCAACACTGAACGAAGTGTTAACAAGTTAACTCGGAATAAGTGTCAAATATAAATCTGCCCAGTGTTAAAAACATTATCCATAGCTGACACGTTTATCAAAAGCGACTTACATTGCATTTTTAACCCATGGTTTCTACATTTTCACCTGGGGAGCAATTAGGGGTGAGGTGTTTTGCTCAGGGACACTTTGACATGGAACATGGGGCAGCCAGGGTTTGAACCACCAACCTTGTGGTTCCCGGCTCACCCTCTCTACTCCATGCGCCACAGTACGTAGAGTTAAGCCAAACCCCAAGTGTGACACTGTACGGTTACATTTCAAACCTATCAAAGAGTTCATTTAACTCTACTAAGTGTCGCAAATGAATCAGATCTTGACACTGGATAATAACTCCAGCTCTTTCGTACAATTGACTCTGTAAGAGTTGAATCACTTTTTGCAGTGTGATCTCAACTCTGCACGTTTTGCCTAACACCAGAAAATTAACTCGAATTTTGCTGTGTGTCTTTACATTTTTTTTCAACCAGTAAGGGTAGCAACCAAATAACACGTGTTTGACACGTTGTTAATATCTGCCAATGTAGGGCTGTCAAAATTGCTCAAAAAGGACGTTTGAATATTCGCTTAAAAAAAGACAAATATTCAAATATATTGGAATATCCTGTTGCACATTAGGCGCGTCAATAAAAAGGACAAATTTATATAACGAGACATAACTACTTGTATAGGTCATTTATTTAAGTTTAAACCTATTTAACAACATATTACCTGCACAAACATAAGTAAATTAACTAATGGCCACGACACGCGCTCTCTCTCTCTTTCATTGAGAGATTTCATTGAATGAAATACTAGGATTATAGACTAAAGGGGGAAGACGGTTTGAGGGGAGTGGGCGGGGATACTGCTGTGAGTACAAATGATCTTTGAAGTGGAAGTGATGGGCAGGTGACCCAGGTGACCTTGTGTGTGGTAGCTGCTCTCATCGGTGTGAGTGAAGACTAGAAAAGCACTATTCACAGTTCTATCGCTACTCAGCCGTACCTTCCTTTACCAAACCAGTTGCCGATGCAGGTCACTACACTGGGCCAGCCAGTGGTTTGGACCAATCCGTTGGCCACCTGAAATCACAGGAGGATGAGTGAGGACAGTGAGGAGTAGTGTGAGCCTGTGTAGATGCATGGGTACATAGATCTTCTCACCTGGACAAATATATAGAAGGCCATATTGTGAATGTTGTAGACATAACCCAGTCCAAACAGGCAGGTGAACAGGCCGCTGAACAGCATGCCCACGGTTAGGTACAGTCGGATAGGCACACGCTCGCCAATGATGCCGCTGCATGGGCACATAGTGGAGAGATAATATTAGGCAGCGACTTACTCAAACCGATAAGGTTTCTGAATCTAAGCGCTGTACCTTCACCAAGGAGATGATGTGCCAGTTATATTCGTCTGTCTGCTAGGAAGCAGGATTTCTAAACAACTGCATTAAAAGCCACAGCACACGTGATTGTTTCACAGTAATGATACAGATCCAGCAACTCTATAAAATGTTTGGAATTAAACAAACTGCATTTGGGAGACCCTTCTTTTTTGTAAAATGAGAAGAAGGAATGAACACCTCAAATAAATCAAAATACAACCTTAATATCTAGATTTTGAAAATTGATCCAGCTTGAGCTTCGTAATCTCAGCCGTTTTTGGTGTATGGACCAAATGAGTTCAAAGCAGCCCTGACCACTTCTAAACGTTGTCTTGCTGGTCTAATGCAGCGTCCATTTACATATTTACGTAGTTTTTTCCTTTTTAAACAGATACAGTGTGTTTTAGTGCCAGAAGTAAATGGGCTGACATTTAGCTTTATGGAAGATGGTTGAATTCCCTTTCATGTTATCCCTGTGGATTTACTGACTGAGCTTATTGTATTTATAGCCTTTTCTTACATCCAAAGAGTTTGATGAACGTTTTCTTCGCCCCCAGCTTTTCTGCCCATCTTACCTGAGGTACATTCCCACTGCATAGGCACAGAGGAATGAGTAGTCCATGGCTCCCAGCAGCTGTTTGTAGTTCCTTTTATCTGAGAATAGAAATAGTGCAGTGTTTGGGGGGGTGGAGGGAGACGGACACACCGAAGGTGGTTGGGGGGGTTACGGACACGAGTAGGTTACCGCCAGGGCGGAACTCCGCCTTGCGTGGCGCCCCCTCCCCCCAGTGTGACGGTACAGTTATATTATAGATATAGTTGGTGACAGTTTCTCCTCAGACGTGTTATCGGTCTATGGGATGACCAGCAGTACCCCGCTGCATGCTCTGCTCATGCAAATAGCAAACCTGTAGGTGATAGATAGCCCAGATGCTGAACTGTATCCTGTTGACTGACTGGTAGCTAAGCTAAACCAATAGCACAATGGGAATGTTAGAGTGCTCGCTCACCCGCAGCCAAACGTCCCCTTTGATACTGGGATCTTAAGTGACCTGTTATTTATGGGGGTTTGATTTGAGATTTATTTTCACCGTTTAAGAACATTGCTGATGCCACCTTCATGTCAAAAAGGTTCACCAACCCCCTGTTACTTTTTGAAACCCCTGGAAAATGTCAGAAGTCAAGCAGATACAAACCGAACGGCTTCCAGCTACAGTCTGTGCTTGTGTGGAGGGACGGCAGTGAGGGATGCTGGCTGCTGGAGGCAACGGTGGCCAGCTCATTGGCTGATGAGCAGTTCTTATGGAGCTCACTCTGTCAATACAAATCAATGGAAATTACTACTTTCAATATGTCCATATAAATACAAATTCCAGTCGGGGGCCTTGTTCAAAGGTGGTGGAAACACTGGTCTGGTCAAATTAAGGTATTTAGACCAAATACACATGCTGCTAAAATCAGTTCAGCTCCTGGCCTCTCTCTCCAATATGGAGGTGAAGACCTACTTCTACTCTCTGATACGGAGAAACAGCAGGAAAGAGAATTTGTACAAATTGTGTGAATGTAACCACATCAGTGTGAATTTGTGCACCAAAAGAATGTATGTTGAGCAGAATTAGGAAGATATGACAGTGAACATCAGTGCCCTCCAGACCCAGGCTGATTTCCCCCAGTCAGACACCCTGTGACCAGAAACACTCAACCCCAGAGCCAGAACAGACAAGAGCACCAGCACAATGTGCATTGTAGACACCTCAAATAATCCGTATTAGCTAAGGAATATGTCGTGTTCAGAATATTTCACCTTGCTGTCAGACAGCTCTTTCTGACTGAGAATCACAGAATGATAACAGGGGTAAAACACCGATAGATAAAGGCCTCATACAAACCAGATTATTAAAAACATCAACATCCCTTTACCATCCCACGGTCATGACAACTTCTGCTAGAATGGAGATTCCTTTCAGCCCTCTGCTTGAGGCGCATGTCATTGCATTTTTAACTGCTTTTAATATACACATGCGAATCTCTAAAAGGGCCTGTGATACCAGCATGTGAAATATAGTATACTATAGCAATTAGCATGTGTTACCTTGACAATGCTAATGGGTTTCCTGGACAGGTGGAAGCTGGTGTAGAGCAGGAAGGTGAGGATGAAAGTTAGAGCTCTGTACCTGCAGAGGAAACACAAGAGGGCGGCAGTGAGAGCTAATGACGAGAGAACACATGTTAAAAAAGAAGAGACGGGACACAGCTCACGCTTGATTTTATTACACAAGCTTGCATTACCTCTGCGAACGAGACAGGCTAAAAACAAAACCAAAAATATATATGAAACTATATTTGCAGACATTGCTTCACAAAGAATATTTCACATTAAAAAGTAGGAAATAACACAATCCACAGCTATCAGAAAGACAAAATAGACAAAATAGAAAGTATTGAGGTATATTGTTGTAAAAAGGTAGATAAATTTAAATCATTTGGTGCATTTTTTCTGTGGAAATATTACTTCCCAGTATTACCATAGGAAATATTTGTAAAACGTATCTGTTGTTTGGATCCAAATAAGAAAGATGAGTTGTAGAGCTACAACAATAGTTGCTGCTTTTCTAATGTTTACGAAGCTACCTGTATTCTCGACAAAGCCAAACATCTATATCAATGTTGCACCCTTCTGCATCTAAGCATACTTGAATGTGTACTTTGATTTGTGTTACATTCGTCTGGGCCATGTTCACATTTGACTGTGCTGTGGTTTATTATTGGGATTTTATTAGGGTGAATTACCCTGATAATGTTGTTTGTCATTGTTGCGTCATATAGATGAGGACACTAGGACCAGTACTGAATACAGACAGTTGGCAAGACCAGCTCAGCTGTCTGATACACACTGTGCTGAAGCTGGACATGACGATTTAACTCACACTTGATTATGCTTCAAATCTTGCCAAAGGTAATCATTATTCAAACCAATCAGGTTTTTATTTTCCTTCTTTAGTATGTAGGCTAGCGCTGTCATGATATCAAATTTTCAGACCATTTTATGCCACTGATAACATAATGACCATAATATTTTATTTTTTTATTTAACCTTTATTTAACCAGGTAAAATCAATTGAGAACCAATTCTCATTTACTGGTCTCAAGGATGACCAGGGCCCTGTTCCTCGTACGTGGCTAACTGAGTTAGCCGGATCATTTTCAGGATGAGACGATGTAGATCAGGCTTTTCGGTTCCCCGAAGCAGGTTTGTCTAAATCACCATAGCAACACATCGAAAAACTTGCTCCGGCGCAGATTCATTTGAGCTGCTGGATTAGTTCATCACTCCCGGAAAAAAAGGGCAGCTCACTTCCACATGGATGAATGAGCGATATCAGTTAGTTTAACGTTTTATAGGGGGAGACTTCTCCGAGATCAAAGACCCGTTTAGCCGCAATGACGTCCTGTACGAGCGCTACAGATGCTGAGGACAAGGAATGATTTATTTACAAGATTTCCCCGTTACATTACGTGATGGACACCACACGCTGCAGCCGAATATCCACTGTCTCTCATACTCTCTCACACACTCTCTCATGTCTCGCACAGTATCTCACACACCGTCTCTCATACTGTCCTGTCTGTACGGTGTTGCGATGCAGAGAACATGTCGCTGGATGTCGTGCTCTTCGTAAAGTTCTGGTTTATTTGTCGCTTAATAAACTTGAATGTTCCACATTTCACTGCTTCAATTGATCAAATTTCTGATTATGAGTAACAGATATATACTGATTGTCACATACACATTCACACACATAAGCTGATACAGTACGTAGATCCTATTCATTTGTATCATATTGATTCTTTGGGCTTGTTTTCATCTACATATTCTGAAAGAGTTGAGATCATTATTCTCATTGGATGATGATGCATCATCATCATCATGAAGCCTCCTGCCAGCAGACACATTTAAAGAAATATAATCTGATTGATTAGAGTGACGAGGCACTTAAATGAGCTTATACATTTTACCAACACGCATAACGTTAACTTGTCTGCAAAACTTTGTCGGGCTGTCAGTTTTTGCCATGATTATATGATTCATTTTATATTATTTTGTATCGCACAATATCGCAAATTAGCCTCAGAGGTGTTTACAGTCAGAAACCCTCACATCGGCACAGGAAAAACTCCCCAAACAATGAAAAGGTATTTGATGGGGAGAATAAAGGGAAGAAACCTTTAGAGAGACACGGGACGATCCTCCCTGGGACGGACAGACTGCGATGGACGTACAGAATGAACAGAAATTATTCAAATTAACATATTATCTCATCATATGTGTTCATGATCATCTCCTGCTCGTCAGCGGGAAAAAAGAACGCTCTTCCTTTAAGTTTGTTTGCCGTTATACTGTTAAAAATCCTGGTTTCGGTGATCGACTCTTCCGCCTTCTAACGTAAGACGATTATCCTGATGACTGACATCTGGTTCAAACTAACGAGACGGTTTGAGCGCCGATCCGCCATCGAGGAACCGAGATAGCATCTCGGTAATTTGAGCTGGATAATCAGACATTTGATCGAGCTAGTTGAACCACGTACGAGGAACAGGGCCCTGGCCAAGGGGCAGTAGCACACTCCACGCACGTGACACAAACAGCACAGACACAATACAGTATGACAAACACATGGCTAAAAACAACATAGTTAAATTAATAAACACTATGTACAAAAAAGGCAGATTACTGGAAGTACTTTGTAAAAATGGAAGAGAGAGAAGAAGAGCTGGTCAGCAAGTACAGCAGTCAACTATATGGCTCATTACAGCTTATGTTTGAATATGTTGAGAGAGGTGAGGGCTGTTAGCTTGATTGAGCGTGTTTTGTACTGAGTTCCAATTATTTGCAGTGGCAAAATGAAAGGAGTTATGACCAAACACAGTACGGACTTTTGGAATGATGTCCCGAATGAAGTCACTGGACTCTTGTTGAAGGATGGACACAGCAGAGTGGAGTGACCAGCTGAATATATGATGGTGTCATCAGCATACAGATGAATAGAGGAATTTCCAGCAGCTTTGGCTACATCATTAATATAATTGGAGAACAAAATAGGGACTAAAATGGAGCCTTAAAGCGCACCTTTTGAAATGTTAAGAGGTTCAGACATGATGTTTTCCGTCTTAACCCGCTGGACACGACCAGCCAGGTAGCTAAACAACCAGTTGCAACATCCACTGGACAAGCCGACGCTGGTCTTTGCAGGAGAATGTTATGGTTGACTAAGTCAAAAGCCTTGGCTAAGTTTATAAAGCCAGCTACACACGTTTGTTTGTCCATGGCAGTGATGACATCATCGAGGCCCTTCAGTGTAGCGGTGGTACATCCGTGGCCTTTCCTAAACCCAGATTGCAGGTCAGACAAGATATGATTTGAGTCAATGAAGCGAGTTATAATATATAATATAATAGCATAGTAATAAAAGTACGCTATTTAAAAGAAGAACAAACGTTTTATTTATCAGAATAGTTAAGACATTAGAATCGGAATGTGAAAATATATATCTGTGGTAGCGTGCGTGGTTTGGCTCAGCTGCAGAGGGGATGGAGAAGGGAGTGGTTCCGGGGGGCATAATTGGCCTCAGCTGAGATTAATCAGTGTGTGTCTTCTACCTTTAAGTAGGAGAGATCCGGCAACAGCGAGAAAGGCTGGCGAAGGAGCTGGAGCCGATCGTGTGTGCTCTCCAAAAACGGTTCAATAAACTATTACTATTGCTAAACCAGTACGCTGTATCCTCGCCATTTCCCATCCCCCCAAGAGGACCCCACGTGACAATATCCTATATAAATAAAACAAAAAAAATAGTATCGGGCTTGGTGCGATGCGGTCGGATTCAAGAAAATGTGTCCAGTGGAAAGGCGTGCCGCGGCAGCCGGGGAGGTTTAACCCGGGGGCTTTGACCGCCGGCAGGGCGAGATGGAGTGGCCCGGTCCTGCTAACAATCGGCCGGCCCGGGAGGAACGGAGGGCGGCGGCCCCGGGACGCCGTTCCTCCCGCCCAAAGAGGCGAACGAGCAGTCCGGAGGAACCGACAGTAGTTCAGGTTGAAAGACTGGGCGGACGGTTGTTGTTTTAGGTGAGATTTTAGCTTAGTTGGGTTCACTGCTTCTCTTGTCTGCGCTGCCTAAGCCCCGCCGCTGCTTTCCACAAGGAAAAAGGACAGGCAGCGCAATCAACTTAAATGTTGGTGACGTTCATTTAATTAACATCGCAGCACCAAAAATGATTGCACGCAATTTCAGATAGTGTGCGATATGTCATTTTATCACATATTGTGACAGGTCTAATGTAGGCATTACCCAAATAAACCAAATAGCTCACAAAATAAGGCACAGTTAAACTCAGCGTACCAGAGCCAAAGAACATCAACAGAAATTGTTTGAGAAAAAATAGTTTTCTCAAAACATTTTTCTCAAATTAAATTTCCCTTACCTCGGCAGTTTGCTATGAAAAGTCTTAGCTGGTGGGAAAACAACACTAAAATGAGACGGCACAGACCTCACAAGTGTTCCCTTTATTATGACACCCAGATATTCCAAATAGACCTTATGGTTGCAGACATAAAACCGCTTTTATAATGTGTATGCACTTTTCGAGCAGGAGCCTAAGGACCGGCTTGGTTCTAAGGCTCTGCATAGAAAGTAGTCCTACCTGTTATGCACCATCCACAGTGACAATCGTCATGGGAGAGTGACGTTATTGCTCAGCCCACATTCCACAAGTACTTTCAGATAAACTGATCACCAAAGACCAAAAAAGGAGGCAAACAATGGACACCTAAACATGAGCTTCAAAATGTTGGCAAATTGGCAGAATCACATATAAGGAAAATTCAGAGGAAAGGCATATGTACAATTTAAAGAGACTACACCCACTCAAACACACACCCACGATCAAGTTTGGACTCACCACTGGTCCTTGTTGAAGGACACCAGCAGGCGGATCCCAGGAGGAACACTGGCCATGTTTGGGCACAATATTGGCAATGACAGTGACGAGCAGCTGATGTGGGGTCACGCTGAGGAGGCTGATGGGGTTGACACGAACATGGAGGCACTTTCTTGCATCTTCTCCATCTCAGGAAGCTTCTTGAAGGTTGGTAACATGAGGATACACGCTTGATACCATGAGCACTGGAGCTGGAAGGACAGGACAATCAGGAGTAGACGAGAGAGGGGGTGTGGAGGAGGAAGAAGAAAAGGAAATAGGAGAGGGGCAGCTGGAGGGATAAAGAGGGAGACTGGGAAATCAGTGAGGACATTGAAAAGTCACAGTTACCATTAAGTGCCAGCTTCCAAGTGAGAGTAAAAGACTCATTTGCTTTTGTTTCTTCAGCTCAGCTAAATCCACATACTATCAATGTCCATCAGAGCATTAAACGCCACTTTAACCCTCCAGAGTAGAGTACGAGGGAGAAAGAGGTCCTGCAAGTTAAACTTTGATTGTTCGCTAACTGATGGCTAGGATCCACAGGGCCAGCCGCCCATCAGTGCTCCTCCGAAAACATTCAGACACCAACCTACACAAGCAACTGGGCGTCAAGTGTCTTGTCCAAGGACACATTGACAAGAGAAAAGCTTTACAGCTTCCAAAGTTTCAAAGATTATTTGCTGTTTTCTTAATTTGATATGAATCAAGTTGCATGTTCATTGGTATCCTGGCTATTCTCAGGGTTTGAGGGAGCCCATTTAGTGCCATTTAGTGTAAGTGCACAGTGTAGTTTATAGTGTCAGTGTAGTTTAGCGTCAGCGCACAGTGTAGTTTATAGTGTAAGTGCACAGTGTAGTTTATAGTGTCAGTGTAGTTTAGTGTCCGTGTAGTTTAGTGTCAGTGCACAGTGTAGTTTATAGTGTCAGTGCAGTGTATAGTGTCAGTGCACAATGTAGTTTATAGTGTCAGTGCACAGTGTAGTTTATAGTGTCAGTGCACAGTGTAGTTTATAGTGTCAGTGCACGGTGTAGTTTATAGTGTCAGTGCACAGTGTAGTTTATAGTGTCAGTGCACAGTGTAGTTTATAGTGTCAGTGCACAGTGTAGTTTATAGTGTCAGTGCACAGTGTAGTTTATAGTGTCAGTGCACAGTGTAGTTTATAGTGTCAGTGCACGGTATACGGTGTAGTGGCTCAAATGCACAGGACTTCCTGTTCATCTACTCTCACTTAACACATTATACAAGGCAGTTGGATTAATAACTGATTAATTTCATGATGAGTCACGAGGCCTCATCTACAGCCCATCGCCCCGTGCCATGAACGCAGAGGAAGCCGCCTGGTCTCAACACCGGGTTTGCTGAGGCTAAGAGGCGCATCAGGAGATCGAAACGTGCCAGTGACCGACGCTCCTGTGCGGACCGGAAGGTTCTTTCCTCTTCCAATGCTCGTAACGTACCATGAGACAATGACAAAATCACGTACACAACCTCCAGTCATTAATTAACACAGTCGACATAGATGAGGCCTCTCAGCAGAGGAGGCAACAAGGCATTTCCCCTCGACACTGTGGATGAAGGCGAAAAGCCGTCCACATCGCGGCAGGACCACGGGTTTAGCCGCCGATCAGCGTCGTGACGTTCCCCGGTCCAAATGAGTCGCAAACAGTCCATTGTTGCTGGTGAACTTACCTCGGAGGGAGAGTCGACGGTTTCCTCTTTGTATGCGGCTTCAGTCTAGCGACATGTCCTCCACTTCCTTGTTCGGTGCCACCTCAAAGCTGCTCACACGCGCACACACAGCGCGCGCACACAGCTTGCCTGGTCGCGGCGCACGCTTCGCTCTGCTGCTCTGACGTCACTCCCGGCTCCTGCTTCCTCTCCGTTCAAAGCGTCGTTTGATCTTTGACCAGATTTTTTCACTGTGGGCCGCGGTCAAACATCACTCTACTGTGACATTAATAGCACACAAGTATCACACTACTATCACACTACTATGACATTACTATTACATTACATGTCATTTAGCTGACGCTTTTATCCAAAGCGACTTACAATATGTGCATTCAACGATACAAACTCAGAAGAACAAGAAACAAGAGTGCAATTTCCTCAAATAAGCCAATTTACAATTTGCTATAGATCAGTGGTGTTATAAGTACAAGTGCTACAATCTAAAGATAGTCGAGGAAGAGTCTAGCACAGTAGTACTAGCACACTAGTACATTACTATGATGTTACTATGCCGTTACTATCAAACTACTAGCACACTAGTATCACACTACTATATGAAATTACTATGACATTACCATGAAACTACTATCACCCTACTATGACATTACTATGAAACTACTAGCACCCTACTATGACATTACTATGAAACTATAGCACCCTACTATGACATTACTATCAAACTACTAGCACACACTATGACATTACTATCAAACTACTAGCACACTAGCATCACACTACTATGATATTACTATGACATTACTATCTGAAGCCCCCTAAAATAATTTGGCATTATTGGCTTTACAAAATTAAATTAAATTAAAGTAGACATGTTATTTATAACTCTGACATTATATACAGCTGCCATCCTACCTGTTTCTCTTTCTCTGCTGTGGACTTAGGTTCCCACTCACTCACGTTCATTCACCTCAGTCTGCCACGCCCATCTGACCTGCAGCCCCATCTCTCCTTAGTAGCTCACTACTACGCCCTGAGACAGAGGAGGACATGCAGCTATTCATACTGATTAACTGTTGTCTGTTTCTTAGACAGCATTTAGACAATCATTTAGTGATTAGTGATATTGAGGGAGGATTCAGGCTGGAGAGAAGAAGGATGTTGTGGTTAATGGTGACAAATTCCTTGTATGTTTGACATATTTTGGCTAATAAATGTTTCCTGATTCCTGATTCCTGATTCCAAAAGCTGCAGTGAGCTCAGGGAGGATGAGAATATTGAGGTGAGGAGAGCTGTTTCATTGCTGTGCTGTAGGCGGAACCGGATTTGAAATGGCTTGAACAGATTGTTAGTGAAGACGTGGGCTTTGAGTTGTGCAGCAACACATTTCAGTATTTCTTAAAGAAAGGGAAGATGTGAAATTGCTCTTGTTGTCGGGGTCAAGCCCATGTTTTGTGTGGATTGGGTGTACAGGAGCTTGTGTGAGTGCGTCGGGGTCGGGGACTGAACCATAGCTGGGGGAGGAGTTAATCATCATTGAGGTGAGATAGCTGGTAGACATTTTGTGACCAGATTAGACGGTATTGGATCCAGGTGGACCACCTCGTTCCTGTTGCCAAGGTAGACCGCTCCAAAGGTGACACAGGGGAGAACTGAAAAAAGGGCTGAGGGATGGATGACGGGTGTGCAGAGGGGTGTGCAGGTGGAGTCGTGGCGATCTACCAGGTAGTAGTCGAGCAAACGTGTAGTAACGGTCCAACAACGGTACATACCCTAAGCTCAAACGAGCCTCTTATCTGTCAAAAGCCAGGGAACGGTCATAACTATTCCAGACATCCTTGGTCATTACGTTACTTGGATGACTTGCACTGATTGGAGTCAGCCAGGGTTTCTTTTGAATGAATAAAATAGGTGTGTCCGTTAGTAAGCAAGGATCGCTAAATAGCACTACCAAGTTTTCCGTTAGCTCCTGCGGTCAACTGCGTATCCCTGGTGACCCAACGTGATTTCTTTTTGAATGACAGGTGATCTGACGGCCTTGGTGTTTGACCGGTCGATCGCGTTTGAACTATTCGGCACCCCAGCTGTAGAGTGTGAATTTTTGTTTAGAAAAATGAAAGGAAAGTGTTGCATTTGTTATCTGTGAAGAATGTGGAGGTATTGTCCGTGGGTCTAAGAAGCTTGTTTAGCATTTTAAGGAGCCAGAATATATGACGTGTGAGTAGTGAGTGGACCGGGTTGAGATGAGAGCGTCTTTGTGCCTGAGTTAGCTTCACTTCCTCCCCTGGTGTATTTTTCCCTCCCTTGTAATAGTCTGCCTTGTCCGTAATTGTTCCCTCCTGTGTGCAATCACCTACATCTTCCCAGTTTATTTAAGCCATGTGTTTTCGTTTGTCCCATTGTTGCTTCGTCTGTTATCCTGTGTCTTTACTGTTCTTCGGTGTAACGGTTCTCCAGTGTAACTCCTCTGATTTTTTGTTTTTTTCCCTATTACCATCATCAGGGCGCATGGTTGTTTTTCCTGGCTTTGTACTACTGACTTTTTGTCTAGTTGTATTTTTCTCTATTTAAAGGTTACTTTTAGTTTGAATCAATGGTTCTGCGCTTGAGTCCTATTCCAGGCTATGAATTGTTAGAATCTTCTTGAGAGTGGGCCTGGAGACTTTTAAACCTGTTTTCTTGCACTTACAGGATTTCATATGGTGAAGTTCAGGGGGTACCAGGGAGTGTGATCAGGGAGGAAAAGATCTTGTTGGGAGCCAGCTCATCAAGAAAGACACAAGCAGAGTGAGTCATTGTTTACAAGATTGTTGAGATTGTCTGACTGCAGGGGAGGGGGGCGGGGGGACCAACGTGGTACTGGCAAGAAAGGCAGAAAGATTTATGGGGAGATAGAGTTAAGAATTCTGAAGGATATCTTGTGCTTTACTTTTTGTTGGTTAAATAACAGTGTTTAAAAATAAGGCTTTTATTATAAAATATCCTCTCTATGCTAAAAATGATGTCGCTACACTGAGGTGTTTTACCAGCACAGGGTGACTGTATCAGGGAGGCCTAAAGGAGTGGGGGAGTGAAGGGGAAAGGGGCCACCACCAGGTACCAGAAAGGAAAAGTCACACACACTGCAAAGCAAAAGATGTAGCGGCTTTCCAAATGTTCTCTGCATCGCAACATTGTACAGACATGGACAGTGAGAGACAGTGTGTGAGACAGTATGAGAGACAATGTGTGAGACATGAGAGTGTGTGAGACAGTATGAGCGACAGTGTTTGAGAGGCGGTGGGAGACCGTGGGACAGTATGTGAGACAGTCTGCGGAACAGTGGATGCTCGGCTGCAGCGTGCGGTGTTCATCACGTGACGTTTCTACTCGGGAAAGTCTTGTAAATAAATGATTCCTGTCTCCAGCATCTAAAGCGCTTGCACATGACGTCATCGTGATGTCATAATGGGTCTTTGTGATCTCCGAGAAGTCTCTCCCTATAAAACGTTAATCTAACTGATATCGCTTCTTCATCAATGAGGAAGAGAGCTGCCATTTTTTCCGGGTGAGTGATGAACTAATCCAGCTGGCTCAAATAAACCTGCGCCCTATGGTGATTTAGACAAACCTGCTTTGGGAAACCGAAATGCCTGATGTACGTCATCTCATCATGGAAATGATCCGGCTAACTCAGTTAGCCACGTACGAGGAACCGGGGCTTCGTCCGACGTTTCCTAAAAAATAAACAAACAATAAACTCACGAAATCCGGGATTTCAAAGCCTTGTCCAGCTGTTTACTGACGTTTGTCATGTTTAATGGAGAGAGAGAGAGAGAGAGAGAGAGAGAGAGAGAGAGAGAGAGAGAGAGAGAGAGAGAGAGAGAGAGAGAGAGAGAGAGAGAGAGAGAGAGAGAGAGAGAGAGAGAATTTACTGCTCTACAAATTAGACAAGTTCACCAGTTTAATGAAATATTGAAATGAAATGTAGGTCTTAAATTAAGCTACATGACGGTCTGGTGAGGTATATTGTAGTATATTATTAGTGTAATGCTGCTTATGCTTCAATTCTGTCAGAAAACAGTACAAAAAATGTGTGTATTGTCAGCTTTTGATTATTATGCACAACTTTGATGTATCTCATTTACAAAATGCCAAGGGAGACTCCACAAACAGAAGGACAGGGAATATATCCTACTGTGTTTATTTATTTTATTATTCATATTTTTTATTTCCTGAATCATTTTGGTTTGAGCACCTGCCCGCCAAAATGTCTGTGCACGTGCCTGGTGACATCAAGTCAGCTGCTATTCCAATTGCAGAAATGACCGTTCTCCGTTCTCCCGGAACCGGTGGTATCTGGTTCTGGTTCCAATATAGGATTCTGGGCTGGTCAAGATAATCTCAAGAGTCCTTGGTGTGCTCTGTTTCTTCGTAAATCAGACAGATAACGCGGGTCCCAGCGCCAACGCGATAGGGGGCAGCAATAGGTTAACACTGGCTCGTAAAGACGTCCTTTGAAAGAAAAGAAGACGCGACCTCCCCACAAACGTCATCAATCCGCGTCGCATCTGGGAAACGTGGGAGAAGCGGAAGCGAAATAAAACGTATGCGAGTGAAGAGTGCATTCACACGTGAATTGGTGTGAGCATGGCGTCGATTCAGGAACCAGAGGTCCAGCTAGCGCAGAGATTAGCTTCCAACGAGAAACTCGTCCGGACTAAGGCTTTGAAGAAGCTGAGGAAATATATACATAGCAGGTCTCAAATCGCGACAGGTGAGCTAGCGACACCGTCCTTGGTATTCAACGGCTAACGGTAGTTAGCATGCTAGCAATCGCTCAAGAGCTATTATTAACTTTGCTTGAAAGGGGTTCATAGGTTAACAGAAGTGATATTGGTAACAGTAACAGTTTGGTTCAAACAGCTTCAGTTAGAAAGCCAATTGGCTCCAGTCTGATCGATGGATGGTGTTTGTAGCTCCGCTTAGTGCACACGTGTTAACTCGTATAGCTCAAAGGCATTTCGTGTGTAGTTAAGTTGGCAAGCTAATGTAACTTACATTTTATTCCGTATCCTAGGCACAATAACCGCATCAGTAAGGTTGTTGTTTTTTGCAATATTGTATTTTATGCTTAACCTCACCGCCCTGCAGATCTGTATTGGAATATTTTGTTCGCCGTCTAGTCCATCACTGCAGACACCAGTATTCGCATGAAGCTCACTTCTCTTCGATGCATCTGTCCCTTTGTTCAGGTGGATTCTCTGGGGATGAGCTGCTCAAGCTGTGGAAGGGTCTGTTCTACTGCCTGTGGATGCAGGACAAACCACTGCTCCAGGTATGCTTTGTATGCATTGCTTACAGACTCCTGTCAGGGGAGGGGGCTGCTTGTTTCACCCACCAGCGGACAGGGAGCGGCCACAACCCGCCGCTGGCCCGTTATTTTGTCCTGTTTATCCGCCACACCGCCGAGACTGTGCGCCGTAGTATTGTCTAACATGAAAACTGTGAGGCCACAAAGGTGGGGACCTGCACTAGTCCAGTCAAAGTGGCAGGACACTTTAGTTACGCGGTAGTAAGGTCCAATCTCCCACCTCACCCCCCCCCCCCCCTTGTTCTGTTGCGCCGTTTGAGGCTCTCTGGGAGAGTATGAACCCTTTCTGCATGAAATCAGACATATTTACTACTTTATTCATCAACTGTTTCACAAAGAAAGTTCAAGATTAAGGGTCAGGGTATACTATGAAGAGGTCAGGGTTAAGGGGATTGGATTCCACACCGGTTCTCTAGTTGTATGTAATCATAAACACATTGGTTGCATAGATGAGAATGGTCTGTGGCTTGACCCTCCTTCCCACCAGGGTGGTACTGGTTGCAGCTTGATGGAGAATGAAAACCTTCTGATTCAGAGCGATTTTAAATTTGTCATGAATCCAGGAAGGTGACTAATGTCTAAGCCCTCTCCTCCTTGATTTTATGTTTCTGTTCATAAAACTCTTCCCTTTTATTCTTTTAGGAGGAGCTATCCAACCAAATCTCTGCCCTGATGCTCAGCTTTCACCATGTTGACGGACGTAAGTTGCCCAGGGTGGATTTCATGATCTCATATCTAATGTGAGCTATGTAAGAAAAGCCCTTAGGCTGTTGCACGAGTTCTTTCTGAAATCAGGGCTCCAGATAACGTAAGATGGAACTTATTGTGATACGAGATCTACCTTTTTGTAGCACTATTCCTGCTAAAAATAATGGAGTGACCGAACTGATCTCAATTGGGTATTTAGCAACATGCAAATACCATGTAACGTTAAATGAGTATCTTCCTGACCGCGGGTGGGATCGGCATAGGCAGGTCGCTAAATCTGAAGGCAACTTCCTATGATATTATAGGAACACGGCGATCATCAGAGAGGCATGGCGACGTTAAAACAATAGTGGGACATGTTTATCGAAATAAATAAATACGTGAGCCCTGTGACGGCTGGCGAACGGTTTGGCCGGACTGGGGGTGCTAAATGATGCTCATTTAACGTTGCGTGGTATTTGCATGTCGCTAAATACCCAGCTGAGATTGGCTTAGTTATGAATCACCAGGTTATAAAAGTTGAGTGAAACCATCTATTACAACAAAGGGTAATATAACGGCAATGTTACAATATTAACGTGCAGAGGAATTCATTATAATTACTTACACTGGAAAAATTATGTCAAAGTGTTAAGTTACCGAGCAGATGTTTTCTTGTCAATGCCACTTCCCACTTTTGTGTTTTACATGTTACATGTACACTTTATGGAGATTCGAATTCAAAGAGTTCTTAAACAATGATTCGAATGTGAAAATTAATATTCAAATGTAAAAAAAAAAAAGACGCAACTGTCTGCTTATTGGGCACGTCCGCACCTGACTACGATATTGCATGAATAAAATAGACTAGATAGGCTACAACAGCTTCATGCACTGGTTTGATTATTTGCCGTTTTATGCCAAGAAAAGTTCTGTGTTTACAGCACAGCTCGCTCGGAGTATTCAATGTCGGTACTGTAAAACTTTTCAATCACTGAATGAAGCCTGACGTATGTGGGACAAGAATCACAACCATAAATTGCTTGCACAAAACTCTTTCTCGTACACACAACTTGTTCATTTAAAGCGCTTTTTTGTGCAGGTAATAATGTTAAATAGGTTTAAACTTAAATAAATTACCTATACAAGTAGTTATGTCTCGTTGGATACCAGATATTTGAATACAGGTGTCTTTTTAAAGCGAATATTCAAAACGTCCTTTTTGAGCAATTTTGACAGCCCCACTTTGAACCCTCGTATCTCTACAAAGAACAGGCTTTTAATGGGAGAAAAAGTACAAGCCACGTCTTTAGTAAGAAATTACATTAAACTAAACTACTTTAAAGCTTAGTGTGACAACACGGTGCAGCAGTTGTCATGACGTTAATGATGATGATTATCTCCCATTTCCTGCAGAGCTATTGTATTTGGAGAGCTTCCTGCTGACCTTGAAAAGAGAGTGGACTGGTATCGACAGGCTGCGAATGGACAAGTTCTTCCAGGTTGGTGTGAAGAGCGATGACTTCCAGCGTTTTAAAGATCTCAGAACCTTGTGGGGTTTTCAGACAATGTACTTTGTTTGTGTACTTGTTGATACAATTAGCAAGATACGTATATAGTAAAAGGAATATGGCTAAAATGGAACCCTCCTGTAGTTTGTATGGGAGGGACACGCTCTAGTGCAGAGAGCTCTGTTTGAGGAGAATTGTAAAACATGCGATCATGTGGAGCCCGAAATGACACGAGATAAATAACATAAGGATGTCTAAAGGAAAGGGAACCCTAACGGACTTCTGTTAGGGTAACAAACCAAATTAAAGCTGCAAGCAGCGATGATCGGGCCTTCGCCTCCCCTTGCATGTTGTGGGGGCAGCGGTCAGCCGGACACGTCAGTCAAAAAGGCAAAAAAAAAAAGAATACCTCACCACTTGGCTACTTGCCTTACCGTACAAAGACATGCAAAAGGTAAATAAATATCTAGGATCACCTCTATTCAGTTGAGGCAAAGAACGTGAGATAATATCACCACTTCTGCTCCTCCAGGAAGTATTAACTTGTGAAGTCTGGCAGATACATTATATATTATTATTAGATATATATATATTTTGCTACTTTATTGAACACTGCCAGGGGGCGCTATGAAGGCAATTTACCACTTTTGAACCAAAACTCCACATCAGATCTGTAATGTGACTACCTCGCACACTGACATAACTTCAAGAGTTTTTGAGTTTGCCAAAGCACCGAAATATCTGCTTGAACTTTCATGCGAAGACAGTGTCGTCGCAGCAACAAGGTTTTTCAAAAACTCCCAATACTCACTGTGAACTACCTTCAAAGCCATAAGGCTTATATTCAAGGATTTGAGGTTGATCAGATGAAATGGCTAGGAGATACACATTAAAGTGTAAAACCTTTGCATTTAGCTAAGCCAATAAGTGGCGCTATAATTTTTAGAAAATTACTGCATGGGAATACTTTAAGGCGTACAATAGCATCATGAATTAGAAATTCCGGCCAGAAATAAAAATGTTCCTTGGAGTTATAACATCTTACGTTTTCAAGAAAATTGACCAAAATAGATGCCAGGCCACGCTCAGGTAGTTTCACGAAAACTCTTAATTTTAATAACTTTTCGCCACAGTTGTCAGGATCAATTTTCCTGAACGTGAAATCGATCGGGTTTCAACTCTCGGAGGAGTTTGTTTGTTAATCCAAAATACGATGGAAATTGCAAAAAACAAATTTCAGAGAACGACTGCAGCGCCCCCTAAAGTTCAAATATTCTGAAACTCAGGATATGCTCAGGGACTCAATGTGACCACATCCTAGAGATTTGGTGAGGACAAGCCAGTTACTTCTGAACTTATAGGTCTTTCACTTTTAGGCCACACCCCCTACAACCTTCATTGGTCCGTAACTTCAAAACTGAATGAGATATCAACAAGTTTTTAACTTCTGATGACAGTGGCTCAATAATTTCCTGAGGTTTTCGTGAGAATCACACCCAGAGTCTGGAAGTAGTAACAACGTGTTTTTCACAAAATTCAAAATGACGGAAAATCTTACTAGGCTCATTTACATACCATGATTGACTTTTGACAACAAAGAGCACCTGTGTGCAAAATTTCAAGTCAATCGGTGAAACTGGGCAAAAATGTCCCCAGAGGGAGCACTTCCAGGTGGCGCTAGAGCCATTTTTTTATCCCCAAATGCGCAACCCAAGGAATATCTAAATATTTCGCACTTCTGATTCGCACGCCAAAATTCAAGAGTTTTTCAATATGATAAAGGCCTCAAAAGTGCGATTTAAAGTGGAGAAATAATAAAAATTCTTAAACACTAAGCTCACCTTCTGGGGCGATTGTCCCCCGAATGTAATGGTGAGGGAAACACTGCGTGATCAGCAGTTTCCGGTGTAACTAGTGCTGAATTGCAGGTTCAGGGTCTTGTGCGTGCAGCCTCACAGGCACACAACAGAGCCAGAACTGATCCGCAGATAAAAAGCCTTGCCTGTCCAATGAATTCATTCTGTGTTGCTCCCAGGTCTGTATTCATTTATGGTTATCATGAGGTGTTTTAGTAATTCACACCATTATCTTCCCCTGTCTTTTAGCTTGTTCGCTTTATGTTCAGACAAACCTTTGAGATGCTGAAGAGCAGAAACTGGGAGAGCAGGTAATGTACTATTACTTCACCTTCACGTCATGTCCTTTGCGAAGTCAATAACTATGTACCGTGTCTCTTCAGTGCGGTCTGCAAGTTTCTGAAGCTGCTGACGGAACAGCTCCTGCAGCGCGGCAGCGGGGCACCGATCGGGCTGCAGCTCCACGTCCTGGACCTTTACATGAGTGAGCTGGCGGCCGTGGGGTCAGCAGAGGTAAAGCACCGCTAGGCCGGTCGCAATATGCGATAAAAGGACATAGCGCACACTGAAATCACGTGCAATCGTTTTTGGTGGTGATAATCATTTTACATATAAATGAACGTCATGGGTTAAGAAATGCAATGTACGTTGCTTTGGATAAACCATCAGCTAAATGACCTGTTATGTAAATGTTCTGATGTTAAAGGAAATCCTGTTAAATATTCCGATTTGTATTTTTTATAAATTCTGTTAAAGGAACGTCCTATTCGTGGACTTTTGCAGTTCTGTTTTAGAATAACGGGTTGGGAATTCAAATTTTTTCTTTTTCTTTTACAACTTTTTCTTTTTTCTTTTTATCCGATTGATCAATTATCAAAATAATCGTCAGTTGCAGCCCTAGTCAAATGAGAGGTTTCCCAAACGTAACCCTTTCCTGCACAAGGAGCGGCACAATCGATAAGCCCAAGTTCCTGGTAGTGACTTCAAACCAAGTGCAAAGCAGTGTGGAACTACTAGTAGATTGTGATTCAGGGACCTCCTGCCCGTCCACACACCCCTACTCTGTCCAAGCACAATGATCCTCATGTTTTCTTTCCTTTCGCAGCTCACGGCCGATCAGAACTTGATATTCATTGAGCCATTCTGCAAAGCGGCAGCCAAAACCAAGGAGTAAGTCCACGTCAGCTCACCTATTTGTTTCATTTATTCTGCTGCTTTGGTTCAATTGAGCTAATAATGAAGTTCCTGAGAATGGAGAATGCTGCTGTGGTGCTCAATAGGATGTTGGATCCGTATCCCAAGTCATTTCAACACATTGTACAGCGTTGGTATAGCTGTGTCGGTGAAGTATCGCCGAGAAGGTATTTTGTACTTCGGCTCCAGTGTATTCACCATTACCCGAAAACCCACCTTCTCCACAACTGAATATGGCCTTAAATCCACTGGAATAAATCTAACAATGGATTTAGTAATCCGTTTTGCCCTCTCTGAGTTGTGTGGCAGTTGTACCAGTGCCTGTTCAATCGTCACCTGGCTGCCATGAGGAATGGGTGCCTTTTTTCCTCCCAACTCTGAGTGGTGTCGGGAAATGTGGCTCTGCAGATTTGTATTTCCGAAGTATTTTATTTTATATCTGCTGCTTCTGTTTTTCGCCAGTCGGTGTCTCTTCAATGCCATCTGCAACAGCCTCCTCAGCGCCATTATTGACCAGGCCCCCTTCGCTATTGACGATCTGATGAAGGAGTTGAAAGCAACTGAGGACTCTGACTCCGACTCGGGACAGGCTTCTGGAGAGGACCACGACGACAAACTAAATGAGAACATAAGCAAACCGGTCGGCAAGAAAAGGGCGCGGAAGCAGATGAACGGTAACTGACCAGTTGGTGGAGCAGCCTATGATGACACTGAATGAGGGCTTAATGCCAAGCTGCCGCGTGGTATCTGTGCCTTTGGGATGGATGGCTGTTCTTCTCGTTAGGTGGGCCCCATTTCTGCATCCCGTGCAGCGAGAGCCGCCTTCGGTACAGACTCAGTGCTGTTGGGGAAACAACATAATGTCATTTGTCCCTTTTGTTATTTATCCATGCACGGTTCTCATTTGTTTGCTTAGAAGGCAAACTGTTTCACTGCATGCAGTAGCTGGTGTTTATTTTGTGAATTTCTTTTTCAGGTAATGTGTCAAATGACCATGACGATGATGATGCTGGGCTTCTCCAGGGGGAAGACTCCGACACAGAGGTGTCTTGCGATGAAGACATTGGACATGTCCTACAGGTGAGGACTTTCTCATTCAATTCGGATAGCTTTTCTTTTTAGACACCTTTCACTGTTAATATTCTTCATTTAAATCAAACTACCTCACTAATGAGTCCTTAAAATCAATGTTGATGGTTTTAAGTTAATTGCCAGAAATAAGGTTATAGGGTTAAAATACTTGGCCTACAATGGGAAACTTGACGTGTCTTAAACTGCCGTTTGCTACCCAGTGGCTGAAGGAGACAACGTGTTCAGTTCTGCCGAGTGAGGGCAATGAAAGTGTCTCAAACTGCTCAAACCTTCTGTTGTGACCACCAGAGAAATCCATGAGAAAACGACTCCTTGATCCATTCCCTCAGTGAACATTATAAACACAAGTTCATGGTCTCAATCTCTTGTTCAAGTCTTCTTCAGTACATTTATTACTATTTATTAAATTATGGTACAAGTTCAGAGCAAATGTCATTGGACTTTTTTCAATTTCTTTGATTTTTTTTAAACCCACCATTTCAAACATTTCTTGATCTGGAGAAACCGTGTGACTGATGAATGTACTATAGATATACAAGATGTTTTCTATAAAGGTTTCTTGTAGGAATGCAAAGTGTTTTTTGTTTTTTTTAAATTATGAAATGTCCAATGACTTTTGCTCTTTTCAAAGAAGAATTCTTACAGATGCAATGTGTACAATGAGTGGCATAGATGGTGGACACTTTGATTTCTTATGAGGCCTTTGTGTTTTGTAGTTTAACTATGGCGCCCTGGCAGACCGGCTGTTTGAGCTGGCCAGTCGGGGAAGCATTCTCAGCCGGAACAGACAGAGACTCTACAAGATGGTCAAAGTGTGAGTAGACCTGTAACACTTCACCTACGTCTTTGTCGTCTTTGGCTCCGTGTGAACTCATCTCTTTTCTTTCTCCCGTGTGGTGGTGACAGACTGCGTGATCTGAATGAAGGTAAGCATTGATGATTATACCCTCTTCTTTTTCTGGTTGACCTCGTCCTTTTTCGCTCTTATCCTGGATTTCCTCTTAGGCATCTTTCCTCCGGATGAGTATCCAGAGGAGGTCTCTACAGATGAAGATGACGACATGTTCGGCAGCAGGAAGAGGATGAAAAGAGTAGCAGGTCACACGGAGGCTAGAGATGGGGGGGTGCCAGGAGCAAAGAAAGGTAAGGCTACGTTTACTTCCTGCCTAGGCAACATTTTTCACTCCCTGACAACCGACATGGGCAGTTAGTTGAACAATTTCTGAGGCCCAATCAAGCCGTTTGATTTCCAGGACACTTTTAACCAGGACACTGCCTTTGACAAAGCGTAAAGCATGTCTAACTAAACTAAATAACCCAAAGCCTTGGGTTATTTAGTTGGGAAGGGAAGAAGAAAACTACAACGCTGCTCCAAGTCAGGATACATTCAGGGGAGGGAAGGAAGAACTGGCACAGCCATTTAAAAAAGGATTCCTGGACCACTCGCTAGAGTCAGCTGTCAATTATGCCCCGGCTCCAGAGGAACGGCCACTGTCTGTAAACCTGATCAGAAAGAATACGATTAAAGCTGCTGGACCTGATAACTTCTCTAGTTGTGTACTCAGAATATGTACCAAACAGCTAACTGATGGTATGTCTAGTATATTTACAGTTGTGGTCAAGAGTTTACATACACTTGTAAAGAACATAATGTCACGATTCTCTTGAGTTTCCAGTTATTTCTACAACTCTGATAGTGATTGTAACACATACTTTGTCACAAAAAACATTCATGATTTATCTGTTCCAATCACTCTATCAGAGGTAGAAATAACTGTAAACTCAAGCAAGCCATGACATTGTTCTTTACAAGTGTATGTAAACTTTTGACCACAACTGTACGTTTTACATTTTTTTTACAGTGATCTCCACAAGTTTTGACTTGACACACATGTCAAATTTTATAAACATTTAATCTGACTCTGCTATTTCAGGAGGGCAGAAGGAGCCGTCCCCACCTGACAAGCAGAGCAAGGCTTCAGTGAAAGATGACAATGCAGCTGACCTGACTGCAAATAAAAAGAAGAAAAAGAAAAGGAGGAAGAAAGCCATGCAGGATAATGGTGCAGACAGATCAGAACAGACGTGCACTGTGGCGACGATTACAGAGACTGAAGGAGGCCTCCATTGTTCACAGGAAAAAGCACAAACGCAAAGCTCCCTGAAACCTGTAACCGAACCAGTGCTCCTTTCTGAAGGGCCGACAGTTACCGCCATAGGAAAAAATGGCCAACCCGCCGACGGCACAAGTAGCAACATGCCATGTCCGACTCCTGAGCTTAACGTGGAAGTCCCAGAGACGGACATGTCTTGTGAACCTTATGCTACGGTCTCAGGGAAGAAGGGCCTGAAGGTAAAGTTACACACAGATGAGGTGGGAGCCAAACTGCATATCAATACTGAAGCAGAGATTCCATTAAGTCTAGAGTCTGCAGAAAACAACATTGCACCAAGGGCTGATTGTTCCACCACTGGCAAGAGGAAGAAGAGAAGCCTAACTAAATTTTCCAATGGAAAAGAAGTGAACCGTGTGGGCACCGCAGCAACGTGTCAATATTCAGAGGAAGGTAACTCCAACACTGGACTTGAGAAGCAAACTGATTCTATAACCCCACGCAATAAGAAGAGTAAGAGAAGTAACCTCCTCCCTGAGTTGGAGGAAGGGGGAAAACTTACCAATGCTGTAGATGCAACCACAGCCCCACTTTCAAAGAAAAAGAAAAAAAGCAAGCCGGAAGATGCTTCTCAAGATCCAAGCACTGTGCTCCGACTAAACAAGAGGAAAAAGCCCCAAACCGTCAGTAAGACGGGGGAGGAAGACGCGGCTGCGGAGAAGTTACCGTTTGACATCACTGTGACCGCACCAGCAAATAATAAAATAGGAGAGTTGCAAGTAGTTTGCCGTGTCGATGCAGAGCCCACATTGGCTCCCTCTGGGAAACCACAGAAGAGGAAGATCCCTGTGGTCTTTGAGTACGAGGTGGACGAGCTGGAGGCGGCATTGATCAACGGGGTCGCAGAGGATGACTCTGTCACCAAGAAGGGTGAACCAGACTGCGTGAGTGTGAATGATGTTGAAGGGCTCGGGGGGATGAAACTGAAGTGCCAGACTATCTTATGACACTGAGACATAACTAACTTTTCCATTTCAGGACGTTGGAGAGCCAGCCACTCCTATTCGCACTAAAAAGTCACAGAAGAAGACTTCTTCAGACTTCTGCGCCTTTCAGAGTAACGCGACAGTGCCAAAGCCACTCTTCTGCAAAACTAAGGGGAGCACCAGCAAGAAGGTGAAGTGTACAGTGACATCTTTCACACTGAATACCACAAACTTTGAGGTGTGACCTTGAAAGATAAGCAGTAGCGCAGAGATTGACAAGTGTCTGGTTCCTTTTTCAGAACAAATTTAGATAGGCAAATTAGTTATATTTTCATCATACCAATAAAATGGCCATTAACTTGTGTCAATGCCACTGAACGAATGACACAAAGCATTAGCTAACAGCCGTAGACTGGATCTCCCACGTTACACAAGTGGAGTCTGTGTACTGGTCAACCGGCAGTCTCATGCTGTCCATGTCAATGTGTCCTTGAGCAAGGCTGAGAGTATGAATGGTTGGAAGGGCAGCTTCAGAGTGATGCCATGTTCTAGTCCACTCCATTGAATAGTACCATATCAGACGATGCTCTCATCGGATTCCCCTGGGGACATTTTAGCGGTGTTGGAATGTAAATATGCTCCTTGGTCAAGTGCTTAATCCAAACCTGAGAGTTCTTATGGTGAGAAGGTACGATGATTCAATACATTTGTTGTAGGGGTGTAATGATTCATTTTAACAACGATTTGAATCGCGATTCATGGTTGCCGATTCGATTCATGGACGATCTGGGTTCATTTAGAACGATTCGATTCAGTGACTTGAAATCGATTCAGTAACTTTACTGGACAGTGCAGGCAAAGTCTGAGACCCCTGTTTATTGTAAGGAAATCGGGTTTAAATTATGGATATTATAAACGAGCAAACAAAAATTGATGGCAAATGTATTAACCTTTTATTTGAATCAAGTGCTATTTTCAATGTAAACATTACACAATAATTGGATTGTTTTGGATCAATTCACAGAACCCCGGATTTTCAACCACATCGTAGGGCCGCATGTCTTTACAGATAAACTTGGCAATTGTTACTGTGAGTTTGGTGCTGGCGAGGCCTGAGGCGTCTGCAGAGCTGCAGTTAGCTGCTGCTGCTGCAGCGGTGACGCTGCTAGAGGTCCTGACTGTCGGCGTTGTTTAATCCCACGGCGCCTTAGTAGACGGCCGGAAAGATTCGGCGTGTTTCCGTGGTTTTTTATTTGTCTTCTACATATTCTACAAACAGCGACCGACTTATTTAGAACACCTCCGTGTTTGCAAAAGCCAAAATGTTTCCACACGCTGGATCGATACGTTGGTTTGTAAATGTCTCGCTCGCAGTAGTCTCCTCCACGCTGTGTTTTTTGTTTCGCGCGGCTGCCGCTGCGTACTGATGACGTCACAGACAGGCAGACTGAATCGAGTAACGTTTAACGTGTCTAAAGTGCTAAAAAACAAACCCATCCCTAGTTTTCGTACTTTTTGTACTTGAATCCAATGTGCAGTTTTCCGATTGGTGCGATTGTATCGATACAATCGTACCATTTATGTACCTTTGTAATCGATATGTCGTCCGGAATGCCGATTTGCGGAGCACAGATCGCTTCAGTTGGATCGCAGGAATATAAATCGATTTTATCGATTCAGTGAATGAATCGTTACACCCCTAATTTGTTGCAATGGGGGGGGAAACCCTGAATTTATCTGATTCAACCTAATTTTGATTTCTTAAATATTTGTCTTATAGAATAAATGTAAACCATAATTTGTTACGTAACCATGATGTCTTTTTTTATTTTTATTTCGCAGAGTCAAACCCCCAAATCAGAATCCAAGAAAGTGACCTTTGGTCTCAAGAATAATAAGACCGCTGGTAAGAAATTTGACATTTGAGGAGTTTTTAAAAGTCTAAATATAAGGATGTATTTAAAGTCATATTACAAGATGTAGAAATAGGGAGTAATATCTCTTTGGATGGACTCTATCTACTTGTGCACTAAGGACCTTCTCATTCAATGGTTTTGCTTCATTATTTTTCTACATTACAGCTTAATGTTGAAGACCTGAAGTGTGACACAAACTGTGAAGGAACACACATTGAATTATGTGGGTGACAAAAAATGCTCAAAACAATGTTCTACACTTGAGACCTTTTGCTTTGATGACACTTTGCACACTTTGAACCAGCTCCAGGAGGTGATCAGCTGGAAGGTTTTACAACAGTCTTGAAGATGTCCCAGAGGTGCTGAGCACTTGTTGGCCGCTTTGCTTCACTCTGCGGGCCAACTCGTCCCAGAGCCTCTCATGTGGGATGATTGTTAAGGCCATGTCATGTGACTCATCACTCCTTTGTCAAATAGCCCTTACAGAGCCCGGAGGTGTGTTTTGGGGTCACATCATCACACACCTTCTCCTTCATGGTGGGAAGCAGACATGTGAAAACCACCCGCTCACCTTCTGTCTTACAAACCACAGCGGGTGCAACAAGATCTCAAATGTAGACTCATCAGCCCAAAGTGGATTTTCACTGGTTCCTTCTGTTCCCTGGCCCAAGTCTCCTTGTTCTTATCCTGATTCACGCAGTCTTCTCTTGCGTCGGCTACTTGGTAACTCGAATGACCTTCTCCTCGGCAGCAGAGGTAATCCCTGGTCTCCCTGTCTTGGGGGGTCCTCATGAGAGCCACTTTCATCAGTGTTTGACTTCACTTTGAGGATCGACTCAGATTGACTGACCTTCCTGTCTTAAGTGATGGACGGTTGCTTGTCTTTACTTAGTTAAGTGTGGAATAGGCCTGTTCACTGTATAGAACTGTGCACAACACAACTGATGTCTCAAACACATTAAGGCAAGAAATTCCACAAATGACTCTTGGCGAGGCACCTGTTAATAGAGAACGATCTCAGGTGACCAGCTCGTGAAGCTGGGTGAAAGAATGCCAAGCCGCCAAAAGGTCTAAAGGAATAAAACATTCTGGTTTGTTGAGCATTGTTTGTTTACCTCATAATCCATATGTGTTCCTTCATAGATCTGATGTCTTCAATATTAATCTACGGTGTGAAAAAACATTGAACGAGAAGGTTTTTTCCAAACAGACGAAACTGCTTCAAATTTCGAAAAGATGAGTTACTTAGTTTCACTTGAATTAAAAGCAATTTATAGCATTTTTTTCTTCCCTCCAAACCTGGAGCTATTTTTGTGCTGTGCAAACCCTCTCACATGTTTGTCTGTCAATCACAGGACAGTGTTCTCCTGGCCAGATAAAACAAACAGGCATCAGAAAACCTTCCCATCTTTGAATTGTGTGCAACTGAGTTTATTTTTAGAGGAACAGGACATTGGTAATTAATACATTGAGATTGCAGATCTTGTACAAATTCCAGAACTCAGCTAATAATATACAATTTTTAAACTGTAGAACATGGCCATTTAGAAACATTTGAGAATAAGAATTCAAAGTACGATCCATTTATAGATATCACTTCCCAGTGATCCACCTTTGGTGAAGCTGATAATATCCACCAACATTAAGATGTTTTACACATTTAATCGCCTGGTTATATTTAAGTAAATCTGTTCCTGTTTACTTGTCTTTGTCATGGTGTAGAGTTTCGGAAGACTGATCGCAGCTTGCTGGTGAGTCCAGACGGCTCATTACGAGTGCCCTTTGACCCCAAACAGAAACCAAAGTTTGGGGTCTTGAAGTCTCCACCCACAGCGCTCTCTGGCAGAAAGGTTCCGAAGGGAAACAGGAAGACCAGCATGAATACTCCCAAGAGTACACCGAAACGGCGCCCCTCGGCAGCAGACTTCTTCTAACAGACGTAGTCGTTTTCTGAATAGACTGATTTCTACACCCGCCCTTTGGAGAGCGATGCGGTGGCGTTTCTATTTGTACCCAAAATCAGTGTTATTTGTTTGCCTCTCACTGAGTTAACGTTTGGAAAAATTGTAATGAGCAACTATTCAAAGTAATTAACTTTTCAGTTAATGTGAGTTTGATACAGCACATGTCAAAATAAATTATATTTTGGGAAGAAGTTGTCCTTTTTAATTAGAAGAAAATAATTTACCATGCAGGGCTTGGTGGTATGACCAAAAATTCATATCACCGTATTTTTTTATTTTTCCCTCGAGTAAATCCATTCATCACCTCGACAGCTCCCAAGTGGCCAGCAGGTTAGCGTGTTAGCTGTTGTGGCTTGCCACACTTTGCAATAAACTGTTTTCTGATCTAACTTACGTCGGATTTTCATTTTTTCAAAACCCTCCAAACAGACACAGCTGCTCCCTCTGGCACAAGTTTCCAACTGTAAAAAGTAAAGTAAAAAGTGGCAATTTGTGCCGGTTTGATGCAAAGCAGTCAGCCAGTGCAGAGGCTGTAACACGTTAAAGAACGGCCGCATTTCTTTTCTGGTTGTTTGTCGATTCATTGCAAACTGTCTGCCATTTGTTTCCAGACAGTTCCGAGCAAAGCGGGTAATATGAAAAAAAACACGTAATTTCCGGACTATAAAGCCGCATTAGTCTATAAGCCGCAGGTGTCACATTGTAACGAGATATTTACAAAGGAATTATTCCAAAAAGTGCCTGTAACACTGCACTAAACCTGCAGAAAAGCGGCGGTGGCGATTGTTTTGGCTTTCAGTCGGATCTGCACGGTGGAAACTGGTGTGTGTGTGTGTGTGTGTGTGTGTGTTCGTTCGTGTTCACCCACGGGCGTAATGGTTTAGACATTGGGGGTCCAAATGAATACCCTTCCCCATATTTTTTAAGCGGGTATTGGGCTGGTGTGGTGTGATCCAGAATGTTCTCTGTGGTTGGGCATTTAATAAACTGTTTGTACTGTTTCTACATGGCTGAGAGTTCCTTAGTTATCGTTCTTGGGGACTTTAACCAAGGAGTCCGGGTTGGTCCGCTCCACACGCCGTATCCGGTCGGCGAGTGTCCGCTGTGCCGGCGGCCCGAACCAGGATGAATGAAGCGAACTCACGGGGGAGTAAAAGGGTTTACAGTTGATGGTGAATAACTCCAGATCAGGGGAACAGTGTTGTGGGATCACCGTTACGTCGTTGCACCAGCTGCTGGAGCTCCAGCTCCGTCTTGCCGGAGAGCTCCGTGTCGCGGTCCGCTCTGAGCGGCTGGAAGCCCGCCAGCTGGACGCGGAGTCCGGTATCGATCCGCAGAGCACAAAACGGAGGATGCAGAAAAGTCTTTGTCTATATTGTGGGAGGGGGGCGGATTGGTATTTTGTCAACATTGGGGGGCACAAAGAATGCTTGGTTACGGCATTGTGTTCACCCAGTCTTCAAGAACGTTTTCAAGTTGGGGCCATCTGCTTTTATTTCCTCTTTTGTCGTCTTTTTACATCGAGTACAGCGACTTGCGGTGAGGTTCGTGGCTGGGGAGGCACTGACTCTTCCAAAGTCAGATTCACAAATATATGAATTCCACAAAGTAGCATAAATTCACCATTCAACGGGCTGCTTTCACATTATGAAACATAACTACTGGTTATGTTTCATATCATGTATCGTATATTCTTCGTATAATACGGGGCAGATGAAACCAAGCGTTCTGATTGGTTGAGAGTGAGTCACTGGGTGGAACTGAATTGAGCCATAATGTAATGTTACCTGTTTACATTGACCTGAGCGTTCATATCAGTGCGGTGATCAAAATAACAGTGTAGGAGCCATTTTTGTTTTGTAATTTTTGATTGTTGGCTCCACCCCCTTAGGTGGTGGGAGGTTGTTTCAATTAGGCCGCAAGATCATTATTACCAGGTGGGTTACCTGGCACAGGTTGGTGTTGGTGAGAAGCGAAATAGTTTTTTGACCGTGAGGAGAGCATGAACGTGACCGTGAAGTGTGGACGGTGAAGTGTGGAACGAGAGCGTGACAGGGTGGAAGAGGCATGTACAAAAGATAATTGGAAGGTGTCAATAAAGAACAAAATAAAGGACAATCAAAGAAGTGGAAATGTCTCAAGGAATATTTAAACGCGTCAAAACGAACTCAAACACCAACCAGGAGGACCTAACTTTTGACAGTCTAAAAGCGTCTCTACAGTTAACGTTAGATTTTGCGCGACCGTTAGTTGTCATTTCAGTTTTTAGCTCGGTGGCGATTGCCTAAACAGCCCGGAAACGGCGCAAATGTGCAGTTTTGCTTTCGCAACCTATTTGGGGCACTTTTTAGCCACATTCAGCTGGACATCATGAGCGAAGTGAATGAATGAGACTCACAAATTAATGTCGATCTCCTTTCTAATCATCAACCAACTTCTGGTGCTAGGCTAAAAAACGTGAAGTTCCCAATGTTGTTTGTCTGTTGCATAGTAACAGTCAAGTACGGGGACTTTCTGTAGGCTACTGAAATGCGATACACAACGTTTGGTGGTTACAACTTGTTTTGTGCTGAAAGGCAACTATTTACATACTAATAATGCCACGGACAACCTAAAGCAATATGGTTTGCCAACAACACCCTCGAACAGTGCATTGTTGACGATAAAGTACAGCCTCCCGTACCTTATTGCTTAAATGTTTTAATATATTTAAAATATTAAAATAGGGATGGTCTTTTATTTGTGTCATGTATGCATGCTCTTACCTTTACTTGTAAATTACGTTAAGTCCATTCATCAACAAAGTCCTTTTTTTTCAACATTCTCTTTGTCTCAAAAGACATTATTGCTCGGGATGAAAGTCGTCTTTGGTATGTTTTTAGTTTTCAAGGACTGATAATGTGTACTTGACGTTCGCTCCTTGAATGTTTAGCCAGCACATAGCTAACTACGTCATCAGTCCGTCATACGTGAGGAAAAACAACAGCAGAACGAGCCCGTGTGCTCACACACGCCCCCTTCAGGCAGGCAGAGGTACTGACTCCGCCTCCGCAGCAGTGAGAAGCAGGACGGGAGGCTGTCAGCTGCCTCCCTTTACCGATTTTTAACTGCGCCGTTATGTCAGATTAGCAAAACTAACATACGTGAAATGCAGGACCCAGACCATGGGATGTGAGGACATGTGATAAAACTGTGTACAAACATTACATTGGTGACATATAGACCATTAAGTGCACGTGATCAAATTGAGCAAAAACATGAGCAGCTCTATCGGGTTTATGAGGGATTGCGCAATCCGAGAGGAGGCGCAGCTCGTCGCTGCCGCCTCCCCGTATTTGAACAGGAAAATACACAAATTCAGCGATTTTGACTATAAAAATCATCCGACGGAATCTAATAATTACACTTCCATCACAGATCAGTGGACATTGCCATCACGTGTGATCACTGTTTCCTTCTCCGACAGCCAGATTGGTTGCACTTTTTTCCATTTACAGTTGCTATGCCAGGCAAGGTGGGTCCACTTCAGGGAGCAGCAAAACCATCGCCTCACTGTCCGGACCCCAGACATCACCGTGAGAGGGCATGCTGTGCCAAGAGGGGCCAATTGAGGGGTATTTCAGGCTCCTCACCAACACCCTGGAGGAGCACGGGTTGAGGGAGAAATCCCGTCAGTTGTACAACTGCGAAGAGATGGGGTTTCAGCAGGACTCCACAAGGAGGAAGGACATTGTGCCCCGGGGGACTAAACATGCCTACGCAGCTGGGGAGAATATCCCCCCTTTCATCATTTATAACGGGGGATGTCCAGGGGGCCCCTATAACAAGGAAGGGATCGCTGATGTCCTCTACAGGAAGTCCCCATCAGGGTACAAGGACACTGGGCTTTCAGAAAGCGGTTTGTTGGGCACTTCCTGAACTCCGCCGCAGGAGTGCCCGCCGCTGGTGGTCATGGATGGTCATCAGTCCCACCTGGATCCCGAGCTGGTCTGCACAGCACAGAGGGAGACGGTCATACTCTTGTGCCTTCCTCAAACACGTCTCACATCTTCCAGCCCCTGGACGTGAGTTTTTTTGGAAGGCAGATTTCTCTGGTGTTGCAGCAGAAAGCTGTCGTTTTCAAGGGTCCTGAGAAACTCCTACCAGAGGGTGAAAGATCGGAGACTGGTGGTGGCTGAGCTCAGGAAGTCTGGCCTCTCTTTACGTGAACAGAATGGACAATGTAAAGAAATATATTTACACATACACATATATAGACAGATACAAAACAGGAGAACACAGAATAACTGTGCTTTTTGCTTTAATTAATAGTTTAAACATTTTTTGAACATGAATATACGACTTGGCACAACTTTATCAGCAGAGTCTTCAATATTTATCCAGACTGATCCATTCCTCTTCTGAGGAATTGAGGATCAGGCTTTCATCCTCTCTGCAACTATCTTGGCACTGGATGCAGAACAAGCGTGGAAATAAACGAGAGCTGGGAGCAGGTGGGAGTGTAATGCAGTTCAGTATATATTTGTCAGGGTTTTTTGGTGGTGAGACTTCGGAAAGAACCGACACATACATGCCAGGGATCCAAAGGGGAAGATGACATTTAGATAAATCAGCCTTGTGGAATTGCTTCTATTTTAATTATATTTGAAGAGTCTGTCTTTGTTTTTTATGTGTGTGTGAATTGTGTTTGTTTCCTCATTATAGACCTTCCACACTACTCTCAAGCGCTCACTTTATTTTCACGAGCCACACTCTTCCTTCAGCACGACATCCGCTGTCTGTGTCCGTTGGGGAACCAACGCTGAACCTTCAGCGCTCCGCCTGCCATCCATTTCTCCTGCAGAGGGAGAGAGAGAGAAAAGGATGAGTCACTCTCCAATTACCATCTGATTTGTTTTTAACGACAATCCTAGCAGGAGGGTAACAGGCCTGCATGCTCGCCATTATAATGACTGCAGACTTGAGGCGACTATTACAAAACCCTAATAAACACAAACATGTCACTACTTGGCTGTAATTCTTGGTGCCACTGTATACAACACAATAAGCAGTAAAATAAGTGCCGTATCCTCTACATTCAGTTACAACATTACAACAGACTAAATAATAGTTTTATAAAATCATTATATACTTTATGCTATTAGCACACAGGTGTCAGAAGTAAAAGAAATGCTATACAGCATCTCTATTTAAGCATGATTCCCTCCCCATTCGGGTCCCATTACCTGTGACCTAAGGTTAAACTTTTAAAATTAGAAAATTATTATGTCACCAGCTACCGTTGGTCAGGCCTTTCACATCAACCTTCCAGAACAACGATGAGTTTGTTTAAGTCACACAGAAAGACAATGCCATATACAGTCCGAGAAGAGGGAATCCGAGAAACGGGTAGGCTTAGCTACGGGAAATCTAGCATGATACTGAGGAAGATCTGGCAGTGGGTGTGAGTGAGCCAGCGGTCCAAGGATAGTAGGTGCATCAGAGTGGCGGGTCGGAGCGAGGGGGCTGACCAGGTGCTGTGACAGCATTGAGGTGCACTCAATGAGCTGATTAGGTGAGTGAGGGAAGATAAACTCTGACACTTAACCACCTAATTAAGGGATTACCTGCTGATGGTGCCACTATGCAAGGTAGATCCTGTCATCAGTGGATGCGTGAATGTTGACATGTAGGGTAAAAGAGCTTTAATGGTTGGAGGACTAGAAAAGAGACGGCCCATTTCCCCTCAATGTAGATGTAAGATTGGACTTTGTTGGAATGTACAAAAATGCTATCCAGTTTTAGTTATTTCTCACGATACAAAAAGTCTTTCTTGGCTGAGCCTTCATTGGTGGAACATTAGTCAGGATGAGGCTTTAAAAAGCCTACCATGCACGGCGCCACTTGCTCACCAGGCCAACCTAACATTAATCCTATTTCACACTGACGACAAAGCCTGCAGGAGAAATTTGCGGTGTCTTGCCCAAAGACACATCAACATGGACTTGAGGAGTCGGACATTGAGAAGTTCTGATTCAAAGACGGCGCACTCTACCGTTCTACACGGTCCGTACCGTTCGCCGGTCGGACCGTTTCATTACCGTTAAAAAGCGATGTATATCTACTTTGGAAGCAGGCCTGCCATCTTTCACAGCCCCGTTTCGTCAGCTGCACCGAACAGACAAACACTGTCACATGGTATCTGGACGTAGGGATGCGTCCTAAGAACCCAGTAATAAAGGAGCCATGTTGGTGAATTATTATAAATATGCCTCAACATTACTGGTGTGACTTATAAACATGCTGCAGCGCATCTCCTCCACTCTCTGTCAGGCTGAGCTACTCCAACTGCACACACACACTTAGACACAAACACACATCAAAGCACAGCAGAGATGCTGCTGTGTTCGAGTGAACTCTGCAAGGTGAAGGATACTGGAGCTAACAGAAATAATGTTTTTTACTGTACATGCAATACATTATTTGTGAGTATAAATAAACTGAAAGTATAGATTAAACCTTCTTCAATCTGCTGTGTCCGCATCTACTATATTCACACAAGCACAACATGCACCATCAGCTAAAAGCCTTCTTTGGGGGTAAACCTTCTGCTGGCTGAGACAAAACAGCCGATACAGAAGGATGTTTGTGTTCTTCATTCTTTAAAAAGGTTGAGACTTAAAATATAAATACATTTAATTATATATATATATATATATATATGTATATATATATATATATATATATATATATATATATATATATATATATATATATATATATATATATTTATATAGAAATAAATACATTATAATTCTGTTGGGAATGTATTTGTTTGTTTTTTTGAAGTAAGTATTCTTTCAGAAAAAAAACATTGAATTGATAAGACTAGCTCATAGTAATACAATCCTATTGCTACCTGAAGTCCACGATAGCTCTTTAAACCGTTTGGAAAGAGAGGATTCAGCAGGGGGGTATTTAGTTGGTTCAAATCTGTAACACCCCACTAGATGCCACTAAATCTCGTACAGTGTTCTATAAAGTTATCATCATTAATGTAATACTAAATAACAATATGTGACTATGTGTAAAGATGAATGAATTACGCATGATGTCCCTTAGGAATTTCCCTTAATGGGAGTATGTGTTTTCTTGTTTACAGTTAAAGAGTTTATTAGAGAACAAAGGTGTCAAGGACAGGCACTGTGTAGACACGGAACGCTTGTGTCCCTAAAAATGTCTGGGCTTTGGAAATACAGTACCAGTCAAAGGTTTGGATACACTTTCTCGAGAGAATGTACAGTACATCAAAGTCAAACTCTGTTCTTGCGGTCAGAGGAAGTACAGACAGCGGCACTCTGTCATTGGTCAAAGGGGACATATAGTGAAATTCTGTCACCAAGGTTCAAGCACTGCTGCAAAATCATGACTAAGTTGACCAAGTGCATCCCACTTTTTTACACACGCAAACTTCTTAAAATGAAAATACACCTACAGCAGCCTTACTAAACCCACCTTTTGCCTGGTTACAGGTGGAGGTGCTGGTTTTCCGTGGCTGCCCATTTCCTCTCACTGCAGCCCGGATCTTCAACACCACATACCTGGAGGCTAGAAGAAAAATACAATTTCAAAAGAAAAATATTTTTCATATTTCCGGTTTTGTACATTATAACTGTCGTCAGAATAGAAGTCCTGACCCAGAAATATGTTGTTTTGCACTTGTACCTCCCTCTAATGTATGGGCTCTGTGATTCTCAATATTATGTGTTCTGTGTTGGCTGATAAACATGTATCTGTTAAGCTTTCCTCATTACAGATATGGTAAGGAAAAGCAGTGGTGGGTGGCCTGCAGTGCCATTTTTTAAATTGTATTATACCAAATTGTGAGAAAACGGAAAATCCAGAAAAGAGTATTTCCTATATTTTAAATACAAAATACATGTATTTTCTGGCACCAGTATTTAGAATTTTACGTTAATACATTTATTTGAAGTGTCCCATCTCCAACTGGATCTACGGGACCAGATCAGTACAGTGACTCTTAGGCACCTGACTCGGGTGACAAGTGATTACGAGCCACAAAGGTACATTCGAGAAAGCTATACAAAGTATAAGAAATAGATAAAGGACGGCCTGTCGCCATAACTAAACGCTATCTAGGGGCTCAAACCGACGGGGCGATCCAACTGTACACTTAAATGTAGCGTTGACCAGTAATAAATAAAATACAGTGGTATCATTACCTCATGAAACCAGTCCGCGACAGGGTATTCTTGGGACAGGTTATATAGCTAACACAGTGTGTTCTAAGTGGGATCCCTGCTCTGAAGGACGTGCAATAATTTAAATAACCTGAAGGAACCTGACAGGCCTGTTCTCAGGACAGCTCCAAGTGTTACAGTATGAATGGGTGTGAAGGGGTAAATGAAACTAGTTTAGTTGAGTATGAAAAACATAACAGGGATGATCTTTAGGTTAGTATAATCTCCGACTTGGACTGTAAATGTAATCTGCGTCCTGCTGCGAGGAGACAGTGCTGACCACCGCACCACCATTGTGAAGGAAAAGTACCCTAGCATCTCTTCATAGTGCAAAGCTAAAGTCACTGGAGTACTTTCTATTTTGAACCAGACAAAAGCTGTTCCATTGCATTCCCCACTGGTGGGCCGCGAAGGTACTGCAGGTGGGCAGCGAGAGGTCATTTACAATAAATAAATAAAATGTTTTTAATTTTCAATTTTGAAAAGTTTGAAATTAATATCAAAATATTTATGATTCGGCATATTAGTTATGTGAAACATTAATTGATGAAGCACAAACAATTTAAATCGTTATTCAACAAAAGGCACCGCCAAACAAAACAATGTCAAATAATCCGAAGCGCCCTATATATGAAAAATGTTCTAAAATAGGTCATTCATTGAAGGTGCGCCTTATTGTGTGGAAAACACGGCACATGAGCTCCGGAGAAAATGGTATACAAAACATACATTGTCGGTTAAAACATTTTTGGTTAAATTCTTAAGGTCATTTAATCATCCCTAGTTTATGTTTTGATCATTCTTGAGTTTGGGAACCGCTGCACTAGCCTATCCTGTATTAAGAGGTTTATAATCAAAGCGTAAAACTTTCTCAGATACCAGATCGTATCAAATTCTTCTGCAGCTTGTCTCTTTCTTTCTTATAATGATCAACAATCCTCGGGCCTGTTGCCGGACAGGAAATGTGAACCTAGCACTTCTGGACAGAAAAACGCTGAGTCACTCTGACAGCCTACAAAAGCAAATCTCTTTTTGCAAAGTTTGTACTTGGGTTTCGTAAAGCTGATTTCAATATCTCACAAGCAAAATTACCCTTTTGACTCTTTTGTTTCTATATTTGGTTTCATGGCTTGATTTGGTTGTTAACAGGTGTGCCTCAGAGGCAGCAGGATACAATGCAGGAGTCTTGTGGAATTCATTTTTACGAAACGATTGAAACTAAGGGTAAAACTTTAGATTAGAAAGCAGTATAGACTCACCATTGATGATTAATCACACCATTTCTCTCAGGTTGTAGATCTTTAGCCGAGAATCTGGGTTTCCTCAGGGTTGTCTCAGGAGCAATGTTGTTTTTGTCTGTCTGTGTTGGTACTCAGCTGTCATCTGCAACTGGATCTCTTCCTCAATAACAAGTTGATCCCTCCTCTTACAAACACACACCCCTTCTGCTCTGAGAAGTCAACAGGAGGTTTGTCCTGCATGTATGGAACTTACCGGTAGCCGTCCTCCAACAGCAGAACATTACTTAAGCGCTGATATGGAACGCTCAGCTCAATACAGTACACCCCAGGACTCACTCTCAACCAATCACAGTACTTGATTTATCTACTCATAAAGTCAGCTGTATATAAAGACAGGGACACTCAATAAGCCATCTCACCGTAGCAACATATGAGCATAATACATGGTGGTTATATATCCAAAAGATAAACTGAGGGGGACGAACACACCAAACATCTTCAAAGTGACATTTATGGTTATCAAATAAGTCAGACTTTTTGGGCTGTTACGGCAGGAATAACTAAGCCCTTAGACAACGAAACAAGCAACACACCGGCACACAGTAGCGCTGGCATAGTGTACTGCAGAGGTCATCCGCCAGTGCAAATAAAACTAAAGACGGGCTTGGTTTTGAAAAATGAAAGTCCAGCACAATCCTCCCCAAATTTCATGTAAGGGCACAAGGGTAGAGAGGGTGCGCTGGGAACCACGAGGTTGGTGGTTCGAGCCCCGGCTGCCCCATGTCGAAGTGGCATGAGCAAGACACCTAACCCCTAATTGCTCCCCCGGTTAAATGTAATGGGTTAAAAATATAATGTAAGTTGCTTTGGCCCCGTCATCTTATTGTGGTGAAGAGGTTTGTGTGTCCCTATGACCCTGAGGGCTGTGTTGTCAGGAGCCTTGTGCTCCTGGTGGGATTTCCCTTGGCAAAGTGGTCTCAGCCGAAGGGCCAGACTAAGAATGGTTCAAAAGACCCTATTACCTGGCCCGGAGGAAGCCTGGGGCCCCCATTTGGAGCCAGGCCCAGATGGAGGGACAGCGAGCGTCTGGTGGCCGGGCTTGCGGGGCACAGCCCGAAGGAGTGACGCGGCACCCCAAAACTCTTCTGGGAGGTGGAGCATTATCAGTTGGATCGGGTGGGACTTACGTCTACGCACACTCCACACCTCTGGATGGACTCTATTCTACTCCGGAGTGGCTCATTGTGTCAGGCGGGTGTGGGGATACTCATAAATCTCTGGCGGTCTCTCAGTGCTGCTACATTGGAGTTTATCTCTGGTGGACGAAAGGGTCGCCACTCTACGCTTTTGGGTGGTGGGGGGGGGGGGGGGGGGGGGGAACTCTGACAGTTGTCTGTGCATATGCAGCTCAGAGTATTCAGCCTTTTTGGAGACCCTGAATGGAGACCTGCTTGGGGGGAGGGGGAATCTGTCAACTGATCACCATCTGGTGGTGAGCTGGGTCAGAGGATGGGGGAAGACTCAGGACAGACCCGGTAAACCCAAGCGTGTAGTGAGGGTGAACTGGTAACGTCTGGAGTAGGCCCCGGTCCAAAAGATTTTCAACTCACACCTCCGGCGGAGCTACGCTCACATTCCTGTGGAGGTAGGGGACATTGAACCAGATTGGTGTATGTTCCAAACTTCCATTGCTGAAGCCGCAGCAGTGAGTTGTGGCCTCAAGGTCTTAGGTGCATCAAAGGGCAGTGCCAAAAGAGTGGCAGACCGGGGTGGTGGTACCCCTCTTCAAAAAGGGGAACCAGAGAGTGTGTGCCAATTACAGGGGTATCACACTACTCAGCCTCCAGGGTAAAGTCTACTCCAAGGGGCTGGAAAGGAGAGTTCGGCCGATAGTTGAACCAAGGATTGAAGAGGAACAATGTGGTTTTTGTCCTGGTCATGGAACGACGGTCCAGCTCTTTACTCTTTCCAGGATCATGGAGGGGGCTTGGGAGTATGCTCATCCACCCTATATGTGTTTTGTGGAAGGCGTATGACCGGGTCCCCCGATAGAAACTGTGGGAGGTGCTGCGGGAGAACGGGGTGAGGGGGTCCTTGCTTGGGGCCATCCAATCCCTGTACTCCCAAAGCGAGAGCTGTTTTCGGGTGCTCGGCAGTAAGTCAAAGGCGTTTCCGGTGGGGGTTGGCCTTCGCCAGGGCTGCGTCTTGTCACCAATTTTGTTTGTGGTCTTCATGGACAGGATATCGAGGCGTAGTCGGGGGGAGGAGGGTCTACAGTTTGGGGGGTTGCAGATCTCATCGCTGCTTTTTGCAGATGATGTGGTCATGATTGCATCTTCTGTCTGTGACCTCCAAATCTCACCGGAGCGTTTCGCAGTCGAGTGTGAAGCCGTCGGGATGAGGATTAGCACCTCTAAATCTGAGGCCATGGTTCTCAGCAGGAAACCGATGGATTGCCTACTCCAGGTAGGGAATGTGTCCTACCCCAAGTAAAGGAGTTCAAGTACCTCGGGGTCTTGTTCACGAGTGAGGGGAAGATGGAGTGTGAGTTTGGCCGGGGAATCGGAGCAGCGGGGGCGGTATTGCACTCGCTTTATCGCACCGTTGTGACGAAAAGAGAGCTGAGCCGGAAGGCAAAGCTCTCGATCTACCGGTCAATCTTAGTCCGTCCAAACTCATCACCACAGGTGAGAGTACGAACGATTTTAGCTTCCTTTATATATTTTAATCATTGTATTAAAATAAATATTCTTTTATTAGTATTTCCGCCCCGGTCTCCTCTTTGGTCATTGTTTCACTGCTCTCCCCCAAACAAACAAACCTTGTTTTTAATTATTTCCAGTTCCTAAGGCTCTTAGTTTTACCTAGGTGGCGTTGTTGGCAACACACTTTTAGTTTAGTTTAGTAAAAAACTCGGCCGCTGACACATGCACCTGGCAGAGGACAGGTAGGAGAAAGCACACCAAACTCAAACCGTTACCTATATAAGTGCTACACAAAAATAAATAAATATACACGTGACAAAATATTTAATATATAAGACATCAGGACCGCAGAGAGCCTTCACATCTTCCGCCGCAAACTAAAGACACACCTCTTCAGACTCTACCTCGACTAAAGACTAAGAAATTGTAGCACTTAAATTGTACTTGTAACGTCACTCATCTATAGCAAATTGTAAATTGGCTTATTTGAGGAAATTGCACTTTCTTGTTTCTTGTTCTCCTGAGTTTGTACCCTATGGTTGAATGCACTTATTGTACGTCGCTTTGGATAAAAGCGTCAGCTAAATGACATGTAATGTAATGTAATTTGCAACACACAAACAATATTGTTAGTCAGTCAGGTCAATCTTATCTTATCCAACTGACTCTTGTTCTGCCATATATTCAATCCATCCTGCTCACTCACTGTATGTACCTCCTCTTAATCTTAAAAGGTCAAAAGTCAATCTTTCCATATCATGGATTTCTTTCTCCCATCTCTCCTTAATATATATTGTATTCACTCCTATACGTCTCGCAATTTCCTGTCGTTCCCCTTTTATTCATTTCTTTGAAAGAGTACTGCCGTACCTGTAATTATCCGAAAAAGTTGTGCTTTTCCAAGTTATATTTTTCTTCCAGTATCTGAAAACGTTGTAATACGTTTTGAACCATTATTGTACAGTAAGCAGTGATACCTTTATTCGTCCAGTACTTAAATCTAGCATCTATACAGTTTGGTTAGAAATCTGTGTCATATGCCAGCCATCTGAGTTTCTTTAGTTGGTTCCAAAGGTTGAGATGCTTGATAAAATCAAGTTGGTCCCAGTCCTGAAATTGGCTAGTTGGTATTTTGACGGGTAATGCCATGAATAGATATAGTAATTTAGGTAAAATGGACATCTTTATGATTTTGATTCTTTCCCTCAAACTCAATAGGGGTGTTGACCAATTACTTAGATCTTCTGAATTTTTTTTATACAGATCCCTATTACTCTGGGTTGACCATATCCCTAGGTATTTAATTGCCTTCTCAGACCAATTGGTGGGTATGCTTTGTTTTATAATTGGTGGATTGTGATCAAATGTTAATATTTGTTTGTTTTTTGCATGTTTAACGTATATTCCGAGTAAGTTCCAAATAGGTCAAGGAGATCTAAGAGATTAAGGAGGCACTAGTTTTTGAGGGTAGATCTATAGCTTTTAAGAATGTTCTTATATTCTCTTTAGATTCCTGCTCCGGTTCTGAATATAAGGACTTGTAGTATGTCCGGAATGAGGAGTCAATCTCATCTAAATTATTCCTTATCTGGCCTGATTTTGGGTGGATTATTTTATATATTGAGTGGGAGATTTTCTGTATTTTCTTAGCAAGCAAGCAAGTTTTGTCGCTTTCGGGCCCGTTTCATAATAGGTTTGCTTTACAAACTTGAATTTTTTCTTCTTTATAAATTTCCCAAATCTGATTTTTGACTTCTAGACAACATTTTGGATTACTCTGGGGTCTGCATACACCCGTAGGAAAAACCTCTGTTAGATACACTAGATTAGAAGCCAGTGGCTGTCGCCCAGTGTAGCAGTGAGGTAAGTAGTGTGATGTCAGATTGTGGTAGGTAGGTAGGTTAAGAGTAGGGAAGCTCAGGGTCCTTTTTTTTGTTTCTTTGCTTTGACAGACCGCTGGCACCGCCCTACTCCACAGGCCTTGTTACCTGTTAGTCCTCCAATCCTGTGTCTACCTACTTGTGTGTAATTGTTGGTGTATTTTATGTATTGTCATTATACATGATCATTGTGTGGAAAATAAACCCACCGTTTAGTAATCCATTGTAGCAGCGTGTGTTTGTTTGTTGTAGTAGCGTGGTGTTGCCTAGTGTACAGGTTCCCGCATCCAGCGGGCGTGGTCTTGGGTAGTTACGTGGTCTTGGGTAGTTACGCCCTCCTCCTCTCCCGAGCTGGGGTGGAGGCGTAACACTCCTTAACGACGGGGTACTGGTCAGTGCAGCCGTAGCCGACTTCCACTAACGAGGGAGTACTTAACTAGAGGTTGAGCAGCGTTTGCATAGCCTCGCAGAACAAAGACTAGGGAGTCTTTCGGGGTGGCTGAATGCGGCGCCTTCTATTTTTAATAATGTGTTTGACCCCTTTACCCGTACCTGTTCGAATCTCTTCCCGCAGATACTACAGGCCTCGTGCTAGATCTGCTCTCTATCGTAACTTCTTCTCTCTCACCTATCCCACCAGCTCCACACACGTCCAGCACATCATTACAGGGGGCCTCTGGAACTTTCTCAAACCCACTTCCTACTTCTTGCGTCCCACTGACTTCACCTCTTTCGCCCTCACTTTTCTTTTTTCTACCCCCCTGTCCCCTAACCAAATCTATTGCTCCTGACCTTCTTCCTTTCCTCACCTGTCTCATCAACAATGCTCTGTTATTTGGCTGGTTTCCCAATTCTCTGAAGGAGGCAAGAGTTACCTTCCCTGAAGAAAACAACTACAGACCGGTCTTTCCTTCCCTTTTTGTCCAAAACCTTTGAACGTGCGATCTTTAACCAACTCTCCTATCTCCACCATAACAACCTCCTTGACCCCCACCAGTCTAGCTTCAAGGCCATTCCACAGAGATTGCTCTCCTTGCTGTCTCAGCAACTCCACACTGCTAGAGCCGCCTCTCTCCTCTGTCCTCATCCTTCTGGACCTCTCTGCTGCATTTGACAGTCAACAGCCAGATCCTTATTTCCTCCCTTCAGGAACTTGGTGTCTCAGGCTCTGCTGTCTCCCTTCTCTCGTTCTACCTCGACGGCCGCACCTACCGGGTAACCTGGCGAGGATCTGTGTCAGAACCTTGTCCTCTTACTACTGGAGTTCCTCAGAGTTCCGTCCTGGGTCCCCTCCTCCGGCGCTGTCATTCGCTCGCATGGCTTCTCTTACCACAGCTATGCCGATGACACTCAACTAATTCTCTCCTTCCCTCACTCGGACACCCTGGTAGCGGAACGGATCTCTGCCTGTCTGACTGACATCTCTCAGTGGATGTCCGCTCACCATCTGAAAATCAACCCCTGAAAGACTGAACTACTTCCATTTCCAGGGAAAAGATTCCCCGACCCAGGACTTGACGGTCAACTTTGGCAACTCCGTGCTAACGCCCAATTTGACTGCTAGGAACCTCGGTGTCACACTTTCCCTGACTCCCAACATCACTGCGACAACACAATTCTGTAGATACACGCTTCTGTATCCTGTTGCAGAGACTAGAACATTTAATTGGTATCAAAGGAACTGCACTCAGCTGGTTTAAATCCTTTTTATCGGATCGATCCCAGTTTGTGCTTGTAAACGGTGAATCCTCAAAGACCACCAATGTTGGTCACGGAGTCCCACAAAGTTCTGTGCTTGGACCGATTTTATTTACCCTCTATATCAGGGGTGTCAAACTCAATTGCACAGGGGGCCAAAATTCAAAACACACTTCAGGTCGCGGGCCGAACAGAATAAACATTTATTGAACACACTAAAACTAAATGTTATTTTTAACATAAATATAAATACAAGCAGACAGGAATGTTATTCTGCAATGAATAAACTTAAACTTTAAATAACTTAAAATATCTTGCTCTCCATAAAAATATATTCAGTCAAAATTATACAAGTTAGTAATATGAACATGCTGCAAAAAAAGGCCAGAAAAAATAAATAAAAATTGTGACAGCTTGTGCTTTAAGTAAACATTAAAATAACAAATCAAAACATTTGAGTTTCTTTGCTTTTGTCATTTTATATAAAAAAAACCTTAGATTTTAAATATCACAAATGATTTTACTCTCCATAAAAATATCTCCTGTCAAAATTATACAAGTTAGAAATATGAACATACTGCAAAACAAAACAAAACCTGGAAATATAAATAAAATTTGTGCTTTTCAGATATAACAAATAACGATGCAAAATATTCAGTTTTCTTTGCTCTCATGCCATTTTATCAGAGCTAGATGCTTGGCATCTTTTTCTGGCAACAAGTTGGTTTATGTTTGGCGCGAGGTCCCGTGTTGTGGAGACTCTCAGGATGGACTGGAGGTGCTCATAAGTGAGACGACTCCTGTGTGCCGTTTTGTTTGTCTTCATCACTGAGAACAGCTTCTCACACAGATATGTGCTACCAAACATGCACAAGGTTCGAGCCGCATGTAGACGGAGCTGGGACATTGCTGCGGGAATGGAGTGAATAAACAGTGTCGTACTTTGTCTTTAGTGTCAGATGAAGCTCAATCCGCTCCATCTGAATCTGCACAGGTGCAGCTTCCACGTCGACGGCAAATGGGTTGCGAAACAACTCAAAATTATTTTTTTGTTCGCTCAGTTTATCAGCAAAGTGCGTATTTGGGAACACGGTTGTGCCGCATTACTTGGCAACAGGCAAAGTGGGGCAAGTTGCACTGGTGCATTTGTGTCTCCCATAAAATCAGTCCTGATAAGTCTCTGTGCTCTCTCTCCCACAGGCTTCTGTGGATGGTGGTTCTATCTGATGGTGGTTGTCCCTGCAGTGGTCCTGCTGTGCGCCTGGCTTACTACTCACAATTACTTGAATCATTTCTGTCATAGGAATTGCATGTATTATATGTTGTTCATTCTGTACACATGGCATCCATTGTAGTCTGTCCATCCCGGGAGTGGGATCCCTCCTCTGATGTTCTCCCTAAGGTTTCTTCCCTTTTTTCCCTCTTGGAAGGGTTTTTTCATTTTTTGGGGAGTTTTTCCTGTGCCGATGGTGGGTTTCGGGACAGAGTATGTTGTATGTGTACAGACTGTAAAGCCCTCTGAGGCATATTTGTAATTTGCGATTATGGGCTATACAAAATAAAATGAATTGAATTGAATTTACAACATTAGGAGAATACGTCCCCTTCTCACTCAGAGGGCAGCGCAGGTACTGATTCAGGCTCTTGTCATCTCCCGCCTGGACTACTGCAACTCTCTCCTGGCAGGTCTCCCCGCTACCACCATTCGACCTCTGCAGCTCATCCAGAATGCAGCAGCTCGACTGGTCTTTAACCTTTCCGAAATTCTCCCACACTACTCCACTCTCTTCACTGGCTACCGATGGCGGCTGGTTCGTTAGTGCACTTTATGCTTAATATTTTTCTTTTTAACTTTTTAATATTGAAATTTTTTTAACTTTATTCCCTTGTTTTATACTAACCCATAGCCTTAGCCTTATTCTACTAACCCATTGCATTAGCATTTCATTCCACTTTATTTTATTACTTGTGCACTGTTGTCTTTTCTGTCTACTGTCGCGCACTAACCGCCAAGACAAATTCCTTGTATGTTTGACATATTTTGGCTAATAAATGTTTCCTGATTACTGATTCCTAACAGATGCCATAGGATCCTTACATCATGTTCTGTTGCCAATGTTGAGACAGAACTGTAGTGCCGACAGAGGCAACATCATAATAGTCAGAACAGCCAGACTGGACACAAAATGCCAGAAAGAGTTCAACGCAATATAATTGTGGAGCTTAAAACTCCTCAGGTGCTTCACAATCTATGCTACGCTTCTTGAAAGTTTGTGAACCCTTCTGACACAGTCAAAATAACCTTATTCATTTTTATTTATATCCAAACACCAATTTGTAAAGCATACTTTACTTTAACAAATAATGGACAAAGACAATTGATTTGTTTTATTTATTCAACAAGTGGTCTATCTAAAACAGCTGAAAATGTGACACGTGGGAAAGTATGTGAACCATTTTAGTTAGTAGATTGTGTCCCCTTCTTTCCAGCCATTACTTCAACCTTCTGTAACCACTGACCAGTCTCTCGGATCTGCTGCTGGGGAGTTGTGTCTTCCTTGGAGAACTCAGCCAGTTGAGAGGTTGGAGGGACATCTGGCATGTGTTGCCCGCTTCAGGTCTATGCACAACATTTCTTTTGGATTGAGGTGCGGACTTTGACCACCCCAATCCAGAGTATAAATGCTCTCCTCGAGTGCTCTCTGGGCAGCTAGTTTTTTCTTGAGAGCAGAGGCTTCCTTCTAGCAACCCTCAAATTAAAATGTCTATAAAATTTTTGTGATTATAGACGCATGTACATTTACCACAGACGCTGCCAGAGATGTGTGCAGCTCTTTAGAGGTTAGGCTTTACCTGATTTATTATTAATCGGGTGCTTCTTGGGCTTGATGGGCGTCCACTTCTAGGTAGAGTTGTGGTCATGTTGGTCGCCCTCCTTTTGGAATTGATTTGTCTTACAGTGGATGGATGGAGATCCTTTCCTGTCAGCATTGAGGATCTGTACACCTTGGCACTACAGCAGTGTGCTTGGTTTCCTCTCTTTGTTGGGAAAAGGGTCAGCAACCCAGATTCAATCAGCGTGGTTACATGGATTCAAATAACTGGCTTAGTCGGACTAAAATTGAATTATCCGTTTCATGTAAACACCTTTGTCCGACTATGTGCGGTCCGACTACGATCCGACTAACACCCCTGGATAACTCGATCCGATCCAGTTGATAGTCCGACTATTGCGGCATGTAACGGTGAATCGGATAAGGAACTGGACTTTGAGTCTTTGCGTAGCTTCACCTTAATTGACCAATTAAGCAAACCAAATGTGTTTTACCTGAGTCTGTTACCTACTTGACTTTACCAATGTAGGGTCACTTACTTTTGCACGTTCCATGTGTTTTTTGGCTACTCACACAACTTCCTCTAAAATAGTTGCATGCAATTGATAAACATAAAGCTGACATTTCATATACGTAAAGCTGTTGAGGATAAAACAGAAAAAACATGGTAAAACAAGAGAAAACTTAACTGCTACGGGGTTCACATACTTTCAAGGAGCACTGTATACATGCAACACCCTGTGTGACATCTGTACAGGAAAAAACTCCCCTGAACAACCGCTGACAAATTTAGCAAGACAGACAATATAGAAATATGAAACTTTGCCAAAGCCTTTATGTCCATTTTGTTGTTTCCCTCAGTGAACTCACCGACGAGCGACCCATGTCTCAGTTTTCACTCTAAACCTTGTTGGCTTCAGGTCAAAAGTCTATTAATTGTTTCAGATGTGTAGAGGAAAATGAAAGCATTACAGCGTTTTGCCATGTTCAAAAATATGGAGTCAATAGAATCAAGCTGTGAAAAGGGGAATCTTGAGTTGAGTTGTGTGTCTGTTTCATGACATCTCAAACAGACCTTGGTTAATAAGCAATATAATCTCGTTAATTAATGTCTGTATTGATAAAATATTAATTGAAAGTGAATAGCAATGGATGCAAAATGCTTTAAAGTAGTCTACAAAAAAAAAAAACTAAATCTGTGGTCTTTTTCTTGGCTCAAAGACAGGATCCTGTTTGGCGTCTGCATATTGATTTTATTTAGGATGCGCTGACTTATATCTAGTGTGTCACTTTAGTGGAATTTAGAATTATTTCAGAGATGAATACTCAGATTAATTGTGCAAAAATGAAATATGGTAGAGCAGAAAGTCTGGCTTCAGAAACGTGGGCAGTGTGTACCACACAGCATGGTACCGAGGCCACAAAGAGGTGGTGTAGTGCAGAAGTAGGTGGAGGGCGGCTGCTTTCATTCTCCAAGCTCCTCTGGGGAAATGGCAGAAAGGACATGGTAGTGCTCCTCTGTGGGGCTGCTGATGCAGATGGGAATGTAGTTCTCACCAAATGGTTCAAGCAACTAGAGGAGAACAGAAACTTTTCTTAGAAAACAGTTACCTTGAACACAATGTAGGCATTGTGCGCATTGTGAATCCCCCCCACGCGATTCTGCACTTAAAAGTTGTTGGCAGTTTGGAGGTTGATCTCCTGTGTTTGTAGTGACCTCGTCAGGGTGGTCTCGCAGTATGCATACAGTAGGTTTTTAGACCTGTTCCAGAACACCAGCCTAGTTTCTTTAGGCCTAATTTCTTTAGGACTATTAAAGTCCTAATTTCAAAAGTACCAAGGAAATCCGTCACAGTGATGAAGTCAGGTTGATGCTAACCTAGCCAAGAGATGCATACAACTTTAGATAATGTGGAGCACTGTGATTGCATCTATATCTATAATCTATAAGCCAATCAATCATTCGGTGCAGTTGCCTCAGACTTTATTATGGGTTAACAGAAAAAGTGACAAAATCTGCTGGGTCAAAAATATACATACAGCAACTTGAATTATCAATTTTGGTGACTTAGAAAGTTGTGTCAATGAAATGAGCTTCATGGCCTCTTAACTTCTTGTGAGTGGTTATGAGTGACTACAGCTGGTGAATCTGAGGCCATTTAAATTGGGCTCATTGGATACAAACGCCCACAAACGCTACGATGGGAAAGTCAAAGGAGCCCAGCATGGATCTGAAAAAGCAAATCATTGACTTGAACAAGTCAGGAAAGTGACTTGGAGCCATTTCAAAGCAGCTGCAGGTCCCAAGAACAACAGCAAACACTTGTTTGTAAGTATAAAGTGCATGGCACTGTTTTGTCACTGCCACCATCAGAAAGAAAACACAAGCTATCACCTGCTGCTGAGAGAAAATTGGTCAGGAGGGTGAAGAGTCAACTGAGACCACCAAAAAGCAGATCTGCCAAGAATTAGAAGCTGCTGGAACAACGGTGTCCGTGTCCACAGTCAAGCGTGTTTGGCATCTCCATGGACTGAGAGGCTGCCGTGCAAGAAGGAAGCTCTAGCTCCAAAAGCGGCACCTTAAGGCTCGACTGAAGTTTGCTGCTGATCACATGGACAAAGATAAGACCTTCTGGAGGAAAGTTCTGTGGTCAGACGAAACAAAAATCGAGCTGTTTGGCCACAATGCCCAGCAATGTGTTTGGAGGAGAAAAGGTGAGGCCTTTAACCCCAAGAACACCACGCCTACCGTCAAGCACGGTGGCGGTAGTATTATGCTGTGGGGCTATTTTTCTGCCAACGGAACTTGTGCTTTACAGAGAGTAAATGGGATAATGAAGGAGGATTACCTTCAAATTCTTCAAGATAACCTAAAATCATCAGCCCGAAGGTTGGGTCTTGGGCGCAGTTGGGTGTTCCAACAGGACAATAACCCCAAACACACATTAAAAGTGGTAATAGAATGGCTAAACCATGTGGACAATGCTGAAGAAACAAGTCCATGTCAGAAAGCCATCATATTTAACTGAACTGCACCAATTCTGTCAAGAGGAGCGGTCAAAGATTCAACGAGAAGCTTGTGGATGGCTACCAAAAGCGCCTAATTGAAGTGAAAATTCCCAAGGGACATGTAACCAAATATTAGCACTGCTGTATGTATATTTTTGACCCAGCAGATTTGATCACCTTTCTGTTAACCCCTAATAAAGTCAAAGAACCAAACTTCATGAATGTTTTTTGTGACAAAAAATAATCTGTTCCAATCACTATCAGAGTTGTAGAAATAACAGGAAACTCAAGACACACACACACACACACACACGTTGAGTAACTCCGCTTGAAGTACGTATAATTTGCTTTATGGAGGGGAATGACAACTGAGATCAGCCGGCTTCCTCTGGTAAACTTGCTGGATGGAAGGGCCTGTGTGGGGAATGTGCTTACGTTGTCTGGGGTCTGGTATGGAGGGCGCAGCCACCGCTTAATTCTCCCTCGCTGGAAGATGAGTAAGTATGCGATCACGGGTACCAGAACGAGCAGGACGATGACGGCAGGCACCACGGCAACTATTAGCTCGGATTGTTTGGAGAATATTCCTTGGAAAAGCGCAAGCACACACAAGATATTTGTTTATTGGTTAAATGTGTAAACATTTAAATCTGTCCTATTTATTCTGTTGTCCAATTTCATAATGTCTATTTTTTTTTCTCTATAACATTTATTGGCGTGGCTGAAATTTTTTTGTTGCAGCAGCTACAAGCAGGGTCTTACTTGACTTCGGGATGAGCTCACACCGAGCACATGTGGCCAGTCCAACGGGCAAATCAAAGACTATGTACTGCACCGCTGCACAGTAACGCTGTCCCTCCTGCAGGTCAGGGATGGTCACCGAGGACAGAACATCAGCATACTTCTGTTGAGGATGGACAATATTAGACATTTATTTAACAAATACACTTTCACACTTGCTACTAACAAAGGCAGAATTGTGATTATCACAAACCCTCCGATCCTCACAGAATTGGAAAGTGTGTGGCTGGATTCAAATAGTCCTTTCTGCTTAGGAAGGTTCCTCACTGAGTGAAATGACCTGGAAGTAGTCGAAGTGGGGCCATGATAAGAGCTGAATTCTCGATTGCTATGGAAAGGAGATCATTTTGTTCCACAGTTGCGATATTTAAATTGTGACGTAAAATTCGTTCATGAGAATTAATGATCATGACCGAGAAACGCAGATTATGTGAGTAACCGTTAGCATGGCTCATTTATGTTGCTACCTTGTTAATAAAGTAACTAACCCATTGCATTAGCATTTCATTCTACTTTATTTTAGTACTTGTGCACTGTTGTCTTGTCTGTCTACTGTCGCGCACTAACCGCCAAGACAAATTCCTTGTACGTTTGGCATATTATGGCAAATAAATGTTTCCTGATTCCTGAAGTAATACTTTGAACCTGGTTGGTAACAACACATGGGCAGCGTTGGAAATACACAAGGGCAAAATTGCCTCCAAGAAATATAATTTGGTCCCTGATATCACGAGACGAGGGGCAAAAAATAAGTTCCTCCAACAATAATTACAATCTAGTTAACTCGATTAACATCGTAGTTGTAATGACACGGTCCAGTTGCCATAGAATGTTTTGATTCTCTCCTTGACGGATGTTGCGCGTGCGGAAAGAACCAAATGTTTTTAAGAATTAAAAATGAGCGCTTCTTGATCAGACCTGTGAGTGCGCAAAGAACAAATCCAGCCTCCGTCACAGTCTCCACATCGACCATCGAAAAATAGAAGATAGATTAGCTTGGGCTGGAGGAAGACGACAAGAGAACCACCCGCAGTTTTTGCTCTTGAGGGACTCAAACTGCCTGGGTCGTTGTCAACCAGCACCGGCATTCTACTGCTGACTTTATTAAGGGGAGCGAAAACAAAGAAACACGTCTTTTTGTCACCAGACGACCGAGCAACATATAAGTACCGAACAACTAAGTATTCATTATTTTGAAATGATTTAACGTTAGTTAGCTAACAGGCGCAATTATCTTGATGACTGACGTCAAGTTCAAATTAACAAGACTGTTTGTGCACGGATCAGCCTTCGAGGAACCGAGATAGCCTGAGATCAATCATCTTATTAATTTGAGCTGGATAATGGGACATTTGATTGACTTAGTTGAACAACGTACAAGGAACAGGGCCCAGGAGGGGAATGAAGAGCAGTTTAACCTCCAGGGACTCGGCCTGTCCTTCCCCTGCTGCCCTCATGTTGCCTCTGATCAACCGTGACAGGAAGAATAGTTTCAGCTTTGCAACATGCACCAACTTAGCAGCCGGCGTATATTGTGTAAACGGACATGGTTCCTCTCACCTGCAGGGGCTCTCCCTCCTTGCCATAATAAACAATGCGTTTTGCGTGCTCCCCATATTCCAGAGCCAATCTGTGGGTTCTGTTCAAATGTACAGTCAGGGAGGCCGGCCCTGCAGTCAGACGGACATCCGGGCTACACGAGTCACCTGGACGGGCACAACAGATTGACACAACAGAGTGTTGACATAATCTGGAGAGATCTAACCCACCTGTCATCAGTCAATGCTGAAGGCTGGAAACAATGATTGTAATAAAGTTAGTTCAGACTCCATGTAATCCACAGCATGGCAGAGAGGTCGTATTTCTGCCAAAGCTTAGTTCTGATCTTTGAATCTAGAGTCTGTTACAGTATCACATCCCACACAAAATCCATCATCAGGATTCGAATAAAGTAGCCACAGGCAGCAAGGGCGGGGCTTATGTGTATGTGATAAACAGCAGTTCCTGAGGAGGTTAGTGTAGCTGCTGCAATAGCATCAGTTATATCTGAACTGGAGAGGAATGCTTCCCTGAAAGTAAAGCTAAAGAATGACACCAAATGTTTCACCAATCTTTTCACCACTTATGTGAAAAGATATTTCTCTCTTCTCCTGACTGACTTCAGTACAAGTTTGATTGACAGATGGTTAATCCAATCCCTTTTCCAGAGAAGCGCCTCAGAACAAACCATCTGGTTGGTTAGGATTTCATTTTCACATCGGCTGTAACATGTCATTCCTGTGTGTGTGTTTTAGCTTTGTGCAACATTTTGGATATTATGCAAGGCGATACCACAGCATGAATCTGGAGGTTCTGCTATGAAGAATACAGCAGCCATACAGCTGCATACTAGCCTGCTGCCATGGCAGGTTGTGCGTTCGTACCATGTCGGCTACAAGCTTCGACCGGTGTCGAGGTCAGACCACGTCTCTCTGCTCGCACACGTAGCAGAACACATCCAGACTCGCTCTCCGCTTTGGTGGAACTAACATTGCAGGAATTCGAAGATATATTGGCACATGCTGGTACACTCTTCCACATATTGCTGTCAAAGAGGAGAACAAAGAACAAGAATCAGTCCAGAATCATGACGTCAAACTTTATTTACAGCTTGTATCATACTTGAAACAGTAACACTTAAACTAGTGCGATTTTAAAATTGGGTTTGACACCATTATATGCATGTACAGTAATGGCCAGACGTGTGTCAGGTAGAGCTGCAACGATTAGTCAACAACGCAGATTTCTATCGCCAACGCGTCTTATATTATAAAAAGATAGTTATGGGTCTTTTTTTCCTTCGGCATTGCAATAAACCACAAGAAACGCTGGGGGCGCCATCGCTTCTTCGTCTACATGCACCAAGAAAAAGAAGAAGTTTATCAAGTTGAATGTGCGAAAGCCGAAAAAGTCTGGTTAGTATTTCATCAGCCAACAACAGGACAACGCAGCACCTGCAGGACAGAGTCGGTGTTTCAAAGCAACGCAGGAACATTTAAAACGTGCTGGAGCCACCACGTCTTCTCCTCATGGGTAAGTCTAGTTAACTAAAGTAACGCTAGCCCTGCTTATCGTAAGGTTTACACTTATGTGTTGGGAACAGAACGTCTCGTGGAGGATGCTTGGTAAAGCTATTATGCTAAATGCAGTAAATCGGTGAATTATTATTGTGTCTTTTCGTTCATTCTGAATAGTTAACGTTAACCTCCACTTAGCACTCTTCAAACACAGGACGGTGGAAAATATTTCATATCAACACAATTATGAGAGATCTACTTCTAGCATAATAAAAACCTACTGAAACCTCTTGCACTTTTGTATTACTATTTAATGTATTTATTATGATTACATTTGTATTAACTTGTTACTCAAATGAATCTGAAGTTCAAAATCCAACATTGTAGGGAGCTAAAATGACCCGAATTAACGAGGGCCTTCTAGAAAAAGGGGCGTAACCCTGGTGACCTGGGGGGTAAAAAGGGAGCAGGAAGTGAATGTGTGAGAGATGTTATTGGATGGAAATAAACGGCCAGACGTTGTAGCCAAAAGGAATATTTGCCTCTTTGTTTCCACGCTCTTACGCTATGGTCAATAATCGTTAGATTAGTCGACTAATCGAAAAAATAGTGAACAGATTAGTTGATTACAAAAATAATCACTAGTTGCAGCCCTAGTGTCAGGTACGGGTTACAGACTGACATACTGCTGTCAACGAATATTCTATATCCGAACATGTATTCGAATAGTTGTTGAAAACAACAACAATTCGAAACAGACTAGATCGGCTACAACAGCTTCATGCACTAGTTTGATTATTTGCTGTTTCCTGCCAATGAAAGGTTGCGTGTTTACCAGCACGGCTCGCTCGGAGCGTTCAATGTCGGTACTATAAAACCGTCAGTTTGGTCCGTGTACCTGCCATAAGTTTGGGACAAGAATCGCGACCTTAAATTGCTTGCACAAAACTCTTGATCAGCACTCAGCATTTGTTTATTGTTGTCGTTCATTTAAACCGCTTTGCGTGGCGATTACTTTACACCTATAGTTATGTCTCGTTGTATAAATTTGTCCTGTTATTGACGCGCCTAATGCGCAACCAGATTTTCGGATATTTGAATATTTGTCTTTTTTTTTTAAAGAATATTCGAACGTCCTTTTTGAGCAATTTTGACAGCCCTACTGCAGAGGCATCGGCGCCATTACACCTCACCTGCTGTACTCCACCGTGTAGGTGACCTTTCCCTCCTCGGGGGCAGGGCGCCATGTCAGCTGCCAGTTGTACACATGGACGTCCTGTGGCGGTGCTGGTGGCACGTCGGACAGTACTGGGACAGATAATAAGATGATGACGTTCCACACTACAGGGACTAGGTTCATTAGGTCATCTGCCCAGTCTCTGGGCAAACACTTGCACCCCCGCAGTTCAAGGAAAACACCAAGTTTAGGCACCAGGGGGCAATTAGAAATATAGAGATGATATGGAATGGAACGCAGCCAGGTTTCCGTTGCGTGTGGGGAGTCAACACACATTTAAGGCGCTGGCAAGCTTCTGCGGATTTTTGCGCAGTCGTATCGAAGGACTCGTGACTGAGAATTCATGGTTCTAAAAGGGTTGCGCGTGTTGCAAAGCAATTCACCGCCAGAACAACAGGTGGAGAAACGTTTTTTCGACGTCTTTGTCTAGAGAATGCCGTCTTTGAGTGTGAAAGTCGTTATTTGTTCATTTACTTTGACGTTTGCGGAGATTCTCCCTCCATGAATCGGAGGCCATCTGCTCGTCCTTATAGTACGCCAATTACGGGTTCTATAAGTGGTCTTAGTTCTGAATTTCTTACAACAAAAGCTATTTAATCTGAACCATTCTCTCTTCAAAAATCTTACTTTTAAAAATAGCGGTACCGTGCTATGAAACCGGAAATGTGAGACTCCAGAAAGGATGTAGTTAGCGGACCAATCGCAGCCTTGCGGGCTGCATGCGGCTTGCGTAGCTTTTGACGCCAGTCTAGAAAAATGGGTCCACGCACGCAAGGAGCACGCAGGGGACACGCAAGCACGCAAAGGGCTCTTGCGTCTGCGTGTCCCTTGTCTCTCTGAAAACGCAGAAGCATAAACTAGGCTTTAAGCGTAGCGGCACCTTTTCTTGCGTACGCAAGATGTAGGGTGACGTCTGGATTTTCAATGATCTGTCCGGACACGTATTCGTCGCCCCCGTCTCCCGTATCGTCCGCGCCCCCCGCCTCGGTACTCGGAGTAGCCTTAGCCAACTCCAGGCCGCGTTACCACAGACACGGACTCACAAGACGTTGCTTCAAATAGAACAGCGAAGTATGTTCAATTCGTAAGTAGCCGTTACTATACGCGTTACCTTGGACTGCGAGTAGAATACACAGGACACAGAAGAGCATCGTGACCGCGTCATTTCACAGAGAGCGACCAGTTCCGGAACAGTTTGGTGTTCTTAAGAGCCATAGTGTTACTGTTAACAACTTCAACGCTTCAGTCGCTTCCTCAAAACGGGACAGGCAAAAGTCCTAGAAATCATGGCGACGCTTCTTTGACTTCCTGCAACGCCCCTTAAAAGGACACGTCACCACTGTTATCTATTAAATAAGAACATTCCTTTTACTATACTATTTGCTGACGGTCACCTGATCCGTGGGGGTCATGTGTGTGTGTATATATATATATATATATATATATATATAAATTCCTTGGCTCTGTGAATGAATAGTTTTCCTATTAATTGTTCTGTTGTTCCACAAGATGGAGCCATATACCTAAAATGGATAAATGTTTTAATAATACAGTTTTTGTCCGTGAATTCCTGACAACTTCAGAAGCAATTATCCAATCATATTTGAGCTGACATTCCAACCCTTCAATGTATAAGAGAAACGTTTTTGACAGTCAGCTCTGTTGAACCATGTATTTCTTTGGACCTCAGTAATGACTTGATGTAGATTCTATCAAAGAGAAAATTCATGGTCTCCTCCCTTCAACCAGTGCCGACCCGTCCTCGGATGTAGGAACTATGGATGCAGCAGTGGGCCCCGATACCTACTTGTAAGACTTCTCTTCCATCAACCTTGATCAACTGACAATTTCGAAGTCTAAATCTTATTATGTCTACTTATTATGCATCTTTTTTGTAGACAGGACATGTACCACAGTCCTTCAAGGTAGCTGTAATTAAACTTCTTCTTAAGAAACCTACTCGTGCCTTGCTCCAGAGGTGTTGGCGAACTACAGACCTCTAATCTTCCCTTCCGCTCTAAGATCCTTGAGAAATCCTGTGACTTTCTACAAAACAATACTTTGTTTGAGGATTTCCAGTCAGGATTTTGGAGTGCATCATAGCACAGAAAACGCACTGGAAGAAATTACGAATGATCTTTTACTTGTATCGGACCAAGGACTCATCTCTTTTCTTGTCTTGCTGGACCTCAGTGCCGCATTTGACAACATTGATCAGTATTAAGTATGATCAGTATGTCTGTGAGGGGAACTGGTTGGTTTGTTTATTTATTTATTTATCATAGACTTTATTGCCCCGTGCATCGCCACTGCTGCTTTTCATCGCGGACACATTTGTCCCATATTTCCCTCCGCAACTTGGTGCACTTCTCGACCGGCAAACCGGCGTTCGCGGCGATCTCCCTCCATGAATCCAACCCGCTTATAGCGGGTCATATTTACACATTTCTTTCGACAAAAGTTCTTCAATCTGATCCGTTCTCTCGTAAACATTCTTCGTTTTAATAATGGCGGTGTCGGGCTACGAAAACAGAAATGTGAGACTCGCACAAGCTGCGATTGGTCCGCTAACTACGTCCTTTACGAAGTCCCACATTTCCGCTTTCATAGCCCGATACCGCCATTATTAAAACAAAGAATGTTTACGAGCGAACGGATCAGATTTAAGAACTTCTGTCGGAAGAAATGCGTAAATATGACCCGCTTATAGAAGCCGTCATTGGCGGGTTGTATAAGCGGGTTGGATTCATGGAGGGAGATCACCGCAAACGCCGGTTTGCCGGTCGAGAGGTAAACAAAGTTGTGGAGGAAAATACGGGACAAATGTGTCCGCGATGAAAAGCATAAATAAATAGACGTGACTCTAGGTCGTCTTCAACAAAAACACGTTACTCCGCCTGTTGTTCTGGAGGTGAATTGCTCAAGAATTTGGGGGGGCTCAACGTAGGGCCACGCCCCATTTCCCTCTATGGACCAGCTGCCACTGTCATTGATCACTGTATCCTGTTGCAGAGACTATAAAATGTCACTGGTATTAAAGGAACTGCACTCAGCTGGTTTAAGTCGTATTTGTCAATCACATTGATCCCAGTTTGTGTTGATAAACGGTGAATCCTCCATGACCACCAATGTACGTCACGGAGTCCCACAAGGTTCTGAGCTTGGACGGATTATAAAACTTGGATGACCTGCAACTTCCTGATGCCAAACTCAGAAAAAAATAATATCTTGTCAGCTGTCACATGATAGTTTCTATGGATGGAATTGCTCTGGTATCCAGCAGCACAGTCAAGAATGTTGGAGTTCTCTTTGACCAGGATACGTCTTTTAACTCTCATATAAAGACTTCAAGCATTGCCTTTTTTCATCTACGTAATTACCGATTTGCAGAAGGCAAATTACTAATTTGCCTCAGAAGGCTATACATAATAAAAATAATTGAACTAAAGACTATACTGAGTTTTTGTACCATCAAGGCTTTTATAATATTTAGTTAAAACAGTTTAGCTTTTGATCGAAAGTCTTGATTTGTTTGAATCCTCCCATATGATGTTCTAGGGGCCCTTTGTGTTTTAAGAAACAACTTTAACTACCTTGCTAAATAAAAAGCGAAATGGGCCTGTCATAAGCTTGCAAGCTCAAATTATGACAGACCCATTTCCCTTTTTTACAACAGCAGGTTTGATGCCCTCGGGGCCAACTTCAGTTTCAAGAGATGTGTCATCATTTCCCGGACCGGGTTTGAGATACTATTGAAAAGTTTCTGACATAGGAAAAAGGAATGGGGTCGAGACAACTAGAAGTGTGGGTTCCTGTCTGTGAACCTTTTGATAGTTCCGTTTACCTTAAAGATAAAACGCGAATACCATTGGTTTCTCGTTTTTCTCACTCGGGTTCAGATGGGCTCGCCTTCAATGGTTTAATTTGGGCCTGGGGCCAGATGGGGGCCTCGGGCTTCCTCATCTCTTCTGTTTTTTCATTTGGAGTTTTTGTTTTGGGATTTTTGGGCAATACAAACTAAAATGAATTGAATTGGTTTTCAGAAATACCTGGGCAGCACGGTGAGCCAACAGGAGGTCAAGAGATAACTGCGCAGAAGTGGAACAATTAATTACTGATGTGTAGTCCAGAAAGGTTGTGGGCCTTTGTTAGGGAACTCAGCGAAGAGGGACTGCAGACTGAATGCAAGAGGTTTCTTAAAGGACATTTGAGCTGTGGACACAATGGAGGCTCTTCCCCCAAAAATATAAATATTGTCAATAAAAACAGACTGACTTTAGCCATGTGTGTAGAGAGATGGAGAGGGTATGGGCCAGACAGTCAGATACAAAGATGATTAAAGTGTGGTTTTAAGTTCATGACTGCTGCATGGTGGTGTATTGGTGGGAACATGGGGGATAACATCTGGACAACATGTTGGTGCTTGCTAAGGAGACACTAATGAGGTGAGCACCTCAAACAAAATGTATCTACGTGATGACACAGACAAATATTTCCCTGTATCTTAATCACCCTCTGCATAGCTAGATACCACAAGAGGGATGTACAGATGTGAAAAATTGTCATTCACGCCCTGTTCCATCCACCTAAAATATTCAAAACTGAGTGTTTTCTTTATCTGACCCTCGAGCTGGTAAATGCTCCTCTGTATTCACCAGCTGGTTTCTTCTCACGGTATTGGCCCGCTAAGCGGGAGCGCAACCACTAAAGTGGCTTTTTAATGCTTTTTCACTGAAATGAGGTTGATGAGATTGTAGATTCAAAGCTATGTATTGACCGAACAATGTGCGTAAAGTTGGATTCATATCATCTTTCCACTTATGTCTTATTATAGTGTCAGTTGTACATGTCCATAATACCAACAGTGTGATTGTGTTGTATAACTACCATTATCACTGACATTAATACTTTTCTATCTATGAATATTTAAAATGTTATGTTGTTGAGAACGCATTTATAAAAGACATGATATACATCCTTTAAATGATGAATACCCAATGCTATTATTTATTACATTTACAGGATTGACACGGATGCTTTATATGGAATAGTTGGGCGACACGTACACTAACATTACCACTTAAGTCACCAGTACATTGTTTAACAGATGGACGTGATAAGGCAATGCAGATCTGAACTTGGGGTCAGAGTAAAACTGGATCAAGCTTCAGGAAAATAAATCAAAGTTGAGCTCACAGATTTATGCAAGCTTAGATAGACCTGGAACATTTCGGTTTGCCTAGCTTCTGACTGCCTCAAAAAACACAACACTGATATCCATCAAGGTATGTCAAGAAATACGATGTCTGCATTTAACCCATCGTAAGCACCAGCGGCCAGGAACCCTCAACATACAGACAGCAGGAGCTGGGATCAAAGCCCCGACATTGTGGTTAAAGGACTCCTCCTCCATCTTTGCTGATCGATGTGAACATAGAGAATTCTGAACTATCAATGTGTAGATGCAAGGTCAGTTACCATCAAGTTTCTTACTCAAAACTCAAACATGGAGAATAGACGGAGGTGGAAATAATATATCTTCCAAACAAATATAAAAGAAAATCTACTTGTCATAAAGAGCAAAAAAACAATTTGGTACCAAGATTCTACAAGAATCATAAATTCCACCGAAATAATGTAGAGCTTGTTAAAATGAAGACAGGCTTACCTTGGAAAGATCCACGGGAGATGCATGAACTAAATCACGTCGTCAGTAGGACTAAACCCCTCAAATGGCCATCAGTGCCACTGGAGCTGTTGAAGTGTAATTGTCCTACATGCAGTTAATATACTCAATCCGTGTAACCGGTAACAAAGAGCTAAAAGTCAGGATTGATGCAGACTGCAATACAAATACACTGCAACCTAATGTCCCTGCAGTGGTCCTATCGTACACCTGGCTTACTACTTGCAATTATTTGAATAATTTCTGTTATAGGAATTTAATGTATTGTACATCTTTTACGTTGTTCATTCTGTACACATGACATCCATTGCAGTCTGTCCATCCCGGGAGAGGGATCCTCCTCTGACGTTCTTCCTGAGGTTTCTTCCCTTTTTTCCCCATGGAAGGGTTTTTCATTTTTTGGGGAGTTTTCCTGTGCAGATGTGAGGGTTTCGGGACAGAGGATGTTGCATATGTACAGACTGTAAAGCCCTCTGAGGCAAATTTGTAATTTGCGATTTTGAGCTATACAAAATAAATGAATTAATCCATACTTAACGACAAACGTATAGAATCTGAAGAGAGAAATGAAAACATTGGATGACATCACAGCGGATCAGTCTTCTTCTGGGTGTGTCACACATCATCTTGTACTGGTAATAGTCCGATCTTTGTTTCACAGTGAGGCTGGAGAAAAGGCACGCTACACATGTTACCACAAACCTGTCTTTCTCACTTTCTGCTCTGCTCAACAGACATCTTTTTGCATGCTTTCCTTCAAACGCACATGTCTACAATGCCCTCGTCTACGTTCACATGTTGAGCCTTGAGTCCTGGAGCCATGTCCTGTATCTTCACTTGTACCAAGTCAAAGACTTCGGCCAATGTGGAGGAATGGCTGGTGTTGGGCTGCCGCAGGCCGGAGCTGCCCCCCGTGGAGTACACTCCTGAGTCTCCACTGCCACTGCTGTCCTGACGACTATGTCTGACACAGGAGAAGGTACATTTATTCATTCATTTACTTGTGTGCGGTAAAGTACTCTGAGCCAGTGACCAGACCAGAGCCCCCAAATCAGACCTCCACCCCTCACCTCACCACCCCCCCCACACACACACACACACACACACACACATTGAGAAGCCCATGAAAATGTATTTCTTTGTAAACGAATGCCAAACATGAGCATCAGAGATTAACTGACCTGCTGTCTGGCTCCAGGCATGAAAGGGGTGCCGGGACGGCCTCAGGGGGAAGAATGTGGAGCAGTGGTTCAACGGTCACCCTATCACACAACAGCTCGGAGTCTGATTCTGGGGAGACGAGGCGAGGAATATCGTACCCAGTTGAGTCCCAGAGATACTAGAGGGAGGAGCAGAGAAGAGACATTCTGTGTTTAGCGCGATAAATATTAAGAACGAACGCTGAAATGCAAACTATTTACACACTTAGTGGATATTTAATAATAGCAAAGCCCATGTCTCTTTAATTATCAGAAAGGTAAACGAGCTAGATCGGCCTGCTATGTGCACACAGCCGAGGCCGCAATGACTGAAGCAACGTACCTGGATTGGTGTGGGTAGTAGGACGGATGGGAACCACGTTTCCTTAAGAGTCTTGTAGCACCGAAAACAGCTGTAGAGTGGTAGCAATATGACCAAGAAGGTGGTCACGAGAGAGGCCATGAAGTACATGAAGATCTGCCACCAGGGAGTGGCACCTGTTTGTGACACACGTACATATATGATGTAAGATTATATTTATAGTTGCATCTGGTAACTCACACACACAGGTACCCTGTATTGTCTCAATTATTTAACCATTCTGAATATACGATACGTCATTGTTACTGTACGCAATACAAATAAGGGACATTGTATCCCTTATCTTATCCCTCCTCCATAAGATGCCTTGCTGAACAGCGAACATAATGACCCCGTTACAGTATGCTGTCGTCTCAATCACGACGTGCATAAAGCATGGTTAGATGGTGATCGTGGACGGGTCTGGTAGCATCATCACATTTTCACAACCTTAGCATCAACTTTCATCGACGGGATTCTCAGAGCATCCCTATTTTGGTCACCTGAGGGTCATGGCATGTCTTAATAATTATACTAGAGCCGAAATGACCCATGAGTTAATACCCTGCCTTTGTAACTTGTACTTACTCTTACTACTACAGACTTTACAGAATGTTCCCAGCAGATCGTGGTTACCTTCGGTCTGCATACAGTGTGGCGAGCTGAAGATGCTCTTCTTGTTGTAGTAGTCGTAGCGTGACTGGACTCTCACACAGTACCATGTCCAGGGCTTCAGGTTTGGCAGAGTCACTATGTTGGCACTGCTATCCAACGTTTGGGTTCCTACAGCCTGAAGGACAGATAGGAGAGGAGAGACCTTAATTTGTCAACAAGCACACCAACGTCTGGATCTGTTCATTTCATTTAGAGCTCATGAATATTTTATTGAGACTGACTCCTATTGTGGCGGTGAATGATCATTATTGCACTCACTTGTATGGACTCAACCGCGACCTTATTTATTTGAAAGCTAACACATACATTGAGACGGCTACACTGAACGGCCTGGTTTAGCTCGGGGCTCCTAAAAGCCTTTCATGTCCACTGGTTAAAGCTCAGGTGCATAAGCGTGACCACAAATGTCCCAGCACATTATGTGATTGTGACGTGTGGCCAGCGTACTTTCACAGCTCCAGCTAAACTCATCACTCTCGCAATCTTTTAGCAACTATTCATTTGATCCAACGTTTTTTTAAACGTTTAGTTCTGCTAAATGGTAGCTACCTTACTTAGCTTACTAGCTTAGCAGCAAGTGATGTCCGGACACTCTTGATTGTGTCACATGTTCAGCCATTCCTCCGCTTCTATTACGGATAATGGTAAATGTAAGAGGTGTAGTGCATTTCATAGGTTAGAGGCGAGGCTTAGTGAGTTGGAAGCACCACTCTGTAGTTCGCCAACCCAGGCGTAGCTCCTGCTGGCCGTCCCCCACCAACCAGGCATTAGTAGACAGGGTCCACCTGTCTGCAATTTAATCTCAGTATAAATACACGTGTTCAGCGAAGGCCTCAGTTTGTTAGAGAGCATTGCTGAACACCATCATCATTAAGACAGAGGTTCCTAAAGTTAATATGGAATCAGTGTATACATATGCTAAACTTGATCAGTGACAAGAACAATTAGTTTTTTGTACAGTCCAAAATCAAAAAATTGCCTCAGAGGGCTTTAGAATCTGTACATGACATCCAGTGCATTCGGTCCACCCTGGTAGGGGGATGCTACTCTGCCCTTCTAAGGTTTCTTCTCCTTTTCTCCGTGTGCCGATGTCAGAAGTATTTTTGGCTCAAATATGATTGTGATTTGATTCTCATATATAATTTATATACACGGATTATTATACATACTATATTATGTACATACTTTGCTTGCAGAACAGATGCTTTAGCCCTTGGTTTCACGAGCTTCTCTGTTATGAGATGCATTCGAATATCAGATTTCTATTATTGATAAATAATTGATGTCTGCAAATCTCATGACAGGAACCAAAGAGCATTTGACATGCAGAGTTGGCTGAAGAATCTGCAGTCAAGGATGGAGTAGTGTAGTTCTGTGGACTCCGACAGGTTTGGTTTACACTGGTAACAGGTTTTAAAAAATCATTTGCGCAAATACAACTCCTGGTTTTCTTGTGCTGCGAGAGCACTCCGAAACGGTTCTTGGAACGACGATAGTTCCAGGTTTCTCCTTTGCATTTAAAAAGTAATAGTTCTAAAACAGCATTTCAACAATTATAAAATGTAGATATTTTTAACCCTTAGATGCACAAGTGGGTCAAAAATGACCCGATGAGGTTGTTTTCTTATGTAATGAAAAATTGTTATCATTTCATATTCCAGGTATTCCTCAAAAAACATGTTTTTGATATAATTCCATTTAGATTTTTAACTTACCTGTTATACATTTTAAGAAATTGTAGTTTTTGTATTACTACCCCAAGCTTCCATAATTGGGTCAAAAATGACCCGCATTTTCTATGGAATCCAATGGGAACCTTTGATTCTTATCAACTGTGGCTGTCAGGAATACATTTGACTGTGGACCACACAGACTATATCAGAAGTGTCAACCCTCAGGAAGATTGTTTTCGAACAGCTTGTGCCATTCAGGGGTAGGTGCAAGTTTCTACAGTACATGCCAAGCAAGCCCGCCAAATACGGCCTAAAGATCTTCTGGGTTTGTGATGCACGCATCCCCTATGCAATAGATGGTATAGTTTACACAGGGAGACAACCAGGGGAAGAAGTTCAGAAGAATCTGGGGGAAAACATTGTCCAGCAGTTGTGTAGTAGATTTAGAAACACAGGTCGCAACATCACCATGGATTACTTTTTCACCAGTGTGCCTCTTGCGCAGCATCTCCTGGAGAAGGATCCCACTATTGTGGGGACGCTACGTCAGAACAAGCCAGACATCCCTCCTCTGATGAAGCCTTCCAAGTCCAGGGAGGTTCACAGCAAAGAGTTTGGATTCAACGACAGCCTTACCATGGTCAGCTTTGTCAGAAAGAAAGGAAAAGCGGTTGTGCTCCTAAGCACGATGCACCACGACAAAGAAGTGGATGAAAATAGCAGGAAGAAAAAAACAGAAGTGATCACATATTACAACAAGACAAAAGGAGGTGTAGATACCACTGACCAGATGGTTGGCACCTACACCTGCAAGCGCCAAAAACAGAGGTGGCCCATGGTGCTGTGGTACAACATAATTGACATCGCCACCCTGAATGCCTACACCTTTTTCACGGCTCAGCACCCAGAATTCAATGCACGACGGCTCTTCCTCAAAGAGCTCTCAAAGGAGCTTGTCACACCACACATGAGGAGTCGACTGGAAGGCTGCCCCCAACTGCAAACCCCAATTCTTGAAGCAATGGAAAGGTGTGGGGTGACAAAAGCCACAACCCAGCCACAGGAAGGAAGCAGACAGGGCCAACCAAAGAGAAAGAGGTGTCAGATCTGCCCAAGTAACAAAGATCGCAAAGTCAACAATAGGTGTGGGAAATGCAATGTACCTGTGTGCAATGATCACAGCCAGAAACGGGTAGTTTGTCTGAACTGCATTCCAGCCAGAAACGGGTAGTTTGTCTGAACTGCATTCAGTGATGAGACTTCACTGAATGCAGTTCAGACATGAAATCATTCTTCTGTGGTCCTAAATATAATACTAAATATTATATTAGTGATTATTCTTAACCAAAATGACAAAAAATGGCATAAAAACACATAGATTCTAATATGGGTCATTTTTGACCCACTTATGGAAGAGTGTAGGGTCCAGTCACTCGTGCATCTAAGGGTTAAATATTATTATACATAAAGCCAGCAACAGAGGGTAACCGTCACAGAATATCACCGAGTTATATATGCTTGTAAAGCTTGGACTACAATCTTTCAACCAGTCACATTTTCATGACAGAGGACAAAGAATGGAACTTTGACCTCAAATACTGAAATGGCAAAAACGTTCGGAAACAGATGCTTTGATATAGTTTGCAAATTAGTTTTATAAAAGCTACATGTCATGAGGCGAACTACCTGCCTGCGGAGACCCAGCGGTTCCATAATCCATCGTAAATATTTGTATACTTCTCTGTAAGCATTTGTTCAGACCGGCTATATGGCTCAGAGAGGGAATGTGGCTCATGACCCTCCTCCTCTGAGCTGCTTATTGGGCAGTGGGCGTAGTGCAAAATATATTAACTACCATAAACATACTTACTATGCACAACGGGCCAACTTCAAATACTATATTTATGGTAAATCTATATTAATGGGTTATAATTATTGATGCATGTCTGTATTTAAACAAGTAATGGTGGAGCTCTTTCCAATTACTTAAAAACTAATGATTTCGCTTTTCCATCTGCGTTACCATCAAAAACAGTAAGGGGGATAGGACAAGTGCCAACGCTCCTAAAATACAGGGTGTCTCTGCATTAAACGGTTCATTTTAGGATGTACAAGCAACCTGCATCTTCCTCAGAAAACATGTTTCAACACATAATTAATAGCAACTGGCCGGAAATCATGGCACCATAAAGGAACTCGTGGTTGCTTATGCAAGAGACACCTGCCTGACAAGCAGAGACAGGAAATGCCTACCAGCTCAAAACCAACAAAACACTGCTGAATTTGCAGAACAGAAAAAAGAAGCTGCTGCAGTCTCAGGGATCTAACGTGTGTCTTAACTCAGACATTGGACTGAAAAACATGTGTGTGGATCAGTGAGAGTATCAATTGATATTAAAGAGATCTGCTGTGGAAGTGTGGGTGTAAAGTGAGGCCTTTGTGGGTCGGAGTTCCCCACCTGTTGCCCTGCAGAGCGTTCCCAGTAAACAACGTGGTAATACAGCTCGGGATGATTTTCCTTCATGGAGATGTTGGTGCTGGTCACAGGATCAGAGATAAAAACGTCGAGGTCACTTCCAGCAGGAGACAGATCCACTTTGTTTGGAGGACCCAAATCAGCTACCAGGAGCAGAGACATGGATAGATCAGGGTATTTTATTAGGAAACATTTTAATGATTCAATTGATTACTATTGGCTTAGGAGGTGCGTCATCACACATCTTCACCAATGGGAACATTTGGGGGACAGGCCTAAAACTGTTGATCACATGACCCAAAGTTGTTGTAGTTCGGAGGGGGGGTGGGCTCGGGGCCCCGTAATTTTCAAACAGGTCTAACGCAGGGGTAACCACACCTTTTCTGTCTGCAAGCTACTTTTCAACTGACCAAGTCATGGCAATCTACTAGAGGTGTAAACCAGGGTCCCCCCCCCCCCCCCGACTGGGAAGGTTGAAATAATTTTTTAGGGTGGTGATAAAAATCCGCCTTTGCTGACATTTCTGGTTCTTTGAGAATTGAAATGGGGAGTCAGACTTTTAAAAATAGTAATTCATTTAGTGTAACCTTATTTTCTGTGTTCGTACTGTGTATCGTAGTGATTTTATAGCCTTTTAAATCCTTATTTTATGTCCTATCATATGCTACTCACATGATCTTAACTGCACTCTACACTGTGGTTTTGATAGTTCAGAGCTGCATTACACTACACAAAGGTTACCTCCCCTGATCGGTTTGTGGTTGCACACTCAGTGAAAGCCTGTTATGGAGTTTGTGGTGCACCCCTCCCCCCCGACATCAGTGGCTATAGGGTCGTGTGAAAAAAAAAAAAAAGTCTTTAAATACATGCACAAACATTCAGAGGGGAAATGTTCTCCCTCCACTCACTGTCTCCTTGACTCTTACCATCTGTATCAGGGCAGAATTCCTTCTGCTCCCAGGCGGAAACATCCCCGTTCACGTTGGCTTGTACACGAAGTACATAGATGCCCAGATAGTACAGACTGAACTTTGTAAGGTCACATGACCTACGCCAAGTCTTCTCACACGCCGTGATCCAAACCGGACTTTTTTTTTTCGACAGTCGTTTAGAAGTCAGCTTGTACTTCCTGAGGGAATGAGACACAAGTGGAAGGCAAAAAATCAAAACTAAAATATTGAACCAAATATTTAATTCCCATCTGCTTACAAGCAATTCTGAAGTAACAAAGGCCAATCAAGAGAAGACTTGATCCATCATTCACACTCTTTAAGCAATGAGAAGCTGCTGGCTGGGATTCACATTTAGTCAGTAAAGGCTTTAGTTCTTTCAGACCTCATCATACCAGCTGAGACGCTACGTGCCATAACTCACACACAATTAGACGTGATGGACCCTTTTTATACCACTGTCTCTGTGAAGCTTATTGGGTAAAGAAGATGAGTGACTTGTGCTGGGGGCATTATCCATGTGTTCAGAGCAGGAGCGCTTGGCCAATAAAGGGCCATGGGGTGTTACACCCCCCCCCCCTTGAGCCTCAAAAGTTGATAAATAATAATATAAATGTCAATATTTGTGTTTTTGTACCCAATAATATTTCCAGCAAGGAACCGATTATTAAAACTGAAGGCAACCATTTTCTTTATCGAAACGTTGTGTGGCGATTATTACACCATTCGAGAGTCCCAGAGAAAAAAAAGAGCTCAAAAAGTGGAGGAAAGAGAAGCGGCAGTTGTTGTGAATCACTATGTGTGTGAGCATTTCACACTAAGTAAAATAAAAAAAGTCTATCAAATGCAGAATATGCAGCACGGTGATGATTCAGCACCTCAACGAAAGCATGTTATGCTACATGCTACATTGGGATGACAACCCTAATGTATGTGTGTATGTATGTTTGAGTGAGTAAGTCTTACGCCACGTATTGTGTGGTGAAGTTGACAGCGCCACTCTCTGATGAACTCTGGTCCCAATCCCAGGTCAGCATGTAATTGGTGTTCAAGGTAATCATGGCCAAGTTTTTGGGGTGTTTCAGCTCAGCTCTGACTGAAACAACAAGCACAGCACATATCACAACAACAATATTTAATAAACACAACACCTTATATTTTAACTAAGCAGTCTAATGGTATCGGGGCCGGAGCAGCCCGCCACGTCGGTCCCGCAAGGACCAATTGAAATTGTAAGGATTATTCTTTTTTTATTTTTAAAACATTGGGCGCATATTTGGTATAATTACCGTATTTAGCAGACATGTCAGGCTTGGCAGAACAATCTCTCTAGCGACCCCAGTTAGACTGGCAACAACCCTCACCCAGCATTTACTTGAAATTCAACACGTGACCGACTCCACCAATTCTACAAAAAAGGCTCTGTGACGGCTAAGCTCAGCATGCAATAATTTTCTTCCATTTTAAATTTTGTGAAAAACTAATTTTGAATGAGTTTAGACACTGGTCTGATCATTAGCACATTCCTTTTAAAGAATCATTGGATCGAGCCCATCAAAAGCCACACACACACACACACCTCTTCAGACTCCACCTCGACTAAAAGACTAACAAATTGTAGCACTTAAATTGTACTTGTAACGCCACTCATCTATAGCAAATTGTAAATTGGGTTATTTGAGGAGATTGCACGTTGTTTCTTGTTCTTCTGAGTTTGTACCCCTATGGTTCAATGCACTTATTGTAAGTCGCTTTGGATAAAAGCGCCAGCTAAATGACATGTAATGTAGTGTAATAAAAAGTCGATCAAAGATCTTTCAATCCAGCTCACCTAGCAACACCAGATTTGTTGCGTATGTTCTTAACGCATACTGCACCATATAAAGAAATTTCCATTCTGTGAAAACATATGACATTACAGCCTTTAAATAACTATCTTGGAAACATTATCTAAACCCGTTTGGAAGTCAGCCATTGGGATTTTTGTTTGAATCCTAATAGAAATAGATTCTATTCAATTCAATTCCTGGTTGAAATACTTTAACAACTGCAAGGGCCTTTTACACGTTGATATACAAAGTTCTGTCATTAAATTCGGAAAACTGTTGTGATAGAAAATAATCAAAAGCATTACGTTTGGTAAAACGGCGTAGCACCGCCAAGTGCACAATTTTGAGTAATTTGCATATTTTATAATTCAAGTTGTAGTAGTTTCAACCAGGTCCGTGTTTGTTCGATAATCCTGTTCTGGTTCGTTTAAATTTAGTGAATTATTTGGGCAAACCATTGCCAGGACATGGTCTTCCTATATGAAATGAATCCTTTTGCTTCTTGTACCTGCTCAGCCTGGGACGCCATGTAGAGAGATGTGCAGAACTGCGTGGCCGACTTCTGAGGGTTGAGTCGGCTTCATGCTGCTAGCTCGTTTATCAGAGATTTACATCACAAGTTGAGTGATTTGCCGTGTTGGAGGAATGTGGTGGGGGCAAGGCCATGTAAGGGAGGCTCCCCATCGGTCTGATGATGTCGGCAAACCTCAGAACATCCCAAAAAGCTGTATTTATTAGTTGTAATTCATTACAGGAATCAGCGTTTTGGGGTTGGTCGACATGCCAGACAGCCGCATTAACGCATGGTAAAAATATGTTATAACATTGTTTTGTGCTAAAGCCGTGTCTCAAGTGTCCTGTATTTGACCCTGAAGTGCAAAGAGCAGCATGATACAAAATGTTAGTTTGCAGCTGTGCGCTGAGAAGGGAGGGCGGTCGACTCGATCTCATAGAAGCTTCAAAACAAAGGACTTCTGTTCATGGCCTTGGTTCATATCTTATTCGGTACGAAAGTTCCGGATCCAAGTTTTACTTTTATGTCAATTAATTATGATTTGCACCGGCCACTGAGGAGGATCTTGTGTGTGTGTGTGCTACCCTCAGCTTCACCTGAGTTCTTATCTCAACCTGCTTTGCAGCTTCTCGTAACTGGCACGGAGAATGTCCTTCACATGTGTATAAAAACTCAGCGTTGTTACTGCTCGGGGACGCCATTTCCACAGAGCACCGTGATACGTGCCTGTGTATTTGACCTCCTGCTTGCAAGCAATAAATGGACATTTTGCAACTTTGATCATTCATCAAGACTCTGTTTTAATCAGACAAATCATTCTCTTCTACAGAGCTTTTATTGAAATATTCCACAACAGTGGAAGCACTACCAAAGTGAAATTTTCACAATATGACCCCCCTAAGTAAAAGTACCTACGTATTTGAATCAAAAACTATATTTAAAGCAGCAAAAGTATTCAGCACGCCACAGCATTTGTTGTAGGTCTAGAATGAATAATGGTGCATTTAAGTCTTCATGTTGTAGGTGCTAAATTGGAACCAATTTCAGCCCTTTTATAAACTAAAATATTTAAGCTATATAGTACCAAGTAATAAGAATTGTTGGAATGCTTTGAAGCATTCCAAGTATTGTTCTTCAAATCTTTATTCCACTTAGTCTATTTCTTCCGCGCCCCCTTTCAACTCCTTCAAACTTTCAGCTATTAAAACTGTTCAAATATTCATTCGGGAGAGAGGTACTATGTCTTTTCAGCTTTCTAGCTCTTGAATTTACATAAATTAAAATCAAACTTTTTAAACATGGTTTTCCAATGGAGTTAATTTTCAAATCCTCTTAAACTTCAACTTTCTGATTTTTCAGCTTCGCCAATCTTTCACCTGCAGACAACATTTAAACTTTAAAACGTTGACGAAAGTAAACTATTTTATAAAAAACAGCTTGTTAATATCTATTCCACTTTTTTCATACTTACTGATTATGTTTCATTAGTTTTTCGGTCCGTTACAGAGTTAGTGTGTATTGTGTTGGTTAGAGGGAGGGCTGGACATTTAGAGTGCGGGGCAGCATCAGAATCTGGTTTAAAAAAAACATGGCACTCCTGCCCTCACGGCCACAATATACACTTTTCAGGCTTCATTTTTGGTTAAAATGATGCCTGAATAGCTGATTAGTGGGAGTCACATGACGCAGCTATGCTTTCTGTCAACAAACCAACATCATGAAACCCCTCGCTTGCCGCCCCCCGACCACTCCTTAAGGCTGGCGCATGCTTCTGCATCTTTTCGCGCAGTCGTGTTGACGCACTTGTTTCAATTCATGGTTCAAAAAGGCGTGTTGCAGAGCAATTCACCGCCAGAACACTAAGTGGAGTAACGTTTTTTGTCGAAGACGACCTAGAGAGTCCCGTCTTTGTGTGTGGAAGTCGTTTGTTGTTTATTTATCTATAGTGGCCCGTGCATCGCCACTGCTGCTTTTCATCGCGGACACATTTGTCCTGTATTTTCGTCCAACTTTGTGCACCCCTCGACCGGCAAACCGACGTTTGCGGAGATCTCCCTCCATGAATCGGGGAGGCCATCCGCGCCTCCTTATAATCCGCCAATAATGTGTTGTAGAAATGGTCATATTTACGGATTTCTTCCAACAAAAGCTCTTCAATCTGATTCATTCTCTCAGAAAAAAAACATCGGAAATGTGAGACTCCAGAAAGGATGTAGTTAGCAGACCAATCACAGCCTTGCGGGCTGCATGAGGCTTGTGTAGCTTTTGACGCTAGTCTAGAAAAATGGGTCGACACACGCAAGCACGCAAGGAGGCGTGAAAAGGCACGCAAGGGTGTCTCTCTCTCTCTCAAAATAAAACCCCCATGGAGGGAATTCTTACTGTAATGTGTGTGATGAGGCCTATTGATAAATAACTTCTAAGTTTGAAGGACAAACATTCTGTCTCCCAACTCCTCCTCCCCCAAATCCATCATTTCAAAATAAAAGCCTCAATGATTATCTGTACCTTAACCATGAAAGCTTGGGATAAAGCGGTTTCGTTGAAATACGTATTGAGTATTTCTACTACCACTACTAGTAGTATTTCAACTGGTATTAATACTAAACTGACTCTTACTACTACTAGTGGTAGTACTAAAAATACTATTACTACAAGTAGTAGTGACACGGCAACTGAACTGCAACCCTACTCTTACTACCCTATTTTCTGCACTATAAAGCGTAACGGATTATAAGGCGCACCTTCAATGAATGACCTGTTTTAGAGCATTTTTGATGTATAGGGCGCACCGGATTATAAGGCGCATAAGATACTGCAGTCAAACGTTTGACGTTGGGGCGGGTGGATGGGGGGGTTGGGGAGGTGGAGACTGTGCTTTCAGGGTCCGATCGATGCTGCGAGGTGCGTCCGCTTCCCTCGCCAATCACGCCTTAAATCTTCGGCTGCTCTCCAGCCACGCCGCCTGCCAAGGGCTCCTTTTAGAATAACTTATTTTCCCCGTTAAGATGGTTCAGCTACTATAAAGAAAAGGGCACCGTCTCTCGCTCTTTAATCTCATTAAGTGCTCGGCAAGAACGACAGCTTTGTTTGTCCAACGCGCCCTGAAACAAGCTCCATATCTCACGCGCTTGAGCGCCGCTCAGCATCTCGCCGTCGTAGACCGAGCTTTGGCATGTTTGGCAGAGCGCCTTGAGCGCCGTGTACAACCAGTATGGATCAACCAATTGATCCATATATAAGGAGCTCCGGATTATAAGGCGCACTGTCGTTTGAGAAAATTAAAGGCTTTTAAGTGTGCCTTATAGTGCGGAAAATACGGTCGTTGAAAATTTAGGTAATAATACAGTATGGCTAATAATATCATTAAACATATAGTTTAATCAAAGTGGTTTGTTGTTGCACGCTCGCTGCTCTTGGCTCTTAACCAGCTGGTCTCGTGATTTCCTGTTATTTTGAAGATTGACCTTCCTCTCGTTTCAGGCAACTTGCTCCTTCCCCCTGTGTGCCGGTCCGTTTGTCTGCCTGCCAGTGCCAGTTCGTCTTGTTCCATGTCAGAGAACCAGCGCGTACCAGTGTCCACCGTCAAGCTTTAGCACATTTTTTTGTACCTTGTCCAGGCTCGTCTTCGTTTTTCTGCCTAGTGTTTATTTTCTAGATCCTATCGTTTCCTCTACCAAGAGTGATTTTCAGTTGCTGCCTTTTTGTTAAAAACGATTGATTTCGGACCCGGAAATCAGTCTCCAGAGTTGTGCATTTGGGTTCAGGGCCATTGTCCAGCCGTGACAATAGTAGTCTCTGACTCCAGTTTATTCTGTCTCTTGTGCGTAGAATATCACCGGGTCACGCTACTATAGCAAAAGGTGGTGGTATTTATGCTATTAATACAACTACCACTAATTGTACTACACATAGTACTATGACTAATATAGTACCATGTCTGTATTTTTAGCAATTTTTTAAAATTCATTTCAGCTTTTATCATTTCTGCATTTTTAGCAATTATTTATTAATTTCAGTTTTTCTCACTTCTGTATTTTCAACAATTTATAATCAATTTCAGCATTTAGCTTTCAGCATTCCAACGCATTTTTCTGCAGGAAATGCATTTTCTATTTCATTTTGTATAATCAAAATCACATTTCAACCAGAGGATAAAAAACGTCCCCATGTGTTGTGTGTGTCACGTTTATAGTTGTTCGCAGCCATTGTTGTTATGTGAAGCTTAAATGTCAGCAAAACGGAGCACTTCGTGAGGATACAAGTGTACTAACGTTGATCATATTACTGTGCGACTTGGTTGATTTCGACAGACATTCAGCAGGCTAATAACAGGCCAATACGCCGCCAGCTCACCAGTCTTGTTAATGTATAGATACTTTAAGCTACATAGGGAACATTAAATAAGCTCGAAGTTAACGTTAGCAGTTAAGGTAATTGTTAGTAGCTCGCCATACACAACTGCGCTCAACTGAGCAGACTTTTGAATTGTAGTGCACGTATATGCTGACATGTACGGTATTAAACAAGTAAGTGGAATAACAGCTATGACTAAAAATATGACTTTCTTTGGAAAAATCTCCAAATTTGTAAAGTAAAAATATTTATATTGTACAAGAGTAGTCAGAGAGGTCCTGTACACGCATACTTCTATCATTGTCCGGAATTTGCTATTCCAATAGCCTTTATTCCGGTTCCGTGTTTAATACCGTAATTGTCAGCATATACGTGTACTAACATTCAAGCGTCTGGTGAGTCATACACAGTAAATACACACAACAGCTAACCTTGTAACACACAGACACCGACGAACGTTAAAATGAAGAACCTACCAGTGCTGGTTTGGAAGTACCAGAGGAGAAGAAAGGCGTAAAAAACAGCGGACATGTTTTAAATCCCCCGAAGTCCTGACAGTTTTCTCATGGGCCGTTTCTCAATACCTAAGACGGCGAGAACGGACTCGCGTTCCCGCGAGAATAGACTCGGGAGACAGACTCGGGAGTCCTGACTCACGGGTACGGGAGAACGGAGAACGGACATTTCCGCAATTGGAACAGCAGCTGACTTGATGACGTCACCACAGTAGGCGGTCTTTGTTTACGCACGCAAGTATCTCATCTGCCATCGCAGCTTGCTGAGGTGAAATGCATTCTGGGATATATGTCTCTCACAAGAACAGACGAGCCTGCTTCGATGCATGCCCGGTAAAATGGGCGGGGCGAGTCACATCCGGGTATTATGACCGTTCTCGGCCAGATGCGGACTTGAGAATTGGAACAGTACTCGGGCTGTGACTGATGACGTTTCACGAGTCCACGAGAACAAAAGTCCACACAAGAACGCATATTGAGAAACGGCTATGCAGTCATTACCGTGTCCGTCCAGGCTCGTCTCTAGAGTAAAACGGAGCTTCTTCCGGGCGCACTGAGGAAGGTTCTCTTCTTTTGGTGTCATGCGGTTGGGGTCCTCACGTTCCCACTACCGCCACCTTCTGGACAGGACTGTTTTCTGTTGAGTCTAATTTAGTGTTTGAATATAATAGTGCTGGGCAACAACTACAATCTGGAATCGCAATTAATCTTATGATGTTCTGCATTCAATTGCGTTGTTGTTTTAAAAAACTTTAAACAAAAAAGGTGGTGGATAGGGGAATACAGCAGTAATCCCTGCATACTCAAATGAGTATAAATATATAATCAAATGAAACCATTTCCCACTGCCATGATATTAACACTGTCTGTTATAGAAATACAAATTATATTATAACAGGAACCTTTTGAGCAACAGCACATTCATTACCTTTTTCAGAAAAAAAGAAAAAAGATTAAAGAGTTACAATTAAGAGCATCTTGTTCTTATGTTTGTGTGTACAGTGCATCCGGAAAGTATTCACAACGCTTCACTTTTTCCACATCTTATGTTACAGCCTTATTCCAAAATGGATTAAATTAATTATTTTCCTCAACATTCTACACACAACAACCCATAATGACAAAGTGAAAACTGTTTTTTGCAAATCTGTTAAAAATAAAGAACGAAAACACAACATGTACATAAGTATTCACAGCCTTTGCTCAATACTTTGTTGAAGCACCTTTGGCAGCAATTACAGCCTCAAGTCTTCTTGGGTATGATTCCACAAGCGTGGCACACCTATTTCTGGGCAGTTTCTCCCATTCTTCTTTGCAGAACCTCTCAAGTTCCATCAGGTTGGATGGGGAGCGTCGGTGCACAGCCATTTTCAGATCTCTCCAGAGCTATTCAATCGGGTTCAAGTCAGGGCTCTGGCTGGGCCACTCAAGGACATTCACAGAGTTGTGCCGAAGCCACTCCTTTGTTATCTTGGCTGTGTGCTTCGGGTCGTTGTCCTGTTGGAAGATGAACCGTCGCCACAGTCTGAGGTCCAGTGCTCTTTGGAGCATGTTTTCATCCAGGATGTCTCTGTACATGGCTGCATTCATCTTTCCCTCAATCCTGACCAGTCTCCCAGTTCCTCCCGCTGAAAAACATCCCCACAGCATGATGCTGCCACCACCATGCTTCACTGTAGCGATGGTATTGGGCAGGTGATGAGCAGTGCCTGGTTTCCTCCAGACATGACGCTTGGCATTCAGGCCAAAGAGTTCAATCTTTGTTTCATCAGACCAGAGAATTTTGTTTCTCATGGTCTGAGAGTCCTTCAGGCGGGCTGTCATGTGCTTTTTACTGAGGAGTGGCTTCCGTCTGGCCACTCTACCAAACAGGCCTGATTTGTGGAGTGCTGCAGAGATGGTTGTCCTTCTGGAAGGTTCTCCTCTCTTCATAGAACAACGCTGGAGCTCTGTCAGAGTGACCATCGGGTTCTTCCCTGACTAAGGCCCTTCTCCCCCGATCGCTCAGTCTGGCTGGGCGGCCAACTCTAGGAAGACTCCTGGTGGTTCCAAACTTCTTCCATTTCCGGATGATTGAGGCCACTGTGCTCATTGGGACTTTCAATGCTGCAGAAATCTTTCTGTACCCTTCGCCAGATCTGTGCCTCGATACAATTCTGTCTCGGAGGTCTACAGATAATTCCTTGGACTTCATGGCTTGGTTATGCTCTGATATGCACTGTCAACTGTGATACCTTATATAGACAGTTGTGTGCCTTTCTCAATCATGTCCAATCAACTGAATTTAGCACAGGTGGACTCCAATCAAGTTGTAGAAACATCTCAAGGATGATCAGTGGAAACAGGATGCACCTGAGCTACATTTTGAGTGTCATGGCAAAGGCTGTGAATACGTATGTACATGTTATGTGTTCTTTCTTATTTTTAACAAATTTGCAAAAAACTGTTTTCACTTTGTCATTATGGGTTGTTGTGTGTAGAATGTTGAGGAAAATAAAGAATTTAATCCATTTTGGAATAAGGCTGTAACATAACAAAATGTGGAAAAAGTGAAGCGCTGTGAATACTTTCCGGATGCACTGTATGTCTACGTATCTTTTTAGTTTCCTTTCGTCCTTTTGAACAATGACCATGAAACAAATATTTCATTTTCAAAGGAGATGTAAAATACCTAAATCCACATTTATGCAAATCTATTATCTATGACTAAACTAGTCGCCTCACAGCAGCCTCTCTGTGTGTTCTCCTGGGGCCTCATTTATAAACGTTGCGTACGCACAAAAGAAGGCGTACACCGCTCTCTACGCAATAATTGGTATTTATAAAAAGCAAACTTGACGGAAAAATGTGCGGTCCTTTACGCAAGCTCGGACCCATGCGTACGCACAAAAACGGGTGAAATGAGAACCGTCTGCAAATGCAAGAAACACACAAACGTCTGTGAAAGTGTGTAAAACTAGACTGTTGTAAAAGAAATGGCAATACTGCCTCTTATAAATAACACAAACACCCGATTGATCGATCTGCAGCGTAAAACAAACAGAAATACAAATTGAAACATTTTCAAAAAGAAAAGTGAATTATGTTCTTCAATAATATTGGTATGTTATGCAATTCATCCTCAAAACACAGCTGTTGCTCGTCAGATGCAATCAGATGGACGGTAATAAAACGCCATGATGCCGTCACAATGCGTAATGATGCGAAATGGCTGATCTTGCTCTCTTAGAAGATGTGGCACATGGAAGGATTCGCGCTGTAGTGTAGCACACCGTCGGCCTGTTTAAGGGCAGATGGCGCTGCCTCGACTGCACTGGAGGGAGGTTATTGTTTACTCCTGAGAAGGTGTGCAACATCGTGCTGCATGTGCGGTGCTACATAATGTGGCACAGCTTCCAAACGTGCCTCGACCCCTTGACGCCGATGTTGGCCCAGATGCTGTCCCCGATCCCCAATCATTGCCGACAGTCTCTCATAAAGAAGGGACAGCTCCGGTGTCTCCTTTCCCCCACCCGTGGCAGACACACCTTGGCGATGGCGCGCTAAACGCTTTTTTCCATCCACTTTGATGTCAGACCATTTTTTCTTTATTTCGGACACGGTCCGAGGTTGTGAGGCTGCAGCGTTGCTCTGCAACCTTTTGCCACTCAAGTGCCTTTTTGGCATTAGTGATGCTCATACTGTGCCCTCCAAAAAGCAGTTTACTTCTCCTTTCCACCTCCCAATGATCATTTCGACTTCACACTAAGTGAAGTTACGTTTCTTCGTTTTCCTCTCAGTGTTTGCCATGATTTCGCAATCGATGAATATTAATTTGTGGGCGTTCTACAGACTATATATGGGCAATTATGGGTGTGACATGAAGCCTCAAAAGCTGCGCTGCATTTAAAAGTTATTGTGATTTATTAAGGGAAAACTGCATAGGAGTTTTATAAGTCAGTGTAGTGAATGTGACTGCATAATTCACCTTTGTTCTTGTTTTGTTGTACACGCAATTGCGACTGTTCCGGGATCACGGTCCCTTTAAATGTTTTGTTATGTTGTGACGTAGAGTCCCTTGCTTGTGAGGTTACAGGGCTGCGCCATCTTGAGTGTTTTTATGGTAATAATAAACGAGACACACGCTGCTGTTCTCAACTCGCGGAATTGCCTTTCATTACAAACGCAACTTCCACACTGGTGACCCCGACGTTCGTTTGCTGGAAGTATTCGCAAACGCGACTCGACCATGACCGCGAACGCTGTCACCCTCAAGCTCCCCGAGTTCTGGGAATCGTCAGCGTCGGCATGGTTTGCCCAGACTGAAGCGCAGTTCGCGCTGCGGGAGATCACCGCTGATACAACGCGGTACTACTACGTCGTGTCGGCTCTCGGTAGCTCAACAGCGGCCCGAGTGGTGAGCCTCCTTAAACGTCCTCCAGAGACGGAGAAATATGCAGCGCTGAAAGCGCACCTGTTAAAGACTTTTGAACTGTCCGACGCCGAGAGAGCTAGCAGGCTTTTCTCCCTCCAAGGACTGGGTGACAGCAAACCGTCTGAGCTCATGGACCGTATGCTGGATCTCCTGGGTGAGCACACACACGATTTTCTTTTCATTCAGCTTTTCCTGCGTCAGCTGCCTTCCCAAGTCAGAGCTGCATTGGCCAACACCACAATCACTGACTGTCGAAAACTGGCTGAAGAGGCTGATAAATTTTTCCTGGCAAGCCAAGGACACTGTGTCATGGCCGCATTTCCTCCCACACACGTCGCTCCTGTGACAATGGAGGATTCCACCCTTGTCGCAGCAACTTCTTCTCGGCGGCAACCATCTTCAGGTCGTCAGCAAGCTTCAGGCCCCCGGCAGTCTTCTTCAAGCTTGTGCTTCTATCACGACAAGTTTGGATCGAAGGCCCTTAAATGCCGCTCACCATGCAGTTTCGGCGGTCTGGGAAACGCCGGGGCCGGCGCTCATTAGTGGCCATGAGTGTCGGCCGCGTAGGCAGGCTGCTTTTTGTCCGTGACAGCATCTCCGGACGACATTTCCTGTGCGACACGGGTGCACAGAGGAGTGTTCTGCCTGCATCCCGTTTGGACATGGTAACCGACAGCCATGGCCCCCCGATGGAAGCTGCTAATGGGACCCCCATCCGCACGTATGGAACAAGGTACATTGAGTTATGCTTCGGAGAACATCGGTTCGGCTGGGATTTTGTCACGGCTAAGGTCGCTTTTCCCCTCCTTGGCGCTGATTTTTTGTGTGCGCATGGACTGTTGGTGGATGTTAAGAACCGCCGTTTGATCGACGCTGTCACGTTCTGTTCTTATACGTGCACGCTCAGCGGGGCTGACTCCATACGACTGTCTAGCATGCTCTCCCCATCAGACGACTTCCACCGGCTACTGGCTGGTTTTCCAGAACTGACCCAACCCACTTTCTCTGCATCTGCCGTGAAGCATGGTGTGGAACACCATATCGCCACCACTGGTCCGCCCGTCTACGCCCGTGCTCGGCGCCTCGACCCGACCAAGCTTGCCGTCGCTAAGGCCGAGTTTTCTAACATGGAACGCCTTGGAATAGTCCGCCGGTCCGCCAGCCCGT